CGTCCCTCGGACTGCCGCCCCAACAGCCCGATAATGCGACGGCAGAAAGCCACCCATCTTCTGAGCATAAGGCCAATTAACAGCATCCTCATGCAAATGTATGCTCAGGAATCTGCAAGGACAGCCATGGCGCGCTGGTTTGCCGCCAGTTTCCCTGAGTTGGAGGGAAGGGGTTCGAGCTTGAACTCGAGTACAGGATCTCCCTGCGTGCACCCTGAACCCTGTTCGCTTTTCGCAGCGTTGTGGAAGTTGAAGGGGAGATTCGCCCGCCACCTTGTGCCTCCATATCTTATTCGTAGCTGGCCCAATCTAAAAACAGCGCCGGGGATGATGGCGGTGGGATCGAGGCTTAAACACGAGCTGCCGGCTTTTGCTCATGGGTGACCTGCCTCGAGGGGGTGAGCGTCGACAAATGCGCGGATGTACCGGATGTGTGGATCAGCAAATCATTAATTGATGCTTGAAAATATGTTTTAAAAACCCCAATAAGAAAAAAACAATGTGGCTGAAGAGGGTACATTGATCTCAATGGATCTAGGGATGTGCCCAAGTGCTTTGAAGCCAGGCGCGGCGGCTTCATGCGCGGCAGCGGTGGTGAGGAAAACGTCAAGCCCCACCACCCAAAACCGCCGCCCTTTCAATATCACATGTACTGGTGCATCAATTGCATGCGCCCGGGACAGCGCTGCGCACGGGGTCTGTCCCAGTCGAATTGAGTTGAGTCTTATGGAAGGATGGGATGGCCAGGCGGGCAGATCAAACATTGAGAGGATCTCCCACTTACATCCGGATAGCTCTTGACTGTGATAACGTACAACCCGGCATCGGCATTGTCGATCTCTTGCTCGGGATATTTGCTACCCTCCATTTGGATCCATCATCTTCAATTCCATTCCTGACGCATGGCCATTCCCCGAGATAGGAAAGGCGCAAGGGCAGGAGCAGGACGACATCTCATTCTATTCACTTCATGCCACGATGTGATCCTTGAAAGATATCTCAAGGGCCCTGCCCCTCCCTGTATCTTCCCTTCTCTTTTCTAACCCCTTGGCATGGTCCATGAAAGGTCTAGCAACACGGAACAAAGCATGCGGCTCAGCATGCACCTACATGGTCAACGACTAGAACTGGCAGGAGTCTTGCCTTCTTACCCACTCTCAGCCCCTCTGCCGTGTCTTGTTGATCCCAACTTTGACTAGAGTCCTGCGGGCTTCCGTCCTCGCTGCTTCCTCCCTTCCTCTTTCGCTCGAAGCAATACGGCCGTTGCCGCCGCCCCGCCGCGTCATTTTCCCCTCTTCTCCGAAGCTTTCAGTCCTCCAACTATCGATGTAGACGCCATGTTGCGTGCAGGGCAGCGCATCACGCCGTCCATCGCTGCCGTCTATGGAGTGGGTTGGTGGAAAACTGACGCGAAAGGATAGCAGTTTGCCGTTGAACAGCGGATCCCTTGTCTGATTGCTGATATCCGATCTATTATCAAAGTTCTCGCAACGGAACTGTTCCGTTGCCTTGACCTTTGTCGCCCACTCCGCAACGGAGCCAAGTTCCCAAATAATCTCGTGGGCCGTTTATTACTAGTGAGCGGGCCTTACCCGAGTTTAATTCCATGCGTAACCTTTTGGGGATCATCTCCTTGATTGTGTGGGCACCTTTTTTTTTTTTTTCCATCTTTTTAGGGTCCTTTGTCGGTCGAGAGGGGCGCGAACAGGGGATCATTCATCAATTGGACTGATTTGTCCCCGCTGGTCTGTATTGGCGTAATTGGCCCTTCACGCCCCTCCCACCCTGCTCGGCCATGACGAATTATACATCTATCCATGGATGGAATGGATCAATTGATGTACATGATGCTGTGGGGAGATCAAGGAGGTGGATATCGATTCAACGACAGTGACACCGACACCTTCATGCCAGTGGGCCAGTCCATGCTCTGTTGGGTTGGTGTTGGTGTGTGTACGAGATCCCATGCCAACTCATTCTATACCCATCAAATCCAGGTCCAAAGCTTGGTTACTTCCAACAAACGGGGCCTTATATCGAGGGCTAAGGATCAACAGGCCAACTCACTTACTCCTTACCCACCTTGACCCAGCACCGTCCACGGCCCGTCTGCCTAATACCTAGTCCTTTTTTGCGGAGAGACCTAACCTTGCCTAAACAGCTCATCGCCGCATTGCTCATTTCCATCGACGTGGCTAACCAGCTGCATTGATACGCGCAAGCCGCCCAAGCGGACATCATTGAACATCTCCGTCCAGACATCCCCCGTCCCCTAGTCGCCCCATGTCTGCTCCCTTGCCGCCCCATTCTCGGCCATCTATCGGTCTTGATACTTGCCAAGTGGACGAGTGGTGTGGGAGTTTCTTGGCCCTCGAACGGAATGGCACTGAACACTAGGCCAAACTGCTATGCTTTCAAGTTCCTTCAGGACCGTCTACATAAGCATAAACCGTTCTGTATGCTCGCCTGTTTCTGGCTCGTCTTGCAGGGCCGCCAATGATTCTTGGCCAAAGCTAAGCTAACCTGATTGCCGAAGACCGAGGTCTTTCCTAGCATTTCTTAGCCCTTCCTGCTTCCATCTTTCTCTCCCCCACACGTCGTGAAAGGCATTGACCTGGCTCCTGGCCCTCATGTCATCCCCAGTTCTTTCGACATTGAGGCCTCCTCCGCTGCCTTTACTTTCTCCCGTCATCTTGTTGGGAAAGACAAAACGAGATCTAGACTCCGGGCTGCGCGACATCTTGAGCTAGTGGTATGCAACATAAGGACTGTAAATCCTCTTATTTTAGGATCGTTGAAGTTGGAGCAATGCGCTGGCTGGTCAAACGTGCACGAGGCCATCAGCAAAGATCCACTCTGGGCATGCAGCTCCTTGTCAAGTTTATGCCCGGCTTTCAAAAGACGTATGCAGCGTGATGTAGCTCGTACAGAGACTGTTTGCTTTTTCCTCAATGCAGTGGCCATGCCAAAGTTCTCTGCTTTTTCAAGGTTCCTCTTTGCCATGCCAATATTTCCTTGCCCGCAGGAAAAGTGCGGAAATGACCCGTTCAAACCTTGTACCTCATCAATTTCTTTCTAATAAAGGGTAAACTCTTCTGTTCAATGTCTCCAGAGCACAATGAGGGGTGTGTTGAGAGCAGCAGACTGGAGCGTTTTGTTGGTTGTGGGTTCATATTGCTCATATGGCGTTTGGTCCAGACGTTACATGAAGAGGCCACGCGCCCTCCCCACACATACATATACACGCACACCGCAGCCTTAGCGGATGCCGTAGCTTTTGAGTACGTCGGTGCATTATGACGAATAGCTGAATGCATGAAGAATGAGTACGAAAGTACTAATAGCACGCTGCGCACTTGTGGCCGTTGGAGGCCTTGAAAGCTAAGGAGATTATCCGCTCTTGGTGGGCTTCATTTTCCACGGAATCCTACCCTACATGCCCCCGGGGCGTCGATCGGTATGCGCCAGACATGTCAAGATGAAGGCAAAGCAGCTCCCACAAGCCCTAGTACTGTTCTTCTAGCCTGTGGGGCTTCATCTCAGAATGGAATCCCCTTCTGGAGCCTGGTGGCTTACCAATGGGTCCGTTCCTACCAGTTTCTGTCTGCGTTTGACAACATCATCGAAGTGGAGACTTCCGACTTAAAGCCATCACTGAACCATGCTAGCGACAGGCGTAGATGGGCCCCGTCAATTCTCACTCTCGGGCTGCTGCCTCGAGGCCGTGGCCGTGGCTATTATGAGCGTGGGCTTCCTTCTCGGTGGGTTCTCCTGTGGAGAAGGGAGGGGTGTAAATCCGCGTAACGGCACCTCTGACAGCAGCAGCCTGTACTTCAAATGATATTCAATGTTGTCGGATTGAGGGGGTGAGGGGCCACTGGCAGCACTTGAGCCTTTCCTGTGGAGAATGCCAATCTTGCTACCCCGCCTGCCCGCCATCTCGCCGAGGATAGAACCCCATCTCGTCGATCTCCTCAAGGCAAGGAGAAAACGGCAATTCTAATCCCCTGCTATCCACCCTTTCCTCTGTGGGTGCATCGCCAAGTGCCGCTGAAAACGGCCGCTTTGTAAAACAGCTTCGGTAATTGAGGCAAGCTTTCCTTCACCTTGGAAGGGGGCGTCTCTCTGCTCTCGCACCCCAAGATACACAGTACGGGCGAAACCGAGAAGTTTGGAGTACGGAAACTTGAGCTAGCTTGGGCGGATAGTGTGCTCCTCTCTCTGACCTTTTCCTCTCTCTTTTTCCAATTAATCCTTTATTATTTGTTGCTCAATATTATTTCATTATTCAGCGGTTTCAAGGGCATGCGGCGGAGAGCGGTAGCTACTTTGTAGATTGCCGTCCGCTATTATGTTGTCGGATAAAAATGAAGAATGGTCTCTTCTACTTCTCGGTTTCTTTTCTGGCTCTGACTTTGGACCCTCAAATATCTGCTAGCTCATGTTGACATCAGTTGGCAGCGGCAGCGGCGGGTGGCTCCCGACTGGGGTCCCGCGACGATCTATGGCACGTGACACAACAGCTGCCAACAGTGGGGTGCGACTGCGGGTTTCTCAAAGCCGAGAAATGGTGCATGGGCGTTTCGATGGCGCTTGAGGCTCTTTTCAGGGGCAAAGTCTTTGTTTCAAGAGCTTCATGAAACGGCCAGCGATGGGACGACTTTTGGTGATATCTCAATAATTGAAACCTGGGCTTTATTGCTAGTATTATCATCTCTTTTTCTCCCCTCCTTGTCCTCTTCCTGGCTCCTCCTTGTGCGCTTATAACTGGACTCTGGGAGAGTCGTGAGGGTTGGTCTGTTTCGTTCATTGTACTAACTACACTCGGCGAGTTGGTCACTTGTCGGACGCTTTAGTTCGGCTTCATCAAAAGAGTGAAAGTGCCGGGCACGGGAGCACGCGGCTTGATCAGCTCGGCACCATCTTCTAGCCTCACCTTTACCTCTTATCCCCTTTCTCAATACTTTATACTCCCCTTATACCCATTTTCTACCTCGGCCATGATCGACTTCACCTTGGACGAGGCCATCGCGGTCTTCGATACGCAGACCACCATTGTATTCCTCATCACGCTCTGCAGCTTCTTCATCCCTGTTCTTCTTCTTTTCCCCCTGTCCCGATTCGCATCTCCGAGGCGTTGGCTCGAACCCATACAAAATTGGGATTAGAGCCCGGGACTACTAACTTGCCCAATCCGCCGACGACTGGGCAGCAGCCGGCGGAGGCGACGGCGAAGGATACGGCGAAGGACAAGAGCTCGCTGGCCAAGATCCAAAGCTTATTCATCTACCCCATCAAATCGTGCCAGGGTATCGAGCTCCAAAAGCAAAGGTTTTCGGATCTGGCCTGCAGTATGATAGGCTCTACACCTTTGCGAGGTTGAAGGATGCCTCTGCCGCCGCCACTGGGGCTGGCTCAAGTGACGGGGCCAAGGAAGGCGAGGGAGGCGAGGATTCTGGGCCGGTCTGGGACTTTGTCACGCAAAGACAGTTCCCTCGCCTAGCTAAAGTTGGCGTTGACATCTGGTGCCCTGACGCTGTCAAAACCCGGGGAAGCTCACCGAGCGAGGCTCTGACGAGACCTTCATGATTGTGCGATTCCCTTGGAGCAGGCCCGGCTTCCTCGGCATCGTGGACCATATCGCTGCTAGGTTTAGCAAAGGCTGGAGCGGGTATCCCGAAAAGGAGATCCTGCTGCCCGTCAGCTTCCCCTCCGAACCCGAGATCGCTGGCCGGGGCTATCGTTATGAAAAGTCAGGGTGTGGAGGGAGGTCATGACGGCTTTGAATATGGAGGAAGAGCTTCCACGTGATCTTGCCGAATATCTCGGCATCAACGAGAGACTGGGCATCTTCAGAACGAGTCCCATGATGTCACGGGAAGTTCACCGGAATGCGCCTAATGCGGATGAGGCCGGGTATCAACCTACGGTAAGATTCCAAGACTCCGTAAGTGCGAACAAAAAAAGAAAAACAAAGAAAAAAACCCATTATTTATTGTGGCGAGAAAGCTAACAGGGATTGATATCTCGGGACAGTACCCTGTTCATCTCATGAACATTGCAAGTGTCGAAGATATGGCGACCAAGATCGAAGACCCTACCCTCAAGGACCTCAGCGTTCGCAGGTTTAGGGCCAATGTCGTCAGTACGTGGTTGCCAAGCCCTTCTTTTCTTCGCTCTGATCCGACCTCGCCCATCCAACTTGAAATATGAAACTAATGCCACTTGTCTAGTTACCGGTCCTCCTGCCTACGATGAAGATCACTGGAAGACTTTCCGTCTCAAGCAGGGCACGGCGTCCGTTCACTCGGACTGCACGTACCATGTCTCGTGCCGAACCTCACGGTAAGCTTGCGACCCAGCCTCTCTGACTCTTTCCTTAACTCCTCTAACGTAAGACGGAGCCGTAGATGCAAACTACCTAATGTGGACCCTGCTACCGCTATCCCTCACCCCGTAGAGCCGGACCGCTACCTTCGAAAGCACCGCAACATTGACGACGGCTGCCCCAAGAATGGCTGCCTCGGCATGATGCTCACCCCCTCTTCTCCGACCAAAGCAGGCGCGTGGCTCTGGAGTCGTGGCTCGAGGTGGGCATGGAAATCGACGTCACGGAGAGGGGCGAGCACTTGTTCGTAAGGTGAAGAAGCGACATGCTCGATGTGTTTGCTATCATCGATTCCACGACAGCTGTGTATGTGTATGAAGGGGTGTCTTTTATTTGCAACCACGTTTACGGAGTTTTGCCAACTGCATAGATGACCATCATCAGCGAGACTGGGAAGGACAGATCATAAATATAGTTGATAGTGTAGATAGATGGATGTGTAAGATTTCCTTGATTTTGTTATAAGCCTTTGAAATGAGATCAAGAACTTGAAAGAAAGGGACCAGACAGAAGCGTGCAAGGGTCAAACTTGGTGAGGTAACTTTGGTCGGTGGCATGAGTGATCCAATTCAAGCATTCATTTCCCCGCATAATAAGTGATATGGCTCCCATCCTCCCCGTTTCCCCATACCAAAGCACAACCCGAAAAAAAGAGGCATAATATTTCCACATCCGCAACCTAGAACCCCTCCCCAGTCGTTCATCATTACATGCAGTCCTGGTATAATTTGAAAAGCCAAATAAAATAACAATGAGCACACTGAATCCTTGCATGCCCTTATCTATACTTGCGCCACCCTCGCTAACCCCAACCGCCGTTACCTGAGGTCTGCGGGCGTAAGTGCCTGCACCATACTCGTGCCCTCGCTGAATCTTGTACGGAAGATGCGGTTCGCATTCTGGAACATGCCATCCTTCAAACTGACAACGATAAACTGCGAGCCCTTGAACCGCGTCTTGATGAGACGGCCAATGTTTTGTGTGTGGGAGAGATCGAGAGCGGCGTCAACCTCGTCCAGAATGTACATGGGTGCTGGCTTGAACTGTAAGAGTGCCATGATGAGGGACAGGGCAATGAGGGACCTGCAGTGGGTGTTAGAGCGTTTTCTATAGCGCGAGGCAGAGGAGGTGATTATGAGTCTTACCTTTGGCCTCCGGACAATTCCGTGAGGCTCTGCTTCCAAACCTTGCCTAGAGACACCTTGACTTCCAAGCCTTCGCTGATCGTCTTGCCTTCGGGGGTCAAGCTTCGCGAAGCTTCCGGGAAGCAGTTCGGCAAAGATCTGGCCAAAGTCCCCATTGACCTTCTCCCAGGTCTCCTGGAGCGCCTTCTTCTTGTAGTCGTCGAGGGAAACAATGGTCTCCTCAATCTTGCGCTTATCACGGATGACCGTCTTCATCATGTGCTTGAGCGAGACCTCCTTCTTTTCCACGCTGTCAATCATGTTCATAACCTTGGGGTTGATCTTCTTCTTCATGCCTTGGAAACGTTCCGTTAAATTGCGGTGCGTCGCGCGGCATTCGCGAATGTTTTGGTTGTGGAAGTCGTAAGGGGTCCCTTGACGGCCAAACTTGTCGCGCTCGTCGACAATCCAGTCGTGTTTGGACTCGAGCTTCTTGACTTCTTCAGCAGCGTGCTGCTGTTCCTTGTCGAACTTGTCAATCTGGTGGCCGAGCTTTTGAAGTTCGAGGCCGTCCTCGGTGATTCTCTTGTTCTTGGATCGCGTGGCTTCCTCGAGCGCGCGAAGTTCATCGTCAAAGATGTTAAGCTTGGACCGCTCATCCTCCAGCTGCGCTTGTACCGTGTCGTGTGTGTCCTGAACCTTGGCCTGCTCTTTGACGAGTCCCTCAATTTCCTGCTTCTGGGAAGCGATGGCGAGCTCAACTTCTTGTAGTTGCTCTTGAGTGCCTGACAAATCCGCGCCGGCCTGCTCTGAGTCCAGCTGGGCTACTTGGACCTCCTTTTGGAGGATCTTGACAGAGCCCGAATTCTTGGCAAGGTTAGCCCTCAGCTTGTCAAGGGCTTTTGGAGCTCGATCAGCTTTGCGTCCTTGTTTGTATCAAAGTCCTTCATATCCTTCTCAATCCTCTTGACGTCGGCTGTGGCTTCCGTGTGGCGTTTCTTGGCCTCTGCAATATCATTCTTCAATTGGGAAATGGTCTCTTTCATGACGGCTACTTCTTGGATAATGGACGAGGCAGAGTTGCCGCCAATCTGCTCTTCGGCGAGTTTAATCTCGTGCGCCTTGAGATCGAGAGCCTGCTTGATCTGCTTGGCCTTATCTAGCTTGGATTTCTCCTTGGCGATTGTGAGCTGAAGTTGCTTGAGTGTCGTCTCGGCTTCGTTCAACTGCCTCGTGAGGAGGTTTAATTTCTGCAAAGTCACTAACACACCACTTGAGTTGGGTGCGCTGCCACCCGACAGGGTTCCCGAGGGATCATATGCGTCACCCTCGAGTGTGATGCTTCGCATACGAACGCTGGGATCAAAAGTGACCTTCTTGGCGGTCTCTGCATCGGCACAGATTAGAGTGTTGCCAAAGACAAACTCCATCGCTGCAGAGACCTCGTCATCATAACCAACCAACGATAGGGCAAGGTCGACTTTGCCAGGCGCGATCTTCTGGGCGGTTGCAATGGATTGCGCAGACGCCTTGAAGGCCGCGATCTTGTTGAGCGGGATGATGGTGACCCTCTTGCGGAGCTTGCCATTCTTGAGAAGTTGAGTGCCCGTCACTTCGGTGTCGACGACAACGTTGTAGAGACGGCCGCCCGCACAGATTTCAAGGGCAGTTCCGGCGTGGGTATGCTCCTTGCCGAGTGTGAAGAGCTGAGCGACCAAGCCTTTGACCTTGGAACGGTCAAAACCGGGCGCGGGGTCTGCGTAGGTGAAGTCAATGTTCGCAACCTTGCGTCGCAAAGCGTCTGCCTCGTGTCGCAGTTCCCGAATCTTTTGTTGAAGAGAAGACTCCTGTTTGTACATCTCCTCCTCTTGGCCCGGCTCGAAGCCTAGTTTGCCGAGTTCCTTTTCGAATTTCTGGGCGTCAGCTCTGAGACCTTCGAGCTCCTTGAGCAAACCGGCGTTGGCTTCCTTGGCCTTCTTTGCCCGGGGCTCTTCCTCCTTGACCCGCTTCTCGAGATGAGCAATCTTGATCTTTGCCTGTTCCTGTTCCGTGATGGAGGCGGTGGCCCGATTCCTGGCATCCTGGAGTTGGCCCTGATAGCCGTTCTCCTGGCCATCCTTTGAAGCAACGCCTGTCTGGAGAGTCTGGAGGAGTTCCTCCTTTGACTCGGCCTCCTGGGTTTGTTTCTCTAGGTCTTCTTTGGCCGCGTCGTACTTGGACTTGATCGTTTCAAAAGCAGTGACCTTTTCTGTCAGGGAGGCTTCCAGTTCCGCGACTGTTTTCTCAACCGCAGTCTTCTTCTCCTCCTCTTCGGCAAGACTAGACTTCTTCAACTCCATGACGGTAGCTAACCGTACAAGCTCGTTGGAATGCTTCTTGACTGCCTCCTCCAAAGCCTGGGCCTTTCCACCCTTTCGTAGCTCCTTGTCCCTTTGGGTGCGTACACGCTTCACGTCTTCTTCGAGATGATGGATTTCGCTCTTCAAGCGCGCCGTAGACTCGTCAAGTTCCTTTTGCCGCGCCACCTTTGCCTCCAAGTCGGCAGCAGACCTCTTGAGCTTCTCAACATTGGAGACGTAGTCATAAGCCACCACCAGCCTGTCGAGCCGCTCGAGATCATTTTGGGTTTGTTGGAAATCTAGGAAGGCTCTCTTTTCCGTTCGGAGTTTTCGAGCTTCGGCTCAATCTCATCTCGCAGCAACTCGGTGATCTCCTGGAGTTTCATCTCCTTCTTGGCCATGGTTTTGATGGCCTTGTCCCTCCTGTCCTCAAACATCCTAGTCCCCGCAGCCTCTTCGATCATGGCCAAAATCTCAACAGGCTTCATGTTGAGCACCTTGGTGATGCGACCTTGCATGATGAGGAAATTTGGGTTGTTGATATTTAGCTGCACTGACTGGAACAGGTTTTGTACTGTTTGCTGCTGTGCTCGGTGGCCGTTGATGAGGTATTTGGATGTGCCTCCCAGAACGATTTGCCTCGTGACACTGATAGTGGCGTATTCCTCGAAGCCGATGGGGGACTTTTTCTTATCGCGGTTGTCGAAGACGATTGTGACACTGGCCTTAGTAACACCGGCCTGGCCGCGCTTGTAGATGAGGTCCTGAGATTACGAGAGGGTTAGCAAAGGGTCAGCTGAGGGCTAGGTGCGGTCAGGGGAAAAAGGAAAGAGCTGGATGGACCAAATCTACCAGTAGCGCATACCTGTAGGTTCTGAGCGCGAACCGTCGACATGTTGGTGATGCCGAGGACGAAGCATATGGCGTCCAGAATATTGGATTTACCGCTGCCGTTAAGGCCGGTGATGGAATTGAAACTCTCGTCTGCAAATCGTAGATTTAGCAAATCAGTAGCCCAAGAGATCACTGAGCGGAGAGGGGCACACGCACCATCCTGAGATAACGGTTCGCACCGCATACGACTTGAAGCCCTATATCAAAAGTTTAGCGCATGTTGCTGGGGATCCGGAATGCGAAAACGCACGTCTATGATAACCTCAATGACTCTCATTTTTGAAAACCTCCGAATCGTCAAGGTTCTCTGTGGTGGTAAGCTTGGGTGCTGAGGGTCTGAGATGTTCTCGGAGGGGAACAACGACTGACGCGGAGAGCGATGAAAGTAAACGAAACAAAGTAAACAAACGCAGCCTACAGTGCGTCACAGTGCCTGTCTTGATGAAACTCAACCCAATCTCAGCCGGTAGGAAAAATAACAACAGACCAGGACCCACTATTGCCATGAAAAGCCACACTGGGCTGGACAGTGCGATCATTACCCTTGCGCACGCAAACCTGGGGATCGCGGGCTTGGAGGGTCATGTAAATCACGTGAGACCGCGGATTCCCATCGTATATCTAGTTACACAGTGAGAGGACGTTATGGCGTAGTGCAAGTCAAGTCCGCAGTCTAATCCCGATCGGGAACAATCAAAACAAACGAGCCCCCAAAGGCGGGAAATAACACGACCCAGCTTTCCCGAAGCTCCTCTAGCCATCCCGCACAAACGAACCACCCACCCCATAACTTCAACTATCTCATCCTCGGCCAACCCCCAAAAAATTCTTGTCAACAACCGCAACATCGTGCCAGGCTTTATTGACTTATCTACGCCGGCCTGGTTCCTTATTTTGAAGATTTGTTTTGCCTTTCCTTCCCTCGACAGCCTTTCCTCCTTCATTAGCAGCACTCGCGTCGAGATCTGCTGCATCGAAGTCACGTCTCCAACATGGCCTCGATCCGCGGATCGCGTTTGCCAGTCGGCTCGGCATCATGGATCTCGGAGGAGAGATCCGCAGCACTCCAGATCGCCGAAGACGAAGCTGAAGAATTCTCTTATTCGGCTCGGAACGAGCTAGAATGGTTAAACGAGCATATGACTGGTATCTTTGACGAGAACGAGATGTACGAGCTTCTTCTTCTGTCTTCCCGTTTATCTTAAGACGGATGTAAGCGGTACTAACAGATGATCGCTAGAAATGTCGCCGAGATGTTCAAGACCCCCGGAAAGCTAAGAGGAAAGACGCCTCGAGCGGTCAGGAAACAAGAGACGACAGAGGCGAGAGTGGTACGTGTTTCGTGTAGGGTGGTAACGTGCTCGTGATTGTCTCTAACTGTCGAGTATAGCCTCTATCTGACATCTTCGCCGGCACGCCCCGTGGTGTACCCAATCCCTTCCTCCAGCAGCTTAACCGCATCAATTCCCCTCAACCGCCGCCACCTCTAATGAGCTGAAGAAGCCATCAACAACACCTGCCTACTCACCACCTAAACGGCCCGTACCCTCCCCGACTCGACAGCTCCCAAACATCCCCCATGCAGACTCTGGCTACCATGGAAGCCAGTCTCATGATATCGAGGGCCCATTCAGCCCCGCTCAGACGCGTGCTTTGCCACAAGTGCGAAGTCCAATCGACGCTGTCTCTCCTGTTGCGTCGCCCACTTTGTATCGGCAACAGAGTCCAACGCGGACAAGAGTCTTGCAATCGCCTACGGCGACCTTCCTCACGGCGAAGGAAGAACAGACGGCACGAAATATTGCCGACACTATGCCGCAGCCTTCATCACCGCAAATTACCCGTTCTCAAAAACTTCAGTCACCATTCGATGCTCCATCCTCGCCCTTGGTTGTGCGTTCTCCATCTCCTAAGAAGACATCCCCCATTAAGTCATCTCCTGTCAAGATATCATCACCGATGAAGGTATCGCCAGCAAAGGTTTCTGTCGCGTCGCCTATCATCAGGAAGCCTGTCCCTGCTCCGGCTGAACCTGAGCCGGAGCCTGTCGAGGTAGATGAGTCGAACGACGACGAAGGCTCCCATACGGATAACTCGAGCCCGGTCAGACCGGCGATCCGCAAGAGCAGTCTAAATTTTGCAACTCTCCCTGCCCGCGAGCCTTTGACGACAGGAAAGAGCTTGGGCGGAAGGATGTCCCGCACAAGCCACCTCGATCTTCAAAGGGCTAGCTACTATGATCGGCCGATGGGCGGCAAGAGCCTTGGTGGAAACACAGTTGTGTACCCGTCTGATGGAGACGATGACGAGATGGACGTCGATGAAGACGAGAAGACGGTGGCTCAGCAGCACGTAGAGCCCCGGCAGACCATAACAAGACATACACGCAGCGCCTTCAGGACCGAATTGGGATGCTTGGCCAATCTCAGGCCAAGCCAAGCCGGCCTTCCAAGTCTATCGCCAACCTTGCTCCTATTAGCACAGTTGCGACGCCCGTGTCTCCCCAACGCCCGGAACAGAAGATGTCAAGTCCGGTTCGCAAGCCCACTACTCCGGGCGCCTTCCCCGACGAAGAAGAAGAAGACGATGATTGGATCGACCCACCAGTAACGGTAGCAAAGCAGTCGAGTCCGCCCCCGCCGTGCCTCCCAAGGATGCCGCTCCGATCACAGCCACAACCAAGGGTAGTTCCGATGGCGGACACGCGGATTTTGTGTTGCCCAAGCAGCGACAGGCCAACAGTCGGCCCAACTCGCCTTACAAAGCACCCATCATCCCTGACCGGACAACAAGCACTCTCCCTCACATGAAGTCAGCATCGGTTTCAGCTTTGCCCAACACTCTAACCCAGGATGATGCCTCCTCCCTTTCCCCCAAAAGCCGATCTCTGTCTCAAACCCTACCTTGGCAACCGTATCAGAGTCGAGCCGCCCACCATCTCCCATGAAGTCTCCTTCTCGGACGCTCCGCGACAGCCCGCTGAAGCAGGTCAAGAACAAGCTTTCCTCTATCCTCAAGAGCTCTAAGGGTCTCTTGGCTAGCAGTGCGGCTATAAGCGCCGAGGGTAAATCCTCGATCCTATCGCCATCGACAACGCGCCTGGGATATTTTACAGGGGCGTCATCGGAGTCGATTGCCCAGCCTAACTTGGGCGAATCCATGTACCCGGACCTATCGAAAGCGTTGGCCGATGCGCAATCGGCCTCGAGCCTAACGAGCCCTACAAAGGCCAATGGTCGGCGGACGAGGGCGTCGGCGGAGCGAGAACGGAAGGAGAAGATGGTGGAGAAGGAGACGCGTCGACTGGCAGATCAGATGGGTAAGCTTGAGAAAGAGCGGGAAAAGGAACGGGAAAAGGCTCGCGTGTTTAGCAAGGAGCAGGAGAGGATCGCCGCGATGGAGAAGCAAATGACTACGCAAAAGGAAGTTGAAAAGAAGCGCCCAGCAGAAAAGGAAATTGCCAAGCCCACCCGATCTAGCCCCCGAAGGGCGAAGCCTCAAGACCAAGACGTGGAAATGCAAGACGCGGCCGCAGCGATGCCACCCCTCCTCAGCCAGCGTCTCTGCCGAGGCCCGCCGGGCCAGGACCCGCTATCCGAAACCGCGAACTCAAGCGACCGGCGCGCCCGGCCAAAGATGCGGTGCCCAAGTCCAAGGCGGCGCCTATGGTTATCAAGGTGAATATGGGCCCGCACCACTCCCAATATCACCCATCCAACAACGCGCTTTCGGCCAACCTGCACGAATCGCTAGTGGCTGCTGTACCGCAGCCGCAACTTAGCAGCAAACCAAGCCAGAGCAAGCTCAAGTCGAAGAGTTCAGTGCAAAGCCTCAAGAGCTCTGTGTCGTCAAGCGGGAGGCCCAAGGCTCTAGAACTAGCGGCGAAACGCAAGGAGCAAGAGGAACGCGAGGCACAGCGCAAACGCGAGGCGCGGGCGGAGCTGGAGCGTAAGAGGGCGGCTCAACAGGAAGAGGATCGGCGTATCGAGGCAGAGAAGAAGATGGCCAAGGAAAGGGAGGCAGAGGCGAAAAAGGCAGCGCAGAGGCAGGCAGCGATCGAGAAGGCCAAGCAGACGCGGGCGCCGCCTCCAGCCGTCCGCGCCCAACCTAACGGGCCACCAGAGTACGTAGCGCCGCCGGAGCAGCAACAGCAACAACAACCGCAAGCTGTCTCGCGGCCTCCTTCGCGCCTAGGATCGTCCGTCTTCCGATCTCAGGAGGACCTTAACCGGCCCGTCAATACGCTCCTCTCGAACGCGAACAAGAGCCAGAAGCGACCTCTGGGACAGGACAATGACGGTGGCAATGCACGAGCGGCACCAGCGCGTAGTGGACCCACGTACCAGGGACAGGATGCCAAGCGGCGCAGGACAAGCCAAGAGTTCGAAGAGGACAAGGACGTGAAGACGGTCTCCAACATCAAGGGGCCGCCTGTCCGTCCTTCGGCAGGGTACAAGAAGGTAAGCGATATCAGGCAGGCTTACGCGTCTCCCGCGGCACAGGCTAACAAACGTTTTTTACAGGTGGAGGCTCCAACAAAGCCCGTGTTTAACAACGGATACTCAGCGGCACCTACGGGAGCGTCCCGAGACCTCTTCAAGACGACGGTGACGTCGCAGCATAACAGCGCCATGAAGGCGGCGCATCCCCTGGACATGGCACAGTTCTCCAAGGGAGCCATCCCATTCGCGCCCAACCCCGGCCAGGCCGGAACGGCTTACAAGACGCCGGCTAGACAAGGCCAGGTGGCCAACGTCAAGTCAACGGCCAAGTCGGGTCCGCGAACATCACCTCGATTTCCCAATGGGGACTCGATTGAGCTGCCCGAGATCGACACGGACGACGAGGATGAAGATTCGGATGCAGACCAGGGGATGGTGGCATCGTGGGCGGATTCACCAGATCTCCGACGGGCGCTTCTGAGGCAAGAGACGATGGACCCATCTCACATCTTTGGGCCACCGGCTCCGCTTAACATGGAAGAGGTGTTCAACAAGAGCAAAGATAGGTGGCATAAGTTTAGGGCGCGAACGTCGAGCGCCAACTGGAGCGGAGCTGATCGGCTGACGGAGGATGATATCCGAAAGGATTTGGCAGCGCGCGATCGTCTCCGACGAGAGGGAGCGTGGACGTATGAGTTGAGCAAGGACATGGCATAGAGAGGACGTGGAGGATGTCTCTCATCATGTTCACCTATATACACATATGCATCATTGGTACAAGCAACGTTGTTGGCGTGGTGGGCCAAGAAAGAATGAAGAAGCAAATCCATGCGCTGGATTATGGAGGGGATGAAGTGGAAAGGGGGTTTCGGGGCGCTCTGGGTTCATCATCATGCTTCATGGTGACATGTTGTTTTACGGCGTTTATTTGGCGCGCGCGGTTGAGTACTGGCGTTTGCATTGCGGAAAGTTGCTCATCATTCTTGTGTGTGTTTTTTTCTATACAACTTGGGCCTTGCAATCGTTGAAGGGGTTTATAAAACCCATGGATGGGTTCTCTATCCTTGTAGTTTTACAAAGGCCAACCATTGATTATGCTCGCATAGAGAGCAAAAGATTATAATGATAACGAAAGGAACTTTACCACCCACACACAAATTTACTCTTTTGGGTTGTACTCTTGTCGACTTGGAGCGAGGGCCATTTCCTTTGCCTTACATTCGTGTTGTGGCGAGCGTGAAGGCTCATTGACACAGTACGCAAGTACACAAGTACAAGTACTCGTGGGACGGCTCTCACCGCGGTGAGGTGATCAGTAGACCGGGTCCGATTGATCAATCAGCAGCAAGCGGAGCTAGGCACATGCTTGGAGATTTTTGACAAGCAACGCCATCCACTTTCACATGTCAAACACGCCGGGGAAAAACACAAGGAAAAACTACTAGGGTTCATGTACAACGGCAGCATCCACGCAACGCAACTTTTTTCCTTTTTTCTTCTTTTTTTCCAGTGTCACTGCTACTCCTCTTATATTCCTCCTCCATAATATTATATCATGTCAGTAGGAGAAAGGAGACCATCCCAAATCCTGGAGCGAGGGCAGGTGAAGAAAAGAAGCGTGTGAAATGACAGATGGAGTCAACGGTCCCAAAGCAGGGTACGAATGCGACTTCCTTGAGCAACTGCGAAGTACAAGTATTAGCTAGTTAAGCGAGGGGGAAGGTGGAACCGGCCGATGCAGGCGAAGACTTGAAGCGTTGCAAGCGCAAGAGTGCAAGTCCGAGAAAACGAGCCCTCCGCCCCGCCTGGTTCCGCCTGGTTCCGCCTTGCGCGCCCCGTTGCGCAGACGCCTTATCTCGTAGTTGTCTCTTTTTTATTTTTATTTTTAAACATATGACGCTCGTTTAGAGCTTGGGTTGTCCTCGCTCCTCGAGACTTTCTCGCCGGCCCGCTCGTATCATACGAAAAGTTAGTTGAGTGTAGGCTTTTTCACAATACAACGATCTGTCTAGCTTGGCAGCCTTTACCAAGAGCTCAAGCTACTGGGAGTGCGGTAAACACGCGAGAAGCTAGTTGCAGATTCCGACTTGATGGCGTGCAAGGGACGGGTATTCATCCCGAGTCTCTCCCTTGGCCTAGGGTCCCCGGGGTTCCTTGTTTCCGCCTGTCATCCCGTCATTGTCAGGGTACGTGCAAAACGCCTAGGCCCCCGAGTCCCGAGGAGCGTGGTGGATAGGCAATAGGCTACTCTGGCTGTAGCCTCTCGCGTCTCGGGTGAGGGGCGACTACTCGCACATGGATGTCTAACACCCTAACCTAGTCCATCGTAAGTATAGCCGTCGTAGCTTGACAGAGAAAATGTTTTATGCCAGAGATGGGGTTCCTGTCCCTTCCCACGTGAAACTATGAGTTCAAGCATGCTAAGCAACGTGGTGTTGAGAGAGAGAGATATTGAGAAGAAGTAGAAGTAGAATAAGGATGGGAAGAAGGGAAATAATGGACGCCTCAACAACGTCGGGGCCACAACTCTTCATCACGAGTTCTGCCGAGCTTAGGTGGTTGGCTATCTCCGTGCGTGGTTCCGTTAGCCTCCGACCGAGGTGAGGCGAGAACGGAACCCCACTAATCCTTCTCTCGGACTCAATTCTCTCAGGGAATCTACTTTAGACGTCTGGTACCGACATAGGTCTAACCAAGTACCCGTCAGCTAAAATGCAGGGTACGAGTAAGCAGCCAAACAAACGGGAAAACAGAGGCCAGATAAAAAGAAGAGAAAAAAAAAAGGCACGCCAGCCACAGGGTTGCGGTCGGAGAGCGTAGCGGACACCCCCGTGGACGATCTCTGATCTATGAATAATTCATCGAACCCGGGATCACATTTCAAAGCTTAATTGTCCTTGGTCTCCTTTCCCACCGATATCGTTTTTGCTGCCCGGGGCCGTGCTCCCCTCCATCCTCGGCCCTTGCCCTGCATGCGAGAATTGGTTCCCTTGGGGGTCCCCCTTTCTCTCCTCGTGTTACCCTTTTGAGCCAAGTTTCGGCACTGCTCGCGGTTCACTGCTGAAAACCCTGCTGTCGGATTCATGGAAGAGAATATGTACATGAAGTACACATTCTTAACATGGGCATGGGCATGGGTATCCCACCCACCTTCTTATCTATCCTTCCCCCTCCCTTCGCCCTAGTGCCTTGACCACTTCTTCTTTTCATGTAGCCCTCAAAAATTCCTTATCACTTTCAATTTCTACATACACGGATCTGATTCCCCAAAGACAAAAGGATCAAGATTACTTACCCCGGAGTTCTGTGAGGGGGACACATTGTACGCCGGAAAAGAACGCTTCACCCACCTAGAGTCCACCAACCTGGGCCGACTGGGCTACTAACACTTATACAGGTCTTGCAATACACCATCACACCAATACGACAGGAACTCGCTCGTCAATCCCCGCCTCTCCAAGAAACCCCAACACCAACTGGTTCCTACAAGCCAAGCGCACCATGCTCTGGTTACTTCCGTTCACGGTCCAGTCCGGCCTCGAGCGCATCCGCAACGTACATCGGGGTGTCTGGCAGCAAGGCGCCGCACCTAACAACTCCAGGATCGGCACCACCTCGCAAAGAGTCCAGGAGCTTGACTCCGAGCTCGAGGAAGAAGACGCCTCCATCGCCACCCCGCCCCTCCCTGTTCGGCGGGGCCGTCTGGGAGCGGCAGCGCGCAAGGGAAAGTCGGGAACACCAGCCCGCGAGAGCACGTATCGCGCCTTTGGAAAGAGGACGGGTCCTTCCACAGCCTACTGCAGTGGGGAGAGCACACCCGACAGCCAGTCCTCCGAGGACGTCGAGGTCGAGTACGCCATCGAGGAGCGCGAGATGGCTTCTCTGATGGAGGACGTCCGCGATGCTCTGCTGGTCCTGGATGACGCGGATAGGCTTCCCCGCTCCGCCGCTCCCTTGCAACCCCGATCCCGGCCCGTAAGCCCTGTTACAGATTCCGGTATCAAGTGGGATTCTGTCCGTCGAGGTACGTGATGCAAACTCTCCAACTCCCACTGATCTCCCCATCTTCCACTGTCATCTTACCCACGGTCGTGGCGACTAGTTTGATTAGATGGTTCCAACTTGAACTCAGCTCACTAACATCCCCAACCACCCCCGCGTTGTGTAGGACTCACCAAAATCACCGTCGCCCGCGACGAGAAAAGCCAGCCCCCTTCCTCGCGCAACCCCTCCTTTGAGCGGGCCGAGTTCATCGGCGGCCTCCGCCACCTCATCACCTCCCTCCCCTCCGACCTTACACCCTCCGAGACCTCTACACTCCGTTCCTCCCTCCCCGACTCCCTCGCTTCCTCCCTACCCTCCTCCGCATCCTCCTCCTCAGCTCGCGGCTTCCACGGCACCTCTGGCCCGACCCCCTCCCTCCTCCACCGCCTCGTCAAAACCATTGTCGCCGCCCACCTCGTCATCGTCGGCCTTCTCCTCCCCACATCCTCGCCGCCATCCACGCCGCCGCCAGGGCCGAGCGCAAGTACCACGTCGCCGGCGTCCTCATCGGCGGCGCCGTCGACATGGCCCGCTCCGCGGCCAAGCAGGTCGCCGCCATGTCCATCGTCGGCGACAGGACCGTCGGGGAGGCCGTTGCCAGTGGCGTCGCCTGGACGGTGAGCGGCGTGGCGGGCGGCGTGGCTGATGGCTTGGGAGAGGGCTTGGTCATCATTCAGGACCAGAGAAGGTTTTGACGAGGTTCGCGACGGGGAGGACGGAGTTGGAAAAGCGGAATGGGGGATATTGACGAATCCCCTAACTGGCCAGCACCTCTTGAAGAGTGGAGGCTCGTCATGCCCCGTTATCAGGGTTTTCCGAACTGAGGGCTGACGACCGAGATTGTTGTGCATTTGCGTTGACCCATTCCTTTTTGCATCTTTTCATGATTAACCAGGTTTTATCTGTCTCTTTTTCTTGCATTTTTGGGGGCATCATTTTCATTTTCCTTTTAGCATTGGCTCATGTTCTTATGAGGCGTTTGGATAGACTGGGCGGGACGCAAAGCATACACATACATATAGAAACATCTTCGCAACGCGATGAATATACACGCACAACTTGACGTACAATGTGCACCAGGGATGCCAATACACACTTGTACAAGACTTTATAGCATCTTTCTCAAACGTGATTGCAAAAAAGCCAAAAGCGCCCTTCGATTTAGTAACCCCCATCCTCCCGTTAAAATCAGTCTACACGGTATTCTATGCATTATACATGGGCCCAAAAACAAAACAACAAGCCCGAATCTAACATACATGAATGAAACATGCGTTCCAAAAGAAGAAAAAAGGAGGGAATAAAACTTCGTAGTGGGTGGGGTGGGGTGGGGTGGTGATGATGATAAGTGGTGGTGGTACATGAAATAAAACACTAAGAGAAAGTTGAGATGTTGTGTTCCGTCCAAAGTGAGAGGGCAACAAAAAAATAGTCGTTCGTCTTGGATATCCGCTTCGTGGCGAGTTCTTCCCTTGCTTTTGCGGCGCTTTCCTTCTTCTTCTTTTTTTCCAAATCGCCTCGTGCCCGTTTTTCTTTTTACCCTCTCTCCTCTCTCTCTCTTTTTGATCCCATCTACCATCTTTTCATGTATACTCGTACACTCCGGTCGACGGCCTCATGAGTCTAAAGGGTGGTTCGTTTACCACTCGGGATTGCTGGACGCGTCGCGATCCTTGAATCGGCGGCCCGAATCATTGAACCGGCGACCCGAGTCATTGAATCGGCCGCCAGACCGGGGGATCGATCTCCCACCCGGCTGCGGTTTCGGTTACGGCCGTCCCTGCCGTCCCTGCCGTCCCTGCGAGACCTGCCGTGGTCGGCGCCCTCAAACGCCTGCTGGAAGCTATCAAAGTCGCCATTGTCGCGGGGCTTTGGTCCCTTGGGGCCTGGTCCCTCGTGGGGTCGCGGGAGCGCCTGTTTCTATCACCACCAACGTTGAAGCCCCTGACCCGGCCAAAGCCCATCTTGTTCACCCACGCGGACGCGACGACGGGAGGGTTTTCCCAGCCCCACGTCACCTTGGTCCACTTGTTCATGTCATCCACAATCGCCTGAGGGTTGCCTCGCGACTGGCCAAACCTGGCCCTGTATGCGTCGGCCAGGAAGGGCTCGAAACCCTCTCGAAAGCACTGCGTACTTTCTGGAAGAGGGCAGGAGCTCAGCCTCTTCCGCGTCGGCCTCGACCTTGGCAGACTCAAGAGTATTGTCCGGGACGAGGCCGAGGTCACCGACCTTTTCCTTGGCTTCCCTAGCCTCGGCGCGCGTAACGAAGAACCAGCCCTCGCCATCCTTGTTCTGTCGGCCGGTACGGCCAAGACGGTGAATGTACTGCTCGCGGTCTACGGGGGCCGATCTGGATAACATGCGTCACATCCGGGAAGTCCATTCCTCGTGCAGTAACGTCGGTGGAAATGAGGATGCCCGACTTGGCCCGTCGGAACGAGTCGGCCGCGCGGGTACGGGCGCCTTGCTTGAGAAGGCCATGGATGTGGTAGGTGGGGGATAGCGGTGGGTATCGGCGCGGAGGCGCTTCATGGAGTGATCGACTTCAGTGGCGAGCTTCACCATGGCCGTCAGCGAGTAGTAGACGATGGCCTTGAAGGGGCGCGCGCCAGGCGTCTCTCGTGAGTTGGCAATTTCGCGATCCATGAGCTCGTAGAGGGCAGGGAAAATGTTGGCTTGAGAGGGCGCAACGACAATCTTTGGGGGATCCTCTCGTGGGTCAAAGCCTCGTCGGGGCGTATCGTCTGAACAAATTCGAACTTGTCCCGTCGGACCATGGTCTTGGCAAGGCTAACGACATTTTTGGGAATGGTTGCCGAAAACAGCAGCGTCTGTCGCTCCTTTTCTTCCATGCGGGGAAGGAGGTCTTGGATATCACGGAGGGCGTCGGAAAAGCCAACATCGAGCATTCGGTCAGCCTCATCGAGAACAAGGGCGGCAAGGTTGGGCGCATCGACGCCACTCCTCTCGTCCTCGAGGATATCCTTCAAGCGGCCGGGGGTGGCGACGAGAAGATGGCATCCCTGATTCTGGACGGCGCGAAGCATGGTATCCTTCCTTTGGCCACCAACAGCAAGGTGGACCATGAGACCAGTGTGGCGGGCAAGGGCTTTGGCCTCAACGGCAATTTGTTCGGCCAATTCGCGGGTAGGGGAAATCACGATGCCGCGGATGTCGTCGGACCGAGCCCTCTTCTTGCTCTGCCTGAAGGCGAGACTCGGGTCTTCGTCAATCATTCTTTGAAGCATAGGTAGAAGGAAAGCAATAGTCTTGCCGGTGCCGGTCCTAGCTTGAGCCACCCTAGACAGATTGTTAGTAACGCGTACACAGCAGTTGGGGAGTTTCCCGTCCCCCAAAAGTCCAACGAAAATTTTTCAACTCACAAATCGGTTCCGCGAAGACCGGCGCGCACCGTCTTCTCCTGCACATCCGTCATGTATTCGTAGCCAAGATCTTGTGTGATGGCACGGATAAGGTTGGGGTGGATGCCCTCTGCGTCTTCAAATCGCAGAGTCTTGGGGGTTTCTTGCGGCGCTTCTTCAACGACATTCTCGGGGCTTCCGCTACAGCGGGCTGCTCCTGAAGGAGTCGGGTGTGGTGAAAGGAGTTGCGGAAGATGGGTCGAATGGTGACCTGGGGGTTTGAAGGAGGCTCAAGACTCGGGGCTGAGCTCGAGCCATGGATGGCATGACAGCCGCGCACGCCCGGCGCATAGGCGCGCATGATCGGATGCTCTGGCGGAGCATCGTGAGAAGGAGATAGAGGGCAGAGAATGGCGAGGGCAAAGGTTGTTGGTTGAGGTCAAGACGAGAGGTCGATTAAGGGTTGGTTGATGGGGCGAGCTAAAAGCTCTGAGACAAGGTAAAGAAGGAGTGTACTGTTCGATATTAAAAGGGATATGAGAATAAAAAGAACAGAAGATGAATTCAAAGACAAAGTCCTAATGATTTCTCCCCTTGAAGAAAAGAGATGGGATGGTCTGATGGAACAGACTTTGTGATGCTTGGGGAGAAAAAAAAAAAGAAAGGTCGTCTGCTGCACGGGTTAAGGAAGATTGCGCAGACTCTGCATTTCCCTAATCGATTTTTTTGGTCCAGCGAATTGCCACACAGCGTCTTCACCCCGGCGAAACCACGCGACTCGCGTCCTCTTTAATTGGATGACCAATTACCTCAGCAGCGCAGCCACTCAGCAGAGGAGCTTCCTCGAATCAGAGGGAGCTGAATTATGTCACGGTTCAAACAAAGGTCAATTGTTGGATAAATCCATAGATCAGTACATGGATTGATGTAATGTTTGGATAGTAGAATGTATAAGAATGTACAGGCCTCTCCCTTCTCCAGCCATATGCTACAAGATCACCACAGCTTCAGAGCCGCGATTCTGGGGTCAAAGCATTGAGCTTCGACAAGACAAGATGTATCATTGATGAAGGAAAATTTGAAAACGGAAAGACAAGAAAACGAAGAAAAAGACCGGTATCAAACAAAGGAGCTCTTCTTTCTTCTTTTTTTTTTTTTTTTACCTTTCGTTTTTTTACCTGTTGTTGAAAAAGGGTTTGGCATCCCAAAGCATCACCCTCTCGTCCCAGCCAACGGATGCCACCCATCCTTCTCCGAACAGACACCAATCCACTCCCGTCGCAAACTCGGTGTGCCGGTTCATGAGGCCAATCTGCTTTCCTCTCAACACCGGGCTGCTGGGGTCCCTCGGATACTTGGATCCGTCCGTCCATACCCGCACCGTCATATCGTAGCTTGCCGATATCAGCACATCGCTTTCATGGGGACTCCACGCCACTCGCCTCACGGCATAACCGTGTCCCTCCATTAAAGAGACGGGTCCTCCGGTAGGGTTCCGGATGTCAAAGGTCCGCACGAGTTTGTCAACCCCTCCCGTCGCGATCAGCGAGTGGTTGTACTTGTTCCAGTCGTGTGTCAGCACCTCGCCAGGCCCGACTGCAGGTACATGGCCGGGCAAGCCTTGGGGTGGCGCATGAACCGGGACGGCAGCGGTCAAGTGGTACTTGGCCGTCACAGGCGTACGGAGGTCGAATATTCGCAGCTGCGAATCGCTCGACACAGACGAAACGAGTGCGGGGTTCGAGGGACAGAACGCCGCGCTGTATGTGCAGTTTCCTACCGGGAGCGTCGTTATCGAATTCGTCCTCGTAGGCGACCACTAATCTAGTGTTAGTAACGAGGCGAGAAAGGGCGCGGGAGCCGGGGTGGGGATCTGGTCCCTTTGCGGTCGGCACTCACAATCTTGATGGTCCCGTCCCACGAGCTGGACACGAAACTATCCTTAGTGACTGGATTCCAGGATACCGCAAACGTCTCCCTCTTGTGCTCGTGAAAATTCATAACGGAAACGCTTGCGCTACCCCAATATCGAAGAGCTTGATGGAGCCATCGCCGCACGCCGCCACTAGCTGTCTCTCGTTGATTTCTGACCATGCGATATCGTATTGCGCATCGTTCGTGTCAAATCTATAGGAGAACCAAGGAAAGGGCCCGCATTAGAAAATAGACCAAAATAAAAAATCGTAAAGATTGTTGGTCGGTTCAAGGGGGTAGAGGAGGCAATCATGTCACGCGGGAGAGGACAAGACCTACGTCTTCTACCACTATCGTCCCTTGATTTGTCAAATTCAGCACAAAAACCCTGCCATTTCCGACAATACCAAAATTCGCCGACGTCGCGACTGCGATTTTATTATCGTAGTAAGGCGAGTACTTGACCGCATAGGGATTATAACCCTGCGTCCGGAACTCGAGCATTGCCGCCATGGCTGGTTAGTCGAAGAAGCTGCCGAGGGCAGTATCGTTCTGCCCCGCGTCCAGACTCGTCGCATGCAACTCGGGCCGATCCTCGACAGAAAATCAAGGCGCAAGAGGCCCCGTTCTAAAAGAATCGCGCGCAAAATCCCGGATCACTTCGTAAAAGGGATGGCGAGGGTGTCTGGGGAGCAGGGAATAGACAAGGTTCTTCACGGGGAAAGAATGGAAGGCTGAAGATGACGAATTTGAGAAGCGGCGGTTGTTATTAGCTTCTAAGCTTGTGGTGGCAGAATCCTAGTCTGGACGGACCTCGGCAAGCTTCGCTGCGCTCGCTTTCCAAGCATCTGGAATGGACCCCTTCTCCGCGCGTAACAATTCCTGACAAGCCGCGTCCCTCTTCGTTAGTCAGCCACCAAGTGACCCCCGCCAAAAGGACAATCCAACCAAGAAGCTCTGGCTATTATTACCCCAAACAATACGGCTCTCTCAGCGACTTACAGGCATGAAGAACACCTTCATCCTTGAGCTAAAAGTACCACCCCTACATGTATAAAATGGAGTAAGAAGTGGTAAAGTAATACCCAGGGGTGACAGGGTGGACTGGCTTTGCGGGATCCTAATTTTCTTACCCGACTTGCAAATCCGTAAAGGCACCTGCACGAGGCAGTCTCCCCTCGACGAGACCCCCACGAGGAGTCGCCTGCCATCTCTGTCGAAGCATGTCCCAACGCCGACCACCTCTGGGATACCCATTGATCGGCGGTCCTCTGGGCCAGCTGAACCTGTATGCTGGCTAAGCGCCGAGGTGTGTATGGTCTACTCACAGCTTGGGTCCTCGGCGCACTGGCAGCCACCTACCTGTATTACCGGGACCGTAATGAGGCTGCCAGGGCCAATTTGACGCCATCGTCCACAACTGGTTGGAAAGGTGAACTCTATGCGGCGTTGCAACCCCTTTGGCGGCGTGGCGTTCATCCATCAACAGGATCCCGCCAGCCTGCATCGACGCTCTCGGAATTGGTACTCTTAGCAAACGGTGCTCTCTTTTCCAAACCAAGTTTGTGCTACCTCCGTCTTTCAGTCGGGATACAGGGGATCCAGTAGTTTGCTTCATCGTTCTCAGTGGAAGCCCAGGGCATCGGCGCAGGGAAGCGGTCCAAATATGTCAGCTATAAACATCCGCATCGATATCCTACAGACAATATACCATTTCGACCTGGTGTAGTCACCGGCCCGTCAGATGCGGGAGGTGCGGGAACCACTACGGAAACCATGGTACAAGGGAAGGAACCGTTTTGATAATGGTCGCGCTGTGTAACCAGCTCTAATGTTCACCGAACCTCTCCTACAGGTTCAAGTTACGGTGCAAAAGGGTAAGCCAACCAGCCACCTTGGCGGCTCACAGATATATCTTGACATCAATCAGCCCCCATTGTGGTCGGCGGCAAGCAGTGAATACGAAAAAAGCACCCTGCCCCCTGTTGAATACCAGCTCAATTTCAGTCATTCCCGAAAGGTCAAATCACGGTGATCTTCGTAGCCGGCTATTTCAAGGAAGAACGAGGCTGCGCCGTGGCGTTCCAACTTTACATGTAATCTGCTTTAAAGGGGAGGTGCCCCGGGGCATCCCGTTACCGGTGTTGTCTTTTGCGTGCTCTTTGTCTCCTTCCCGACTCTCCTGGACGGTCCTGTGCGCTTCTCGGGTGGAGAATAAATACCGTGGGCAGACTCTATAGCCTCGACAACAAGACACCATCCCCCACTAGCCGACATCTCGCGTATGCCCGACTGAAGCATTTTCTCGCGTTCGTTTTCTCAGTGCGAGGAGGACCATCTCTCGCCGTGCGCCGGAAACATGATGGCCTTGTTCGCCTTCTTCGCCCTAAACTTGCTCTGCTTCTGCCGCGCTGCAACGTCCCAGAAGAACTACTTTATTTTCCCGCCAGATGGTGGACCTGATGGTGGCACTCCGGGCGATTCGAATTACTTATTCAAACTTGGAGAGGTGGCGCATCTGGAATGGGTCGTCAACACGACTGGCCGTTTGTCGCTCACGGCGTGGCAGGGCCAACGAGATCGAAAGGCCAACTGGCACTCGACCCTACTTCTAGGTAGCACTCCACTCTTCCTTCACCCCGAGGGACGGACATCTCATAAAGCCAAGCAAGGATGAATGCCCGCTTCCAAACTGGCGCCAACCCGCTGACTCTAGAGAAACTCCGTGCACCAGATCAAGTATCCGCCCCGGTTCCCACTGAGTACGTGTGGACCGTCACTCCACTCACGTATGAGAGCAACTTTCGACTCGCACCAATCCACTTCCTTATCGAACTCGAGGATGCTCTCGGGTTTAACTCGCAGTTTGTCGAAATCCAAGAGGCAGACAAAGGGTCGGGCGTGACCCGCATGGCTGGCTCTACTCCTACCCACACCACTACTACTGAAACATCAACTTCCGGCTCCAGTACAAGCTCTAGTACGGGCTCCAGTACTGACACGAACAACACCACCGAGAAGGAACCCTTGGTATGTTTCTCGCATCCCGTACCTTCGTCTTTGTTTCCTTTCGCCTTCTTCGTGTCCTCGTCGCATGGCGGATACTGACTGCTTTGCAGGATTCATCTAGCGCGCCACCCCCTCGTCCGCCTCGGATGACAAGCTTGGGCTCAAGCTTGGTCTGGGTATCGGAATATCCATGGCATTTATTGTTGGCGGTCTAATAGGCTATCTCATGAGGCGACGGTTCCTGGCAAAGACTTCCTTGGATACCGGTAGACCGGAGCTTTATGGAGATGGGCATGATATGGCTGGGGGAAGCCGTGCCTCTCCCCTTCTCCCCTTCAACGGCATGAGGCCAGCATGTCTCCCACTCCCACTCACGAGCTATCCTAAGGCTGGGGCTCATGAAAAGCGGCTCGGTGATCAACTAATATCATCTACGGGTCATTTCCCAGACATTCAACAATAGCACACTTAGGTTCGAGGTGTGATGGGTCTGCGTGGCACTTCGGAGCGGAGAGGTTGTTTCTCTCTTGGCCTTTGACCTTCTATCATGGATTGGAATGTACGGAAGATTTAGGGAATGAGTTAAACTGGCCAAAAGAGAGTAGAAGAAGGAGATATGAGAATAGAGAGAGAGTTAAGTTTGATTGGAGTTGGAAAGGAGGTAGGTATGACGTGAGAGATGGATGAGGGAGAGGAGGTGTAATGTAACTGGACGAGGGAATATCTATGTAGGTTTTAGCGTTTATCCCGTAGGAGAGGCTTCTAATCGACGCGGATTGGGTCTTATATACCAATGTTATTTTATTCTACATCCTCAAGGTATTTCTATGAAAACGACGTGTATAATTTACAGCCTTGGATCTATCCATTGTCAGTGGATGTATATTTCATGTGTCCAATGTGAGAAATAAGTGTGAGGAACAATGCGTACAGCTCCCAAGTGCGTACCAGACTTTGTTGTCAACTTGGGCCATGGTTCAACATTGATGTTCACTGTGCTGCTGGTCACATGCTCTCGTGCCCCTAGCGTGTTCCCCCACCGTTTTGTCCCAGGATATTCACATCAAGATTCACGCTTTCCACAACGCCCCCGCGCCCTTCCAAAGACACTAGCTAGATAGAGGCGGGGTTGACGATAGGTCGTCATTTTCTACGATTAAATGTAGCTATATCTTGTATTTCCCACACGAAATTGCAGTCTTTCAAACGGTTAGGACCAAGGAGGGCTTCGCCCACGCCACGCTGCCTGCTTCTTGCCCCTCCACGGTCCCTGTTGCTGGCTCCCAACGTCATTAACGAGCCCTAATCTCTTTCCCCTCACCTCTTTAAGATACATGGAGCCATGGATGCCTTTGTTACTCGGAAGCGAAAGTCGAATTCGAAGCCCGAATTAACCGACAACGCCCACGGAAATTCTGTGGAGGATGAGCCAACCGATGTGAAACTGGCTATCCTGTCCTCTCTTCACCCGGCCATTGAGCAAGAGACGCTGCTGGACGTTCTCCTGGCCTACAATGGATCCGTGGCGGAGGCATCCGCCATTCTCAAGTCGCAGGCGCCGGTCAAAGGACCAACAGCGCGCTTGCGTACCAGCCTTCTCTCAGACACTTTGCGCAGTCTCGGGCGGAGGACGGCCAGCCCCTCGCGGCTAAGAAAAGATTGATATCGAGAAAGGGCGCTACCATGCACTTGTACGACCCCGTTGACGTCGCCGAGCATACTCCCTGTACTATCATTCACAATTTCTTGCCCACGGAAGAGGCCAACGGCCTGCTACGAGAACTCCTCGTCGAGTCGGAATCCTTTGAGAAGATATCCTTCAAGCTGTTCGAAAACGTAGTTGCCAGCCCCCACACTTCCGGCTTCTTCGTCGAGAGCTACGACGAGATGCAGGAGCAAAAAACGGCGTATCTCTACAACGGTGCTAGACTTTCCGTAAGGGTTCTACTTTGATTTCCGAAGCTTTTGTTTCCTAGCCCACTCCGCCATGCCTAGCTTTGCTAATACTTTTCTTTTCCTTCTCGGACCAAGGATGTCCGCCGGCTCACACCTCACCTGCTCACAGTGAAGCCCCTGGTCCAGGAGGCAGTGAATGGGGAAATCCAGACGCGGATACGGACCAAGTATCCGAATGGCCAGAAACTCAGGTACCAAAGTGCGAAACCGTGGGTCCCCAATGCCGCCTTTGTAAACTGTTACGACGGGCCCAAGGAGAGTGTGGGGTGGCATAGCGACCAGCTCACATATCTCGGGCCCCGCGCCGTCATCGGCTCCATCTCTCTCGGCGTATCGCGGGAGTTCCGGGTCAGGCGCGTTGTGCCAAAGGACGGAGGCAAGGACGACGAGGATAACCCGGATGCGGAAGGCCAGATCTCCATCCACCTCCCCACAACTCACTCCTCGTCATGCACGCAGAGATGCAGGAGGAGTGGAAGCACTCTGTGTCGCCCGCCCCCTCGGTCGAGCCTCATCCGATCGCGGGCAACAAGCGCATCAACATTACGTATCGCTACTACAGGGACACCATGCACCCAAAACACACCCCAAAATGCAAGTGTGGCATCCCGTGCGTCCTTCGGGTGGTCCAGAGGAAGAAGGAGAACTACGGCAAGTACTTTTGGATGTGCCATGCAGGAAATGTGCCAGGCAAGGAGTCATGCGCGTTTTTTGAATGGGCACGGTTTGACGACGACGGCGACCCATGCCGGAGGGCGAGCTGATTATCTCGGAAGAGAACGAGGGGGTTCCCGTCGAGTAACCCCTTATAGGTATTGAGCACTGGGAGAAAAAAAAAAAAAAAGGGAACCCGGTTGATCGGCGAGCCACCTTCAGACTGCGACTACCAGCCTTTGCTACCAATCCTTGTATATCTATATACAATCACGCACAAGCAAGGAGCCTTTACCCCCAATAGCCTTTCAGGGTTCGACGTAGTCACGACCGAACTTGGTGCCATCGACAATCTTGATGTCCAGGCCATCCAAGGTAAAATTGTCCAGTGCCCGAAGGTTCACGGGCTGGAGGTTATTCGCTCTCAAATAGAAAGCCTTTGCTGCTTCGCCCAAACCATCAACCTCGTCCTGGGTGAGATCCCTAAATTTGCTTCCGATAAGAACACCGCACTTTTTGCAAAAGGACTTGTTGATGATGCCCCACGAAAAGTTATAGTTCGTGATGGAATCGCCGCCTTGGACGACAACTTCTTTCAGCTCGGGGTATATCCAGTCAACACCATACTAACACGCTAGGTTAGAATACATATCGAAGAATGGGATGCACATATCGAGGTGATGGTAGGTTCTCGATTGGGGGTTCGACTTACCCTCGAGCAGCTGCTGCAGGTACATTCAACGACTCCAGCAGCCGGGCCACGGCCGACATAGTTTCCGTCGATTTTTTGCTGCGCATGACGAACGTAACGTCGCCACAGTGACAGCTACCATAGTAGTCCAGGGATCCTTCGACTTGGGCAGAAGGGTTCGGGCCCGAGTAGACCGGCGTCACCCTCTGTGGTTCAGTCTTGTCGCCGCCCGCGCTGTTTTGACATTATATGCGTCAGTCACGCACGTTTATATCGTAGCCTCCCGGTTGGGGAAGGGTTACAGAATGGAGGGCATCGGCATCGACGGCCAGAACGCGGGATTGGCAACTTACGGGATCTTTGTCAAGGCGGCGGTGTCCAAGCCCTGTATGCAACGGGCCTGTCGGGAGGTGGTGTGTTAGCGTGAGCGCGGCTCAGGTTCTTGAGTAGTAGATGCTAGAGGTCTCCCGCTGGCACTATAAAGGGAGGGTTACGTACGTTCAAGGCATACAAAAGGCCGTTGGGGGTATCACCCTTGCCGATGACAGCAACACCGCATTTGGGACAGAACTATGAATCCCTCCTATCGTCAGTAAGCATGTTCTCGCTCGCCTACTCCGATACGATAGAAAAACCAGCCACAGCAGCCGCCAATAGAAGCCCCGTACCATGTGATCAATCTTCTTATTTGCAAACTGGTACGTGGTGAGGCTTTCGAGGTCACCCTTGACAATGTTGACGGTGGCGGCTGGGGTGAAGAGCAAAAGATAGGCCTTCTTAAAGCAGATGCTGCACCCACACTCCATAACAGACTTGATCTCGGGGATAGTAGCCTCATAGACAAATGCACCGCAATGGCAGTTGCCGCGGTACGTCTTGGTTGGGGCTTGGGCGTCGGATGCCATTTTGGTGATTATCCGGTGTTGGCGTTCTAAGAGTAGCTTGCGTCCAAATGCGTGGTGGATGATGGCTAATACTCTGATTTTATCTACAAGTTGAGCAATCGATGAAACCTCGCAAAAGGTTTCTACAATATTCAAAGGGAACCGGATGAGATAGGGGAGTTGCTAAGACGAGACGCGAACAGCAAAGCCCAGGAGACCAGTAGTCGAGACGAGACATCGGTCGGCTTATAAAGACCGAAAGGTCAACCGGCAGAATCCCACCCGCCGCGCCCGCCCCTCCACCAGCGCTCTCATGCCCGCTATTTTAGGGCGGTTGAGAACCCCTCCCGCTTCACGCTTGCTTCATGGGGAAGCGGGGTCTTTGCCTCAACCTGGCTGCCATCGGGCGCTGGCCGTTTTAGGAATGGATCCGTAATCTCGCATTCTCGATAGCTTTGATCTATTATTTGATTATTGGGACCAGCCCTCAATCGTCTGGTTCAGTTCATGGGGTTGGTCTTGGTGCAAGTATCTATGTGCAAGTCTGTATCGGATCCCCGCCTTTTAGAGGCGCGAAATTCACGGAAGCCTAAAAATGTGGCGCACGGTGTTCACCCTGCGTTATGCTATGCTTGGAATCCTTGCACTCAACGATTACGGGATACGACGATTTGTTCTGCGGAGATTCAAAGGATTCAACTCGGGGCGAATGGGCTGAAGGAGCAGTCATGGTATTGACAGAACAAACTTGAAGTGCACGTTGTAGCCATCTTTGATCGGGCCTCGCTGATACCCTTCGAGTGTTGACCCCTCCCGACGCAGATTCATTCCTCCATTGCTGAGTCTCTGTCTTTCTGCAGGTACGCACAACACGTTTCCGCTTCTAATTGTTTCTACTCTCTTCCCAAAAGACTGTTTTCCGGGCCCATTTGTCATTTATCGAGCGACAACCGAGCCGCCGCCTTCGACCTCTGGCTTGTCCTTCAGCTTCGGGCACTCGCCCTTGTCGCGGTTGCGGATAATCGCACTCACGGCACGAGCACGGCAAACTGGATTAGGTCCGAACCCCGCCCGCATTTCTCGGCTTCCGGCACCCTGGCCGGGCGGACTGATACCCCGTTTCCGCACTCACCCTCGTTCTGTCATGGCACGGGCCGTTGAGCTTTGCACAAGTCTCGGTGGTGCTTGAGTACTAATGGGGCTGCGGCCTTCTGCCCGTTTATCATATATCTTGCTACTGGCCGTGGATTGGTCTAGTGTCTTTGCCATTGCCTACCAGACGCAGTGAAGTGTCGAGGTGACGCCGACTCTTATTGACAGCAACTAATCGCCTGTATTAAGGGAGACAGGTGGGATTAGTAGATATAGTCCACATACCGAGGCATATATCAAGGCTGATATTGCCATGTCCTCATTTTTCTCAGATCGTTATAAGGGGCTTGTCCCGCAATATACCCTCCATTTACGTATTACGTATTTGATGGCTGTGAATGATGATGCTGGGATGCTGGTGCCGACACATCGACTATGAGATGAGAGATTGAGATAAGGAAAAGAAAAACCCGGGATTGCTAAGCCGTATAGTACATCTACCACCAACCTAGATCTAAATGTGCGTAATCAATCAATCAACCAATATTCATTCCGGTCCGTCAAAAGTGGACCAAGCCCCCGGATACCGGATACGGGTTCGATGAAGAATGTTGAGTCGCAAGACTTGTGGTCTAGCCCGGTATTTACAGCCCTACTCTTTCCTTCTCTCACTTAGTATTCCAACTCTTTCCAGGCCCTTCATTCCGCCATCAACTCTCATCATTCTCTCCTTTACGTCTGTTCTTTTTCTTTCCCCGTTGACACGATTAGGCCGTTCTTCTCTTCGACTTCAGCCTTATATTGGGAGGTTAAGCAGTCAAAAATGTTGAATTGGCCGTCGCCCTAAAGTTGAGAGCGGGATAGCTTCTCGTTGTTGTCTTGGCCTTGGCCGGCCACCCCGCATCGGATATTAGGCGCTTACCGCATTCTAACAACGACCGTGGCGCGTTGCAAGGGGCGGGGATCGGAGGCTCGGAAGCGGGCTCGATTACCTTGCATTCATCCATCCTTGCAACTGTACCATGTACCGAAACAACGGTTGTCATCACCGCCTTCGGAAGGGAAATCTTGAAAGCTATGCGGCACTCGAGCTGTACATGTAATGAGTGCTCGATCTCGAACGCGAATTTATTCTGTAAACTCTTTCAGTAACACCACGGACTGGGCGAAGAGCTTGTATTACTAGAGAGCTTGACGGTGCTTTGCTCCCCTTTCTTCAACTTCCTTAGTCGTATTACCGAGAACCGGCATATTCCATCCTGCGCTGCTGCTCACAAATCAAATATAAGCAGCCTTTGCAACCTCGCAACAACGTATCCCTGTCATAGCTGGTGCCCGACATCTTAGCAGATAATGCGAATAACATTATGGCAAAAACAGGAGCAAGGAAGTGATGGAGCTGCGTTGCCTCCCAAAGTCCATTTTCTGTTTTGCCTTTCTACCCCATCTTCTTTCTACCCCATCTACACTAGTTGATGTGTCCATTGGATAGCTCCCTCCTTCTTTCCTTCCTTTTTCAGGCCCCGGTTGGTCGCCGGTAGGTGAGCTGGACAAGGGCCTCCGTATTGAGCCGTTATCAGATGGTGATGCCGTCGGTAATGGGCCGCTTACGGCCCGGACAGCTATCCTTTAAACGGGCAGGGTTAAATAAAAACAAGAAAGCTAAGAAGGACTGGAGGGGAAACATCCGATGCCATGGTGAAAAAGAGAAGTAGCCTTGGTTGAATCGCGCATGATACAACGGTGGACTAGGAACAACAAAGCGCGAGCACGCCGGGACCGGTAATGAACGCATCAATGCTCTTTTTCGCCGACGCCCCGGACGGAAGAATAATCCCACGGGTGATCATTGAGTCCGACGAAGAGCCCGTCGCGTTGCATCCCAAGGTTGCGTCCAGGGAGTGGGCTACTGCCCATCATCACCGAATAGGTAATTTTCATGTTCTTTTCTGGAAGGTCGCAGACGTTCCTCTCCACGCCGACTGGAGCGCAACATCGACATTGGCTCGGTGGTCGGATTTGCCCTGCGACGGGAGGGCCCTTAATATATCCTTAACCCACACGCATTCGATCTTCTTCTTCCCTCCCCGAGTGTTGCCGGCTTGGATCTTAGTTCCCTCCCCCGTGTCCACTCTTAGTCGATCAACTTGTGTGTGTTATAGACGAGAATCGTCGTATTGCCAAGCCCTCGGTCATAATGTGGGTGGCCACGACAATACCGAGGACGGCCCTGTCGTATACACACACGACGCGCCCGCCCGCCATCATATACGTGTAGAAATGAGGTCAAGACAAGGTCTTAGGGAGAGCGTTGTGCCCCTGTCTTCGGTGGAGATGGCGGGGAACTCGCCTTCGCCCACCCACCTAGCCCACCCTGATGCATCCATTGATTGATACCGGAGGCCAGAGTAAAAGAGTAGGAGCTTGTGGAGCGGACAGACGAAAAAGAGATTGATATAGTAGACCCTCCCCCTTCTCCCCTCTCCTCCGGGCCTTCCCATGCTTGCCGATTCTTTTCCCCTTCCTTTCCTCCTCGAGCCTAATCTTTAATACCATTGACGTTCATTGCTCTGGACCCCTGCTCGTTGATTCGCGAGGAGACTTACCAAGACGAGACGAAAAGGGAAATAAAAGATCGACAGAAAAGGAACAACACAAGACGCCCCCCGCCCGCGCCCCGTTCAGTCCCCAAAATCGCACAGGCATTCACAAGATGGCTCCCGTCCTCCCGACCCTCGCGGGCCTCGCTACCGCCCTTTTAGTCAGGCAAGCTGCCGCCCAATGCCAGAACCCCACCGGCCCGGGGACCGGCAGCCGCGTGTTGGCCGACGGCTACGAGGCCAAACTCCTCATCAACGGGCTCCGCGCGCCCCGCCACATGGCCATCGACCAGCAGGGAAACTTGCTCGTAGCGGAGCAAGGCGGCGGCGGTATCCGTCGCATCAGCTTTCAGGACAACGGGGTATCGATATCTGCGTCACCAGCTCGCAGACTCTCATCCCTAATAGCCAGGTGAGTCCCTCCGGTGTCCGCTTGTCGTGGTCTACCTCGCACTAGGGAAGCTCGGGTGAGCGTACCACACCCGATTGATCTACTAGGCAGAGGAAGGGGCGCCGATGTGTGAGAGAAAAAAAAAGAACTAGGCCTTAGCTAACTAAAACCGTCCCATTTCCCCGTGTCAAGCTGAACCACGGAATTGCTCTCTCCCCCTCGGCGACACTCTCTTCGCCTCCTCCGCTACCGACGTGTATCAGTACGAGTACGACGCAGCGGCTGGGACGGTGGGCCAGCCCAAGCACCTCATCACCGGCATGGTCCAGGGCGGCTACCACCAGACGCGGACCCTCGTCGTGCCCCTCAACGAGCCCAACAAGCTCATCCTCTCTCGGGGCTCCGAGGATAACGTCGACACCGCCGCGGCGCAGGAGAGCACCGGCCGCAGCATCATCAAGTTTTGGAACATTGACGAATTTACCGGCATTGCTCTGGACATGGCTAGTACCGGTACCACCCTGGGCTGGGGTCTGCGCAACAGCGTCGGCGTGGGTGAGGATCCCACCACCGGCGGCATCGTAAGCACTTTTCTCCTCCTCCTCCTGCTTCCTCTTTTTTTTTTTACCCCGTAGTCTTAACTCTAGCGAGAATGGAAAAGAGGATACTGACATCATCGACGTTGTAGTGGTCCGTCGAAAACTCCGTCGACAACATGCAGCGCCTCGGTCAGGACGTGCACAACGAGAACCCCGGCGAGGAGCTCAACTACCACGGCCTCGTCAACTCCACCGCACCCAACGAGTTCCTCGGCAAAAACTACGGTTACCCCGGGTGCTATGCCGTCTGGGAGCCGTCCCTCATCACCGGCATCGACGGCGGCGCTAAAGTCGGGATGCAGGTGACGAGCATGGAGTCGCCCGACACCCAAAACACGGACGCGTACTGCCTCGCCGAGACTGAGCCCCCGGCTCACCTTCCACTCCCACACGGCCCCTCTCGACGTCAAGTTCTTGCACGATGGCAGTGCCGCCTACGTTAGCTTTCACGGCAGCTGGAACCGGAGCCCGCCCGATGGTTATCGCCTTAGCCGCATCGACTTCAAGGATGGTCAGCCAGTTGCTCCTCGTGATAGCCGAGACGCGGCGGTCAACGTCATGTGGAACGCCAACAACAGTGCTTGTCCCGGCGGCTGCTTCCGGCCTACCGGTCTCGCAATCGATAGCGAGGGCCGCATCTTTATGAGCTCCGACTCCACGGGAGAGATCTATCTCATTGTCAAGTCGTCCTAAGAGGATGGCTGATGTAGGCAGCCACCGGCTGCTAGGTTTCACAGCATTTCTCCGTTGTTAAGGGGAGCGGAATTAGACTGGTGGAGCAGTCTTGGGCTCAATGTATATAAACCTTGCTCTGCCAAATCAGTGTATGTGGTGAGGCACGGTTCATCTTGTTTGGGGGACTCAAGGACCCGAGTCAGTAAAAGGGCAGAATAGGTGCATTTTTCTTCCTTGAATTCATAAAGAACTATCTTATTATATTTTGGTATCTTATCTCACAAAGTCCGTTTTATTTCACCTTGACGAAGTGAGTGATTGTATGCGACACTGGCTGGAAGGCTAAGGAGCGAAACCGACCGCTCCGCTTCACAGATCAGCATCAATGACCTATAGCCGAATATTCTCGTTTCTCGTTTCTCGTAAATGGATAGACTTGCATTAAATACCCAAGATATCATTGTGCTTGCCAATCATTTTCTTTTCTTTTTCAAGAGCGAGATGGAGCGCCCGCCTTGCACCAAGCAGTCTTCGGGGCCGTTCTCGGTGCTCATTCTGACAGCTGTCATCAGCTGCAACCCCGGAGGTGCTCGCCGTTTGACAGCCAACCACGGGTCGCAGCATCGCCATCTCCCGGTCGACCACTTACCTGCAGGATCAAGCGCTCCCGGGGTTGAGAGTGGGCGAGGATGTGCAGCGGGAGCCTGGGGGACAAGGACATAATGTATGCACTGTCGTACAACAGAGAGATGCAGCTTCTCCTCCGCTCCCACCCTTTCTCTCCCTCCTCTTTGCGACCATTTTCACCTCAAAATCGCAGGGCATCCAATCCCTCTCTTGTGCGTGTTTTGCGTGTGTTTTGAATCAACATTTCAGCGTCCTTCGCTTTTTGCCATTGCGAAGCCCCACGAGCGATTCCAAGACAATTGGTGTTCCCCGGTGTCCTTCGACAACACCCCTCCGCCCCTCCACCGACGAAGAGGGTGCCCAGCATACTTCACCTTTTTTTCACCTCGAGAACCTTCACTTCCAGAGGGGCCACGCGCAAGGGCTCTACGATAATCGATTGCGACGGCTTCGCAGAATAACGATTCGAACCTCCCGGCTAGGATATCACGTGCGATAAAGCGAAATCGATAGAAACCGGCCAAAAAGAAGTCAAGAGCGAAGATATAGGCAAGACAAGAGGAAAGGAACAAAGGGGAAAAAGCCAGGAGACCAGAGGCAGCAAAGTCCGACTAGGTGGCTTCACGAAACCGGGGACTTTTTTCTCACTATCCCCCCACCCCCACCTTTTTCTGCCTTCATATCCCTCGAGGCCATGCCTGCCGTCACCCTTCAGATCGCGCGACCCGCCATCGCCCTCCTTGCCGGACGAGCGACCGACGATGCGACGGGATCCGTGCCATCTTCGTACGGCGCGCAAAACTCGTCACCGCACCCGGGAGTGGTAGCGGGTATCGTGCTGGGGTCGATTGCGGGGTTCCTCATCGTCATCTTCGTCGTATACACATGCCTCAACATAGCGCCCCGGTGGGCCACGAGGGGGCGTCGACCTACATGGGGGCAGTTCCGTGCTCACGCTAGGGACGGTGGGGCGGAGGCGGCGCGGCCATGGGTCGCCGTCGTCGCGGCGGTCGCGGTCGGCAGTGCGCGTGCGGGAGACGGTCGAGGTGCGGATGCGCGATGGTGGGGAGGGTAGGCGCCACACCAGTCGGGGTCCGGGGCCCATGATTGTGGATGCGGAGCCGCCGGAGAGCGATAGCGAGATATACGTGGAGAGGCGGCGGAGGCGGACGAGGGAGGCGCCGAGGACGGTGAGCACGGTGAGCGACGACGACGAGATCGTGGTCGTGGAGGAGGACCTGCTTCCGCCGCGGAGGAGCAGTAGGCGGGCGGAGAGCAGGAGAAGTAGCGCGTACGACGAGGATAGGAGATATAGTCGGAGGGGGATTATTAACAAAACCTAGGGTGGGGGAGCTCGTGGGGGTAAGGTTGGAATGGGATCACTTTTCGAGTTGGGAGGTTGACATCGACAGGGGTGTGACTTGGGGATTGGGAATCTTGGGTGGTTTTTGTTTATACCATATCCTGCTTTGGTTTTAGGGACTTGGAGATCTTGGGGCTTTTTTTTCTCCTTCCTTGTTCTCCCGCCGGAGTTGCCTCGCCTTTTCCCCTCTGGTTGGGACAAGAGAGGCTGGGAGTTCAAGAAAGAGGAGACGCTTTTGTTTGGATACAATGGCCTTACGTGGTCAAGGTGCTGGAAGGGGAGAGTTTGCATGTCTTGTATGTTCAGGTTGTTTAGTCTCAGCTAGTTTTATGATATCAATGGGTCAATGGATGTTTAAGGAATGGCTTTGGGGAATCAGAATTAACCCCCAATTAATTGATGATATCTGGTGATGACCTTGATATGCCGGTGCCACCAAAGTCTACTGCAGCGAGCTATCCATGCTCCTACCCTACTTACATGTACACACTTCTCTATCTCCAGCCCTGATTAAATCTGGCAACGATTTCGGTTGAAACAAGCTTGGCTACGATCCACTCCGTGCCGATGGCGCTCATATACCATGGATCATTGGATACCTCACCGCCGGGCTCCCGGGGAAGAATCGGTACCGGGACCAGCTCTTGACTCTCTAGCCCTTCGTATTTCACTAATTCGGCCTCGCTGCCGCGAGAGGTTGTCCCTGCGCACCAGCCCGAGGGAGAGGGGAGAGGGGAGAGAGGAGGGGGCCACTGATTGCGTACGTGGGTGCGTTGTGCGTGCGTATATGTGTGTTTCTAGAGGATCCATGGATATCATCAGTCTGAATGCTCTCGGTCGTACACTTGAGTCTGCTTGATGAGGTGGTGGGGCATGGACACTGTGCCCTGCACCTGCCGTCTTGTCTCGCTAGTCCCGCCCTCCCGCCCTTCCGCTAACTTTGTATCAATAGGTGCTATTGATACCTCAGGTTGGTAGCCCAGAGCTCCATCAAGCAAACCGGCCTGGCTGGCCCGGCCAAGCGATCTATGACGCTTGTTTGACGCCCCAAGACTGACCGCTGCCCGTGCCAACCCATTTGCCCCGCCCTGCCCAACCTGAACCTGAACCTAAAAGTATGAGGACAAGGAATACCAAGGTAATTGGGTAACAGAGCTCATGCTTGGTACGTCTACCAGCAATGTACCTGATTGATCGTTGATCGTCCATAGCTTTCGCCTTTCACATGCAAGACTGGAGACTTTTTCAAGGTTTCGCTCAATTCAGTCTAACCCCATTCAATGGATTCACTGATGGAGTGCGTGCTCCCACCCAAGCCACCATACGAGATACAACTGCACACCATCCCTGACACGCTCCTCTCATGACTGATCTGATGGCCCAACCTTGGTGGTGTAGTTCCGAGCCTTTTCTCTCCTCTTTTTTCTCATCGTCCGTTTTTAGCAAGAAAAGAGAATCATTCTTCACGTGGCTCCCCCTCTAATCAGTTTTCTCCAAAACTAATAACCGTACGTGCATTGCCCCTGCGCCTGCATTTGACACACCCAGCCAAGCTCGCAGTTATATAAGTTGGTAAGGGCAAGCACACCAACTCGTTTACCTTAACCCATCCCTTATCTCTGTTCAACGGTCAAGTCCATATCTAGTGACCTTTTTGAGTAAAGAGACCGTACTCAGAAGATCTCAAAAGCTTGCATCGGGTTATTATATCCTTCTCCATCATGGACCATCCAGGTGAGTTACCAGTATTGGTATTCCGGGGATCAACGTTGCGCCTCCTCTCGCTCACTTGCTAAACCTCACCCCGCCTTACGTCAATCACAGTCAAGGACATCCGCTCCCTTACCAAAAGTTTGCCTTTGGCCTCCCCGAGGACCAACGCGACGCTTTCAACAATTATTTCCTCCCCGCCTCGTCTTTCGTCCACCCTCTCATCCGAGTCCCTTCTTTCACCGACGTCCAAGTCCCGTATCTCGGTACCGTAAACTCTCGCTATGTCACGAGGCTCCTCTATCGTCTGAGGGCCATGCTCCTCAGCGTCTCCGACTTCAGTATCGAATCGGCCGGTATGTTTCTCGTCAAGATCATCAACTCTTCCCGATGGAAAAGCATCCCCAGTAGCTAACCCGCACCTCTCTATCTCGGCTTATTAGTGTATGACCAAAAGACTGCCACCTTGACAGCTCACATATCAGAGAAACTTCACCCTAAATTTATCCCCTTTCACTCACCTACCGTCCATTCTACCCTCATCTTCCGCCTCTCCCAACGAACCCTCGATTCGGACGGCAATTTTCTTCCTCCCTGTGATCCTGAAAGCCCCGATGCCCAGGGCGGTCGGACTCGTCTGTTTATATCCGAGCATGAGAGGGTGATGCAACCGACCGAGGTCCTTAAAATCGCGATACCCTTGGTCGGCTCGGCTGTGTGGTCCTCCGTTCAATTCTTCATCACCCTCTGGCTCTTGCTCCTAGCGTCCGTATTTGTGCCCATCGCCCGACTAATGCCAGAAACCGTCATCAAAAATGGCGATCCCGTCGTTATCCGCAAAACAAAATGAGGGCGAAGCGGTAACCAGCCCCTACGGGAGTCACCAAAATGTTGCAATATCTTGTAAATAATATCTATTAAACTTAGGGAAGGGCCCCTTTGACGAGTTGAAATATAGCTATGTATTATTGTCCTCTTTTCATCCACCACCCTTCACATTTTTTTCCTCAGTAGTAGATTCGACTTGTGATGCGAGGCCTCTAACTTGGTTGTTTTGAAACTACCCACACTCAACATAAATGAATCAGAGAGAGAGAGAGAGAGAGAGAGAGAGAGAGAGAGAGAGAGGATACCGGCTTCGACCTCTCAGAGGCAGTCCGATCCTTAGGCCTAGTTCTTTTGGAATCACAGTAAGTGTCAGCAAACGTTTGCTCTGAACCCGCAACCCATATCCTTAGTCGGTAGGTGTCGTGATTATTTCTCTTTCAAATGAGCTTCTACGTGGAGGGGTCTCTGGAACTGGTTCCATTATATCATCACTGCATGTGCTCTCTAGTCTCCTCCCCTTTTCCGGTGCATTATTAAATCGAGGGACTGGAATGTGCGGCTCCATGGTGGTCTTCCTCGCTTCGACTTTGCTGAGGCAGAGCATGCCTACCCCGAGAATGGGCCGATGTCTGTTTCGTGGTAGAAAAACTGAAGTCCTTCCCGGAACAGCTTCCGTGCCCTCGAACCCGTCATTGTTTCGATCAAGACAAGTTCCTGCTAGTCGTTGAGGAAGAGGAGCGTCATGGGAATTCAAAATCTTGAATCCCGTTTGTCCCTTCTCCCGTTCTTTGGGGACCCTAAAGTGGCCATATTTTTCATCATCCCCTCCGTGCACATGTACATGTACCCTTTTCAATGGCCGCCTTCGTATTCTCCATACGGGTGGGCGCCTTTTGCCTGGCTTTGATTTTTGGACATCTTTCGAGCTGTTTCAGAAAGCACCGTCATTAGGTGAGCAGCACTGGAAACCATATTCCTTTCCTAACCATCTCCTGAACATACTCTTGCCTCGACCCAGCACGCCCTAGGTGGCTTGCTGATTCGGTAGGTAGGCTTTGGGAAGAGTCCCCATCTCTTTCGAAGGTGGAATCGACGAGCTTTTCAAAGCGAACCTTGCGTCGAGGCACATGAGGGGACGGACGAGAGTCATCGCTCCCCTCCGAAATGCAATCTTCTAGAGGGATCTTGACCTCTTCAAGCCTGACGACGCAAAAAGAGAGAGAGCGAGTGAAATTTTAGTCAACAGGCGGGCCTTGAATAATTTCTTCAGCTGCTTTAAAACGGAGAAGGAGGAAAGCAATGCTGTCCACGCTAACTTACGCGGTTGAGATGCAGCCAAGGCCATAGGGTCGAAGATCTAGGATTCCCGCATCTTCGACGTCGGATGAAGGATCATCACTTAAAGGAACTAGCGGGGAGCTATCGGGACGTTCTTCCGAGCTATGCTTGGTAGCTCCTTTTTCTCTATCGGACTAGGACGGAGCTGTAGGATCGGTGGTACAGTGGCCGGGATTTCCATCATGTCCTTCAATCTCGCAGCCGGGGAGGATATATGGCCAAAGTTCACCCAACTCGATTTAAAGCCAGTGCTATCTTGAACGAGAAGGGGGTCAATATACGTCAAGTAGAGCATTAGATGGGTCGTCATCTAGGGGCCTCAACGATGCCGCAAGTCCGACCTTCCCAACATCCCCATCCCGTAGAGGGATACAAGAACTGCCCAAGCTTGGGCATTTTCCTCCCAGAGGGCAGGCACTATCCAGTGTCTACATATAATGTACCATCTACGTGCCAATGAGTGGAGTCTGCCTTCCCATTTCATTTAGAGCGGAAGGGCTCTCGAGATGCAAGTCCAAGGCTAGGAAGTCGGACACTTCCGAGGTGCACTTGCGTCCCATTGGTCCTTCTCTGATTGCAAAGATAACGTTCAAATTCCTTGCAATTGATCGTTCCAAGTAGTTAACCATCGCTGCTTCTTCGCTTCTTGATATGCAGGTTCACGATTGCCCCTAATAAACACACAGGCTTTAGCGCTCAAGCGTGGGGAACAAAAGCTATTGACAAACACCACCTTCAGTTTATATGGATATTCATTTCAACTTTTTGGCGTTTTATTTCATGCTCTATTGCCTATTCCCAGTTTTGGTTCTTGCGAATATCCGCTCCTATTCCGTATCATAGACGTTGGCGGATACCTCGCCACGCCTGCCCGTGCCCACCCTACTGCTCAGCATGGCCGGCGTTCCACCTCCCCCACCTCCCAAGAGTCCCTTGGGCCGGTATCGTATCCTCTCGCCCTCCGCTTCCATACGCGTCAGTCCACTATGCCTGAGTGGAATGTGTTTTGGGTCGGGTTGGTAGGTATCGTCCTTGGGACCTATAATGCAATCATTGCCCTAACATTTATAGGGGAGGGCCTCTCAAGGGCTGGTCTCAAGAGGAATCAGAGGCTGCACTTGACTTCTACTTTGCCAATGTATGTGACCTAGCGGCACTGTATTCTATGGTCTGCACTGAGACGACTAACCATTGCCTGTTCAAGGGAGGTACGAGCGATGACGGGGTTTGTGTAAAGTTTGGCGCTTCCCTATGCTGATACGAGGGGAACAAGGCAACTTTATCGATACCGCCAACAACTATCAAGCAGAGAAGTCCGAAGAGATTATTGGAACGTGGATGAGGAAGCGAGGCATCCGTGATCAGCTTGGTAAAGACTACATGAAGGCGATATCCCTCTCCCTTTCCCACGTCCCTTGGTGTTGAAACCAGTGGTTCGCCAGGAAGACAAATCGCATACTATCCCATATTATCTTCGGTCGGTATTCTTGCCGCTGTAAGCTGACCACTCATGATGTAGTGATTGCGACTAAATACTCAACCAACTTCCGGGCCGAACACGGCGACAAGGAAATCATGATAAACTCGACCGGAAACAGCGCCAAAAGTCTGGCACTATCCGTGGACGCCAGTTTAGACAAACTGCTTACGGGTTACATTGACATTGTGAGTTCACACGTGGGCTAGTCGAAGTGAAGGGTTCGGGGCAACGCTGTCTTTACTAATCCAAGTAGCTCTATGTCCACTGGTGGGACCAATCAACCAGTTACGCCGAGCTCATGCAGTCTCTAAACTACCTTGTGACTGCTGGCAAAGTCTTGTACCTTGGGGCCAGCAACATGCCCGCCTGGGTAGTTAGGTAAGGGCCCCTAGCCTAGCCTCATTCATACCTCGACTGATATTGAGGACTTAAGCCGGGCCAACGAATACGCTCGTGCCCACGGGCTACGTCAGTTTTCCGTCTATCAAGGGCGCTGGTCCGCCGCCAGGCGCGACCTTGAACGAGAAATTGCGCCCATGGCCGAGGCTGAGGGTATGGCCGTGGTCGCTTGCGGAGTCATCTGTAGTCCGGTATTCATGAATTCGGTACAAAAATGTGATAACCGGGAACAACAACTACAGATGAACGAAAACGAAGTGCGGCTAGGAAATGTTTTGCAGGCTATTGCGGATGAGAAGAAGGTTTCTCCCGTGTGCATCGGTCTAGCCTATGTGATGCGGAAGCAACCTTACGTTTTCCCCTTGATACCCAATCCGTCGGCGGGCGCAGTGCAAGAATGCATGCGGGCGCTGATGGTGGCTCTGAGCGAGACCGATGTGGCCCGAATCGAAAAAGCCTCGCCGCTCCAGTTTGGCTTCCCTCTAGACCTCCTATCCTGGAATGGCAGAGAGGCAAGTCCTTGGCTGCCACGGGCGGGCGGACATATCGATTTTGTGCCTCAGCAGGAACCAATCATCCCCCGCTCCTAGAAGCCGCGAGAGCCGAGCTTCTAGCAGGAAGGTCATCGGGCTCAGGCCTCCCAGAAGCAGCGTGAAAAGGACACAAATCGCCATGACGGCAAATTTGCTCAAGGACGTCATGACCGCTTCCAACGCGGTCACTATCAAACCGGTCCTCGAAGACGGCCGGCCTATCGCTGGCGGACCGATGACCATTGAAGCGTAGGTGAATGACGAATGACTGTAGGGTCTAGCTCCGAGGTGCCTATCATCCTGAGATGAACGTATTATAGAATTCCCAGTGAGATTGCATAATAAAGTATCTCTATCTCTTTTTTCTTGACTCAAAGTGATGGAGAGTAAAAAGAAAAAAGAAAAGCCAGGCAGAGATGTTGCTTGATACGATTCGTCTTCTGTTCATGGATGGCACTTGAGCTCAACGTGGGGAGGAGTCGGGAGGGTCGTCCTCATGGCTATCAAGCCCACTTAAGGCGTGTCCAACTTTGAATTTGAAGGATCGAAGCCGAGACATACTGCTGTCGCGTAGTCACCGTCATGGCTAATAGACACCATGGCCGCCTGATCTGCCTTTTCGCCCCGTATGACGGCAATTGTAGGCCCCGATTCCTCTGCCTCGTTGGCAGGACGTATTGCGATTTCGTGCCACGTAAGTCTTCGGAATGGATGCGCCTTGAAGGCTGCCTCTTTCGCCGCAAACCTAGGTAAAAGAAAGAGAAGTCGTAAAGTTAGCGCCCATCATGGCCACCTGGACGACGTTTACAAAAGGAAAAAAAGGAAGAAACATAGGGCGGAGATTGACGAACCGTCCAGCCATAAACTCGGCAGCCTCGGGCCCCCACGGCCCTTCCCCGTGGTACCCCTCGCCCAGAGCTCGTCGCACGCGCGGTAGACTCCTCTCCTCGGGCGAGAGCACCCGATCGACGAAGCGCCGCCCGCGCGTCGGGTGAGCGAGGAGCGACGCGATGCGCGAGACGCGGCATATGTCGGTGCCGACGTGGATGGGTAGGGGAAAGGGCAGGAAAGGCTTGGGAGGTTTCATCTTTTTTTTTTTTTTTTTGGGGGTTCACCCCTTCTGCCTTCCTCCCACCCCCTGCGATAGTTGTCGCCTTCGCCGCTCTGGCTGCCCCAACGTTTGTTTTGTTATATCTCTTTAGGTCGATTGTAAAAATTGTCGGGCCCTTGCTCGTGGGCTTTCAGAGTCGGTTGTTGATCGAAACGCTCGGCTAACAGCGACGTCGCAAAAGTTGGGGGTTTGGTGTGTGTGTGTGTGTGTGTGTGTGTGTGCAGGCAATTGCTGGCTGGCCTTTTGGGAAAGGCGATGAAGGGACCTGGCGAGCTTTATCGATAAGATGGCCTTGACTTATCGCGATAAGCAACCGTCATAGGTAACCGTGCGTCATCATTAATCGTCATCGCCGGGCCCCACCCCGACCGACAATCGGTGTTCGGAACGGGGAGCCCCATCCCGTACCAGTCTGCTATTTCCAATAATGATGCAACGCGGAATTCTGGGACAGGTGTAATTTTATCAGGATCCTCATGGCGTATCCAATATCAAGAATGCAGACAAGAAAAAGGTAGTTTTATTAAATTATATATTTTGCCCTCTGTCCCAAGTCAAAATATACCCTCGCATGCAGTCTCGAAAACCCAAGAGAAAAGAAGATAACGGGGAACTTCAAAAACGAAAGAGAAAAAGAAGATGATATAATACTACCCATTTGATCTCGATGTGCTCTGCATCATCTTTGGGGTTTACAGGTCGCGTGCATCCTCAATGCAGTAACACATTGTAAGCTTGTCATGAACTTCTGCTCAAGCCAACGCGCGCGCACGCGGACGTTGTCGTACAGCATGTGATATAGGCCTTGAAAGCCTAGGATTACAGTCCGAAACTTAGAACCGCTCTTCGTCCCAGAAGATAGGGCGGAATGTGTTATACTGTGGCCAGTATAACACACACTCGCCTAGACTTAAGAAGTGAGTCCTCCGGGTTAATTCTCGTCGTTAAGAAGAGGGGCACGTTCCTGGTCAACGGGAATGGTCGTCTCACGGCGAGCCCAAGCGCGACTAGCGACAGCGCTGCTGCTGACGAAGAGAGTGGCCATGCTGACAAAGGCAAAGATCCACTGGAGAGCGATGACCTGGTGGAAAAACTGCCCGACGCCGAGGGCGGCAGAAAGAATGCTGAGAGCGAAGCCGATGGTATAGTCCTATGAGGAGGGGGGACGGTTAGTATTGTGGGTTGTGGCAACTACTAAAAGGAGAAAAAGAGGGATGGGACAATACCTTGAAGATAAGGAGGCAGAAGTGGCCGAACACCGGGATGGACCAGATGAAGATGTTGGCAAAGACCCTTCCAAGGAAGTGGTCAGGGTGGTGCACCGCAAGAGCACCGTTCCAGTATAGGGCTACAAAGGCCCAAGCGAGAGGAGCAGAGGCAACGGGAACGTGGATGAGGAGCGGGGCGGTTCGGTGGAGGAAGTAAAGGTTCAGCAAGTTGAAGAAGTTGATGACCTGGATTACTTCGGCCCAGATGAAGCGGGAACGGATGAAGAGCATGATGAAAGCGAAGTGGAGAATGTTGTTCAGAATAAAGTGGCTGCCAACATTGGCGGCGGCGGTGACGCGGGCAGCATCGTTGGAGAAGAGCTGCGAGACATAGCCAACTTGCAATAGGAAGACGAGAACCCTATATGCGGTGACGGGTCAGCGAAAAACGAAAATAATTGTGAAAGAGTGAATGGCTGTAGGGCCAAGCTTACCAGTAGATGCTAGCAATAATGGGGTTCAGGGTAAAGCCGGTTGGGTAGAGTTCGTTGATGTCCCATATTCTCCTCCTAATGGTGAAGCCATCGCGAGGTTCGTCGACAGTGTAGTAGACGGATGTAAGAACGGCCAGCAACCAGGTCAGAAGGGTGAGGACCTTGTAGGTGGTGACGGATTGCGCGGTATGATTTTCGCGCTTGGCAAAAGGGTTCCCTGTAGTCAGGCAAACGGAGGCATGGTTATTAGCTATCAAAGAGAAGAGAGGGCTGGAGAATGCTAGGTGTGCACATACAGGCGCTGTATTGCGGCATGGTGTCGGTCGGGGCTTGGGTCAAGAATAACAAAAAGCTCCAGGGATTATGTTATTTTGGATTCGGTGGCTGTCGGAAGGGGTGGTCAGACGGGGAAAATCGCTAATTAATAGAGCCTTGTCGGCAGTCTCGGCGTGGAGTGAATGGTATTTCTCCGAATAAGAATGTTGTGCGACTCTTATTTCCAGAATACACAGAATCGCGTACGTGCTGGGACCGAAAGAGAGGTTGGTGGGAAGCTTTCAAAAGTGAGGAGGGGAAGAGAGAGAGAGGCGGGAAGGGTACCAAGGCGGATGTCTTGGAGGTTTTAAAGAGACGAGGGTTTCGAGATGGACGATCGGGCAATTTTGATGTAATGGGTGGGTGTGACCTCGACGCTACACCTCGAGCTACTTCTTTATTGTCGATTACGTGCACGCTCTCGTCCCTGTTAAAGAGCGGCAGCGATCCATCCATGATGCGTCGATGGGAGGGACTGTGATGGATCGGAAATGTATGTGGAGTATGAGGGGCGTAATCTATGACGGAAGGCATGGCGGGACAAAAGGCAGTCGAGGTCGCCCCCAGACTCGCAACTGCGTGTTGATGCGGTGGTTGAGAGGCTAATTGATCATTATGGTGGGAAGGGAAAGGGCGGGGGCGAGCTTGAGCTTGAATTGGGCACAGCTTTGGGGAACGGGTACAAGGGTTGTACAAGGCCATGGCCAGGCCAGGCGTGGCCCCTCAGGTATCAATTGGCTCCCACATAGGCTCTCGCCGGCACAGCACGAGACTTGAGCCAGAACAGCTCCACGAGCCAGACAAGACCAGACCAGACGAGGGGCCTAGCGTAAAAACAACAACATGAGCCAGAGCCTGCAGGATGGGTACACGAGGACTACACTGGGACAAACTGGGAACACATGGTCACCGGTAGCTTTTCGACCTCTCATGTCTCGGGATTTTTCACCATGGGGTGGATCGGTGCACCGCATGCTTTGACTGTTTTGACTTCCATCAGGTTTCCTCACCCAGCTCTGGTCTTAACCCACCCTCAATATAACTGTAGTTGGCCACATTTGCGGGGAAAAAGGATTCAGGAGTCTAGGTTCTCACCCACACGAACGCATACGCACGCTTCCCGGATTTTTTGGGGGCCCTCTCCTCCTTTCCGTTGGTTTCCTTGTCTCATTTTGGCTCTCCTTGCTGCTCTCAGAGAGGACGAGGTGGAGGGGGAGGGAAGGAGAAGGGGAGGGCGGAGCGGCCTGCTTGGCAAAACGGCTGACAAAGGCCATTGCTCGTGTACGACTTGATACGATACGATTGATCCATCTCATGTGCTCGACTCCCGACCCTTAGTTGAGAAGCCCGGCATGGCATGCCGGGCTTCTCAACAAGGAGCAGGGGATCTGCTGTTCCAAGCTAGGAGCTCTCGGCATCAATCAATTTCGACCGTTATTAGGACTTTAGGCGCCGGGGGCAAGTGGAAGGGTAGGCGAGAACAAGGAAGCGGAGGCGGGTAGTGGCGCAATTGGCGGCTTTCAGGGATCGTCCTGTACGCGGCTCCCAACTCGGACGCTGCACGACTGGACTGACCAGCTCAAAAACCTTGGTCTGGGGGAACTGGAGACTTCAAGTGTTGTATGTGTACCGTACCCTGGCAAGCCTGGGGTGGGAAGTGTGCGTGCTTCACCTGACCCCCACAACACTCCCCTCGCTGGACACAACTTGACAGCGTCTGGCTGGAAAGTTGAACAATGACAAGTTCCCCAAGCGAGGCGACTCGGTTTTTAGCTTGAACCTCTATGTACCATGAGACGTAAGAACGCGGCACGACCTCTCGAGTCCTACGAGGCCGTGTTACTTTGTTCTTCATTTCTTCTTTGTCTTTTGTCTTTCTTTCTTTTTCCTTTTTCCTCACCCCCTCCTCCTCTCTTGCCGGACATGGAGACTTCGGAAAGCGAGCGACGAGATGCAGCGAAACAACTACCGAGGCATACCCTCCTACAATGGAAATGCTTGGACTCGGCGACCTTGCTCGAGGTGGACAAAATTACAAAGGCGATGAAGAAAGGGACAAAGAGGACCACCTCCGCCCCCACAGCACAGCGGATTAGTTCAACGGCATATAATCTACAAGAGAGAGAAAGACCCCAAGCAAACTGAGCGACAGCATATCACCCCGGAGATGCAGAGGTGGAGATGCAAAGATGGGAGGGTGTACGAGTCCGTTTGGCTAGTCATGGAAGTACACACACTTGACAAGCTGTAAACATACTCTGGGGGCCCGAGCAAGGGTACGTTCATCATGTGGCCGGCCTGTGTGACCCACGGGGCCAGATGTTCGAGGTGACTTCCTCGGAAGGGCGGGCCAGATTATCGCGGGGTCCGTTAGTCAGGCCGCCGCGTCTACTTTGGCTATTACCGTGCAGGAGGGTGCAATGTTGCGAGAAGCAAGACGATCAGCTTCGACGCAAAAAGAAATTTCTTGGCCCTTTACCAATAATTCCATCTCACATCTACTACACAATGGACGCAAAAGCGAGAGGATAGCACAAGAGCAGTAATCCAACGGTGGCCCAAGACCTCCCGAGACCTCCCGAGGGAATGAGGGCGAGAGATGGTTCGAATCTGGAAGTGGATGCATCCGTGACTAATAATGCAGCCGAATTAATTTGTGTTCTACCTAGGAGTAGAGGTCGCGATTTCCAGAGTCTTGGCCGCTCTTGCACAGAGAGCTCTTGGTGATTAAGCTCTCTCGTGTATCGTAGACAATGGAATTGGGCTCAAGATTCAACCAAAGGAGTGTGCAGCCTTCAGCAGGTGGCCACCCAAAGAAGCTTTTCCATCTCCCATGTATTTCAGGCATCCATCAATTGGATCTGGGTCTCTTCAACCTCGGGACCGGGAAAATGTGAGACCAATCCCTCTGCAAGCGACCTCGTTTTACTTTTTACTTTTGTTTCCTCCCCCTTTCCCTTCTTTCTTCCTGTTCTGGCTCGCCGGCGCACGTCGTCGTCATTTGTCAAACGCCCTGCAGCTCCCAAGCTTGATGGAGATGCTTTCGTTGGTCGTCGACTGATTCGAGGCAGAAGCACCCCGGTGCTTTTGGTGACAGGGCCTACATATCAGAGCAACTGTGATGCATTGGCTCAAGGAACGGTACATGCACTCCGATAACCTTCAACCCAGGAGGGCAGGAGGGTTATCTCGATAATGCAGCACCGGTCGGGTTTCCGTGACACGATGCGTGTCTCTCTTCCTCTCTCTCTCTCGCTACATCCCTAAAGCGGATTTTTGACTGCGTCCCGTTTCCTGGGTTCGGGGAACAGCAGCTAGACAAACTTGTACGAGGAGGGGTGCCACGAGAGTAATTACTACTTTGGTTTTTCTCTTTGGCCCAGGGCGCGTCTAAGCACAGCACGCATAGAAGGCATGGACATCTCGCCGCACATGCGAAATTGACGTCCTCACAAAATCAGGTAAGCAATAGCAATGATGCTCACCCGCGGGCCCTTCTTCTATGTTGCAACATTGCAGCCTTATCCTTAAGGGGAGTACGGTGTCTCGACAGCCACTAAGGCAAGAGGATGGGGGACCAATCTTCTAGTCGGATCTAATCTCGAAACCCTCGAGATTGTCTCATGTGCCCTGAACGTTCAAGGGGATGCGCGCAACAGCTAGAAAGGACACGGGGAAGGGGAAGCGAGATGGGGGAGATGGGGTATGGCGGGGGTATCGAAGACGGTTGGCGTTGGTGTTAGGCAGGGCTGGGCTTGGGCTGGGTGTGCGAGCTGTCTTCAACGTGCGCTCCTCGTCTTTGCAGGTTCGAATGTCACCACTTCCCCGCCTACATACCGAGGTAGCTCGCCTCGCTTGGGTAAGCAGAGCTTCGCCTTGCGCCTTGGGCTACGCTTCGGTCGCTTCGGTTTTATGGTGGACGATTGGGCTGCGTTCGACCAGCAAGGCCTCCAACTGTTCCCCAACGACCAGACAACTGCTTTACCCAACTAGGGCCGCGAACCACCCCATGTACCAATGGCAGCACACCTCAGCAACCTTCAAATGCTTGCCAACGAGGGTGGGGGATACAATCAACACCCTCGATGACAGGGAGACGGAGACATCCCGTTATCTACTACCCATCACTGGCGTGGGGTAGCTCACCTCTTGCTGAGCCGAGCCTTGTCTCCAAAAGAAGCACCCACACCCCGGGGCCGCACCGCACACCAGCATATCCCATAACACCTCACAAGGAGGTGCGGGTTGCCCCCGATTGCTCGCCTACTAATTCCAAAATTTTAGTGTTTTCGGACCGACCATTTGACAATCCATCGAATTCTGTTGCAGAGGAAGACTTTGTAATTTTCCCCCTCGAGGAGAAAAGGAGAAAGGGCCTCCTTGGTAGTATCTCAAACCACCCCCGGCCCCTCGGCGTTGCTCCTTGTCTTTACCTCTTCTTATCGTGCTTCGCCGGTGAGCTAGCCAAGCAATGTATGGATGCTTTCCGCAATCTGTCGTTCGCGTCGCCGCCAAAGCCTTGCCTATCTTTTTCGTGCAGGCCCCCCACTGTTCTCTATATAATAAGCCTTTCTCGCCCCTTCCACTAGACTGCGGCCTACACGTCACGGGCTGTCGAATCCTACACCTGTCCTACGATACCGCCAGCCCCTTCGCTGTTTTGAGAAAGGCGCGATCCGGTTTCAATACTCCGGCACAGAGTACAGGGCTTCTCCCGAATCCCTCGTGTCTGCCGGCCTCTTGGGACTTTGGAAACCGCTCGCTATCACATGGTCGGCCCCTCAACTTCTCAGCAGCTACGCAGCCTCTAGTTTGCCATATCATAAGCATGTCCCGATCTAAGATCACGCGAGCCTCGCCCGCGCCTCGAAGAGGAAAAACCAGCCGCGAATCCCTAATGAGTTTTGGGAAAAGCATCTATGGACGGCGTGTCAGCTCTACGCCCGTGTGACCGTGGACGAGGTTGTGGAAATCGCTCAAAAGGAGTGGGGATCCTCTGCCAAGTAAGGCTCCAAGTCCCCCGTCCCCTCTCCTCATTCTCCTCCAGCGGCTGCCCCCAGGGGCTAAATTACCCTGCGCTGACGAAAAGAGTGCAATCCGAGTACAGCCGCCGCCAGTTTACCCATCGATTCAATTCGATAAAAGTTTACAAGAACCACGGCACCAAAGGTTCCAAGCGCAGCACCGATCAGCAACTCTGTCCTGCCGATTTCCACCTTGCGATATCGGATTACCCCGAGGCTTTCAACATCTACTTTAAGCAGCTCGGTAAATGCACTTTACCAAAGCACTTCCTAGGTCTCTTGATCAACTGCGCGAGGAGCTGCGATCTCGAGCCGGATGCCCACAAGCTGCAAGAGCTCATCGCAAAATATATCATGGATTCCGGCCCGAACCCAGACGAAGAAACCTCCCGATTCATCTCTGCCCTACACCTACTGGACGGGTACATTGACAAGAAGATGGGCCGCTCTTCTCAAATCTTCGCTGAGAAGATGGATAGAGGGCTCCGCGGCCTGCTGGACGACCAAGGCTGCTTGAGGTTGCCGGAAACCCTCTCTGCCGTAGTTGAGGTGCCTGTCCTTATCCTGTTGAGCCTCGGAGTTGGCATCCACGAGGATAGGGCGGAGGCTGGGACCTTGGATATGGATCTCGAGTCTGTCGATTATTTCAGCGGCGATCGCGGGACCTTTGGCCATGAATGGGAGGACTACGGGGAGGATGGCTCTGCCATGTTCACGGCGTTCGCGGCGACACGGACCGTATTTGACAAGGGCAAGATTCACCAAATGCTAGCAGGGAAACTAAACCGCGCGCAAGAGCTTGCGTGCGAGGATGCCATAGTGAAATGTGTCGACTGGGCCATCAAGAAGCTCTCCGAGGCTCCCAGTGAGATGATTCCCGAGCATCTTAATCTCCTGTATGAGTCTCTGGCTGCTGCGCAGGACGGCAAGGACTCTACGTCGAAGACGTGGACCTGCTTCATCTACCTCTACTGCTTCCTATATATGCGATATTATGAGGAATTCAGTGGCAAACCCTGCGATTGGTCCAACCACGCTTTCAAGTACTGCGGCATCAGCACGCCCGTCCTCATCCACATCCTGGGGTCCCTGGTTATGCAAGCCCCGGACAATGCCCCGGCGCACGATCAAGGCCTGGAATCGGCCTTTGGGTCGCGCGAGAGCCTCTTCACCTTCCTCTGTGACCGGGCCAAGGCTTTCAGGCAGGAGGAAAGGCCCTTTCTCCACTTCTTGGACGAGTACCAGTACCTCATCACTCACATTTACACGCCCCAAGAACGCGACTATATGCAGTGCGTTTTTAAGCACACCAGGTCCTTTGGGCGGTCGTTGGGGTTGACAGTCGCAGGCATGGAAGTCTCAGACCCAGACATTGAACTCGAAGAATAATGGATATGATTGTGAATAACGATTAATGATACGCAGGAAACGATGTTTTTTGTTCATGGAGAGTTGTGTGACCAAACTATGGGGCCATTTCTTTTTCTTTTCCTCTTCTTTCTTTGTTTGCTGTTCTCTTTTTGTCCTTTTCTTTTTCTATCTCTCTCTCTTTCGTTCTTTCTTTCTCAAAGCCTTTCCTTAGATTGTTTGCTTCCTTCTCTTCCAAAAGGGTGGCGACACCGCGCTGGTAAATAGGACAGCTAGAACCGAAGAGTTATCATTGTTATCAATCGAGCATCCACTGACTGCCCTTGCGCTCTCCATACTTGTCGTTCAGTGAACCTATTAGATATCTATAACCTTCCAACCCCGCCAAGTTCCAGGCATCTAGATCCGTTGATCGACCAGACTTAGACGGTGGGATTGGTGGCTGGCAGCACATATGAACAACGAACAACGGCAACGCTAGTCACACTCTCTTCATGGGCGTTTATGTGTTTGCGGTGGGTTTGGTAAAAGAAGAAGTCAATACATACAAGTAATTACAATTGCTACAAAATGAATGGTGTGCAGTGCACTATGCTTCCATGCCCATCCCATGTTCTCGCCTGGTCCATGTGTAAAAATCTAATGTGGCCAATTCCTAGTCTGCCCGCACCTCGCTTACAGTCTCGTCGAGTTTGTTTGTACATGGGGGAGAGAAGAGAAATAATGATAATGACAAAAACAAGAATAGAAAAACAAAAGAAAAAGGAGGAAAACAAATTACATTTGTGAGATGGGCGTGGTCAAGGCTTGTCGGGGATGTCTGCCTCCGACCTATGCCATCAACTTCTCCTGATCATCCAACCTATCCGTGACCTTCTTCACATTCTCAATCATTGACTGACCCAACCCCACAAGCAAGAGTTTCTCAGCATTAGCTGGCAGGCCGAGATATGTCGGTGGTTCTCTCTCAGGCAGCTTGTGGATCCATTCCATGTAGTCAGGTAGCGAGGTCCCTTCGGGCACTACAAGGTTGGTATCGGCATCCTCTACAAGTTTGTGGCCCGAGTCATAAGCTAGCGGTGTCAATAGCTTGCGGACGAGGTCGATCAGCAGGTGGTAGTCTTCCTCGTTATCTATCTTGCCGCCATAGGTCTCGACAACGAGGTGATGTATCATCTCCCAGGGAATGTTTTGCGGAGCGATATTAGTACGGTTTTGCGCGACCGCCTCGACCCATGTGTCGATGATGAAAGCCGAGCACTCATACTATAGTACAGCCAGGAGGGTTAGCAAATTAGGCGTTTAAAAGAACGAAGAAAGTGTTTATGGTGGAGGAGGGGAGAAAACCTACATCGCTATCGTTGAATTCCCAAAATGCCTTCCAGCCCAGGGTAGGCGCATACCGCAGCCGCTCTTGGATGACGGCATGTAGGAACGACAGGAGTAGGTACAACCTGGTCCTCTCCACGGGGCTCTTGGTGGCACGTGTAGATAGAGACGACAGTGAGTCCTTCATATTGGCACGCACACCGGCGGGCTGCTCGTACATGAGCACACGGCTGGCTCGTAGCAAGTTGACGGGGATCTTGGGGCTGGATTCCATTGAAAGGAACAGTCGGAATTGCGAGTGGGGGTTTAGGCTTTCCATCCGCTTCTCGAGGCTTTGGAGCCATGTTGGTGCGAGGTGAACGTTCTTCACCAGGACCCATGAGCCGGTTTGGGCAGCGTTGGCGATGGCCTTGTCCGCTCCAGAGAGGCCTTCGTTGGAACCCATGGCGATATTGGTGCAGCGGATATTCATGCGCTCAACGAGGCTATCTACCTTGTAGCTGGCGTCGAATCCGGGGCTCGAGACGAGAGCGATGGGTCGGGTGGCGGGAACCTCGGCCACTGTTTCCTTGAGGTCTTCCACAATGTCGAAAAGCTCGGGGCCAAAAACGCCCGCCACAAATCTCTCGGCCGCCGGGATAAAGCGATCAAGACGGAAAAGCTTGACGAGGAGAAGCGACTGGAGCGTTTTCTGAGATGGGTCGGCATTGTCGGTCCAGATACGAGGGACGAAGTTCTCTGCAATCTCCTCGGTGAAGAATCTGTCCCAGTCGGCTACGGGAGCATTGTCTAGGATGTCCTTGAGCGCCGTCATGCGTCGGGCCTTGTTCATGGCGTCCTCCTTGGCGTCCGGATTGCTCGAGATGTCTTGGCCTTCGACCCGATCACTTATGATCTCCTCCAGCAACGCCTTATCCATGTGGATTGGCGAGGCGTGGACCAGGAGCATGGCCAAGGTGACTCGGTCCTTTTGGAGTACGCCAAGAGCTGTGCGTCGGAACGTGTTGACAAAGAGGTCCTTGACGATGATGTCGCGGCGCGCGTCGTAATCCGTGACCCCGGCGAGGCTCTTGTTGTTATGGAGGACGGCCTCAAAGATATCGAGGAAGTACTGGAGAGAGAACTGGTAAAAGTGGTTGAGATAGTGCAGCTGCTCGAGGACGGCAAACACGGCGCTGCAAGACTTGGCGATGACGCCGTATTGTTGAGTGATCTCCTCGACCTCCGTCATGACGCCCTCTGTGTTCTTCATCTTGGCTGAGATCTCCGCGGCTTCCGTCTTCAAAGTCTCCAGAGTCTCGATGACATTGTCGTCATCCAAAATGTTACCGCGAGATTCGTTGAGGGCTTGGAGCAGGCGCTTCTCGAGCTGGCGAAGATGGATCTTGAACTCGCCCTGCAACTTGATGAGGTTGGACCTACGCTCGTCGACATCCGGCCGCTCGGACTTGAGAACTTGATTGAGAGACTGGGTTTGCAAGCTGCTCTGGGTGACGGTGAAGTTGACAAACGTCGTTCGGCTGCAGATGTCTGGCGCAAACGTCGCCGACGGGTCTCGAGTGGCGAGGTAGAGCTTGAACGCCGGCGAAAAGTCAATCTGCTGCTTTCCGAGTTGAATGAGAACACGACCGCCCGTCTTCTGGTACTCCTTGTTGAGAACATGATTAAGGATCGGGTCGAGGTGTTCCGCGTCTTGGATTAGGATCGGGTTGCCGAATCGAAGGGCGCTCTCGAGCTGTTTGGTGAAGGAATCGTCCAAGAAGCTAGTGACGGTCAAGCGACGCGACTTGCACTCCTTCTGAAGGAATTCGGTAACGCGGCCAGACGGGTCGATGATGAGCGGGTATCTATTGAAGCGCTTCAGGATAATGGCATTCTCCGTGCACAGGTCATCCACGGGCAAGGTATTTTGCTGCCAGTTGAGCCGCTCGTCCGCCGTGGAGAGGTACTCCGTCATGGGATTATGCGCCTTGTAGAGAACGCCAGAGAGGTGCAGCTGGTGGAGCCAGTCGTCGAGCATCGACTTTCGGAACGTCTGATCGTAGAGGCCGCTGTAGGCCAGGAACGCCGCCGCAATCAAGACGTCGCCCACCAGAGTGCTGATTTGAGTCTCGAAAGACTTGCTACCCTCCTCCCAGCGGGTTCTCTCTGACGAGAGACTGTCAAGCAACTTGACGCTTCTGTCCACCTTGGACTGCACCCTCAACATTTCAGCCTTGATGGCCTCGGTCTCGGCGATCAGGGTGGCGTACTCGGCCTTGTACGTGGCGATTCGGCCTTCCAGGCTGTCAATTGTCTGCTCCACCGCCTTGGCTTCGGCCTGGGTCTGGAGGGCCTGATCCTCGAGCTGGGCAACCTCGTCGCGAAGAGGACCCACCCTGTCGAGAATCTCGGCATAGTTGACCTGAGCCGACACCCACTGCACGAGCGGCCCACAGGCCTTGGAGGCGCGGTTGACCTTTTCGAATGTGAAATCGGGGAGCTCATGTAATCGTTGCGCATCTTGAGCCGAAGCGACCTCGTCAGCTTCTCCTCATTGTTGAAGTTGATGATGCTTGCAATGAAGTCGTCTTTCCGCACAATGGCCTGGATTGACTTCCAGTCGGTAATTTTGTTGCCGAGGAGCGCGCAGACCGCCTCCAGTGCGAGGCGTACGCCCTGCGGCGGCGAGCTCATGGAACGCACTTCGGTAAGGTGCTGTCTTTTAATGTTGCTAACACTAGCCTTGGCTTCTTCAACGGCAGGCTCGGCCTTGGCTAGATCCTCGAGGACGATCTGCTTCCGCGAAGTCACCTCCCTTTCCTGGATATCGAGGACCCTCTGGAGCTCGAGCGAGGCTGTCTTGCGCTGCTCAGCTTCCTGCTGATCAGCAAGCATACGCTTCAGCTTTTCATCCGCCTCCGCGCCCTTGCGGTCAAGCTGGGCCGACTTCTCCGCGAGGCTGACACGAAGATCGCGCACTTTGTCCACAGTATCCTTGAGCTTTTCCAATCCAGCATTAAGATGGCGCTGCTGCTCCTCGAGATCTTCGCGTTTTTCGTTGTAGAGCTTGACGTATTGGGCAACGAAGTCGAGGAAGTGGCGCGGGGTGAGATACGTGATACGGCCCTGCTGCTTTAGGAGTTTGTCATTGAAGCGCTGAAGCGAGTAGTGGATGTAAACCATGGCATTGACAACAGCTTCACGGTGAGAGGGAGGCAACGAGAGAGCACGGTAAGCCACAGGGATCGTATCGGGGGCCAAGTAATTGTGACGATCCAAATCAACCGATTGGGTAAGCTCATGGCCAACCTGGAACAGGGCCTGGTCAGACCAGTCGCCGAACCAGTTGAGCACACAACGGTTGAACAAGGCAGGACTCGTCGCCGCCTTGGACGAGAGCCCATCTTCGGGAGGATTCATGGTAAAGACGACGTGGAGGTTCTTGACGATTTGCTGCGTAAACCACTTGTGAAGCTCTTCCGGAGAGTCTAGGTGTAAGTTCTGTCGCTGAGCACCTTCCTTGCAGGCCGTCATGAGGGCGGCGTAATCGTCTCCCTCAAACAGACCCGGAACTTCAGCGTTGGCGAGAAGGGTATTCATGCGCTCCAGGAAGCCAGAGTCGAGGACGTTGGATTCATCCATGATGAAGCAAATCTTCTCGCCCTTGCAGCCGGCACGCCGTAGCACGTCTCGAAGATCGTCGTCAAAGTCCTCTGCAGTATACTTGCCATGAACCTTGATCTGGAACACCTTCAGACCATTCATCCAGGCCACGAAGCGCGACAGCGTCGTCTTTCCACTGCCACTGACACCAATCAAGATGAGATGGCCTTGCGGCTGTCTGAACACACGATCAATGCGGAGGACATGTTCGAGCACATCGTTGAAGAGGATGAGGGGCACGTCAACCTCTTCTTCACAGAACGTCCGCAACCTGGCCTTGACAAAGTCTCGAAGCTGTTCACGATCGACAGGCACGTAGTTTCGAGATAGCCAGTTCGAAAAGAGAATGGGCCCGCCTAGAGCCTTCTCCTCATCAATCGTTGGGAACAGTTCGAGAGCAATCCGGCGAACAGCTTCATCAGTCCACTGGCGTTCGTCTTCCGCGACAAGACGATCCTGGAAAAGACGGAGGGCTTCATGGGCCCAGATGCGGACGAGACCCTCGAGAGTCAGGGTCTCAAGGGGCTTGATAGCTTCATACACGCCACGGACCCATCGAGTAAGCTCACGAGGACTGTATACATAGTGCGGCTGGATCTTGGGCGTGAACCGCTGCTGCGACTGGAGATAGAATTTGACCATGGCTTGGGTAAGAGCATCGGCGTAGCCGCGAAGGGTGGGGATGATTTTGAGCACAGCCGAGTTGAACGTGCCGTAGATTTGAGTAAGCGAGAGCTCTCCCGGATAATCAACCATGATTAAGGGGGCGTGTCTCAGGAACCTCGCGCCCAGGGGCGTACGGCCAGCGTCCGTTGGAGGGTTGCATGCTCCCACAAACTGGATCCGGTCAAGCGTGACCCATGACTTATCCGAGGCCCTCCAGAAACCATTGTGCTCAACGAGTTGTCGCAGGAATGAGATGGCACGTTGAGTGCCGTATTTGTCGGGAGCGGGAAGGTTGATTTCGTCGCAGAAAATGACCAACCACCGCCCAATCTGTCTGGGAGAGAGCATGACGCCATTCAACGTTTTCTTGTACTCGCAATGCTGCTCAAACGTTTTGATGAGGAGATCCGGGGTAGTGGCGCTCGAGAAGTTCAAGCCCACCACCTCCATGTTAGGAAGCTTGCGCAGGGCGCTGAAGAGCGTCATCGTCTTACCGGAACCGGGAGGGCCGCAAAGCAAGAGAGGTTTATGTTCAGCCAACCAGGAGTAGAGAACATCCTCGTGACGAATGGTGTCGAGTGTAGGAATGACAACGTCGGTCTGAGTGATGGAGTGGGTGTTAACCTCCACACTCGGGACCTGGGCTTGCCAAGAGGTCCATTCTGCCTGGGGCAGGGTAACATCGAAGTCGATCAACGAGCTCGAACCATCAACGGGAGGATCCAAAGTGCGCGATGCCGCAAAGCTTGTCGCCAAACAACTTCCGCTCGCCTAGAGGGCAGTCACCCGTCAACGACCAGACAAGGGCGAGAAGAAGCTTCTTTGCGAGATAGCTTTCCAACTGTTCGGGATCGAGGGGAAGTCGGTGTGCTGCGCGTTGTACTCGATAACGTCGCGAACGGCCTTATTTAGAAGCGAGAAGAGGGTATTGAGAACACGAGCAATCGTGAAATCCATAATGTGGGTGTAATCCTCAGCCTCTTTGAGTGCGGCAAGGATAAAGTCGTCTTTGGCGAGGAAGGCTTTGAGCACATCTGCTGCCTGAGCCTGGATTGCAAGGGTCTTGGCCGGGTTCTGGCCAGTACCGACGGCATCTTCGTCAAGGTCTTCAAAGGCGAGTGTTCGCAGCTTTTCAAGATAATTGGTAACCATCATGTTTGGCGACACAATATCCTCGTTGAACCAAACCATACCGCAACGACTGACAGTCGCAAGTGTCGCATATTTGAGATTCTCCACCTCGAACATGATGCGAACGTTGGGGGAGATTGAGACGTTCTCCGTTGGGTAGCGTTAGAAGCTTGTTATCGTCGAGGACACTGTTCAGGTTCTCGACCCATTCCGGGTCTACATCACCGTCGAAAACGATCCAGTGCCTCTTGGTGTCCTCTCCACGGAGGTTGTCCACAATCTTACGAAGAATGCTTGTGAACAGACCATCGGTCCACTCACGCGTGGTCGAGTCTAGGTTGCCATACAGGGCCTCCTTAGACATGACCTTGGAGTCAATGACATGGGAGATACCTTCAACGTCTTCGACGACCCGAAGGGCATCGAGCAAGAGCCGCCAGGCACCTGATTTGCCGCTTCCTGAGTTTCCAACCATCATGACACCGTGGTGGATCTGCTGGATCTGGTACAGCTGGATAACCTTGGTCATCCACGCATCGCTGACAACCATCTGTCGTTCGCTAGCAAGCGTGCGTATGGCATTTTCGAGCTTCTCAAGATTGGCCGGTACGTATTGGATACCTGGGAAACAGACCTCCTCGATTGAGGCCATGAGGTTGACATCGTCTCGGATAAGTTTGGGCGCAATAGTCTCGCGAATGCTCTGAACAATAATCTCTGGCTCAAAAGTGGCAGAGTTCATAGCGTCGCGCTCCCCACCAGAAAGTCTCGCCCGCTTCAGGCCACCAGAGCTGACGAGAACGCTTTTGAGTGCACGGAGACCAAAGTCGTAATGAGCCTGTTTTGATAGCTTGAGAGAGCATTGGTCGAAGAAAGGAACAGTTTGTTTGGAAAGCTGCTTGGCTTGGTTGAAACCCTGAGAGTACAGCATGACCTCGGCGATCAATTCCTTGTCGGGCTTCGACATGGCGACGCTTCGGAATAGCTTCTTCAAATTGTCTGGGAGATTGGATCGGCCAGCATAGCCCGGGTTCATAGTGATGAAGATGCCAGTGTTTTGACTAACGTGAAGTTGTCGGCCAACAAGCTCAATCTGGGCCTTGTCGTCCTCGGCGCCCTGCTTGAGGCCCAGCTGTATGTTTTGGATTTGCTGCGATACCGCAGACAGAATCCTCTCTTCCAAACGGTTGAACTCGTCAAAGCAGCCCCATGCACCAACCTGACATATACCGAGGAAGATGCGACCCATTGCTTGGAAGTCAAAGGTGTCGTCGCAACAGAAGACGAGGGTAAACCGTCCAAGCTGAATACCGAGGGCCTTGACAGACTCGGTCTTTCCGGTTCCAGCGGGTCCGTAGGGGAGCCACCAAGGCGCTGGCAGAGTGCTTGGGTAAGTGTGCTGAAGCAGCGATCCGTAAGAGGAGTCCGCACAAGACGATCAGGAACACCCAGATACTCAAAACCGTAATCAAGCTTTGCGTTGGCCACCTTGATGTGAAGCCGTTGCAGATACTCCCCATCTGTAGTATAGACGTATCGCATCTGAAGGAGCCACAGGTAGTGTTTTTCATGAGTAGCACCGGCCTTGATTAATTTCTCGATCACGTCGCGTTGATGGACGCACTCGGTAATGAGCTGCTCGCACTTTTTCCGGTCAATCACGTCGAGATCACCCAGGACGGTGTTGGCGAGGTATCGAAGAATGCCAACCTCACGATCATATAGAGACTGAAGCGTTTTGCCCCCGTTACAAGGGATTGCTCAACGGCTGTTGTCCATACAGCCTGCGTCGCCAACACCACAATTTGACTCGGATATTCGCTCATGTACGCGTCAAACGCCGCAGCGTCAAGCGTCTCGGCCTCGAAAACTGGGGTATACGACTCAATCGCCTCGGCAAGGAGATGAGCAAGGGTGGATTTCATGCCGTTCTCGAGGAGGGTCAACCAGTCGTTGATACGCGGGGTTTTAGCAAGCGAGATTTCCTTCTTGAGCTGAACGACCTCTCCTTCTTTCGAGGTGAATCCAGTGATGATCGAGTTGTCATCATCCATTGTCAAACCAGAGATACCAGCAAACATCTTCTTGAAGTGTTTAGCGATGCGCAAAGTATCATTGCTGTTGCCGATCATCTCGAGCAGGTCCTCGTCACCAACGAAGTAGAAACGGGGAATGATAGCCGCTCCTTTTCGAGATATTCTCCTAGGGCCTTTTGAATCTTGTTGAGGAGCTCCGCCAATCGCTCTAGAGACTTTTGGACGTTGGGAATAGTAAGAACTTCCAAGACATAGGGTTGCTTGTAAACCTTCTTCATCACGGCCAAGAACTCGCTGTTGATGTTCTGGAAGCGCCCTGATTCGATAGGGAGGAGGTGTTTAATATCGGCATTCCCCGTAAAGACGCCCTCGAGATAGATCCATTGGCGTTGGACGTCAATCCAGATATCGAAGAGCACATGCAATCGGTTCAGTTTGTCTTCCCATGCCGTCGCGTCTTCTTCGAATTCTTTGTAATACGGCGAGTGTTTCATGGCCTGGAGGAGTTGAGGTTTTCGCTACACTTAGTGAAAAGGTCGTCCCATCCACGAATGAGACGGCACTTGTTGTGATAGTTGACAAGGTCCAGTGCGTAATTAGCCCAAGTCTCTCGGACTTGCCGGATGTATTCCTCCAACGCCATCTCGCCTTGAGCCTGAGCGATGATGTCCTTGACAATGACCTCGGTAGCAACGAGGTTGAGATCCCAGACATCCCCTAGGGTCATGGAGACGGGGAGTAGCGCTTTCCAGGGCGAAGTTGTTTGAATATCTTAGTCCAATGACGATCTCGGATAGCATCGGACTTGAGGTCAGAGAGGATAGAGTTGACCTTCAACAGGCCACGAAGAATCTTTTGGACGTGTTCAAAGGCAGCGTACTGACGCATTCTGCTCGGCATATCCTTGGTGCTCTTGATAAGGTCATCAATCTTGCCACGAATCTTTCGAGGCTGAACAGCGGTCCACAAGGTTTCCCTCGTGTCATTCAGACTGGCCCAGATAGTGGAGAGATTAGCCCAGACGGATTGGAAATCTTGGACCTCTTCCATGATCGCATCGAGCGCTGAATCAGGGCTGGGAGGAAGGTCGAGAGCTTCCTTGGCCTTTGCAACCATTTGGGAGTGCTCCTGGAGGGTCGTGATACGACCCTCAAACTGCGTCAGGGTAGCAGAGGCGACATCGGGAGGAATTGTGCCGGAAACAGGCTTCTCTTCGTTCCATTGGGCAGCAATCTCCGCGATCCGCTCGCTCACGAGCTTGTCTTCGGCTGTAATCTTCGCGCGAAGGGCATCGGTCTGATCGTTGACAATCTTGGATTTCTTCTCCAACATCTCGTTAATGGCATCCCATTCACTCTCGATCTGGGCGATATCGATCCAGTCATGAGGGAACTGGTAACGTTGTCGCACCAATGTGGACTGGCCCTGGCGGAACATGTCGATTTCTGGGGCCCAAGACTTTACATTCCTCCGGCAAGCCTGAACCGCCGTGATAAACTTGACGGCCTTATCTGTAGAGGCGGATTCGAGGGTCTGGGGCTCAAGATCCCGACGCGTCTTGTCCATGTCTGCGTATACATCGCGCATCCTAGTCCCGAGACGGCTCGCAAACTTCAGCAGGATATCGTGTTGCCACTGATCATACTTGGTATTGACTCGTGTTTGAACCTGCTCGTAGTCAATAGTGATGTGGCCAAAGGACTGGCTCACTTCCTGGGTATCGAAAGTTTGCCGCGTCTTGCGGATATCCTGGAGTAGCTGAAGCCAGCTTGACAGCTTCTCGCCGATGGCTTCATACACTTGTTCAGACTGCAGATCCCAGAGCGATTGAAACTGTAACCACTTATCAACATAAGCATTAATATCTCGTAGCTTGGTCTCCATTGCGACGTAGACCCTAGAAAGCGCATCGGCGCATTCCATGGGCAGATCCGTGAAGCGGGCATCATCGTTTTTGGCGGCGAGAGCCATCTGGTATCTGGTGGCCTTGAGCTTTGGCAGGTTGCAAACAACACCAAGCCAATCGTGAAGGTGAAGGAACCATCCGGCTCGCGCATGCTCAAGGGGAGGCTCGAGATAGATGACCTGGTTGCGCATAGCCAGCTCGTGAACTAGACGTGGCATGACAGGGGCGGTCTTGTACTGTTCAGCAGTCTCAATTGCAAGCTTCCGCCCCCATCCTCGACGTAATCGTCTTCAAAAGCACCAATCCAGGCCTGGATCGCATGCTGTAGCCGAGCCAAGAGAACCTCCTTCAGCTTCTCGTTCATTCCCTCAACCCAAAAGTTCAAGTTGACGTACTGTTCCAGGTTCAATTGATCGACAGCAGCCTGGATGGTCTCGAGACGAGATTGGAATTCTTCAGTTGTGTAGTCGCAAGTTGCAATCTCCGCCAGGGCTTTCTCAACAGTCGCATGAATGGACACCAGTGCCATAGTCTTGGTCTGAAGGAGGGAAATAGCGGCGACGAACTCCCGGATGAACATCCCGTGCTTGCTCTCGCCAGTTTTGGCAATGCCCAAATCGGTCAGCGAGTGATTGGCTCTATTGGCATTGAAGAATACATCGTATGCGGTGACAAAAGATTCCCACTTTAGAGGCACACCCTTTTTGATGAGGCTGAAGCCGTCATTGCAATATCCATTGAGGAGCACAGCCTCTTCGCCCATTTGCGAGATCTGGCGCATCGTCTGGGAGAAAGTCCGGACACCTTCCATCAGACTAACCGCATAGGGGTATACCCTCTTCGCATCTTTGGATACTGAACTGATGGTATGGGGAACAGAGTAATTGAGCCAAGCGAGATTTCGGGTCTCCTTGAAGAGGGTGATGACTTGGGAGTCAAAGTTGACGGTGAGCTCCAGGGTATTTGAGGATCGAACTTTGTTGACGGTGAAGAGGTAGCCCGAAATAGAAATCTTCCTTCTCTTAACCTCGCGCGCCCATGCGTCGAAGATAGGGCGAGTGTCTAGCTTGGACCTAAAGAGATTGCTCTCATGAAGCAGTTTCTGGCCCTCCGAATGGACCTTCCACTCCTCACCGAGGACATGCTCGACCTTCTTCATGTAGCCATCAAGTTGAAATTCGATTTGACGCGCCCAGATGATGGCGCCCGAGACGGGGGCAAATCGCGCAGTTGGGCCATGGCGTGGGCTTCGGAATGAGCGTACTGCTGCTTGTATCGCTCATGGAGGCCGTTGATAGCTTGTTTGACATGGTCAAGGAGCTGATGCTGGTATTCGGCAATGGCGCCCTTGATCTTGGGTCGCACAAAAGGGCGTTGAACTTGGAAAAGACGCGAAACATCTCATTGGCATTCTTGGCAGTGCCAAGACGATCGCGAAGACGGGTAATGATGGAGTTTTCTACTCGCGTTGTCCGCTCGTTGTAAACATTCTCGGCCCTTGCCCACCTCTCCGTGCCTTGGGGGACACATCCAAAAGGTCAACATTCCTAAGCGCTTCCCAGGCTTGCTTGACTTCCTCCACGGCATCGACGTCGCCCATCTCCTCGATGACGACAGCACCAGTGGGGTCAGCGGTGTCCACGACGCCGTCAACAGAGGCCCTGGGGCCTAGTACGTTGACGATGGTTCGTTGCAACTGCTCGTGGTTGTCCCTAAAGGTGCTGACATACTTGAGTCGACCCTCGAGTTCCGAGTGTTTCTTGTTGACCTTGATAGGGATGAACTTGTCGTTTCGGCGACGAGTAACCTCACGCGCTACGTTGGTGAACTCCTTGATGCTCTCTTCCCAGGCCTGGAAAATGGAATCGCAAGCCTTCATAACAGCTTGGAATTCGGGATATTCGAGCTCGACAAGTCCGGATCCCGGAAGAAGGCGGTGAAGGACCTCATCGAGGTCTCCAGAGATAGCCTCAACTAGGGGCAGCGCTCGCCTGATGGGGTAGGGACAGATTTTTAATTTCTTGTTCAAATGAGCAAAGATTTGAACAAGGGCATCTTGAACCTTGGGCAGAGAGGTAGCGGAGAGAAGCTCGTCCAAGGGGAAGTCCCGCATAAGCTGGTTGTACTTCTGCACTTTCTCCATGGCCTCTTTCAGACCGGTGTCGGCAGTGAAACTGACAGTGGCTTGGAAACGCTTTGCTTGCTTGAGAACCCCCAGGGTGAGGAGGACACCATCGCTCTCCAACTGAGCCTCTATCGCTTCGAGGGCGGACTCCATCGAAAGCCAAAAGTTGATTTCTTGGCTAGCAGTGAACTTGAGCTCCTGGCTAGGGCCCGATGAGGAGTCCCTCGTCATTTTAGTTACACCTTGAATCGATTTGATCCAGCTGTTCACGTTGGCCTGGAGGTTATTCAAAATGGAACTATCCTGCAAGATTGTAGCCGGGATGAGGTCCAAAGTAGGCTTTGCTCGTTCGAGGGAGGCGGATTCGAGAGCGGACTGCACGACAGGGTGAAAGGTCAAAGACACTTGAGGGATCTCGACATTTTCTTGGAGATGGAGCAAGCTCAGCTCCAAATCGTTCCAGCGCTTTTTGGTAATCGGTATGCCGGTTTTAGAATCAACATCGGCACGACCCCTATTTCCGTTCACTAGTTGAGTCTTGGTATTGGCATCGAAGTAGGGCACCAGGGCGTTATGGATAAAGGATTGAAGGATTTCGTAGGGCGAAGTCGAGGGACCCTGCTCCCCAATGCTGGCATTCAACGTCGCCGGCCCAGGCAAATTGGTGATTAGAATCTGCGTTGTCAGGGGAGGGCGGGATCGAGGGGTTGAGCCCGTTTTAACAGGACGAGCGAGGAGACGGTGGTCGGAAGAGATGACATATCGGTGGTGAGTGTGTATGAGTGGGAAGGAGGTTCTGCTTAAGACGCGTTAGCAAGAGATGGCCCTAAAAGAGGAAGTGCGCAACCGCATCCAAGACTGCATCGAGGCGTCGGAATGACAACTCGGCGTTACAGGAAGTCACTGACTAGATTCATCCGGGGATGCCCCAAGGGGCGATGAGGCGGTGATATCCTTCTGGATGTAGAGATATTGCTGCGTGTCCGCGGCAAAGCGGCCGCACCTTTGAATCGTGTCATTGATGCGGCTCTTGTGAAGAAGACTGCCAGGACTTTCCAACTCGTCCCTCGTCGCGCCGAGCGTGCCGGCGATGACAGCGACAAGGTGGTCGACAAGCTGGTTCGGGTCGATGGCGGGAAAGAGGGCGAGCCCACGCCGTTGGTGGCTGGACTCAAAGGTGAAGGCGACACCTCCATCTTGGATGGTGGCTATCGTCCTATCGGCGAAGAAAAGCAGAGAAGAAGGATCCGTTGAAACTCAGAGTCCGAAATCTAGACCATCGCAAAAAAAAAAAAAAAAAAGGAGAAAAAAGAAGCCAAGGACAGGCGTAAAAGACTAGCGCAGGGGGTATTTGTCTATTGCACAAACAACTCGCAAGAGAATTAATAAAGCAAAGGGGAGAAATAAAAGGCGAAGGAAGGACGAAAGAGAAGTTCGCGAGGCGTAGAATCGAGAGTCAGGATGCACAAGCCGAGAAATCGAGACCGGTCGGGCGTGAAGATCGTCGTCGGAAGGTTGACTCGAAGCAGCAGTGTCGGGGCAGGTTGAGATTATTAGAGGATATCGAAAGGTCTACTGAGGTAGTCGGGCACGTATCAAAAGTGGGCTTGTCGTGTCGTGTCCACGCAGACCAGTTCGCGCGGGGGTACCGTTTAATCTTCGACGTCGCGTCAAGTGATGGTCATTCAGCCCTTCGGATGTCGAGATCACGAACGGGAAGTCGAAGGCAAGTGTCGTGTCGAAAAAGGAGGAAATAAGATCAAGGAGGTTTAGTTGGAAAGAGACTCCCGAAATTTCTCCTTTGTCACCCAAGGTTACTTTGTGGTTCAAGTGCTCCTTCCAAAGCTTTTTGTTCTGCTTCGCTCTACAAGCCAAGGACGCGATCCAAGAGAGATACCCCTGCGCGACGGCATGCGTCTGGAAGGGGGCTTGAAAAACTATTACGAAAGAGGAAATTTGGCAGAGGTGGATTAATCTTATTACGGAGCCCGTGACGGTTTGCACTCTCAGGGGCAAGCGGCCACTGGTGGTGGAGGGTGTAACCAGCTTAGCTTGCGTGGGCCGCTCCGCCCTATCACCACCCACGTTCAACGCGGAAGGTGTATGTTCAAGGTTCCATCTGCACCAATCCGCACACTGTATCGAGTAGGTCTTGCACCATTTCGCCAGGTAAACCTCGTGTGCATGTGCAAGTACCCCTTTCCCTTCTTGGGTGCCTAACAGTACGGACTTGGACCAGCGTCGGACAGAGATGCGGAACCGTTTGGCACTCCCGTTTTTAGCGCTGTTCGTTGTTTCCAGCCAGAACGCCAAATATTATCGATTGCTTGCCTTGGGGCCCCCGCCTTGGTCTCCAAATTAGTCTTGGATGGAATGAATGGATAATTGCTTCTGTTCAAACGGCTTTGGCGAGAAAACGGGAGTTTCGACACTAGCTCGAGGTTATTGGCTCAACAGCAATCACTGTTTGACCAGCCTCCCCCGTCCCAGGAATCTTCATCCACGCTTTCATTCTCTCATCCTCATCCCCCGGCAGAAAGAGCCAGTCTTGATGAAACGCGGCGGGATCAACACGACCGAGTAGTTCATCCTCATCCAACGGGCGTTGATCATTCTCTGTAGAAAATGGAAATGGCGGTCGTCGCAATTGTTCGCCCTTGGCACTTGCAACTACACGCAGCTCCAGGTTCGGAGTGACTGTGATGCATAAATATATATTCTAGGGACACCGATGACATCAAAATCGCACCCCCGAGAACCATCTTTCAGCTGCGCATCGTGAACATGTAGTACCGAGGTAGTGTAGACAGACTTCAAAGCTTTCGAGGCATCTCACTTCGCCAGAGGCTGAAGCCAGAGACTGAAGCCAGAGACTAGAGTGACAATGGTCCAATGCATTCCCCAACAAAGCCACAAAAGATCGACAATTACCCAGCAAGATCAGACAAGATTCCTGAAAATTATCCCCGCCAAATGGTTGGCCATGACTCGTCATTCCGCCCAAGATGACCAATTCAAAGATCCGGAAGCCCAGACATCGAAACACGCCGACCCAAATTTTGCTTAAAAGAAGAAAAAAAATTAGGATAGTTGCGCGTCTGGGAGAAGGCATCTATTGATAGCTTGGAAAGAGCCAGCAGCTAACCTTGCCAGAACTCCAGCTCTCTCCTTGGTGTGCAGTCGATGCAATAACCCCACATACCGAGGTCATAATCTTCCTTGGCAGAAGGGAGCGGAGAGAGATCGGACGAGAAGAGAAAAAAATGCAAGTAGCAGGGGAGGAAAAAGAATTCTCTAAGCTCTGAAGCTTACATTCCCAGGCCTGGGGAGGAGCGATACTACATAATTCACCGTTGCAAATTATATCAGATCGAGCATCATAGTTTAAGTAGTGCTGTATAATAAGTTGTTCTAAGGCCCATTTTTGCTCCCCTACGCTTTCATTACGAACATCAAAATGCATGATCCCAAAAGAAACTACCAGAAAAATAGATACCAAAGCCATATGCCATCCCCGAATTTCCAAAAGGCAGATATGTGCCCCGTGGTACACAAAAAAAGAGACTCTAAGAGCCCTGCAAAATCTCCGGAAAGTCCGGGCTCCAAGGTTGAAGACGAGGGACCTGTCCCGATAGAAGCTTGCTAAAACCGTGCCGAGCGACGCCATGATCGAGTAAAGAATAGAGATGCAGGACAGAATATGGGGAAGAGGGGGAATATGAGGCAGAACGGCCTCGCCAAAAAGAAGAACCGAAAAAAACAAGAACCCCTAAAAGGGCAGTGTTGGAGAGCATGTGCAAGGCGACACGAAGAGAGGCGCAAGGCCGCTCCTTGTGTCATATTACTTGGCGCCTGCTCCACGGACACCACCATCCTCGGCAAGTCTTTCCCTCTGCACCATGACCCGCTGGTTGCAAATGTCAATAAACATTTCAAACTTTTCAATCACCTTGTCTTTCTCGGCAATGGTGGCCTTCAGAGCTTCTACTTCTTTCTTGCTATCTTCCTTGAGCTTGTCGAGCTCCTCTCGCGTCTTAGCCAATTCCCGTCGGAGATCTGCTCGAATGCGCTCCTCGGCGGTCGGGTGGGGCTTGCTGTATATAGCAGGGCGATTCTCGGCCAACCCTGTGGCAATCTTCTGGGGATTTCGGTTGATCGCTGCCCTGGCGTTGTATATATCTCTCGGGAGAAGGGGCACGTGAGGATTCTCGGTTTGCAGGATCTCGAGCGTCTGGCTAACGCCGACACCTGGGCCTGGTCAGACACAAAAGTGTTAACAGAGATATGCATCAGGGGCGGAGACGTACCGTTTTCTTTTAGTGATTTGACTGCAGCGACCATCTTGCTGTCAAGCTTGCGGGCCGCAGGGTGGTGCAGCGGGCTCTCGCTCGGCCCGTGGTTATGCCTCAGGTGCTGCGGGTCTGGACGGTAGCGAATAGTCCATTGGGTGCGCTGTTCGATGGCAAAGAAGCCAAAGGGGCAATCGCACTTGCGAGAGGATGTTTTGCGCTTTCGTGCCTCTGGACTCACGCGGCTCGGTGGCTTGCCAGCGCGGTCACAGACGAAAAGGACCTTCTTGAGACCCGGGACAGTCTTTTTCGATCGGCCAATGACAATCGCGTAGCCAACAGATGTGCAGTATTGGAGCACGCTCTTGTGCACCGCTTCCAACGTAGGGTAGCTACCACCCTCGGGAGGAGCAGACATCATCTCCCCCATGGGTTGGCGGGGGACGAAGGGGTGTTGTCTCCGAGCTTGGAGTCACCACCATTGTCGTCTTCGCCATTGTCGGCGTGGCTCTCTGGTTCCATCGACTCCGGAGCATGCTGTTCCTGAGGCTGTACTGGGGACTCGGGAGGCTGTGACTTGACAGCTGGCTTCGCCTGAACTTGCGGCTGAGGCTGAGGTTGAGGGGTATTGTCGGCGTCGGGGTCTGCTGCGCGGAACGCGCTTGATGGGCCTGGTGCGCCTGGTGTGCTTGGTGAGCTGCTGCTTGTTGGTGAGCCGCTGCTTGCTGAGCCGCTGCCGCCTGCTGGGCTGCCGCCGCCTGCTGGGCCGCTGCTTGTTGGGCCGCCTGGTGTGCCTGGTGTGCTTGATGCGCTTGGTGGGCGACTTGGTGGGCTTGGTGGGCCGCTTGGTGGCTCAGGTGTCCCTGGTGTGCCGCTTGATGGGCCTGATGGGCAGCGGCTTGATGCTGCTGTGTCTGGTGCGCCGCGTGTGTTTGCTGGGACTGGTGAGGCGCGTGGCTTTGATGGGAATGGGTTGAGTGCTGAAGAGACTGGTGAGTCTGATGGGGTTGATGGGTTTGATGTGCCTGATGGCTCTGATGGGACATGATGGTATCGTTGTGCATCGGCTGGCTCATCGGCTGATGGCCGTACATCATTGAGGGTGTTTGCTGTCGCGACGGGGCCGCCCTTTGCCTCGCCTGGACAACCGCGTTGGGCACATGGCTTTGAGGCCCTCGGTTCGGAGCGTTGCCAACATTTCCGTTGACGGCGGCTTGGTTGAAGAGATGATGTCCGTAGGCACTCTGCTGGGACTGTTGAGGAGCGTACGCCTGCTGCTGGTAAGGGGAGGCAGCATGGGGCACTGGAGAAGCCTTATTCTGGGGAGGAGCGTGAGGGGTTGAAAGGCAGCAGAACGCCGGATGCCCACCTGGGGAAGGTCAGGCCAGGATGGGTGCCGGATCCCGACTGCCCCAGGGCCGACATGATGAGGGCGACGATGACTTGGAAGCTGGGGGCCGGGGAGGCGGGAGTCTTGGATCTTGGGAGGCAGACAAAGGCAACAAAGACGATGATGGAAAATAACTGCTTGTCGCTTTAAGGTTTCGTAATCCTAGTGATGGTGATGATGGACTTGCAGTGCGTTGTGACCGTACAGGAAACCCTCGGGGGTGAATACAGAGTAATGAAATGGGGGAGGGTGTGGACCGCTGGGGTGTGGGTTGATGTGGGCTTGGGCTCCCAGGTTGTTTTTTCTCTGGTTTTTGTGGGAGGTGTCGAGAAAAGGGAAGGGGAAGGGGGAACCATGGAGGGTGGAGGGAGTGAAGAGGGAAAGTTTCGGGTTGGGCTGGTGTGGGAAAGTGCTGGGACCCCAAGATCCCGACCGGCTGCCTGACAATAACGCTGGGTCAGAAGGCGAGATGGCCAATCAACGCCCCTCAAGCTAGCCTATTTCGGGCTGGAGGCGAGATGGCTTGAACAGGCCAGTTTGCCTTGGCTGGGTTTCGGGGTCGCCCATTGGCTGAGAACTTGTACTGTGTACCTATGCCTCGCCACAAGACCACTTTTGTTTGGGTGCAAATCTCTCACAAAACTTCATAACATCGCCAATCAGCGCGTCGATGTCGTGTAGAGAATACAGACCGGACACTGAGACATGTTTGAAGGGTCCTCCTTGCACAGTCCCGTCAAGCACATGCCAGGTCAACAGGACAACACTGAACGGGGTGGTGCCTTTTTATCCTCCACCTACGAAGTACGATGTATTCTCACCAGTTGATTGTTAACAGAAATATATATATATATATATATCTCTCTCTCTAGGGGGTAGTGGAGGAGATGGGGGATGAGCAGTCGGGACTTTCATTGCAATCGACCATTTGACGGACAATCACTTGAGCTTCCAAACCGATGTCTTTGAGTCCGAAGGATTAATGGTCTTGAAGTACATCGTGGGGATGCAGTCATACAGGACACGCCTCACCCACCACCTCCTCACCCTGGCCCACAGTGTCCTAACTCAATATTAACTGTCTTCATACTTGCCGTCCCCGATTTATTAGCGTATTGACACCACCTTTGTACTGCAAAACGATGAAGGGCAGATTGCGGGTCCTGAAATCCTCCACGCCACAGGAGAGAACTTGAAGTCTCACTATCAGTAAACCCACGTGACCTCGCGTTCAAGCTGAGGCGGCCCGCCTCAGCGCTCCGCCGCGATCCAGCCAAGCCAGCAGCATATCAACGAAATTGAATGAGTTCGTCGAGGCGAAGCAAAGGTGAAAAAAAAATCTTGAAGATGCAGGAAATAGCTCACCAATCAATCGCCGCCCACAGTAGACAGGTGGAGAGCGGGTCCCTGCTCATACTATTTGAAAAGTGTATATGCCTTTATTTGATGCAAAGGCTATGAAGAAGAGCTAACATGTCAAAATATATCCGTATATATCGTGGTATATATAAGTGGCATCAACACTAACACCTAGAACGCCTATTTTCCCGATAGCTCCCGGCTATCTCCTGGTATCATGAAACAAAGACGTAATCCCAACCCCGGAAACCCGGGATTTCAAACAAAGAGAAGAATGAAAGGAATGAAGAATACAAGGTGACTAAAATGTGGCAGATATCTGTCCTGGGCCGAACGATTAGAGAGTAGCGGGGACGGGCGACAAGAGGCGATGTGACTATTAGTCCATCTTCTTTCGCTTAGTTGGTCGTTTGTTCCCTTCCTCTCCTTCAACAAAATGGTTCTTGTCCAGTTGGTGTTGCCGGAGATTGTCCGGTCGATTCTTATACTGGCTGGTGCATCCCGGATACGGACACTTGTAGATTCGGGGAGGCTCCTGGGAGTGTTGTAGCTTCTTATGTTTAGCCATGCTACCTTTGAACCATTGCGGATCTCCCTTTGGTCGATAGCCGCAGATGTCACAACAAGCGTCCGCTTCGATCTTCTGGGACTCGCAAGAAGATTCTGAGGAGATGCCGCCATTTTGTACTACGCAGTCCAGTAAAGGCTCCGATGGGGACGACATGCTGCTCTGGGAGGTGCCCTTCGTAGAAGCTACTGTTGAACCCTGGAGAGGAGACTCGATATCTGATGAAACACCGGATAGGAGGGCAGCGTCCTCTTTGTCAAAAATAAATTGGGTGTCGAGCGAATCTAACATGTAGCCGAGGTCATGAGATGCTTGGGGGATGCAGACGTGAAAGCAGACTCCACCAACCGGATGGCGTGCAGGTAGTAAATGGCGCGAGGAGCGGACCCCAGCGAAGTATCGGCGTAGAGAGCGTCAAAATGACGTCGCACAAACGGGGAGTATTCCTTCAAGAAGGTTGCGGGCGGTAACGAGTGCTATAGCAGAGTTAGCGGCTGGAAGATCCCATCGATGGGCGGCTAGAAGGCCAAGAAAAGCCTCTCACTTACACTAGCAGCCTGGAGAAGCTCCAGCTCCGCCCTTCGAACCGTCGCGATCTGTCCCTCCAGGAGGAGGTTATTGACAGATAAAAGAGTAGCAGACAGCCCGGGTACATGGACGAACTTTTGGCGCACAGCGTTGACAGTCAAGCCAACTGATATTGAAAAGGTCGGATCATTAACCCTAGAAAGTAGGCTTGCTTCCTTGAGATGTGTAGTCCAAAGCTCTGAGGCCAGGCCTTGCAGGGTTTCGGAGCCCGCCCTGGACAGAAGCGAGTGTTCCAGTTCTAGATTATAGAATAACGATGATTAGCGCACAAGGGGCGGGCTCGCGGGGAGGAAGGGCAGAAACTCACCATCGAGAAGGCGTTGAACGACACCAACAAGAAGATCCGGCGTATAAGTGCCGTTATCCGTTCCCCTCATCGGCTCCTTACCATTCCTGAGCCCAGGTTCACCAGATTGACAATTGTTGGCGAGAGATGAAGGGCAGAACAGACCCAGGCTTGTCGACGCATACGATTCAAAGTTGTCGGGTTGCCATATGGCGCGGGTAACCTCGAGATATTCTTTCGGAGATGCCACTGTAAAGCAGCGGGTATAACTGGCGGCTTGAGTAAAAAGATCGTGAGAAAAAGCGGGGCATCATCCTCATGTAGCACAAGGAAGTATGAATAAGCGACGTGGACAAAACAAAGTAATTCGAAAGGGGAGCTCGGTGCATTCCCGTCCAAAATGCGGGCTAGAGCGGCGTGACCGCTTGCTGCAATATCCTGGGGCTCTGTGCTGAGGAAGAGGAGTGCGAGTGGGTTGGTTCGTAGATGCTGGAGCTTCGTCTTTGACGAGGAGATATGAGCGAGCAGCGTCTCCCAGGCAGCGGTGATGAGTGAAGAAGGGTCGGTACGAGAGGGCTCGTGGGCAGCAAGAGAAGACGCCGCCCCCGTTGAATAGGGTAGGACGTTGACTTCCGGAGCAAGAGGCTTGGATAAATCCGCGAGGGTGTGGCACAAGGCGGGTTCGTCATCGCAGGTTTCGAGCGTGAAGAGCGCGGCGGACTCCAAAAGATCATCAGGTACGTTGGGGATTGAGCTAAAGGGGGTATCTGCTGGAAGCTCCGAAATGACGTCTGGAAGTATGAGATCACCATCCAACGGAGTGCCAAAAGGTGGTGTTGGGTGAAGGCTGTCAATTTCGTATGCGGGTTGGCAGAGCAAGTTCGACATGGGGGAGTCTAGGTCCACTTCCATGCCAGAAGCAATCGGCCAAATATCATTCCACTCAGAAGGGAGATGGAGACTTCAGTATTGACAGTGTCAACAGAGTCGGTTGTGCTTGTGCTACTGGTGCTGTTGGTACTGTTCGTGCTCGAACTGCTCGCGTTAGAACGAAGCGAGGAGCTAGGAGCCAAAGTCTTGCTGCGTGTTTTCGCGCGGCGATCGTCGCCCATATGAGAACCAATAGATATGATGGATCTCCTGTCGCCCGCAGGAAACTCAAACGGAATGTAAGCAGCAGGATCGTTGATCCAGGTCATCACAGTGCTGTCGTGGCAGGCCGGATTCATGAGACTATTGTCCAGCTCTGCAGGAATGACGCATGAGGGGACGCTCTCTGGTAAAGCAGTATCGAAAAATGGGGATGGCTCAGGTTGAAGTGTTGGTTTGGGAGACTGTAGGTAGGTTCGTACACGTGAGGGCTGGGCTCGACGGGGAGGCTCGACAGAGGGGATCTCCACCGAATCAATCTCGTGGATCTGGGAGGTGGTGCAGAGCTCAATCGCCAAGGAGTCGTAGCTAGGAGGAGGGACGAGGTCATCGTCAGGCAGGGGATTGTGCATGACATCCTTCTTCGCCTTGTGTCCTATGGAGGTAAAAAGGTCTTGGCCATGGAGAGCATCTTCCGACGCTTGGTAGGATGGCCTAAACATTTTTACACTTGGCGTCGGTAAAAATCTCAACCTTCCCACATTCGTAACACCAGTACTCGCCAGACTCCAACTCTTCGCAGGAGTAGAGATGCCGAAGCATGAGCTCATGATTAGAGAAGCGCTTCCGACATCGTAGCAAGGGACACTCTAGACGATCGGCTGATGATAAACGTTGGGACGCATTGCGCTTCACAGCAGCCCAGACCACAAAACGATTCAAAGCACAGTCGTCGCGCGGAACCTCGCGTGTTCTGTTGCATCTCCAAGGTTAGTTGCGAGAGAATAGGGCGTGTAGAAGAAGCATCGCGAGGGTTTCTTCCCGTGCGGCCGGAAGGTGATAGGAATGGGAGCGCATCGAATCATTGAGCAAGGTAGATGGGGAAGCAAAAAAAAAAAAAAAAGAAAAGAAAAAAGGCGAGAGAGACCAGCAACGAGATCGTGGACATAGATTGCAAGATCACACTTACACACAGGACAAGGGAGCATGCGGCGGTGACTCTGAAGAAGATGATGCTGTAGATACTGAAGAAGCTCTTGACCGCCTGAGGCCTAAGCGACTAAACGAAGGCGACCGAGTAGAAAGGCGGAGGACGGATAATGAAGACGACGGTTGGTCGCCAACAATGGACAAAGAAAGGCGTGGCTTTTCTGTGTCCATGGTGAGCGATGGACGTGTTGCGGGGCGGGCGGTAAGTGGAGACGGAGACGTGGGAAAGGATAATGAGACGAGAGAGAAAGAGAGAGATATTGGTGAGTGTCTACGAAGAACAGCGAGTAGTGCAACCTCTTCCCATTTTTGTAATCTCTCAAATCCTGGAGAAAATGGGGTGCCTAGATGAATAAAAAATAATTCTCCACGATTAAGGCTGGGTTGAGAGAGGGGAGGGTGCACCAGATGAGACGAGACGAAGAGACGGCTAGAAGCTTGTTTGGTCCTGAGGGGTGAAAGAGGGAGTTGGAGTGAGGCGAGCGGGAGGTGAGACTGCGGAATTTGACAATTGATGTAGGACTTGTCGAGCTAGGACTTGATCAATGTTGGAGTGACAGAAGTCCGCATTCCGGCAGAGGTTGGCGGGGTCGAATTACGCCAGCGTCGAGGGGTGGGGGAAGGAGCACTTGAGGGAAGGCAGCAGGGGTCGACACACGGCTCAGAGCAGCACCAGCAGCACCAGCAGCACCAGCAGTATTGATCTCAGACAGCGCGTACATTCAATACATTCACAAGGCTTCCGCAAACTTCAGAGTCGGCCGCGTTCGAACCTGATCCAGCTTGAGCACGCAAAGCCAATCGTGGCGGAGGAAATTCAAGAGGGAGGGAAATCGGAGGAGCCAAGCCAGTAAGGTACTTGTAGATGTCGATTGTCTCCGGCTAGATTCTTGGAAGTCTGTGCCGTCGTGTCCGAGGAGGTACACAATAATTCTCGAGCTGACGGTCAGAGACCAAGCCCTACCGATCCATCTCTCGGCTTGGCACATGGACAGGGGCTGGGTTGGGGTCGGGGTCGTGGATCTCGTTCGTATTATCAGTGACAAACAAGCTCGAGCTTCGGACACCACCGAGGAGGGAATGGAGATTGCGTCGCAGTCCCTCCCTGGACTTGACGTCAAAATGGCATGTCTCTCTTGCCTAGCCCATCAATCCAGCAAGCGCCAGAGTAAGTCGGGAAGGGGCCAGCACGTTTGAGAGAAACACCGAGGCGCAAGGCAGAAAGCAAGGATCTCAGCGATTTACAAGGACGTCGACTGCTCCGCTGGTGGACCACTCGTCCAAGTCCAAGACGAAAGTACCTGTCGATCTGGAAATACAAAGAAGAAAACACGAATAATAGATTGGCTTCGACGGCATCACCATCATCCCCATGCTGAGCACAAATTTGTCCCCTTGGATCTCTTGGCCATCGAATAACTCACCAATCCCCGCCTTCTTCACAATATGTTGGACTCGTAGTCCATCTTGTGGTGGGCATCAGCGCAAACATCAACGAAGGAACGGGTCAGCGGTGGGATCTTGCTCATTCTTGGGTGCGTGCCTTGGGCCCGGCATGAGAATCTGTTCCGGGCTGCCGTGGCTGGGGAGGGAGCTCGGCACAATAAGGATCCGCGTGTTCGGTCCATTTTGGTAAGGAATGCGAGCCCGGTGAGTGAAAAGAAGGGGAAAAACACTAGGGAAGTACCGTGCCATGGCGCACCAGGCCAGGCCACCTCGATCCTAATTAACCAAGTGAGCCAGACACTCAAGAGCTAGACCAATCAAAACGGGGTTCCAGGCCATTCTCCCTTTCCTGCCCGCACAGCCACAGCACCGCCATCATGGGGAACCTCACCACAGCACAACGTCCTTCGCCTTCGCTTCCAAAGGTGGCACAAATTGATAATTGATGAGCTGGTGGCTCTAAAGAGGTGGTGATGATGTGTGAGAATGGTCCATTTCTTATCGATTCCATGCCGTGAAACCGCCCCAAGCCCTGCCTCTCCCTTCCCGGACCCCCACACCACAGAGCAGCGCTTCTTCAGCAGCAGTTGGAATGAGAAAGGGCGCTTCGATGGAGAAAATTCAATGTCTGCTTAGCAAAGGACCAACGTATGAACATATACTAGATTGGATTCATATAGAGCTCTTGCCCTTGTCATCGGAGCTCTCTTTGCAGTGCCTCGGCCTTTGACATCGGGGTATCCACCCACGCCTAAGGCCACTTCCCAAACTTGTTGGCTTGAACTACCAAAACCAGGGCACGAATTGAATATATATGCCGAGGGGCTAGAAGTAGCAAATTAAGAAGAACCTAAAGGTGACTGAAGTGATAGCTCTACTGATTTCCAGTCCCTTTGACTTTGATTGTGTCAAAAGGGACATGGGCCGTCTTGGATCACATCCGCCTCACGCACTTTGTCGAAAGCTTTTTCGAGGGAGCAAGGAGGATGAAGGCGAGTGCAGTACTCGATATGGTTGTTAGTTCTGCGCATCGATTGCCAGATCACTAACTAGCATCTAGCGTAGGAATTACTCTAGCCACTGGCTGATAGTCATCTCTGCATCTCTCTTTAGCAAGGCCACGACCGTTGTCTAACGGCTCGTCGACGATAGATACTACCGTTTGCGAGTCGATGTTTCGAGGAGTATTAACTAACCTAGTTATGTCTAGACCAGTCACCCAAATCGTAAACTCAAGGTTATTAGCGCACTGTCCCCAGGCTAGGAGACATGGTCAGATGGACCTGACGATATGAGGTAGCCTTACATCTCGAAACCCCACGAGATGACTCGATCAGCTATAGCCTGAGGACTAACGAACCTAGCTCCGCCAAATCACCTCCCGCTTGCATTCTCAGGAGTGGCCGAACTACCGGGACCAAGTTAATTTCTATGATGACTGTGTGTAAGAGCTACGATCCGAAGCACTCGTTCTCTACCTCAGCTCACATTTCCCAGGCACGGCTTGAACAAGATGAGCCATGAGTCCGTGGCGAAACTCGAGCAACATCCAGCATAGTCTCCTAGCTCTATAGTAAGCAGTTGCGCCATTCCTTCATATCGAACGAGGAAAACCCGCGGCTTAGCTGGGCCATGCGGATTTCACGCTTTGCTATACTTTGCGGAAGTGGCCTGCTACACACCGCAAGGCTAGCATGCTCAGGGGCAGGTCATGCCGAACCCGGTACCCAAGTTATCCGTGCCTGGGCATATCCTAACCTCTTCCTTTCCTAACAGCCAAGTAGGAGCTCAAGATGGCTGCCGATATATTCAAGGCCAACGCCAGCTGGAATGTACGTCGCTTTCGTCAAGGGCTTGTCAGCTTCTAGCTTGAACTTGGGTGGTGGAGAGAGCTGGGCCTATGTTCACCGGCTGCGCCAACTTGGAGAACTCTTTTCCGAGCATTAAGGGGTGGAAACATGACTTGAAGTTGATATACCAAGCCCATTTTCGCGAGGCCGGAATAGGGAGAGACTCGATGAGAGCACAATGGCACTTGGCTGTCATCTGCCGTATCAGCGGATGACCTCCCCTCTTGGCCATTCTCTTGCTACATGTTCCTGGCTCTTCTTTTCAGGAACCCGTTGAGATTTGAACGGACCATCTTCATTCTTAAAAGGTGGGAGAAGGCGGGTAGGATCTAGCACTCTGACATGACCCCAGTATGGAGTCGGACACTGCCATGGCACCATGTCGGCATGTCGAGAATTCTCCGGCGGCAACATCTGTGAAACGTAGGGAAGATCAGCCAAAGAAGTAGGAGCTAAAAAAGATTCCGCGGCGATTACGCGGCGTCCCTGACGTGAGCCCGTTTTCTCTCTGCGGATCAACATATTATTCTGCACTCGCTTTTTCTCGTTGCCCATCTGCGGCCTTTGGACATCAGGAGGCGACGAAGCGCGGCTCGTACACGCGGGCGCAACAGGGGTGTTATGGGTGGTGTTCAAGGCTCGAGCGAGATGCGGGGCCCGGCCAGCATGTGGTGTTAGTGCGTCCATATCAACCCATCGTCTGCAGTTTTCTCAAACAAGGGATGCCCCATCTGAACGCCCATTTTGTATGGCAGGTGCCACGCTGGAAAACTCTTTTGTTTCCCGGATGCGTCCTCGTGTCGTAAGGCGACCGAAACTGCCTTTCACCTTATCTCAATTTATCTCTTCTTCTTTTTTTCATTTTTTTTTCATCCTGAGTCCGTTCGGCTACAGTCACCGGATCCGCTTGATGTCAACGAGTCCCGCCCACTACCTCTGTCCATCCCATGTCAAACTGGCATGCACCTCCTTCCGGCCCCGGAGTCTTTGGACTACTAGTAGTCCTTCAAATATTGCTTTTGCGGTCGGCAGGTGGCCATTTATGAAATGATAAAGCAATGCCCGATGGAGGGTAGCGACGTGGGCCTCCGAATGGAATCTAAGACCAGCATCAATACCTTAGGATGAGGTTTGACACCGAGACGCTAAGGCCAACCGAACAAAGGCGGGCCATTTTAAACACTGCATGGGTGTACGATAGCCTGGCATCCCACCAAGGCCTTCCAATGGTGTTAACCAAGCGACTCGAACTCCTTGACGTGTGGGTGGTGAATCAAGATCCGCCTACCCCCACCACCCCTTGCTCTCGGAACTACACTCGGTGCAAGTGCAAGCCGGGCTCCAAGCCATCAAGCGGCTAGGTGGGCGATAGCCGCATTTTATCGGCCCTCCACTTGTTTTTTTGTTTCCTTTCCGGCAGGGTGGGGAGGAGGGGGTCGTGCGGATGCTCCGTCAGCTCTCCATGCAACAAAAAGGCCCCCTTGGCAGGCATCAGCTGCGTGTGCAAGGTTTGTTGCGAGTGTACCTCACGCCGTGATGATATTTCTAGATACATTATTGATACAAGAAGATATCTTTCTGTGGACGGGGTGTCTCTTCGGTGGGCCGAGGAACACCGAACAGAGGCCAAGTCCACCTCATTCCGTGGACTCATCACCACATTCGGGCAAAGCTCAAGTGCTTCAATCATCATCTCTCTTCGCCCTCCATCAAGCTCTCCGCAGTTGCCCCGCCCCGCCCCGGTCCTGTGGCGTCCCGACCTCAAGACGAATTGTGGATGGTTTGGATTTTTGATGGTACGAAGTACTTGGAGAAGACCCATCAGCGGAATCCACACTGGCTGCACAGTGCTGTGCTGTCATCAAATGGTCTGGTAGTGGGCTCTTTCAACGGGATTGAAGGCTCTCGCCACTACATGGACTACCAGGATACTCCCTCAAGTCCCTCAAACCAGCGCCAATTCTCGCGCTGTGTGACCCCACTAGGAGGTACGCTCAATTGTTTCAGAAATCCCTTGAGACCTGCACCCTGCTGCGCTAACGCCTCAAATGGGATGGCAATGGATGGGGCTTGCTCTTCCTCGATTCGTTCAGAATGGCTGCCCTTTGATATTTTAGCCCTATGCATCGGAATTGGCTGATTTGATGCTGGGTGCTTTCAGGACCATGTATCATTATTTTGCCTTCCTTTTTGGCTTCTTCGTTTTTACCCCTCCGCCAGGCCACGTGTGGAACAATCTTGACTTCGAGGTTCAATTTCCAGGCTCAGGGCTCTGTCGTCGGGATTGTTTGACTGCTGGACCCAAAGAATGCACCATCGCCATTACATCCTATCGTTCATGTTGACCTTTGCATAAACCCGTCGGTTCGTCAATCAGACCAGTCCCATATAGCACCTGCCTAACCACTCTCAGTGCTTTGCCATCCATTGAATATCAAGGTAGTTGGCAACGGCTTTGATACTATTCCAATGACGAAGGGGGCGGGAGGTGGCTAGTTGCGCCCATAAACCCCGATATTAATGTGAGGGGTGTTTCCAAGGAAACTCCAAATCTCTCCTCCATCATCAATGGATTAAGCAATAGGATTAAGAATGGATGAATAGGATGGATGTTATGGAAAGAGATAACACGCCCACCCATCCCAGACACCGTACACCGCACACCACACCCACCATCACATGGAGATCACATCACACCGCCTAGAGGACAGGGCATAACCCCGACGCTCCAAGTACGCTCGGCATCGAGAACAGCATATGGAAGGCAGACATCAATGCCTTGTCGTTCGTTGGTCACGAACCCCGCCCTAAGCGAAGATATTGGAAAAAGAAAAAGAAAAAGAGCCAAGGGAACGGAAAAACCCCTCCCTTCCCCCACCTTCCCTCGACTGTGTCTCTGTGTCGACCCGTCCACTTGGTGAGACCAATGATCCATTGGATCTATCCATCCATCCATCAATCAAATGAGCAGTCGCGCTATTATTAACGATTGAATTCCGCCGTCAGCCACTGCGGCCTCCCACCAGCCATTCGGGGTATAGTTTACCCTGTCACGGGGTTGGTGGTGGTCAGGCTTGGTGCCCCGCCCCCCATACGTATATACACCAGACCATTTCGAACCTTCCTCTAAATAATGTTGAACATAGGGAAGAAGGACTGGACATTGAGCGGAGGGGGTTGAAAGGGGTTGAAAGGGATGGCCCGGCCACTTGCCTCTTTGCGTGCACTCAAAAAAGACTCCAGACTATTCGCAATGCCAATGGATGCTGATCTCTAAGAGAGAACGGGATGTGGGAGGGTGATCACAACTCCAACTATGGACGAATTAACTTGTTCTCCTCAGTCAATTAGAAGAAGGGCGGGTGGGGGAAGCGGCTGAAAATATTTGAGGAAGCGAGTAGCCTTTACGCACACACATCCACACGCATGCTTGGCAACACTAAACGTAGCGAATACATTGGATACATAGGTAAAGTATTGGTGTCAACGCTCGCTGAGATATGCAAGAAACTAGTGCAGTGTCAACCGGATCCGCCTACAGCGCCTTGAACAAAGAAGAGGGGAGGGGGCCAGACAGATTCGATATCAAGACAGAAAGCATCATTGATCTGCTTTTCTACAAGGTATACACCAAGTTTTCCCGCTCAATTGATTAACTTGATGACTGCCCTGGCATCATCCCTTGCACGGTCTCTTGAGCTTCAAATGGATAAGTAATTTCTCGTGGAGATCAATGTGGAGTTGCGCAGCCGCGCAGTGGCAAGAAGGTTGGTTCTCCTTCCATAGTAGGGCCCGTCCATGGATCCATGGATGGCTTTCTGACTGCCTACTTTATTAGACGGGCGACATCCACAGACGGATCCATTGCACTCAATGGATCCGTTCATTACTCGTTCTCATGCCTCTAAATTTTACCTTCTCTCTCCGATGCTGCTCAACGAACGGTCACTAGTTGCTCCGCTAGTTTAGCTTGCAATGCATTGATCAACGAATCTATAATCGATCCATTCCAAGCGTTATTACTTGTACTTGAGCACCTTTGAACTTGGGCTGCATCGCACCAGTAGTCAAGACCTCGATGCTGGGGGTGTTTTAGTCCTCCCCACCTTCTCCTCCACCCCTGCACCCTGCGACCTTGGCTGCTGCGCTCCTTTCTTGACATCGTGCGCACGGCCTGCTCTCCGCGTGAGGCTCACTGGGAAGAGGTTCGATGTTTATTACCGCCTGCCCACCGTTGACGGTTCCCACTTCCATCAACCCTCGCCTCGCTTCTTAACGATGATATAGTGGAGAAAAGGGGTGGGGTGGGATCCTACATGTACATCTATCCATTGTCCTATTCAATCGCCAACGCGCGCAAGCCGATCTCCGTTGGCATCCACTCCAAACCTCCCTTGTACGCGTCCATCTGAGAGTTGGACCCTGGATTCTCAACCCTGCTTGCCGATCCAGCCATGAAACACTGCTGGCCGGCCGTAGGACCGCGCATCGTCTTATCGGGCGCAAAAGAGACGTCAAGGCGCCGCGGATTGCAACAGTTCGTTCCCGTTGCTGAGAACAACAACATGCTTTGAGAAGAAAAAAAAAGCTTGCCCCGTGTCCCTCGCCCGCCGATTCCCTCCTTTTTCTGTTCCCAATCTTGCCTCTACTTGAATTAATCGGTAGCTCCGTCTCAAAAACGGAAATAGCGGGTCGGAGGTTGAGATGTTGGATGGGGGTGTGTGTGGAAGGCATTAATAGTGTCCTCATTAACCAATAAAGCCCTCCTCCGACCCCTCCCCTCGAGAATAGCCCCAAGAAAGAAGGGAAAAACTAGAAGAAAGAAAGAAAAAAAGACTAGACGGAGAAAAGAGGTGGGAGAATGTCGAGGATAGCAGCACACGCGGACAAGGTATCCAACTGGAAGCACGCCTTCCAGTAGTCACGCCCGCTTCACACCATACCACCCTCAAAAGAGTCCCACACATGCACACTATCCGCCTATCGACCACTAGGCGACCGAGCATGTTTCGACAAGGAGGGCGGGTTTCGACCAAAGGGAGCTGCGCACCACAGACCGCGCGAGATCCGGCGTTTTGTGCGTGCGCTTTCCGCCACCATTTGACGTTGGCAAGAAACAAGCAACAAGCAACAACGAGCCACCCAAACAGCGTTGGTCCCCATGGTACGGATAGCGGGAGGGGATTGGGGGATGGTGTCGATGTATCGAGAAAACACACATGCACACGCTAGCTCCTCTTTGTTGACTCTCCTTTCGAGTTTTTCCCTTGGCCCCCGTCCAGTCCCGTCCGGGCGGGCAGAGAGATGGCTGGATCCCTTCTCCCCACATCCGGGATAGAGCGCGGTTCCTTTAAGAGGAGCCATGCCTTTTCCTTTTTTCAACCTCTCTTTTTAATTGTGTCTTTCTTTTCCGGTTCCATTTCCCATTCAATATCGACGGGCTGGCTCCACGATAATACTTATAATACTTCCCGTTGGATAGCCGCCCCTCCAAGACTTTGGTCCTCTTCATCCTCCAACTACCTAACCCGTCCTCTCTCTCTCTTCCTTTTGCTCAGTCCGGACATTTCCCGGGCAACGAACACCACGTTGTCTGTGCAGGCCACGCTTGGATCCTTCCCCCAAGAGCAGAATATATATAACGACCTGTGCTATCCTCCGCATACATAGCTCATCTGCCCTGTGATATCACCTATACCCCGTCGTCTATGTTCCTCCTGTCTACACCATTTCGCTGCTCAGGAAGGAAAAGCTCATCTTTCGAGTTCGAGCCCGCCCAACAACCAAGGGCTATTCACACTTCCGGTTCATAGAGCCTGTAGAGTTATCTCACGCCTTTTGTTGCTGGAGGCAAAGAGCCGTTTGGCCAATACCCCGTCCGTCCTTGACGCTGCCCTTGGAAGTGGTCTACCTTGCCCCCGGGGCGCGGCAACAGCAGAAAACGGACGTCTTGACTTGCTTGAGAAGTTGGACTTTATCACGAACGATTATTCTCCACACCAACGCGGGCACAAGCACCGCCGCTGACACCTAGAGTCTACCACCTGAGCCTACACTAGCAACCATGGAGCCTCACAACCACATGGCCGTCCGCGAGCTGGACTTGAGTGCATATCACCCTACATCCATCGTCGATAAGATCAATGCCGTACCCGCCTTGAAAACCAGTACTGGTAAGCGCTTCTCCCCATCCTCACACACTTTCCCTCGTCTTCCCACTGCCCCTGAACCCTTGCCTCTTGGACCTTGTGCAAGGAGTTTGCGGGTATTCCGCCACTTCTTCTTAGGGGCACTTGCAGCGGTCGATATCTCACCCCCGTCGGTGGTTCCGAGAGCTTAGGCACGCTTCTTGCTGGCCGCTTCGGTGCGGGGGCATGGCACGGGGACCATCAGATGCTTCATTCTGCACCGGTTGTGTTGGAAGCCTCCTCTATCAAGCCCACTATCAGCCGTGCCCAAGGCCCCTCCTCCTGGTCCTACACCCAAGATAACGAGCGCCCGCAACTGCCCCCATCCTTATCTAAGCCCTGTTCCTTACGCCCCCCTTCCCTGCCCCAACTGCATGAACATTTGCATTTAGTTTGTTCGACCCAAGCATTTTAACATTGCCGTGCTATTAGCTTTCTTCACCTTTTTGCGTGCCAACTTAGCACTTAATCACTCCGCCTTGTCGTCTCAGACAAACACCCCAGTCCTCGAGCCCACCATCACATGCATTCCGTCCTCCCCTTCTCCACTTGGCGCCAACGCACCCCTTGCCCCACTTGACCTCGACGACGATATCCCCCGCTCTCCTCGAAGTCCTCGCCGACGAGGACGAAAAGACCGACGCCCTCCAACTGGTTGCCGAGTCCGTCGCCGAGCGACGTGCCGAGGCCGCGACCGCCCTCGCCGCACACCCAGCCTGCGTCGCCGGCCTCGTCGTCTCCGTTGTCGTCACCTACCACTACCACCACTTGACCAGGGGCAATCTTTCCGTCGCTGTCGCCGCCTGTAGCCTCCTCTTGGCCACGTACCTCGCTGCTGCGTATTACCTTTCTGCAGGCTACAGCCACCTCGCCCAAGAGGTCATCCCCAACTGGATCGCCTCGGGAGACTGCCGGAGGGACATGGTCCTCGCCGCGCGCAAGGACAACGTCATCGTCGCCGCCCTCGTACTCACCTTGGAGCCTAGCTTCACCCAAATGAGCAGGCGGCGTGGCAGACATGCCAGTTTAAGAGGAGGCCGATGTGTAATCAAGGCGTGGACCACGGCCAAGGCGCATCGGGGCCAAGGTATCGGCGCCGAGCTGTTGGCCAAGGCGGTCAGGGTTTCGCGGGACAAGTGCGGCCGAGATGCCGCCATCGGGTTTGCTAAAGAGCACGCCCACAGCACCATGATGCTTGCTGAGATATTCAACGGCTCGTTCAGGAAGCGAGAGTTGAGGGCCACCAAGGCACTAGATACGATAGTTGCCGATCTCGACGGCAATAGGAAGAAGAGGTAGTAGATTGGAAAGAAACCTCACCATGAGAACATGACCTAATGAATATAATACCCCGGATTCCCTGTTTCTTTTGGAACATTTTGAGGAGCAGCACTTGTCTGTTTGAAAAACTTTTACGTTCATTATTCTCCGTGCCTAGCTGCGTGTCCTTGGTCCTTGACAAACCCGTGATGTCAATCAAAACGCTAAACTCCATGAGATACTCTTACAAGGTGGCCAAAGCAAAAGGAGAGGGCAAAATCGCAACAAAACACAGAGATAGACCAATATACCATCAGCCCGTATCTCACTCCCAAACCCACCACCCAACCAGAAGAACATAAAAAGAAAACAAAAGGACATCAAGAGGCAAATCCCAATCTCGGGGTCATTTTATAAACTAAGCACCCCGAGGACTAGCAGGCACCTGGGGCCGGGACTTGGGCGGAATGTAGGTATCAGGGTCAAACCCATATATAGGGCGGCCCATCCTACGAAGGGAGAAGATGACCTAATATTCAGGGTTAGAATCAGCCATGGTCGGATAAGAGGCGCCTGGGGAGAAGAAGGGGGAGGGTAGGCTAGGATAAGGGAAAGGGGAAAGGGGGAGCGGCTCGAAGGGAAAGTGAGCTCAGTCACAGAACACCATGGGAATACTTACATCCGCCACCGTCACCGTCTTTCGGCCTCGATACTCCAACACGTGGACGCAATCCTTGATAATCTGAGAAGAGGGCATTAGTAAACGTGGCGATGGTACGTGCTGTTGCCGTGCATGTATAAAAACTCACCGCTCGCAGACGAATGTCTAACGCGAAGCGAACCTCATCGTAGATAGCGGCAGAGATCCGTTTGACCCCACCACGGCGAGCAAGACGACTAGCGTGCGGCGATTAGCGATGGACGTCGAGGAAAAACCATTGGCAGATAAGGCCCAACGACCATGTCCCGCGAGGAAATAAAACATTCAATAGGAATTGAGGCAGACTAGGATCTATGGATGCTTACCGTATGGCGGGACGCGCTGATTTGGGAGCAAGGTTAGTGAGTCTACATCAATGCAATCATGGAAGACAGAGATGCTCGGAGGGGTCTACTTACTGACTCCCTTAATCGCGTCTTTAATCACCTTTCTATATAACAAAACTTTTAGTGAAAAGAAGCTTGATAGAGCGAGCAACAAAGAAATTGGAGGCCGTGGTAGGCTACTCCCCGATGTTTTATACATACCGGTGGCGCTGATGGCGCATGGCGACCCCCTTTCCAGCAACTCTGCCACTTGAGCTTGGGGTGATTATGCTTTTGCCTCGACCATTGGCCGGCCCGCCACGTTGAAAGCTTGGAGGCATGATTTTGTTAGGCCTGTAATTGCTATTTTTGTTTTCAATATGGTCTTTGTGAAGTTGGTTGATTCCAAGATGCTCTGGTGAGTCTTATCGAATTCCTCAAATAAGATCAATAACAGCAAGCAGTGGCAAGTTGTGATGTTATAGGAGAAAAAAAGAAGAAAACAGGTGCAGTTATATCGTAGAGAAGGATAAAGGATAGCAATTAGAAATATCAGAGCTGGTGAAAATAAAACGCGGTATTCCAGATATATATAACTATAACAACGATGCTCCAGTAGTACATAAAACCGACCAACTGAAAAATAGATTTATTGATCTCAACTGGAGCAGTGTGGTTGTTAATATGCCCGTTTGCGCCTTCCTTCCTATTCTACTGTTTTTTTCTCTTTCTTTTTGATTGCTTGGAATGAAATGGGGATGAAATGGAGAGTTGCCAGGGGCTGTTCTAGCCGCATCATGAGTCTCTTGGACCAGGGCGTCACTGCAGTCACTGGTGCGCGCGTTGAGGTCAGGTGACCGACCCCTTTGCAGCGCAGGTAGGCGCAGAGGCTGGGCGGTTAGACGTTGGAGACCTCCTTGTCCATCCCAGCCGGCTGGATGAGGGGACGGTTGGACGAGATTTGGTACCCTGCATCTTCTTTCCATGTTCAATGCCCCATTGCATCTTCACCAAATGACTACCAAGAATGAAGTCGATATTCACGCCCGAAAGATTACAGATGTATATGGCGCTATTGATCTTGCCTATCTAGCATATTGCATATATAAAAGAAAAAGAAAAACAAGGTATTGCACGACTTCTAAGTCATCGATTAGAGGGAGCTGTGTCCCGGGGAATTAATTATAGTGAAATGGTCGTTCGCGTCGGGGGTTGTTCGAATTGAGGTGGGTGGATGGCACGGTATGTGACTGGTGTGGAAAGAAGCTTCTGGAGTGCGGTTGAATGCATTTGAAGTCATAGGACTTGTGTAGGTAGGCTCACTCCGAGATAAAAGTCGCCTCCACAAACAGTGCACCGCTCTCAGACACCTCTGTATCGCCGATCTTAAACTTCAGGTCTAAGCTGTCTTTCGGGGAATACTAAGGAGAGTGACAAGGTGATTAGCAGATATATGATGTTGGGGAGACTAAGAAGAGAGATTGTGCGCGACGAAAGTCTTCAAGACACACTGAGGATGGGGGATTTCTCACCTGGTAGACATAAGGCTTGGTTCCGGCAGCGGTCTGGACAATCTTCTTCACAAATCCAGGAACCTCGGCCATGACGTCTATCCTGTCAAGCCTCTGTCCGAGCACTCCCTCAATAACGCCCGTTACCTCAGCCCCGTCCTTTGTCTTGCCGGCCCAAGTATACTTGGCCTCGCTGGGAGCAGGCCAATCGGTTGCAGGGTCCCCAGCCGTCTGAATGTGTGTGACGGTGCTATCGCAGCTGACACTCAAAATTTCGTTTTCCTTGGCAATAATGCCGATACAAACGCTTGTGGATCCGTAGGAGGGTGGTGTGGTGAATTCCATGAGAATCGCCGAGTGCGTTGGTCCCTGAAATCCACAAAATTCCATTTGGCTGCAGCATGGTGCGGCTTCATTCCCTGCAAGGCATAGACGAAGAAGGCCCGCCCAGTAAAGTCGATAGCGCCGTCCGGTGTAGTGATTGTTCCTTCGCTCGTGCACCTGGGCCAGAACGCATGCCTGACGGAGCCCCAGGGGTTTGTCAGGTCGGTACCGAAGAGGGTTGTGCCAGTTGTTCCGGCGTGAATGGCCGGGGTTTTACGAGTGATTGTCATGTTGACAATACAAGCTTCGTCAGCCAAGCTCTTGACCGTGTAGGCAGTCCCATCCTCGGAAAGCTCGATTGCGCAGTTATCGGCGTAGAAGCATGTCTTATCCTCACTAAATTCGGGGTTGGACAGCTGGGTAGACGACCAGAGGGGCGTCTTGTCGCTGTCTAACGGGAAGACCTTTGCGGTGAACTGACAGGTGGTGTGGAGTCCGCTAAAACCAGTACGTTATTAGCAAGCAGGATGCCGGGAAGGAGATAGGGGTTGCCGTACGCAACGTTGCTATAGATGACCTGAGCGATTCCAATCTGCCCGCTCGTTGCTGTGAAATAGAAGGTGTGTGTTTCGACAGAGGTCGAATCCATTGCCTTCCATTTAAAACCATCACGCCCGATCTCGGTGTACGGAACCGTTGCCGCTTCTTCGGCAACCGACTTGATGGCAGTAGGACCGTAGATGGGCTCCTGTGTGCCGGCGACGTTCGCCAACCTTTTTCAGCAAACACGATTAGCATTTTCGTAGTCTCTGACGGGAGCCTAGTCGCTGTAGAGGGTTTTTTCTTTTGTCGTTAGGGGAGCCAAGTGGGTGGGATCAGTTCTTACTGCTGCTTTGCCCAGTTGAACATCGTGGTGGTGTGGCGTGCTTTAGGATTGGGAGCAAAGATTTCTAGAAGGACTGGCGAATGTGGCGCAACGAGGAAGGTCTTAGAGAAGGGTGGTAGTGGAGGGCAACAAAGACAAAGAGAAAGGTTGCTTGAAGTGAGCAAGGTCGAGAAGGGAGGAGCAGGCCAAAGTCGGGCGATGCGGAAATTCGCGGGGTCGTGTGAGTTTTTGGGCTCTTTTTTTCACCTCGTCGCTCTGACGATGGATGTTTGAGAGCGGGGAAGGCAGCTGGACTGGGCCCTACAAATCAAAGGAGGAAGGGAGAAATCGAAGTCTAAATTTTCCTTTTCTCATTCACCGCTTTCTCGAAGAGCTTGTCGAAACTAAGGTTCTTGAATGGGCAGAGGGGCACTGGTTATAAGTCCCGTTCAACGGCGTTAACTACGATTAGGCCACATTCGAGACCATTGAAGTCATTCAATGGCAGGTATGACCAGTCCCTGCAAATCAGGATTGGCGGGGTTACCGCCACCCACGAAAGGGGCGGTTGGACCCTGTTGTGGGTCCCGAGGGCGTCGGGTGCCTCCAGCCTCTTTTCATCCAGTGCTCTCTCTCTCTTTGCCCAAGGGACGGAGACAAGACGCAGTGCTCAAGTGCAAGCCAACGCTGGCGGGCCTGCTGGAAGTCGTACGAATCAAGCCCCCGCTGGGTTGCTGCGTGAGTTGGACGACGCTAAAGCTCATTCACACAAGCACATGTCACACCGTCCGAGCTGATTCCTCCCTCCCATCCCTCCCATGGCGACCAGCGCTGTTTGAACCGACGGGTAGTCGAGGTGCACAGGTGGGGAGATAACGAGAGGGACAGTAAGGCTCAAGCTGACGATCGTTGATCGTTGAGAATGAGCACTTGAGCTGAATACCTGCTGCCTGCTTGCCTAGTGCTTATTGTGATTTATCCGAGAGAAAGGGACACTATCTTCTTTTTCATCCGCCAGACGCGTCGATCAAGACGACTATCTCCCCGCAAGCTAACAGCTACTAACATTAATATTAGTTGGCGGCAGAGGCAAGCGTGACCCAACGCCCAAACGGTGCGTGGGGCTGGAGTTTTTCTTCCTCTCTGAGGTGTCTGAGGTGTCTGAGGTGGGGTGGTGGGACTTGATCCACGAAGACGATGCAGATGTTGTCAGGCGTGGACCCTGTCTGTTTTCATTGCGATGTTCCTTCCGGACGGGACGCGGGTGCCGTCCAATCTTGGCCCACTCTCATCAATGAGTCTGCTTTTTGACGGAAGATGGAGGAATTTAGCCCTTTCTGCTTTCATGACTGTGAAAGCCGCCTGTGTGTTTTTGGATCGCCATGCAAAGTGCCTACAGACGATTGTGAATTGGAATGAGCCCATCCATGACATGCATCCATTGATAACTGTGAAATAATCGATGATGACATGTGGGGACTGGGCGAACTTAACATTGAAACCGCGGAGGACTTGCGACGTCCGCTATCATCCATTGCTGACAGATCTAATGGATCCAATGGATCCATTCTATTGATAACTCCCCAGCCCAGTGCTGTATTGATCCAGAGGCGTATATTGTATTGGCATGAGAAAATCCGATCAGAGGACAACAGAGGGAGCAATGAGAAAATCTCATTTAGCCAGTATATAATATACGAAGAATGAGGTTGCTATTGAACTAAATATATTTTTCTGGCCCGTTCTAAATCCACCAAATTCGACCCTCCATCTGAAGGCTCCCATTCCGCGGGATCGATTGATCGATGTGTCAGGGGTGGGGTGGATGGCTGCTAAACTGAGGCCAAGTCAACATAGACGTAGCGCGAGCAGGGTTGCACGACCAATGCCATTGATCCCTCGCTTGAGCCGGGATCAAATCTGATTTCGCATCCAATTGATCTTGCGCAAAAAGGAAAAAAATCCTCCAGCATTTTCAGTACAGAAGAAAAAAGTAAACCCCCATTACTTGGACGATACAACGTTATCGTGTCTCTTCGACTTCCACACGCGCACTTCTTACAATCCATCATAATATTTTATTAATCATCTCCATCCTAATCACTGCATGTGGCTATTCTCCTCGTTGCCTGCTTGTTGTTCTACCCTCGTTTCCCTACCGTGTCCATCACTTCGCCCATTGTGGTCGGCCGGCACTTGCCTCAACGATCTTGACGAGTTTTGCGACTAGCCATTCGATCGCATCCGCGACCATCGTTCTCGAAATCAATCCACACCGATAGTTGAGATTCCGACATCTGCTTACAGTCGTCGGCTGTGTCTCCGGTCGCGCATCTCTCTATCCTTCATCCCGACCCGCGATAGTTCCCGAAACACCCCGCGCTGTCGCAACTCGCGCCGGCCTCTCTCCCCTCCGAAATCCTACCATTTCCGACCTCAAGTCGGATTTTTGGGAAGACCAGTTCTACATCATCCTCGATCGGTAATGGAGGATGGACCGCAACTGCTACCGCTCCCCCGACAACGCTGGACCCAATATCTCGACCAAGCTCTGCTTCAACATCATCGTCCTTGCCCCAGCTACCGAGCATCTCTTCGCTCGCGTCGGGGACCTCGGCGATGGGGTCCCCTCAGATGAGGTATGGTGAAGAAGAAGTTGACTCCCATCCCCGAGCGCGTCCATGACATCCTGTTACTATCTATCCCGACCATCGTACTCAGGTCCACCGTGGGCCCTCTGTCACCACCTGAGTCGCGTCTGGTGCCTGAACCGCCATCTGCCAAAGCTCACTGGATCTCCTCCAAGGCAACTTGAAAACTAACAGACTTCTCTTTGCGCCTAGACCTTCGAACTTACCACCACCGGCGTATATCGCGTCGTCGCCTGCAGCAACTGCGGGCGGAGGTGGGACTAGCCTGGTAAGTATTGGCCTTTTCGCATGCTACTTTCTCCCTCATTTCTCCTTTCTCCCACGGCAAAAATTTTCTCCCCACCCGCAGCTTCTCCTGGCAGTCTAACACACACCACTCGACCACGACTGCGATCCCTGTTTTTTATTATGGAGTCGAGTACCCCGATCTTGTATTCTTTGCGATTTTCCCCATCTTTTTATCTTTATCTTTATTTTTTTCAATTCCTTCTCTCTATAAACCTCGGCATATTCCGCTCTGGCCCCCTGCCCTCCACAGACCGTCCCTTTTTCTCTTTTTTTTTTTTTTGTTCTCCCCAAGTGGCCCCAGACCCCACGTCATCCTTCTCTGATAGCGATAAGGATAAACATCCCCACAGCACCACCAAGGACAACTAGCTATGAAGCCCTGAAACGAGCTGCCGCAAGTGCAGACAGCTTTCCTCCTAGCTCCCTGTTGCGCTATCTTGAAGAAAAAAAAAGAAAGAAAAGACCACCTCGGGATCCAGCGCAGGACAGTTTGTCAAGCCTGGGACCCACCTTTCGCATCCCCCACTCAAACTTATATGCACCCTGGCCTCAATCGAGATCAGCGATCTCGACACGCCCTCACGTGACCATCCTTATCTTTCCAATCTGAACACCCGTTGATAAGATCTGGTTGAGTGGGTGGCATGAAATTCTTTGTCGCACTCTAGCCAAAATCTTATCAACTGGTCAATTTCCCCACCACCGTAAAACACGGCTGCTCCCACATCCTCTTTTCCTACCTCCATGCGCAATTCGACTTAGACCCCTTACTTCTGTTTTCCGAATGCCCACAAAGACATGGCGACTCCAGCTAATCATAATCGCGAAACCTCACAGCCAACATGCCACAACTGCAGCACTTCCACGACACCTCTCTGGCGCAGAGACGAGTTTGGCTCTGTTTTGTGCAATGCCTGCGGCTTGTTCCTGAAACTTCATAACCGCCCCCGGCCGATATCCCTAAAGACCGACGTTATCAAGAGTCGGAATCGGGTCAAGAATGCAGGGATGCGACCCGATTTGGCGAAGAAAAAGGTGTGGTTACGTCCATGGGCCCTCGCCCTCGCTCTCGCCCGTCGCTCTTAGCTGCGCTTCTCCTTTCCGAATACAGCTGACTTAGTATTTCTTTCCAGCAGCAGCAGGTACAACCACAGCCCTTTCCTGGCTCCCTCGATACCAACGGGCTAGACGTACAAAGCACCGCAGCAGCAGCGACTGCCCAGGCAGCACGACGATCATCTCAGAAACCGACCAACGGGTCCGGGTCGCCGATCTCGCGCAACGGTACGCCGTCATTATACAATGCAAATAACCTATCAGGGTTCCCGCCCATGCAGGATTCCTCTTCGCTGGCATCTTCACTGGCAGTCTATGGATCAACTGGCCGGGCAGCCTCCCCGTTGAACGGTGATCGACCCCGCGATTCTACCCCCAACGGCAGAACAACTTCTGGCTGCAAACTCTAGTCTCCATACCCGTGTAGGCGAACTCGAGCTCATCAACAAGCTTTACAGCGACCGAGTCCAACAGCTGGAAATCTCGGACAGCACCGCAAAGCAAGAGCAAGAGCTTGTTCGACAAGAGCTCGCACAGCTTCGTGCTGACCTAGAAGCCAAGATGGTGGCGGAGGCGCAACTCCGAGAGCAACTTGATGACAGCCATAGACGGGAAAACAGTTTAAAGCGTCGTCTAGATGAATTAGAGGTTGAGCTCGACGAGAAGACGGCATCTATTGCTGCTGTTACAGCTGCTGCTGCCGCCGCTGCGGTTGCTGCGGTTGCTGGCCCAGCGGAATCCGCCGCGCCCACAACGGAACCCCTACCAGAGACCCAGCCCGTGTCTGCCGATGAAGGTGAAGGTCGGGGCAGTCCCCCACGAAAAAGTCAGGCTGTCGGACGAACCCCCGGAAGCGGCCGAGACTTGAAGCTCACCAACACCGGGGTCCTCAACGAGAGTTTAAATAGGCCTCTGGGCCATGGTTTCAAACCGAAACCGGAATTCGGGAAGTAAGGGGCCTTGCGTCCCGATGCTTCCTCTCCATGTACCACCACCTTACGAGAGCGTATCATGTCTTCATCTCTACGTCTTTTATCACTTTGCTGGCTTCCTTATTTATTTTTCCTTTTCTCTAATGCTGGACCCAACTGAAGGGGATAAACAGGGGCGGACTTGAGTTATGGTTTAAAGGCCTTTGCGCCATTCACGGGGGTTTCCGGCCACACAATGTGGCTTCTTCTCATAACATGCCCAATCCATCCACGAAGCCAGGTTTTTTTTTTTCCTTTCCTTGGACTCTTTTCTTTTTCTTTCGTATCCTTTTCTTTCCGCTCCAAAAGCTATAACCCCATTCTTTCTTCTTGCGAACATTCGGGGATACCCAAACTTAGTCTTGGAATTTAATCTTGGAGGAATTGGTCGGAGTTGGTTGAACGGAAAACACAAAAGGGGTGAGCGCTGGTCAGCGATCTCTTGTGGCGCACCAGCAGTGCTATGATGATATATTGGGAATTATGGCTAGATCACAGAATACTGGGAGGCGACGGCGTACCTGGAGGCCATGTTGAAGCGGCTGTTCTATATGCAGCCTAGGGGCGGGTGGTCAAAAGTTCTTGTCTTATCTTTCTTCGAGCTACTCGGCCTCGGCCCATTTTTGCGGACCATGAATGACACATCCGACCCAACTTCGCAGTGATGCAACCTCCTTGGCCGACCCTTCTCAGGCTCTGCCGTCGCTGCCAATCGGCGGCGTGGCCCAGGCTTCCAGACTCGGTTTGCCTATTGTGGCTATACTGTTCTAGTTTTGAGAGGATCGGGGTCAGGAGCGTAAATGAGCGAGTTGCCTCTACTCCTGCCATCTACGAATCCACTGGTTATGCAGACGGGAGCATGAGGAATGATCCAATGTATCGATGTAACGGACACCGAAAGGGACTTGGGAATGCAAACACTGAGGCATACATTGTTATCATCGTTTTCTTTTCTTTTCTTCTCCCCCTTTTTACGTGTCTACTCATGCCGGCGTTCACTGGGGATGGGGGCTCGCTACTGGATATGCTGCCAATGTATTCTACTCCTTGGTGTTGTTGACTTGAGCTTCAGCTGCCCGTTAGCTAGGGTATGGCCGTGCCCTGTCTGTTTATGTGGAAATGTGTATATATATAGTCTATCGGTCATTCCTGCCGCCCTTTACAAAACTCCGTGATACAGAAGACAAAACCCGTAACCACCGGTACCGCCATCGTACAGCGAGGGGAGATAAAAGGAAAAAAAGCCCTGAATCCTTCGAGAGGGCGCCCACATACACAACATGCCCGACACCGCCGCGCCTTCCACCGCGTGGAGAAGCCCTCAATTATCTTTCTTTGAATTTACCGTCTCTTGGCGGCCCGCCTGGTTGCTCTGCTCAACTTGCCAGATGGCTCTTTCAAGCTCTGCCTCAATTTCCGGATGCTCGAGGGCCTTGCCCAATTTGGCGGCAGTCTCCCGACAAAGTAGGACTTTTCCAGCTGGTTCCTCGGGGTCGTTGCCGGCGTCACCCGCCTTTGCTGCTTCTTCCGTAGGGGTTTGGGTTTGTGCGTCTTTAAGACCTGTCAAAAGGGGCTTACGGTCGGAATAAACGCTATCTAGGATAGGCGATGGAGTGATGGACAGGAGCTTGTTCGAGATTAGGAATTGGACATGCTGGCCGCCCTTGATGGCTCGCCAGTGCGACCATGCGCGGTATGCCAGGTAGAAAAAGGGAGATTGGGTATTCTGAGGCAATGTTAGAAAGGCACCGAGAACCACGGTGTGGAAAGGACGGATGAAGAGTGAGATCAACGTACACAGGGATAAGAGCTACCGGAGCTGTGACTGGCATGCCGACGAAACACCATATCAATCTCGTACGATGTAGAGCTTCTCTCTCCGTTCCCAGGGTTCGCAGAACATTTTCGGCCTCGCTTGGTGGGATAACGGACGGTGGGAAGCTCAGCTCAACTTTTCTCCGCTGGCTAAGAGCTCCTTTTGTCGCTTCGAAGAGAGTGGAGGTACGGACTTGAGACCCCATTCCTGGAAAGGTATGCGCCTCAGGGCATGGTTCCCATAGTCCACGACTTTGCGCTGCCAGCCGCCTTCTCTGCGCTCCCAGCTGGCCCAGAGAGAGGCAACCTTTGTGGTAACCTTGTCAGCGAGGCCGGTCCGCTGTTTTGCCGCCTCTTTATTGCGGATACAATAGAGGAGCGTGCGCTTCGTCGATATGGGAAGCAGGACAAAGCGCATTACGGCGCGGTGAAAGGGTCCGCGACAGCTTCTTGTTGGGGAAACGCAGAGTTAACGAAGTTGTCGATGGTATGGTGTATCGCTGACGATGACGGTGCTGGCTGTGCGAGGAATCTGGTTAGAGATCGTTTATCGCATTTCAGGAAGCGGATTTTTTTCTTTCGTGGGATTGACGGGATTGGCCTGTAGCTTGGTTAAGAAGGTGTATGGGCAACTGGTCGTAGAGGAATAGAGGGAGAGGAAGAAGAAGGGGAAAAAAATCGTCGGCGATCTGGTATTATTCTGGAAGTGGATGTGACCCGGGTTCACCCTATGAGCGAATCTTCAATTTTGGCATGACGGCAGGAACAAAGCTACGGGAAGCGCGTCGCAAATCAGTGGATTGGAAAGCCGGGATTATGTCATGGGCGGACTCCCAAATCTTGCGGCTGATGGAGGGAGCCTATGAGGGGCAATTGTGACGTTCTTCGATGCCCGATTGGGTGACGGGCAAATCCCCGTTTTCTCAATCAATGCGTTGCCCGCATTTCATCGCACCTTTCAAGCGTCCATCCGCAACCTGGAAGCACGACGAGGGTTGATCGACCAGCAATAAGAGGTTTTCCATAATACAGGAGCAATTAACCCGGAAGGACGAAAGTCAGGAACCCCCAAAAATATTCCCATGACTGACAGGGATCTACATGATGGGATGGAGGCTTGTACAACCCAACCTAGTCTCGCTGAAATCGTAGTCTCGACCACGACCGATTGACTGACTTTCCCCGCCCTCCCCCTTCCAAGGTTTGGAAGTCATCGGAACACTCAAGTGGATTTATTAACCCCCTGGCACTGAGAAGTTGGTGCACTAGTCAATAGCGGAAGCTTGACCCTTGCACCGCATCGCCCCCGATCACAGTGTCTCCCCATTGCCCCAATGCCGTGTTCCAGCTGAGATTGTTGTTGTCTGTCTCATGCTAGGACAATTTGTTGGGCGGACCTTCCGTACGAATGTCCATTTTTAGGCCCATGATTACGATTCGCTGCTTCGGACCCCAACGTAACATGTTGGATCAATTGAAGGTGAGAAGGGAAGGCACTGATCCCGTAACTCTGACGCCTCATCGCTGCCAGCGAACACCGCTTGCGCTTGCGCTGACGTAACTCGACACTGAGAGTTCAGTTGGATTGCTGGCGTTGCCTAGAAACTACGCCGCTGGAAGTGTGAGTTGGGTGCTCCATGTCGGCTCGGATTCGTGTGCATGACTGAACACTGGACAATTTGGTGTACGAGTAATTATGATGTGGTGCCTCGCACGAATTAGAAGTGAAGGGATGGAACCCATGTGCCTGACGGCATCGATGTCCTTGTGTAATCTGCCGCTGCGCCATAGCGCAAATGACCTTGCTCGCCCAGTGCCAGTGCCACCAGTCCTTGGTCTTGGCTCTCTCGCCCTCCAGTCTGTCCCTGGCTTCGTGCTCCGCCCACACGCGCCAATCCCCCAACATTGCAAGATTGACCACTCCTTTCCATCGATGTTTCCTTTTTCTCCTTCCCAAGTTGCGAAGCCATCGAGCTGATTACGTTTCCGCTTCGATTCCTCTCTCACTTCTTTTTCCTTTTCCTTTTCTTTTTCTTTCCTTTTTCCTTGAGCCGCCCCGGGTCGTTAGCTCCCTACTTTATTGTAGGAAAAGGGCTTTGGCCTCAATCGTCGCTTTTTATCCTTTCTATTCTTCCCTCCGGTTCACCCGAATACAATTTAAGCGCCCCTGGTATTTCCCTTATACTCTTGTACCTCCACACGATCCTCCCCACGATCCTCCTCGCACCGCGCATCACGCACCACGCACCGCACCGCACCACACCCACCACCAAACGACGCATCTCGGAAGTGCACGTCAATCCGCGACGTAGGCTTGGTAGGCGAACCTCTGCGGGCTCGACTCGCACAGCGGTACGCCTTCGACGTAGTCTGGCATGTCGTTCTGCATCCGGTATTCGTCGTCGAGCCACAATCGCGATTCCGTCTTTCAGCCGTAAAACCCTCACCTAGGCCTTCACCTTCTTCCCCTCTCTTGCCCGCCAAGCCCTCGCCTCTTTGGCCACTTTTTCAGCGACCAATTCTTGACGAAGGGAATAACACCAACATCGGGGGTTCTACGCCGTTGGGAGAAACGAGAATAAAACAAAATCACGACACATGCGTTTGGGCGAGGAGGCTATTCCACCCCAATCCTCCTCAATTGTACCACAACCGCTGGGTTCCCGGGTGCTTCCAGTAGGGGCCCAGGCGTCCCTCTCCGCGACTCGAAAACATATCGCGGAATCAATCGATACCAATTCAACTCTTTTTACAATTAAGTCAAGTCTAGCCACCCCCAACCATGGCTTCCATCGGTCAGCCACCAGGTAGTTCAGGGCAGTCTGAGATGCGATGCTCGCAGAGGAGTGGAAGCACCGCCACGGCTGGCAACATTCCTCGACAAAGGGCGGCGAGGACCTTGCCAGGTGAGCTCAAAACTAGCTTATCTTTGATTTTCTCCCCCGCCCTAAAAGTGGGAGAGGGCGGGGACATCACCCTTCTCGGGTCGATCGTTTCTGTGCCTAGAATCATTCTTGCTAACTTGCGATATAGCCTGGATTGCCTCCTATGAGGCTGAGGATGAAGACGAGGAGCGACACCTCCTTAACCCACCCCCACCGCTGCGAACTTCGCATCACAACTCGAACCCGACGGATCCAGAGCGACGTCTTTCCAAGGACGGTTTCGTCAGCTGGGCGGATCCTAGTCTGGAAAGTGCGCCCCGAGAAAGAACAAGGTGCCGGTTCTGTTTAAGCATGGCCGCGCCGAAGGCCGAAAGTGGGATCACCTACGATCAGCCGAGCCCGTCATCGTATCACGCTACGCCCCGAGAACCGAGTACCGCACTGAATGGTCCGACTTCTTCCACTCCTCCCGAAGACCTCCTCCTCCCAACGAAGTATCCGCCGTTGTCGACTTTGAGACGCTGGACAAACTACAGCCCAACTTCAACCAGAGAATCGATGTTCCTTCGCATACACATGATAGGATAGGGCGCTCAAGACGAGAACGGACGATAGCATTTACAAACGACTATGGAAGATGATCATCCGTCATTCGCTTGTACCCCTCGCTTCACGACTTGCTGTTATGCTTACTTCTATCGTTGGTATCGCTATCACGGGAAGCATGATTCGGCTGTTGCGCGATGACCCCGACAAGGCTACCGAAAGTGGCCAGGCCATAGCCGCAGCCGCTGTCGATTCTGTCGCTATCCCGTATATCGCGTTTATGATCAAGGATGAATATACCGGGAAACCGCTTGGCTTGCGTCCACCGGCTGCTAAAATTGGTCTCATCCTCCTCGACCTTGTTTTTATCGTCTTTAAATCGGCGAGCACAGCACTTGCCTTTGAGGTCTTGATACACCACAACATCCGGGACGCGGATAAAAGGATGAGGTCTCTGTCCCAAGCGCTAACAGCGTTTATGCTTCTCGGCCTCTTGGCGTGGGTCATCACCTTTATAATAAATATCTTCCGCGCAGTTGAGCGCCTGGGCGGCGGTGAGAATGAAAACAGTCGTGCCTAACGCTGCATCCACTTTCTTATGTATTTTTTCTTCTTCTTTTCACCTTTTTCACCTTTACCCCCTTTATTTGGGGGCAATTTCTCATAGCATCAGCGGGCGTACATATGGTTCTATGCAATTGGTTTGGCTGGTTTCGGCAACCAGCTCCGACGTGGCTGTTTCTGTTTCTCGAGATGTACTCTTCAAACCAGCCAAGGTTCCTTTCATTCACTCGATCACTCCGTTTCCTTTTCGTCATTATCTCGTCGCTTCTTCCTACCTCTGTACACTATGGTCGCGTCGGCACACACACACACACACACACACACATGTACGCATAGATAGTTTCCTAAATCGAGTTGGGCCCATGATTGCACTTCCTGGCCGTCTTTTTCGTGATCCCATCAAATTCCTGTGGGTAATTAACCTCGCTGTTTGTCCAACATAGGCCGAGGATATCGGATGGCTCTATCAAGGCAAATGTTTCTAATGACGATGGTCACAGCTGTTGTGTATATATTCGAATGAAAAAAGGGTTAAAAAGGAACCACCGCGTCAACCCTAGTGAATGGATAGTGCCTAGTTACTCATGGAATGAATGGCGATTGAAGAGCTCTATTGGTAGAGGTCCTAAAAACGGGATCTAGATAATACTGCAGGAGCGTTCTCTGGGCGCGAGTGTTCATGATGAATCGGCTCTTTGGAAATCAAGCAGCCTAGCCCAGCACAACGAGGAATAGGCTGCCTGGTTTGGAACGCTGGACGTTGGCGGGGAAGGCGCCTAATGAATTGGCGGTGGAAAGTGGCAGAACCAGCGAGACCCACAGTTGGCGGTGGCTGCCTCAGCTCCAGTGGCTCCAACCTTGCTTGACAAGAACGACACTGCGTCCGACTCCAAAACCAGAGCCCAGACCAGTACTCACCCACCTCGCCTCTTGTCTTGACAAACCAAATCAACCCTTCGAATTCGTCGACTGAACATCAACCTTGACCTCGACCATTCTTAACGACCGTACATCGTTTGCTATCCCAGATTTCTCTACGCCGAACGCCCATCGTCGACCGTCTCACCTGGCACCCGCGCATTTGAGGGGCGACCACTTCGCCCTACCTTTTTCAGGAGGCACCCGCCCTCACATAGATATCGCCTGTTGCTCATCAACCGTTTCACTGCCGACGGCAGTCCTTGCCATCCTCCGAAAAGTCGCCTTAGCTTCTTCGCGCCCCTATCTTCCCCTTTTTCAGAGAACAATTTTTGCTGGAGGTTAGGCGTCCGATACAGATTGAAACCGGCCCTGGCTGGGTTTGAAGCATCCATAGCCACCCCGCCCTGGAGCACGACGCTGGCTTCCTAGCGTTGCATCATTGATCCCCACCAAACCCAGCGTTTTGGTCACGTCCTACGACCGGCGAAGACCCAAACTGTCAGTCGCCCTTGGAATTGCCCACCTTGCTTTGTCCCTCAAAATCCCCCTTCTCCTCTCTCAAGGGACTTTTCTTTTCCTTGAAAGAAAGAGAAAAATAAATTGCGCCTAACAACCCGCATCGTTCTAGACCCGCCCTGGCACAACCACATTGCTTCGCACTAGCTCTTCAGCGAGTCCTACGGAGGTCCATAGATCACAACTCGACCGCTGCCCGGGACCGACAAGATGCCGTTCACAATTCAGATCCCTCCACAGCCCAATAAGGAGGACCTTGGGGCAACGTAAGCTATCTCCCGCATGGTCCCGCTCATTTGTTTCCAAATGATCGCAACTTAAGCTTCCCACCCTGCTCAGAAAACTTCAAAGCTAACTCCTCCATGGAAGATGGAACTATCTCCAAGCGGGCATCTCCCGTGTGATGCATGCGCAAGATATCGATATGCAACTCGTGAGTCCGCGCCTCCGATCCCCAGAAGCCCTAGGCTCTTGGATATGGCCCCGAATTTTGGAATATTAGCTAATTTTCACTCTTAACGATGTCTAGTATGTTGGCATCTACACGTATGTCAAAGTCGCTCGTGCAGCCATTGCTTTGCTTTCTACCTAGCCCGTTCTTGCTAACCAAAACGATAGCGCTGTTCACAACTTCTGCACTTCACAAAAGGTGATGAGTGCGTCGCCCGGGTTTGGGGCAGCAAGCTCTGGACATAAGGGAGGTTGGTATCCCCGGCCAAGTCTTGACGTTTTAGGTACTGTGCGGTGACTAACTTTGGACACAGCCCATTTGCTTGGTGAAGATTTGTATAACAAGCTCATCGAGTACCTCAAGGGACACCTCGAAGAGCTTGTGCAGCAATCAAAGCCCATACCGATGAGGCTCTGCTCTCATTCTATATCAAAGAGTGGGACCGGTACACGGTTGCTGCCAAATATATCCACCATCTTTTTCGGTACTTGAACCGGCATTGGGTCAAGCGTGAGATGGACGAAGGGAAGAAGGGCATCTATGATGTTTATATCCTACACCTAGTAAAATGGCGCCAAGTGCTATTTGAGCAGGTGCACGGCAAGGTGATGGATGCCGTGCTCAAGCTTGTCGAAAAACAGCGAAATGGCGAGACGATTGAGTATAGCCAGATTAAGGCCGTTGTCGACTCCTTCGTTTCCTTGGGCCTCGACGAAACCGACCCTTCAAAATCGACACTTGACGTATACCGATTCCACTTCGAGAAGCCCTTCCTCAAGGCTACGGCGGACTTTTACCAAGCCGAGTCGAAACAGTTTGTCAATGAGAATAGCATCGTTGAGTACATGAAGAAGGCAGAGGCTCGATTGGACGAAGAAGACGAGCGAGTGCGCACGTACCTGCACCAGGATATCGCTGTACCACTCAAGACCACCTGTCACCAAGCCCTCATTGCGGAGCATTCGGCACTTCTTCGGGATGAGTTCCAGGTCCTCCTCGATAACGATCGTGAAGAGGATATGGCTAGGATGTATAAACTCCTCTCTCGTATTCCAGAGGGCCTCGATCCGCTGCGACAGAAGTTTGAAAGCCACGTCCGAAAGGCTGGCTTGTCGGCCGTGCAAAGGTTGCGTCTGACGCTGAAAAGCTGGAGCCCAAGGTGTATGTCGATGCCCTTTGGAGACGCATACAAAATACCAGGCTCTCGTGAAGAAGGCCTTCTGCGACGAGCCCGAGTTCACCAGGGCCCTCGATAACGCTTGCCGAGAGTTTGTAAACCGAAACGAGGTGTGCAAATCAGGCTCGAACAAGTCTCCCGAGTTGGTTGCCAAGTATACGGATGTTCTTTTGCGCAAGGGCGGAAACAGTGTTGAGGAGTCGGAACTGGAAGCCACCTTGACCCAGATTATGACCGTCTTCAAGTACATCGAGGACAAGGACGTGTTTCAAAAGTTTTACTCGCGCATGCTCGCCAGGCGGCTTGTGCATGGCAACTCCTCCTCTGACGATGCCGAGACCAGCATGATTAGCAAACTCAAGGAAGCCTGTGGTTTCGAGTACACGAACAAACTCCAGAGAATGTTCCAGGATATGCAGATCTCTAAGGATCTCAACACCAACTTCCGCACCCAAGAGGCAGACAAGGAAAGCGGGGGCTCGACTTTGGACTCCCAGTACTCCATCCTAGGCACCGGGTTCTGGCCTCTACAGCCGCCCACCACCAAATTCAACCCTCCGGCGGAGATTGCGAACGACTTTGAAAAGTTTACCCGGTTTTACAAGGAGAACCACGAGGGGCGAAAGCTAACGTGGCTCTGGAACTTGTGCAAAGGAGAGGTGAGGGCGCATTACTGCAAGGGCGCAAAAACACCCTACACCTTCCAGGTGTCGCTCTATCAGATGGCCATCTTGCTTCTCTTCAACGAACGGGATACATATAGTTACGACGACATTGCGGCGACAACTCAGCTTAACCCAGACGTGCTGGAGCAGGCGATGGCTACCATCCTGAAGGCAAAGGTGCTCCTCGTGTCGCCGGAGGGTAGCAAGGCGAAGCCGGGCGCGTCATTCAAGCTGAATACCGACTTCAAAAACAAGAAGATCAGAATCAAGCTAGACCAGGGTGGTGTTAAGGAGACGAAGCAAGAGGAGGCCGAGACCAACAAGACTATTGAAGAGGACCGAAAAATCCTTATCCAGGTACGTATACTCATCCCCCTTCTCCCCTTATTCCCCGACTCTCTTCCCCCACACACGCGTCCACATACACACATGCGCGCAACTACAATTCTTTTTTCGTTGACCTCGCTCACACACATTTCTTTAGTCCGCGATGGTCCGCATCATGAAGGCCAGGAAGAGGATGAAGCACGCGCAGCTCGTCTCGAGACAATTACCCAAATCAAATCGAGGTTCAACCCCAAGATCCCCGATATCAAAAATGCATAGAGATTCTCCTAGATAAGGAGTATCTGGAACGTCTGGATGACGAGGAACTGGGATATCTAGCGTAGACTTCAATTACGGCGCCTTCCCCAGCGCCCTTTCATGCCTTGGCTTCTTTTTCCCGGGTTTACCTTTTCTTTCTTCTTGCTCTTTTTCCTTCACAAAAGTCTCTCGTCCTCTCATCCACCCACCCTCTGGCGGGCTTCTCGAACACAATCCGATTATTTTCCAAGCGAGATAGAGCGAAAAGACAATGGAGCGACCTACGGCAAGGTGGGAAGACCAGTAGACGGCATGATGATGAATTTCGTGTCTCCTTTTAGTCGCGTGAAAAGCGAAATAGGATTAGAATAGGACATGAGGTAGCGCACTCGGGTGGGACTTCAGCCGAGACACAACGCAAGGGGATTCTATGAAGAAATGCGAATATCAAATGCTTATGACTAATTCCATCCCCATCATCATCGCTTGTGTTCATTCAGTGTTAGCTTCCCGGGCTCGTGAACGGTTGGGGGTTGGATCTCCTCCTAGTCCCTCTATCACAGGTCGATCTATCAACCCAACTTGTTTCTGCTCAACCGCCAGCCTGCGGTATACAGGCCGCCGATATCATGTTCACGGGAAACGACGCCGTGGCGGAGCGAGGGCTACGAGTTGTCGTGTGCTGAGGTCCTGGCGCCTGTGCGGGTCAACGATAGCTGGCTAACTTTGAGGGTAAGATAGTTTGAAAGAAGAAGAAGTGAGGTTTGTTGATTTCGTATCAGTCTGCTATTGTGCATCAGCCCCCGGTATCCATCACAGCCTTCAAGGTCTTTCGGAAAAAAGTGAATTAGGGTAAGAAGATGTAATAAGAAAAGGGGAGCAAAAGGAAACACGCCGCCTGAAGGGACACAAGATAGAAGATCATGAAAGTAGCGAAAGGCAGGCGGAGCGGAATCAGGGAACAAGGTTTCAAGAGGAAAAGACAACGGTTTATATAGAACTCAAGTTCTCGAGGCGATGCTCCCTTATTTAAAAAATCATGTCGCGTACTGGTAACTTTCATGATTTGTGCCATCCATCATCCATCACCCATCATCCATCATCCATCGTCTACATGTCGTCCTAAAAAGTCCCAGGTCCTCCTCTTCCAGCCTTCGCCCTCCGAATCTCGTAAAGAAAGTAAACGAAACTGGCCTGAAGGAAGAAAAGTGAACGAGAGGGAAAAGGAAAAAGGAAAAAGAAAAAGAAAACCTGCGTCTTCAGATCCAAAAATGCTATTTCGCCGCTGATGCAGTGAGGTTTAATTGTCTTTGTTATCATGACGCCCGACCCAGTCGACATCCCCTGGCTATACCTTCCGTTTCCTTGCATATATTGCTCGACTGCCATCCCGTTCTTCCGGGGCTCGTCGCCTTGTCTAACGAGCGTTTGAGTCCCGTCTCGCCCCTTTCCATTTAGCAGCACCCCATTTACAGCTTGTCGCTGTTTGCGTCGTCTTTGATCTGCACCGGCGCGCCCGCCGGGCGCTTCGCCAGAGATCCGGGTGTCTCGACGGCTACAAAGCCCTCCTGCGTCACCGACATTCCACCGTTGCCATTGGGTGCCCTGCGGTCCAGGTCACCTCTGTCGTTGTAGTTGTCCTCCGACGCCGTCGAGCTTCCCGACAGCCTCGAGCCGGCCCCATTCCGAGAGCCGAGCATTTGGTATCCCTTCTCCTCGACGACAGGAGAGCCCAGCAGTCCATTATCCTCATCCGGGGTCTTACCCTTGCTTCCGCCGCCGCCGAGGCCCCAGCCCTGCTTTCCCCAGCCCGTCTTGCGCTTCTCGCCGGCCCATGTCGCCCAGCTGCTTACGTAGGCGCCCGCCTTGGACCCGACAGACTGCATCGTGGCTTGGGCCTTGGTAAGATCGACTCCGGTAAAGGCTCCCTGCTGGCCCGCTCCCGTCATCCGCTCGTTTCCCTGGAGTGTTTTGGCCTCCTCGGCCTTCTTGCGCTGGGTCTCGCGGAAGGCCTCCATGTCAGCGTAAATCTTGTTGAACATGGTGGAGGCCTTGTCACGCCCGAAAGCCAGATTCCGCTCCAAGGCCTCCCTCCCCTGGGCAAATCGTTCGTCGAGGTGAAGCTCCTTGACTTGCTCGGCTATCCGCCTCTGGACATCGTCGATAGTGAGCCCCCTGCACAGGGGTGCTTCGGGTCGACAATGTCGAAGAGGTGAGAGTCTGTATTCTTATTCCAGATTCGGTAGTTTTCCGTCTTTGTCCAGGTTTCGACCCACTCGGTGCCAAAGTCGATGGCGGGGTCGCCCTCAATATGGGGTAGTAGGACTCTAAAGTCGTCGGGGCTCTTCTTGATGTAGTTGTGGTACTTGACCGAAGCGATGAGGGCCAGAATGTACTCCTCAAACTGCAGGCGGATAAACTCTTCGCTCCCGACGTAGCGTAGTGTCGTGGGCCTGCTAGGGTTGGCTTCATCCCAGGTCTCGTTGACCTCTTGGGTGAGGTAATCTATCCACCGCCTATCCGAGGCGGTGAGAGCGAGGGCTGATCTGAGTGAAGGAGACGAGATGTTGATGGTGCTCTCGTCGAGGTTGATGAGGATATCGCTGTACCGATCTTTTTGCTGGAGGAGGAGAGAGTTTGTGCTGCCGACAATGTACGACTTGGTTCCAAAGTCGGCAAGGATGTCGAGCTGCTGGAGAGGTGTATACGGGCCAAACAGGCTCCCCTGATCGGTGGGCCGAGGCGGGTTAGCGAGCTTGCTTCGGTGACCGGTAACAGAGGACAAGGGACTCAAAAGAACAAAAGACAGAGAGAAAAGAGCAAAGGGTGATGCGGCGCAGAAGTCGTTCAGTATCTTACCTTGCCAAATATCTGGAGGGGTAGACCCATATACTGGAGAAGAGAAGCCCTATCGCTCGTTCGTAAGCTCGTGGGCGGCGTCAGGTTCTTTTCATACTCGTTGAGCTCCGGGTCGGCACAGTCCTGGAGGTTCCGAATGAGGTTTGGGATCAAGGATATAAGGGAGAATTGCAGCATGCAAAGCCGGTCGCACCGTGACCCAAAGAAGAGCATCTGTCCACCAGTACCCCATGAATTAGTGACGGTTTAATAGGAGTGGGAGAAGTGGGAGTAAAGCCGAACCCGTTTCTTCTCTCTTCTTTTCCTTCTTCTTCGGGGGACTAACCTTTCGTTGTAGTAGGCACGCCTTGAGCAAGACAAGTGACTGCCACTTAAACTCGTGCACAAGCTCTCGCAGGCTCATGCCAAGATTATGGTCATTATTCTCCTCCTCGGCCTTCATAAGGCCGCGTCTCTTCTCGTCGGCCAAACTCTCCTGAAAGCCCTTGAGGATCTCGACGTCGGTAAACTCGCGCTGGGCGAACCACGCCTTGGTGACGATGCTGAGGCGTTCTCGTAGCATACCGAAAGCCTGGGGGCTGTCGGCGATGATGACGACAGCCTTTTGCACGGTGGAGCGGGTAACATCGGCAGGGCGGTTGATGAGCTGAGACGAATCGAGCTGACGAGTGCAGGCGATGCCGAACAGAGAGGTAGCCGGGCCGGCCGGAGACTCGGGTCGGAGGAGGGTGAAGTAGGAGAAGTCTTCTTCGGATCTAGTTCAAGGGAGAAGGCGGGAGAGCGGGTTAGCGAAGCACGGAGAGCCAAGTCAGCGAGCAGGAGCAAGGGGTGGGAGATGGAGGGCAAAGGTGTCGGCTGGTGCCTTTCCATAGGGTCACCAATAGGCTCTAACGAAGCTCTCTCGCGGGCTACCTACGCATGTGCGCCATCACTCAGGGCCATAAAGGGCAACAGAGGCCAGTTATAGTCGACGGCGGGGTCGGAGCCTTCAGCGGCCCCAAACCAAGCCTCGACTTCGGGGCCCCTCGCATGGTGAAAGTCGACGACGGTGACGAGGGGAATGAATCCTACCCGCGAAGGTGTCAGAGGCTCGGGCCAGGAAGGCGTCGGGGGTACAGAGAGAGAGGAGACATCGGCGGCCTGGGGTGAGGGAGAGGGCCCCGCGTCGGGAGTGGATCGGTGGCTTAAGCCCGTAGCGTCGGCCGGCTCGGTTGAGGGCGTGTCGGGGTTGGGGTCGTTCATGTTGTCAAGCGGGCTCGCATACCTTGGCTAAATATGCTGTGGTGGAGGGGTGGGAAATAGGAGCCAAGCACAGTAGGCCGGACGAGGGGAAAGGCTATTAGGCGAGCGCCCGAGACCACGAAGGCCAAAGTCGACTTTGGAGGACTAAATCCAGTTCTCACTCCAACCGAGAGAAAAAGAGAAGTTGCCAACGGAGAAAGGAGGGCGTGGTACGAAGAAGGACGTTCGAGGGGTGTCTATGGCGAGAACGGCCGAGTACGAGGTTGTCGCGCGTTCCTGTTCCTCACTGTAGGTGGGGCAGGCAGGTGCACCGACTAGGGGGACGTCGCGGAGGGATGTGCGGGCGGAATCGAGACCGGGGCGGTGATATTCGGGCCTTGGGGTGTAGTACAGCGGAGGGTGCCCCAGGAGGGTAGCAGGTAGGAGGGATGACGGACGTGGCGTGCACCGGGACCAGAGGCGAAACAGGGTGCTTGGGAAGGTTAAAAAAAAAAAAAAGGCGAGGGCAGTGGAAAAGGGAGGTGAGTGAAGAGTCGCGGTGGCGAATGGATTCTGGGCTTTCAGTGCACCTTCCACACACACAGATGCATACGCACAAACACACACACACACTCTCTCTCTCACTCTCTTTAGATGGTGAGGTTGAAGACAATATCGGGCCGCCGAAGAAGCTGCATGCGGAGCGGTGTTGGAAAAGAAAATGATTGACGTATGGGGAGAAGAAAAAAGTGTTGAAGGCTTTGGGGTGGTGCAGCAATTGGCGGCTCGGCTCTGCTGGTTCGCCGGCTGGCTCGTTCGCTAGCTTACATGTGCTGGGCGAGGAACACTGAATTGATTGCTGGCGGTGGAACGTAGATCAATTTGTTGCCAAGCTTTCCCTTCCGCGCTCGAGGGCACACCATGGCCTCTACTAGCATCAATACAGCGGAAGGAGAAGGCACACCGAGAGACCAGGCAAAAAGACCATTCCAAGGCGAGAATAGTACGCGATGTACTTCCTGGCTCGGGGGCGGTGCGAGCACAGAACTGCAGCCATAGATGTCTCATCCACACACGCCGGACCGGACGGGTTGTAGACAACCAACCTCAGCGGGTGGATTGTTGGACACATTGCCCAGTGTTCTTTGGTGGTCGGCGATCCCGCATCTGACTACATGGAAGAGATCTATCGCGGATCCGATAGGTGTATCACGCCCGTCAGCCCTTTACCGCAAGGCCTTTTTTCTAAGGGGACACCTTGACAAGTCCACGCTGCCCACGGTATCATTTCTCAAGAGAATCCGGGAGTCTTTGGAAGGATCACGTATCTCGGGTCGTCTTCAACTGATGACCGCGAACTAACCTGGCCTTGGGCTCCTATTTGGATCGATGCACCCTTCGTCGGTACAGTGTGACCTTTAGAACCTTTACGACCTGGATCACTCGACAACGTCAAGGCCGGGTATGGCGTGCAGTAGAGCATGGGACAATATCTACGTGTTGCATGTACTGAACCCGTCAAGCTTTGAGCGTTGCTAACCCCGCCAGCCGTGCTATCTTTTGGTGGAGGGGTTCCTTCCTTTTTTTCTGCCCTTCTGGTGCGGGGGAATGGATGGTCAATTGGTGCTGGTGGGGTTGAACTATTCGTCGTAGTGATGAAGTCCGTGGTTGTGTGGGGCGGGGGGAGCGTGGGCGGCCCTTCAGCTCTACTACCTATCCTCGTCCAGCGCGCATCAAGTTTTTTTTTTTTTTTCTTCAAAGAAGCGGCCCTGTGCTAGGTGTAACGCCAATTGGTAATTGATATCAAGAAACATTGATCCCCGGGTCCATGGTCAATTTTCATCCCTCACATGAGGCTCAGGTCGTCGTCAACTCATTGGTAGTCCGCAGGCGTGAGTGAGGATAACGCTAATGTTCCACTCGTTCGTGCGGACGTGCAACAGCCCAGACACTAGGACGAGGAGGCCGTGCTTTTCCCATTTCCCCATCTTGCCCATGTAATGAATGGCTTGCTTCGAAAACCTGTCAGGCCGCGCGGTGAAAGGCGGTCAAGTGTCACCACCGCGGCTGGCAGGGTCCACGAGTGGCGGGCGAGGTAATAGGAGAGGTGGGAGAAGTGGGAGAGGTGGGAGAGGTGGGAGAGGTGGGAGGGGGAGGGGGAAGGGGGATTGTAATTTGAACAATCAATGAAAGTGCCTTGAGCTGTCATGAACCTTGGGGGAGGAGAAGCCTCGCCACTCTCTCTCCTCGGCTGAGCCAAAGAGGAGGCCATCTTGGCCCTCAATAAAGGGACCCGCCGATGCTTTTGCATCCACTTGCATCCAGCAGCAGCTGGACTCGCTATGTCGTCCAAGCACCTGATGCGGGAAAGGAGAGATTTGGCATCCTGCCAACGTGGCCTCGCATCTGCATTGCTGCATGGAGGCAGCCTTCAATCTATTTGCCCTTGAATATCCTGCTGCCGCTCACCATCTGCTACGAGCTCTACATGTTCACAGGAAAAAAGAGCATTTGAATACTCTAGTCAAGCCATGAAGCGGGAGGAAACCCCACGTTTGCTACTAGGGAAATTTGATACAATAATAATAATAATTGAATAAAACCTATGCAGCACCGCCTATCCATTGCTATTGCTTTCCCTCCCACAAGCCGGTGTGCTCGTCATATCTCGTATCTATCAAAAAGCCTTCTTCCATCCCTCTTCCCAGTGACGCCGTTGAAAACAAGAAACAGCGGGCAGTACATAAGAAAACAAGCAAAAGAAGCGATACGGCAAATAACAGCGATGGAGATGGGACAAAGGAATGAGAAGGGGGAGGAAGACAGGGGGATAATGGCAAAGCAAAACGAAAAAAAAAAAAAAAAAAGACGAGAAGGGAGACCGGCCTTCCTCTCCTCCCAAGACCTGGCGTGAAGCCAAGGAAGACCAAGGAAGACCAAGGAAGAGCGTGGGATCGATAAAGACAAGGAGGTTAGACGAGAGCCCATGACTTGAACCGGGGCCTGTACCAGAAACAGACATCCCTCCAAACATTAACCATCAGTTTCGGCATCAGTCAGTCAGTCCTCTTTCCAGTCGGGTCGGGCGGGCGATTCTCGACTTCACGAAGATCCACAGCTTTCCTCCATCTAGTCCTCGTCCTCCCCAAATGCCCAGTCGCGCATCTGACCCTGTTAACGCCAAACTTTACATATACCAAGTGCTCTCCCAGTCCTCACCTCACCACGTTTGAGAATCAAGGGAGCAGAGTCGTTCTCCGAGTCATCATCAGGCTTTCCTCGGCTAAAACCGTTCTCGCCTTTCCAGCTGGGCTTCTTTTTCTTTCGGTAGCCTTTTCGATTAACCTTTGACAAACATGATTGCATTGGCATTGGTTTACCCGCGACGTTCAACCCCTTCTCCTTATTTTTCTCTCTCTTTTTTTTTCAGTTTTCTTTTTAAATTCTTTTGTGGAGGGGCTGGCTGGCATCGTTAAACTAGAGTATCATCGTCTCGTAGCGAGTCCCGGGTGGAAAAGGCGGAGAAGAAAAGAAAAAGAAATGTAGGCGACTTTTCATCCGGCTCTCTTTGATAACGCCTCAAAGTAAACACGACGGAAAAGATGAAGGGATAACACATGGAAGCGTTGGGATGGCGGCAAAAAGGCTCGCCTGGAGCGCAGAGGGAGCCGCGCGGTCCCCGCCAAAATACGCCTCCGATTAGAAACTGCCGGCGAAGTCTAGTCGCGAAATTAACGTCTCGACGAATATTGCCACCCCTCAATTAGAGAAGAATAGTCGGTGGCTTTTATTGGAGCAAAGCATCCTCCATGGGAGGCACCACGGGCTCGACATTGTGATAATCAAGGATTTCAGAGTACCTGTAATTTCAAATCTTCTGGTTAGCTCTCGCCTCTACTACTATCGCCATCCCGCTCGCACGCGATGCAACGCTGGGGCTTACATCATGATCTTCCACGTGTCGACAGGAAGGTCGGCATCGTTGAAGCTCCAGTCGAACTTCTCATCCGCAACTGGCTCATCCGTGGGATCGTGATACGGCGCGAGGTATTCGTGAGCAAGGGCATCAGCAGCCGTTATTCTCTTGGCTGGGTCAAATACAAGCATCCTCTCCAGAAGATCGATGGCTAGAGCGAGGTGGGAAAAAAAGACATCAGGTTAGCATTTCCCCTCACAACATAACACCCCATCCCCGGACTCCTAGATTAGGCTTACCTGCAGGCTCGGCATTCCTAAATCTGGCCTTCAAAGGCTGACGTTCCCTCTGGGGTAGCGACTTGACAAATCGTAGTGTCTGTAAAATTATGTGTCAGGGTAAGGTTTAATCTCAAAAGGGCAATGGGAAGTCCTACGTTTTCGCTCGCGATAGTGTTGATAACATCATCGGGAGGGGTGCCAAGAAGCTCAGTGATGATGGAGAATTGGTTGACGTGATCCTTTCCGGGGAACAAGGGCTTGCCATCAATCATCTCCGCGAAAATGCACCCGGCACTCCAGATATCGACTTCGACGTTGTACTTTTGCCAGGTGAGCATAATCTCCGGAGCGCGGTAGTATCTCGTAGAAACGTAGCCGGTCATCTGAGGATCTTGAAGTCTGGCAAGACCAAAATCGCAAATCTTGAGATCGCAGTTCTCGTTCACTAGAATGTTGCTGGGCTTCAGATCTCGGTGGACCACGCCAGCGGAATGTACGTATTTCAGGCCGCGCTAGAGAATAGGCTGTTAGTCACCTCCATACTCAGGTTTAAGTAGCGAGCTCTAGGTAGTGCACGCCAGCCAAAGGGCCACACACCATGATTTGGTACAAGAAATACTGGATGAACTGCTTCTCAAGGGGCCTTGAAGTGAGGAGCCGATGGAGATCAGTGCCCAGGAGCTCGGTAACGAAGTAACTATATGAAGAAAAAGATGTCGCGTTAGAATAGTGATCAAGACAGCCATTGCAAGGCAGATTGTTTAGCTAGCACGCTCGAGTCGAGCAAAGAAAACGGGGGCAAGGGGAAACGTACATATCCTCGAGGGGTGAAATGAAGATGTCGCTTAGGGAAATGACCTAAATATAGGTGGATGGGTATTTGTAAGTTAAACGGCCTATGAAGCGCCCATTGTCGATGGAACGAGGACTAACATTCTCGTGTCTTAGATGCTTCAGAAGCTTGAGCTCGCGATAGGTCCTCTTGGCCAGGACGGGTGTGCTGAAAGGCTTCATGATCTTCTTGACGGCCACATTCTGATTGGTGAGCTGATCTCGTGCCGAGCTGCGTGCAGATTTAAACGTCAACAACCTGAGCTTTGGAGGAGTTGGGGCAAAGCACGCCAAAGTATGCCGAGGATGGGGTGAGGTGCAAAGTTGTGTTCCAGCGAGTAACCACTTCATCGGGGGATGGAAGAGTAGATGCGGCAAGATAACTTACCATACTAGACCGAAAGCGCCCATGCCAACCGGTTGGAGATCCGAGTACCTATTCGGCATATTAGCATGGTGTTGATATGTGGCTTGTCCCGTCCTAGATATTACCTCGATGTGATCTCGAAGGTGGTACCAAATATTTGAGCCCGAACAAACTCCGCCATCTTGAATTATTGACTATTGTCTTATCCGCTTAACTTGAAGCAAGGTGGTTGTTGAGTGGAGACGATTCGGCAAGCGAGAAGGCGGTTCTAAAAGAGAGAGAGACGGAGAGAGAGAGAGAGAGAGAGAGAGAGAGAGGAAAGAGGGAGGGAGGGTGTGTGTGTGTTTGGGTAGATGGGCGAAGGGTGGTTCGTGAGCACAGAGGCACAAAGCTTGTGCCCTTGGGTTGATTGGGGGAGGCCGCGGGGTTCGTGAGAGTCGTCGAAAGCAACAGAAACGTTTAGGAAGCGGAGGGGACGAGATGTCGCCTGGCTCAAAGGTGATGACCAAAATATCAGCACGGACAAGACACAGGTAGCGTGCGGCGTCTAAACTCTGCGAAAAGGGTTGGATTTCGAGTTGGATATCGTGAGGATAACGAAAGGATTTCTCGGTCTTTGGTTGCTCGTCGGAAACGGCGTGTGCTTTGAAAAGTGGGTGGTGGTGGGGGAGGCGAGGTAGTCAGAGGGGGTTAATAAAACCTTTTCGATTTACTGAACCTGTTTTCCGCTTTGCCAGCATGGGCAATGTGTGTGAGTACTGGTACAGAGTGGACTTGGGACTGGCAGAAAGGTGATGTGGCGTGCGGGACCAAGTGGGAAAAACTGTGGGTGGGAATCTAGCGGGACGGACCAGGGGTGGGCGGGGTAAAAGTGCGTGGTGGTGTACACCCAACCAGCTGCGTGTTTGGTTGTTTTTCCAAAGAAACTTGAGGTCTGTCTCAGCTCCCCTTCTCGCAGCAGACAAGAGACTTTTTGTTGTTTCCTTTTTTACCCTTGCTTCGGGCTTTTCTTGCGGGAGGGAGTGAATTGGCTTTGGGGGCAGGGGGAGGGGGAGGGTATTCTCACGTGAAATAGACTGAACAGCGACAAAACTTACGAATGGCCGTCACTCAAGTCGTGGCTGTCGCGAGACAGTTTCTAGTTTCTAGAGACGTTGAACAGAACCGCGGCTTGTTTCTACAAGATCGGGTTCCAAGCCTGCGCTAGAGAGGTCTGCAGTACCGGATCTGGTACTTGCGATGGAGTGCTTGTATCTAAGGGTGCTTGTGTCGGGTGTTGGTAGAAGAATGCTCCAAGGCGGAATAAAATTGAAAAGGAAAAAAAGGAGAGAGAAAAGGCTCCTCGCAATAGGGTCGAGAATATGGCGGCGTCTCCCAGGAGAGGAAACAAATTATTGTTGGGTGATGTTAAGCAATGCTTGCCGCAGTGATCGAGTTACTGAAAGTCAAAAATTGACTGCTTCCTAGAGAAATTGATGGTATCTTGTTTCTCGGTCGGAGTTCGGCCCTGAAACCGCTAAACTAGACTCAGCTTTGGGTGCTGATCTGCTTTCGACGGGAAAGAGGTGCGCAATCGAGGTGTCCGAGCTTGAGCTTGGGGAGCGGAGCTTTAAGCGTGATAGAGGACCGCTGGATATGCTCTCGGGTCGCGATGAGAGATCGTCCGTTGCAGTCCAGTCCCTTGAGGGTTTGCTTTTCGTCTAGATGATACGACTATCGCGAACGGCGACAACGGTTCTCTTCGGTCGCAATTGATGTTTTATTACCACAGAAGCTTCAACATCCACTGCAGTGTACGATTGGACCTGTATAACCCCTTCGTTTCCCTAGGATCGCTGCAGCTTGTCCGGTTGCGATGTTGCTTGTTTGGCCGGAAAGAGAAGGAGGGGAGAGGGGGTGCCGTGTTTGCGAGTTTTTGTCTTTGATGTTCTATTCCCTAGACGATGGAGGAGATGGAACAAAGGCGGGGGCGAAAGAGGACGACGGAATCGGTAAAAAGATGAGAGATCGGGGGCAGGATGTATATTCAAGTGAAAGAGGCCACCCTATTTGTTCAGATGCTCGGTGGACTTGGTGGGAAGCGAAGGTGAAGTGGGCTGTCGTGGAGGTTTTGTAAAGGAGGAGAGAGTCTTGGAGCAGGAATCCCGGATCAATGATGCATCTCGAGTCCCGTGGACAGGGTAAGACGGGAGGGACCTATGCAGCTCAGTACTTCGATTGAGCTTTAATTTTCTAGTGTCTTCTGTTCTCTCATGCCATGTGCTGTCATCCATCTGGGCTATTACTTTGGTGCATTATCGGGAACTTCTGAGATTCCCATCTCCCCTTCGCTCTTCCCCACTTCTCCCTCTCCAGCCTTCACTTGGAGCACTCATAGCACGGCAAAGGGCTCTCCGTTTCACACCCCCCTTCCTCCACTACCACCCGTCTGTCTCCTCCTTCGTCGTCCTCCTCCCTTCTCCTTCTTGGTTTTCTTTTTCGAAGTACTTCGTATCATGAACAGCCGTGTAAGATACGTACCTCGCCCAACATGCAACCTTGGAGACAGGGCACACAGGGCACAGGGGACAAGGAGTTCCAAGAACGTGAATTTCGGGATGCGGCTGCCCTGATTCGAGCTTGCACCCCTTTGGGGTCAATAGTCCAATCAGAAACGACCCCTCTAAGCCAGTCTACACTATCTCCACCAGACAAGATGCGGAAGGAAAGCCCGTCAGAACACGCCTTGAAAACGGAGGGACTAAAAGGAAGCGAGGACGGATAAGACTTGTTCCTGTGTCCAGTCCGTCCAGACGGGAGAAAAGGGCGAGTTTGGGGTAATAGTGGAAAGGTGGCAGTAAAGAAAGGGACATCATCGCATTTCCCCGACTGGTGCCGGAAACATTCAACCTCTCGCATGCTTTGCCGTTCTGCTATTAAAAGAGAGTTGGAGCAATAATAGTGGATTACTTCGCTGGCAGCATGCCAATTTGGGTTGCTCGTGGCCCTGGCGGCCAACCTGGAGCGACACCTCCGGGAATGACGTCATGGTGGCGTCTTGTCCACCTAGGCTTCTCCCCCACCTCGAGCACGACGCTAACAACTTTGGACACACCTTGTCTACTTAGCGACAAGCGACAAACGGTAGGTACAGTAGCCACTCTACTTGTAGCATGATAAGAGCAAATGAAAGAGCACTTGAGATCTTACCCCTCTGTTTATTTGGACGGGCTCGAGGTTGGTGGAAGGGGAGGTAGGTGAGTATGGGGATTATGGTGAAACCCCCCTTTGCCCTGTGGAAAAGAGAAAAGAAATGAAAGCCCCTCCTGATGCTACGATGGCTAGTCCAGGCCAAGCCGGCGGTTCAATTTCAATGGGCCTCTCTTTCCCCGTTGCCGCCAGTCGTAATACACATATTAACCAATTGATCTTTCCGAGCACCCCTCGGCGAAGCCAGATTATCGGTCTCCATTGGCCTCCCCACCTCTTCTCCCGAAAAGAAAAAGAAAAAAAAAGCACCAAACCACTAGACCAACAAGAGGAACTTGAGCGTTCAATTGTCGAGTTGAAGGTGCTGTTGTAGGGACTCACCCGAGCAAATTGCTGTCAATGTCACCAAACTAACTGAACTAACTTAAGCTCCCCACCCCCGTTTGCCCTTGCCCTTTGCCCTTTTGCTCTTTTGCCCTGTACCGTGCATGGCGCTCTTTCCCTCGAATGCAAAACTTGATCTCGATGTCACTCACGAAATCCGATCCCTTTCCACCTAGCCCCTGCCCCCGCACATTGTCGATTACGTACATGTTCGTTGAACCAGGCCTTGCACAGGCCTTGTTTCGGGAGACCAAAATGGACAGCACGACCAAACCCTCCCTGGACAGGACATTGATCCATTCAATTGATCCTGTGGAAGCCTCTATTCGCTGTTGTTGTAATCAAAAGAACCGCGGCTGTGGGTTCGGCCAGCTCCCCTCCCCCTCTTCCCCAACGGAACAAAACGTGTGCAGCAAGAAGAACCGTTGGAGGGGAAAGAAGGATTGGAAGAAAATTGAGTTCCCCGATCACGACGCTGGGTCCTTGATCCAGCAAAAATAGCCGGCTAGGGAGCCCGGTCCCACAACACTCAAGCGCGAATTGACCCGCCACTTCTCTACTCTTCTTCCACCCTCTCTGGGTGTTCACCGTCCTCCCCTCCGAGGGTCATCAATTGGATTCCCACCAATGCCTCCTGGGACCGATAGGCGCTGTGCCTGCGTAGTCTGGTTCGGGCTCAGGCTCGGGCTCAGGCTCACCCTCACGCTCGCACTCACAATCGCCCAATCACCTGCTGCTGGTCCTTCGCTCACCCCCTCGCCCAGTATCCGCCCCTTGATTGGATGGGAGCTTGTCGACGTCATCATACATGACAGCTAATGGCCTGCCGTCCTTGTTCACCCTATGAGCTTTATTTCTCTCCCGCGCACAGTCCTTTCCTCAACTGGCTGGTCCCAGAACTTGACGTGAGGCCACGATGACGAGATGCCACTTCGTCACCATCTCCCTGCTAAGTCCTTAGGACCCCTCGTTCAGAGGAAGCTAATTACCGTGCTGTCGCAGCTCAATGGAAGCACCAGCAATGGAAGCACCAGCCGTTTTTTGCCAATACATGTGCGCTCCGAGAACGATGTCCTGTCTCCTGACCGGGCGTGAGCTCTCGGCGCGTCAATAACCAACAAGCCGCTTGGTGAACTATCGACCACCGGTTTCCTTCATCAGTCTTAGTCCGTCATAGCGGCCTTTTTCGTACGACCAATTCTCATGGCGGTCATCATGCCTGCCTGCCCTCTATTTTTCAATTCATCTTGTAAGCCTTCTCCTGTCTTCCCTCTCCCTCTCCTCTCCTCTCTCTGTATTTCTGTATTTTCTACCTTTTTCTTTTTTTTTTTTTTTTTTTTTCAGCAAGAAAAGATTTGAACTTGAGAAACCCCGCTCCGCATTTGATGGAACATTGAAACGAATGAAGGTGCGGCATGAAGAGATGAGGCCAGTCTAAAAACGGAAAGGGTGGGAAAGAAGTACAAGTAAAAGGAAATAAAAACATAGAGAAGAAAAAAAGAGAAAAATGGGTATGCAGGCGAAGAACCCCGAAAGGAGAGGGAGGGATACCCTGCCACCACTGCTAGCTAACATGCCCTATGTCGTCATCATGCTCAGAGGCGTCGTTCTGCAGCAAGTAGCTCCGCGGAGACCCTTGGGTAAAGTCGCCAAGTCCCCTCTTCGACTGCATCCGACCAAATCTCACAGACGAGCTGGCCTCACTCAGCCTTTTCTCGTGCACAAGAGACTTCACATCCACCCCTTCCCGTTCTCTTCCACGAGGAAAGTGGTTTCTGAAGGAAGAAGAAGAAAAATAAAGCAAAAAAACCAAGAGGGTGCGCCAGGGGACCGGCGTGATCCGAGAGCGGGTTTTCTCGTGTGTCTACCGCGGGTCTATTCTCAAGCCTGTGATAGATGTGTCTTTTTTTTTTTTTTTTTTTTTAACTTTGACGTGCCCCTTGACCCTTTTTGCATCCTTTGATCAGTTGCCTGTCTTTGTAGGTCAACAGATCAAGTCCCTTCCCCAGCCCCTCCCAGATAAGTGTCCAAGTATGGGCTCACGACAAGGTACCAGTACCAGAGGTCTTCCAGGTTAGCTTTTTCCGCACCCGCAGACACGCGCCACCAAGGCGTGCCTGGGGTGAGGCTTTTGCAACATTGAACCTTGGCTCCGTAACCCACTCTCTCCCCCATTGCTGCCCTTCGGTGACACAACATTGAATGATGGAAGCTCAATTGAGTCCAACTGTATTAGGGTAAAAAGAAAAGAAAAGAAACAAGACCTCCCGGCGAATATCTGTTAGAGAAGATAGAAACCAACGAGCCCATGGCAATTCAAACCTGGCCGTCAACAATGAGACCTGAGGGATCCACCCAGCATAATCGAATCAAAACATGGATATTGATCTCCTTGCCTCTTCCTGTGGCGCTCGACGCTCGAGATTTCTCCACCCCAACCTTTATCAGGTCCTCATTTGCTCCGTCCTGCCTTCTTACATCAATGTCGGCCGTAAGAAAAGGAAGACGAAAAAATTCAAGTCTTGCCTTGGGCCGCTATCCCGACCCTCGACATCCAGACGGCCCCACCGGCTTTCAGACATAATGTTACCATGTGCCACCGCCATTCGCGTGCGTGTTCTGCAAGGACTCAGCCCACCTTCGTCACTTACACAATGCCCGCCTAACCGGGGAGAGCCATCCATAGATCCTTTGGGTGGGCATGGACCGTGGCCCGGGGATGCCGTCCTGTGGTTGGTTTTCTTTTTCTTTTCTTTTTTCTTTTTCTTCCTTGTCCCCTTGACAGCAGCGGTTCGTCCGACGCACGAAGCTCGATGATGAAATCCCTCCCGTCTTCTTCCCAGAGCTCCCCACTTTCCCCACCTCCTACCATATGTTGCCTGTGCTGCACAGGACGGTGCTACAATCCAGACCGCGAGAACAAGGTTGAGGTGGGAAAGGGTCGGTATGACAGCATCATGTTCATTGAACCATATGTAGGGTCCAGCTGGTCTATTCTGGAAGAGGTGGAGGGGGACGTAAAACCCTGGTTCAGAGACGTAGAAGGACGAGTAAGAATACTCGTTACTGCATTCAATGTTTGATAAGAAGAAAGAAAGAAAGAGAGCTAATGAGGCAACCACACCTTGAGGAGAGCGAGTGATGAAGCAAGACCAAAAGAAAATAAATCAAAAGGCCGCAAAGTGGAGAAAAGTAGTCATCAGCAACAGAGTAAGTAATAAGGTGGCCACAACACCCTCCTCCCCGAAAAGTCACTACACGCACATGCGTACACCCAATGTGTAAGCCAGCTAGCTTGCTTCCATACAAGAATCAGACCCCTCTTTCCCCTATTCCCTCATCGCGAGCGGCTCAATGTTCCAAATCTCCTCGGCATACTCGTTGATACACCTGTCACTGCTAAAGAAGCCCATGCGAGCTACGCTTGTGATCGTCTTGGTAATCCACTCCTCCTGGTTTTTATATGCTTCGTCAACAATAGCCTGCGTTGCGTTGTAGCTGTTGAAGTCATCCGAAACGAGGTAGTAGTCGCCGTGGTCGCGGACTGCGGCAACTAGAGCACCGAAATCCTTGGCTTCTCCAAACCTGCCGCCCTCAATCTCCTTGAAGACCTTGGCGAGGTCCGAGTCAATGGTGTGGGTGCCGTACGTGTGCGTGTGTCGAAGTTCGTCGACATCCTCGGCGAGATTGCCAAAGAGGAATATGTTGTTCTCTCCAATCTCGCGGGTGATTTCGATCTAGTTGAAGCACAAGAACGTCAGCTTTCTTTTCTCTGCAAGCTACGGCATCCCTCTGCCTCGGTTGGAGCCATCGCCGCATGGGGGAGGGGCAAAGGGGAAATCACTTACATTCGCACCATCGCATGTACCAATAATGAGACCGCCATTGAGGACAAACTTCATGTTGCTAGTTCCGGAAGCCCTGCAGAAAGTGTTAGAATATTCCAAATGAGTTCATTTTCATCTTGCGCCTGTTCTCCTCCCATTGGTCTCGGGTTTAAATCTGGCCGGGGAAATTTCTTACTCAGTGCCCGCAGTGGAAATGTGCTCGCTGAGGTCAGAGGCAGGGACAATGATCTCGGCCTTGCTGACGTTGTAGTCTTCGATGAAGACAACCTTGAGAAGATCACCAATGTCCTTATCGTTGTTGATGACGGCTCCAACATTATTGATGAGGTGAATGATCTGCTTGGCCATCCAGTATCCGGGGGCGGCCTTGCCACCAAATATGGAAACGCGAGGCTGCTGCTTCTTTCGTTCCTCAGGCGACATGGCCTTGAGGGTGAGGTAGCGGTGGATGACGCCAAAGATGTTGAGCTGCTGGCGTTTGTACTCGTGAATGCGCTTCACCTGGACGTCGAAGAGCGCCGAGGGGTTGACTGTCACCCCGGACGTGGTCTTGATGAGCTTGGCGAGGCGGACCTTGTTGGCGTACTTGATCTCCGCCCATTCCTTACGGAACGCCTTGTCATTGAGGTGAAGTTCAAGCTTGTTGATGTTGGTGAGGTCCTTTAGATACTCGCCAGCCCCACACTTGCTTGCAATGAGCTCCGACAGGCGAGGGTTTGCCTGGTGGAGCCAGCGGCGCGGAGTGATACCATTTGTGACATTGGTGAACTTGTCCACGCCGAAAATAGCGACAAAGTCCTTGAAAATTGTGGTTCGGATGAGATCCGAGTGAAGCTCGGCAACACCATTGACCTTGTGGGAGCCAACAATGGCAAGGTGGGCCATGCACACCATCTTGGGCTGCGACTCCTCAATGATTGAGACCCTCCTAAGGATTTCGCGGTCGTTGGGGAATGCCTTCTCGACGCTCTGGAGGAAGAAGAGGTTGATATCATAGATGATCTGGAGGTGGCGGGGGAGAAGGTGCTGCATGAGGCCAACGGGCCACTTTTCGAGAGCTTCCGGAAGCACCGTGTGGTTGGTGTATCCAAACTAGTGTAATCCCGAGCATTAGCGACAGCACGCGCACTTGTATACCCCCTCCTTGCGCCTAGCGAAACCGGGGGAAGCTGAGAAAGCCTTCGATACGTACCGTGGAAGTTACAATGTTCCAGCCCTCATCCCAAGATAGGCCCTCGAGGTCGACGAGGATGCGCTGCAGCTCAACAACGGCGAGCGTGGGATGAGTATCATTGAGCTGGATAGCAACTTGATCGGGAAACTCGCTCCAGGGACGCTTGGACTTCTTGAATCGCCTGACGATGTCGTAAAGGGAGGCGGCAACCCAGAAGTACTGCTGCTTGAGACGAAGTTCCTTTCCTCGCTCGAGGTTGTCATTGGGATACAGAACCGCGCTGATCGTCTCCGCGCGTTGCTGATCGGCGACCGAGCTCTCGTAATCGCCGTTGTTGAACTTTTGGAAGTCAAATTCGCCGCTAGCGGCCTTGCTGGACCACAGTCGGAGGTTGTTCGTGGTGGGGGTATCGTAGCCTGGGATGGGGACATCGTAAGCAACGGCAGTGACGGTCTCGCCGCCTTCCCAGTGGACCACAGGGTTTCCATCCTCATCAGTCGACTTATTAACGTTGCCGTAGAATTGGATCTGCGCGCCCCCGAGGTGTTAGTGGATTTTTCTTTTCTTTCTTTTCTCTGTGGCTCTCCAAAACCCATTTTCTTTTTTTTTTTAACCCGCATTTTCCCACCCTTGGCGATTTCTAAGTGGGCGACCACCAATGACTTACATCCACAGTCACATCGTGACGAGGGAACTCCCAAGGGTTGAAGTCCAACCAGTAATCCGGAACCTCGACCTGATAGCCATCGATAATCTCCTGCTTGAAGATACCGTATCTATACCGCAGGCCGTAGCCCCAGGCGGGATAGTTGAGAGAAGCCAGGCTGTCGAGGAAACAAGCCGCAAGGCGGCCCAAGCCACCGTTGCCGAGAGCTGCGTCGTGCTCCTGCTCAATGACGTCTTCGATCCTGAAGCCCAAATTGGAGAGGCCCTCTAGAAACGGGGTAAGCTACTAGTTCGTGCTGGGCTCTTCCTCGCGGAAAGGAGTGGACAAAGGGGTGGATGCATGGTAATGACAACGGGAGTGTGGAAGTTCACATACGTGTAGCAATGTCCTTCTGGCCAACGTTCAAGATGGCATTGTCAAGGGCTCGGCCCATTAGGAACTCCAAGCTGAGATAGTAAACACGCTTGTTGTCATTGAAAGTCTGGCGCTGCTGGGTCTTGTTCCAGTCCACGATGAGGCGGTCGCGGAAGGCCAAGCTTGTGGCGGCGTAGGCAGCCAACTCATCGCAATTGAAAACACTGCGAGCTAGGTCGGTTTCGACGTGGCGGACAACTTCTCGTTCAAACTCATCCCGAGTCTCGAATGGCTTGAACTTGCCCTTGTTCCAAGCCTCTCGCTGGTTTTCGGGAATTGAAGCTGAAGGCACCAGTTGGTTAGAATTTTGCGTCAATCCCAGGAAATGATGGGAAGGGGAAGAGGAGGAGGAAGAGGAGGAGAAAACAGATAGCCTCCTTTTCCCGGTACCAGAGTCCAGCCGGTCACAGCGAAGCTACATACCCTCGACATTTTTAATCTCCTGTGGAGAAAAACCAGTAAAGGTTCTCTTATGTTTGGGTCGAGAAATGCCGGCGGGGCTAACGCTTCCCTGGATATCGACGATGGGGGCGCCAACGGAAGGTCGCCGCTGGCGGGAAGGGAGGGTCTCGGTCGTCATCCTGTAGACTTGTTCTGGACTCTTTTCTCGGTTCTCTTCGTGGGCTTCACGGCCAAGGGCGATAGCTGGTTAGGAAGGGTTTCTCGGGAAAGGCTTGGAGTTCGAGAAGGGGATAGATTGGGGGAAGGGGGTGGTGGACTTGGAACCCCCGATTTACTCACTCTAGAGCTTGCTCAGCAAAGGTCTAGATACAAGGTGGTAGGGCGAACTAATGATGGTGTAGTAACAAGAGGCCACACCAGCAAGGAAAAGAAGGGCAAGGTGTGAAAAGACAAAAAGAATATGTGTGATGCCGCTAGGAATAAGGTCGTGGGAGGGAAAAGGTGAAAGGGGAAGAGAGGTAAGAGGGTGGAGACGTAGATGGGAGCTCCGGGGAGCTTATAATAGACCTTGCTCAGGTCCGCGGCGTCAGGCGATGGTAAGCAACGGGGGCAGCAGGAACATTGAAGCTCGGGCTGGGTCAATTGATCTATGGATGGCACGAAAGGTGGGGTTCTCGCCTATAGTTCTCGCCGACTCTTTCTCTCTGCCCTTACCTCTCTGCTCATTGCACACGCGCGCGGCCCCTGGTGCATCTGCACTTGGGACCAGGTCTTACGGAGGGAAGAGTTAGTGTGCTAGTGCATTTGTCCCCGCTCTTGCCCAAGGGGAAGCTCGAGTTACCCCCGGAGGTTTCGTCTCGCTAGATGGCGGACACGCCAGTTCCCGGCAAGCACTTTTGAAGCTAACATGCGGACGGTGAAGCATTGAGGTGTCTTCGGGCACGCCGTCACAGACCATGTACCAGCTACATGTACTATTAGATCATCGAGCCCGTCCGGGCTTGGCTGCCTGCATCAGGCCTTGTCGAGTTTTGTTGGTCAGACTATTTGGGGTGGGCAGAGTCCCGACAGGAAACATGTGCGAACTAGATTACCAAAAAGAAGAAGAAAAAAACAAAAAAGAATTCAGCTTTCTTCATTTCGGAATTTTCGCGTCTTCCCTTGACCTCTATTTGTCGGCGGCGAAGCTCTCGTTGCTAGGGCACTGCTCTCTTGTTCCGGAGGTGGGAGGACCTTGCGGGTGGAAAGAAGCGTGGACCAGAAAAGCTTGAAGAAAAGCTCGTGATTGCCTGTGCCCCTCCCCTCCTTCCTTGGAGCTCTCTGCTTGGTGCTTGGTGCTTGGTGCTTGGTGCTTGGTGCTTGGTGCTTGGGTGGGTCTTCAACTTGAAGTCTGGTTCTGGTGTGCTTGTTGTACCTGGACTAGACTTGGTGTGCTTGGTGTGCTTGGTGTGGGCGGTGGTCAGACCAAGGAAGGTACTAGCGGAAGGTACGTGAAGACTTTGTCTCACTCCTGAGCTGGCCTGAGCCGGCTGGTTTATTTACTGTCTACCTCCGGCATAGAGCTTCAGTGTTGTCCCCCTGTTCCCACCGCTTGAACATACAGTTCCCGGCACGCCTTGCTGGTGCTGGCAAGGCTAGGTAGGTTGGCAGGCTCTTGCTGGCTGGCTGGCTGGCTGGCTGGTGTTTATTACGCTTCATTGACCAGTACCGAACCCGAGCTTTGGCCAGCCACCGGCCGTTTCGACTGAGAGTCAGGTCCAATCGGGTGAGATACATCATGATTGATCTAGTTTTCAACGACCGCCCTCGATGTGTGCGGCGCGACGAGCCGCCCTCATACTCTCGAACAACATATTGTATCAATTGGCGCTCTCCTCCCCGATGCCGCCCTCATTTCGATTCAAGCTTGGTGATCTTACCCCTCTCACCCCCGTACTGTTACTCCTTGTTCCTTGCCACCATCGGGTCAATTGGGAGAGGAGGAGAAGGGGGAACAAGGCAGAACAAGGCAAAACAATGCACGTGGTTACAAACGTCAATGAAGCATCGTTGCACAACAGCGTTCGACTAACTCGCATTCTCCCCGATTTTCTCATTTGTGCAGGGTCAGATGCGAGAATCATGGCTCGTTCCGTTCCTTCGTATCGCGGTTCGCTCTATCCTTTGGTGTGACGACTGGGAAATCGAGAGAGGGGTGGAGCAAGAGCATAAGCGACGGTTGATGCTTGACCGATATGACCAAACAAAAGACAGGCCAAAATTCTTCCTATCCAGGCTTAATCAAAGCTAGGAACCTTGGGGTACTGTGTCGAGTCGAGGCATCCATGCTATGGATGTGACTCCTGTGTGGCAAATTCGAAGCTCCAACTTCGTACCTTGGAGGGCAAGAGGGGTAAAAGAGATGGAGACGGGGAGGCACGTATCTATACATCCATGATGTGAAGTAAGGAAAGACGAATCGATTGGTCGCTACAGTGTCTCCTCACTCGCTCACCCGCAACCTTTGTGGCCGAGAACGCGGGAGGTGGAAGAGAGAATAACCCAGTTCAAATCGTGAGTCGCGGTAGTTGGACCCAATGACATATAGCCACCCCTTGGATTTCTTCGATAGCAGAGCCATCTTTATTCTAGTTTTCACCATTACGCGCTGAAGTTAGATCCGGCTCTTGCTGCGGTGGAATTTTCCCGTTAGCTATGATCAACGATCTCTCCTCGAGCTTTGAGCAGTGATCCATTGGACAAGATTGATTGGACCACAGGTACATAGAAAGCGTGCCCAGCCAAGAGCCGCGGGCTGCCATGGCTTCAAGGTCTCGGAAGCTTGGGCCATTTTGGACAAAGGGAACATGAGCTCCCCTCCAGGCCCATTTCCGTTTCTATTTTTACGCTAACAGGATCCAGCCAAGCCAGCCCAACAGCTATCCCAATGCGCATCTACACTCAACGCGGCGACTGGGATAAATTTGAATCGCTGCATGTAACAATGCGCAATGTTACGATTATCGGTGAGAGGGGAGAGTATTAGCCAGAGCTGGCCGAATCAAAAAGGGCATGGGTGGTGTATCGATGGACATGGATCAATTGATGGATCTATCGAATGTCAAGGATCAAGCCATCGATTGGATGGATTGCAACTCCTGTTTATCGATACCCCTCACCCACACTGCATGGCCCGGATTCGGACTGGTGCTCCATTCGAAGCTTTCCTGATATCGTGGTATCGTCCAGCCTACGGCCCGGGACTCGCTTCATTATTTCTCTCTTCTTTCCCTTTTGAGTTTCTCGGCGGTGGGGGATGTGTTAATGGCCCTCCTCCCGTTTCTTGTCCACCTTCGTCGTCTTGATGTTCAAAACGTCGATATTTGACTCAAAACCCCTAGCATTATATCCTCCGTGAGACCTCATCAGGCCCGCGACACTAGTGGCCTCCAAGTAGATGACCGGGCCGCATCTTCGTGCCTAGCTCCCAAAGGATCAGCTCAACCTCTTCTCGAGTTGCAAGCATGCTCACTCAAGCAGCGGCGAGACTCGATGTCAACCGAAACCCTCCTCGGCAAACTCCACTCTCCCACCCTCAGCTCCCATTGATCTATTATCTGCATTGACACAAACCCTCGCATACACACACACACGCACACACGCACACGCACGCATCCATCCATGTACCTACTATATCTGGGGCGGCTAGGGCCATAAATCTACCCCCATCTCATCCAGCCTTCGCCACCTCTGCCCATAATTGGGTGATCACCCAATCGCGCGTGTCAACTAGGGCAAAATTGAAGAGACAAGACCCGGTGAAGTGAAGAAGAATACAGGGAGCTCATGTGCAGGATAGTGTAGCAAGGCAGGGAAAATAAATCCTCCACTCAACGCTCCTCTCGCCCTCACCTCTGTAACATCTGTCGAGGCTATTCCGTTATTTTCTTTCCCCCGTTTCTCTTTTGAATATAGAGGCGTCCTCGAGGTGCCTGGCGGCTGAGGCGATACGCATCGCTATCTAAGGTCCGATAAGCCCGGATTGATAGGGATTCCCCTGCCCCCACGATAATGACTGATTATCATCGCCTACATGTAGCAGCGCACAGGTGCTTTAGAGATAGATAGGGTGAGACTGCCTATACATCTCAACTCCGGTACTATCGTGTCTATCGTCTCGGGCTTGATTTACGGAGAACCCATAGCTGAGACATTCGCAAACGCATGGTGGGCCGCTTCCTACACGACACCCTTGGATAATTCAAACTCACAATCGCTCCGCCTCTAGGAAGCTGGTTCCTGTTAAAGGGAGGAAGGATATACGAGGTACCAAGCACCAAAAGATCAACAATGGGTGAACAGAAAAAAATCCAAGAAAAGAAAAAGCTTAGTCTATATATAGATGTCCGGTCTGTCGTAGAAGTTCCCATCATGCAATGTCAAAGGCCAGCTCTGCTGCCATTTTGTCCCGTCCTATTACAAAAAAAAAAAAAAAGAAAACGGGAAAAAGCAACTTTGGAACCCCCTGTCGTTAAAACTGATGGACTGAACAACACATTGATGCATTCCTGAGAACGCCGCCGTGGACCCTTCCTCTACAAAAGCATCGCCTGTCCTAGATGGGAGTTCAACCTGGTAGACGTTATAACCCATGAGGAGAGGCGGTTTGGTCATCATTGAAGAAACCAATCTCGCCCGAGATGCGCCTCGACCAAGGCGCAGCGTAAAATCAACTAGACCACCGCCTGATAGCACCTTGCACCCAGTTGAGCCAGTCACGGCATCGTGGCAGCAGGCTCCTTGGAACACATTCGCATCTTCGACGCGGATAAAACGCTCCCTGCTTCCGAGGCCGCCCTGTCGCATATTAATTAGCACGAGAGACCAAGTCTCTGGCTGCTTTTCTTCCTGTCGAAGGAGCGCTAGAGAGAGAGAGAGAGAGAGAGAGAGAAGAAAGAGATGCAGCCCAAAGATCGAAATGAAAGAATGCAAAAACAAAGAGAAAAGAGTGAGGAAAGCAGCCGGGGATGTGAGCACGGCAAGCTTAGCATCTGCATCATCACGACCGTAAAAAGAAATAAGCGGCCGTGTGTGGAATTTTGCTCGCCCAAACCCAGAGATCATTAACGAGGATTCGAGAACCAAGGACGCCGGCTAAACTAATAGAATAACGCTGAACTGGTAGGTGCTTCGGGTCGAGTACGTCGAGAAGGTTGGATTAGTGGTATAGACGGTACTGCGCTGGGCGAGAACCAGATTCCGTTCCGAGAATCTGAGGCGGTCACTCGCCCGGCTATTTATCATAAGATGCCCGAGTCGCGAAGGGCATTATTCAATATCGTTTCCTTGACGGCCGCGAATACGAGTCGAATGTTCGAGGTATCGGTCGCTTGTGTCAGGCTGGAGAAGCGCACGCAGACGCGGTTAGCACCACTTCAACTAGGTTACGGGGGCAGAGGCAGGTGGCCGCTTACTGTGGATAAAGATTGAGGTGTGCTCGGTTGACTTGGTTAAATCTCCATAGTAGGTATTTGGCAGCCTTGTTCACATCGTTACCTCCCGAGTAGTCTGGGAAGTAATTGCCGAGAGGTGACCGGCTGAGCTTCTCGCGGAAGATGTCGACTTTGTTTAAAAACAGGATGATGCTGGTTCTGATAAACCATCTAGAGTTGACCACAGAGTCGAAGAGCAAAAGACTCTCCATCATGCGGTTCTGGAGCTCGCCACGTTAGCAAGACGGATGCATTTAGGGGGTCTCGATGCTGTCAAGCAGAGTGAGTGGGGGTGGCCATCTTTACCTGACTGCTCTCTTCAAGAAGCACTTGATCATACTCGCTAAGCGCCACGCAAAAGATAATGGATGTGACATTCTCGAAGCAGTGTATCCACTTCTTCCTCTCGCTTCGCTGGCCGCCGACATCGAACATGCTGTTGTTGGAGATAGTGTCAGTAGGGCCATGAGCGGAAGATGGGGGACCAGCAGCGCCGCACTGTCGCCGACGGGGATATACATGAGGGTAGGGGAGAGGGGGGACTCTTACTGGATGCTGAGCTGGCCCATCTGGAATCGAGTCTCGTAGATACCAGTCGTCTTCGTTCGGGCTCGCAGGACATCCATTTCGGTAGGGAGATAGTTGGGCGAAACGATGCGTTCGACCTCTTTGAAAAAGCTAGGGAAGGCGGGTTAGCTCTTTGTGCTCGGGAGGCTACGCTGGGCACCAGCGCATAAGACTGGACAGGGTACAGGAGGAAAGCGCCGCTACATACTAGGGCGCCGAGTCCATCAAGTAGAACTCGGTCTGTCTTTCCATTAGAATATCCTTTGCCGGGTCATTCCAGATAGCCTTGACGGCAGTGCCAATGGCGGGATCGATATTCGCTTGCGGTCCGGACTCAGCAGAGTACTCCATCAGAAACTTGGCGTGCATGCTGTTTTCTTCATTGGCAAAGGGTATATCAAACTGGTGCATTGCCTGGATGACCGCCTTGGCACACTCGACGAGATTCTTGAATACGGTAGGGCGGTAGTTTTTGAGTTCATCGTCGGAGTAACCTTTTAAGTGAATAATCTTCATCTGCTTCACAATCGTCGACTTTCCACTTTCACCGGAGCCTGAGGGGAAAAGAAACGTTAGCAACGACAGGCTAGATCTAGAAAGCTCCCGCGGGGACGATGACACGTCGCAAGGGATCGACGCTCTGTGAAGCGCGCGAGTTGGCGTTTCGTACCGAGAAGGAGAATCTTGCATTCTCTTCGTAGCTTTTAGAGTCCTCCTCGAGTTGTTTGTCGATCGCTTGACTGTGCTTCTTCCTCAACACCTCGTCATTGTTTGAGCTCATACAAGCGCCCATTTCGAACATGAAAGAGGCTCGTCGCGCTCTCGAGACTCGTCTCTGGTAAAGCAGGAGGCGGAGAGGTCCACAAGCGGGAGAAAGCGGCGCCTGCCCGTCCGAAAGATGAGCCGGGCAGGTTCTCCGGGTCCTTTTAACCGACTCAAGATATAACTATTCAAAATTGTATGGGCAGCCTAGGGCCCATGGCACGAAACGATCGTCCGAGGAGGCAGGGTCGGGCGCGGCGTATGATGGGTTGACTGTCGTGTAGGCGGTGTGCGCGTGTTCGGACGACTACTAGAAAGGCCTAAGGCGAAGGGGGAAATAATAGATAAATAAAAAGAAACAAAACCCAATGATCAAGTCAAAAGAAGCAAGACTATTAGCAGAGGTTGGGACTGAGGTGTTGGTGTGAGTAACTTGACGGGTGCGGCCGGGCGACGGTGAACAACGACACGAGTTTGATAGGAATTCGGAGATGGAATGGATATGCGACGCAACGGCCTTGGCTTTGTCGAAGAGACGAATGGATGGAATGTAGAATCGGGCTTTGAAGAGGAAATAATTCACACAAGTCGGGAGAGCTGCCTGGTTCAAATTTTGGGTGAATATTTTGAATTCGTAGGTTTGGAGATGAAACCGAGGCTCGCAAGGCGAAGAGCGACGTAGGCTTGGGGGTAATCGTGGTGAAGGTTGGTGAAGGTGAGAAGTCGTCGGCGGCGACTCGAGACTAGCGGGAACGTTCTTCGCACTCGGTAGGTAGAGGGGGCGGGCCCACAAAGTCTATTATTCGGTTCGAATGAGGCACGATGGACGAAAAGGACGAGTTCGTTCGATATCGTGGTTGTCTGCGAGGAATTGTGCAGATGGGAGGCTGGTTTGGGCTAAACCGGAGCTGGCGGGAAAGACGGGGCGACGAGGAGAGGGGAAGAGGGTGAAAAAGGGCCCTTGGGAGGTCGGTAGGGATAGGATGGGACTGGCTAGGTGATGAATGTGAGAGATCGTGGATTACGACGTTATTTTAGTGTGGAGGTGGAGCAGTTACGGAGAGGAGGGAAGGGGAAAAAAAAATTGGGGCGCCAGGAGCCAACGCTGATGAGTGGACCAACTAGAGGATTCCTCTGGCTGACAGGGTTCAAATGGCGAGCGAGGTATAATAGTCGCCAGGGCTTCTGTCGGGTTTTGACCGGGGAAAAGCACGCCGTTGAAGTGAGGCCCGATGGACTCGGGTGGGCGTCTTGAGACGCATGGCAAATCATTTCAGGCAATTCAGTCACTCATTGTGGGAATGTACGACTCCGGCCGCCGTAGGCATGAAGAATAGAAAGTACCTCGCTCGCCGAGGATAGTACTTCGTACATTGTCTGTCAACGCCACCCCTGGGGACGTTTGAGACTTGGGTCTTGTTCCACGCTGTTGAATCGCTGTATAACCTTGTCGAAGATCAAGTCTTCAATCGACCAAAGCAGCACGCACTTGTAAGCTCGAGCGGACTTGCGACCGCAAATGCTGTAAGACTACATATATCCATTGCAGGCAACTCGCAATGAGAGAACGAAGAAAGAGAAGAAGAAAAAAATAAGAAGAAGGAAAGAATTTGAACTTGAACTATCGAAGACCCTCGTCAATTATGATTCCAAGTCTCAGCAGTGGCAGGGTAGACTGATCGCAAAGCAAGTTTTGCACTCTTTTCATTGATCCAGCTGTTTTACAAGGGTGGTGCCATTTTCACCGCCCAGGTTGCGGCAAATGGTCGACCAATACCCGACGGTGCATGACGCCGCTCCTCGAGCCCCAAAGTACAAGCAGCTGGGGACAGAAGAAGGGGAGGAGAAAAGAAGAGAAGAAAACCCAAAGAGAGAAGGGCAGAAGAGGTACTTGACCACAGAGTACATCATTGATCTAGCATTATACGCTAAACAAAGGATTAGATGGGATGGGTCTATGGACAGCTCTACAGGCATAAATCATTACATTGGATTGTTGGATGGCTGGATGGCTGGATGGATACCAGAATCCGTCCGTAGCCCAGGCTTGACCGTGAAGGGATCTGGAACCGAAGATCCTGAGCTCGACAACATGACAATGCTCGTTCCTCAAGAGGATTCATCTCCTGTCCAATTGATTTCAATCTTCACTTAGCTTGGTCCCCACATGTGCACACTCTTGAGGTGTAGCGTCAATTGGGCGGATGCAGCAGCACAATGGAGCATCAATTACAAGTACAACTTCAGTGTGCTCAGTTATCTAGCCGACAATCCCCACAATTTAACATCAGTGAGAACATGAGGTTAGGCCAGTTGTTTTCGCCTCAACTGAAAGGCCGAGACTACATATTTGACTATATCCTATGGGCATCCAACATCAAGACTTGGTAATATTTAGGCCAGCTCTTTTGAGATTTAGTCATGCTCCCTGGCAAGACGACATAGCAATTGGTGGCCCGAGTCGCAAGCCGCCCCCATCGGGTGCTCGGTGGTTTTGTAAACAGCCTTGGAGAGAAAGAGGGTGTGATCAGCGCCAGCTCATGCTCGCCATGCAAAACCAGTACGGTGGTGATGATAGTAATAATAGTGCGAAGTAATAAAAGGAATAGCCGGGATGGAGGATGGGGGATGAGCGGGAAAATCTGGGTCCGTCAGCGTTCTTCTGACTGCACCGAAGTGCCCTCTCCAGAATTCCTCCCAGTTGAGGCTTAATCAGCCAGACCAATTCATGGTACAAGTACGTACTCGGTAGTCCTTGTGTCGAGTAACCTCGGGTGATTGATTGATCAACAAAGACGGGAGGCTCAAGGGCCCAAATCACGAGCGACGTTGCTTTCCATGTCCTTTCAATTGCTTTGTCTTTTCTTGGGGTCGGTTCCGCTTCTGAAAAATACCGCTCACCTCAAATCATATTAGTCCAGTATTAGATCAATGTATACATTGATATGCAGAAAGTGGAATATAATCATGGGACCATTTTTAATTCAATATATACATCTCCTCTTGACGAAACCGCAATACCTCCTGGCCTTGTCGATCTTCGCCCTCGGGTTTTCGTCTTCAAATGTTCTCCCACGCCCACAGCCCACAGGGGAGGGGCTGGAGGGCGGGGAAATACCCATCAAGAGGAGTTTCGTGCATGGGGTTTGTTCGATCCTACCTCCGCATCGTCCAGGGCGTCTTTACTTCTCGACCACGCAGCCAGCGTGGCTCAACTCAAAGCCAAGGCTAGGTCGTACGTAGTGTACAGACTATCGGCCTGCTCCTCCCCCTACCCCCTGGTACTCACCACATCCTCCTTATCAAACGCTGCAAGGAAGGGAAGCAACGATGAATTAGCTTCTACTAAGAATCGTGTGTGCCCGGGGTAATGAAGAGATCTGATTTATGAGCGATCGATAACCTTGCGAAAATGAATTGTTGCTGTGTCCAAGTCGGCTCTTTGAGACATTGATCGATGACTGAAAAAGCGGTGTTGTTTGGCCAAAAGGACTGGGGAATACTCTTGCCCCTCTCCCCTTTCCCCCTCCCCTCGAGGCGCATCAACATGGTGTTGATGGAGTAAAGAAGGCCAAGCTAGTTGTCGCAGTTTGCAGTTTATCTCTGTCATATCCCAAAGCCAGGCACAGACAAGACAGGGTCACCTATTCTATTCCTCGGGCGGCCTTTGTTCTGTTCACCGAAGATTCGGGATACAGCTACTCAACGGCCGTGGTTTGATTATTCATCAATCCTGCAATGGTGTTTAACATCTTGAGGTGGCTTTGAAGGGAAAGGAACTCTTCCAAGCATCGCGCAATCAAGACCCACAGGTACACCAGGGAACTGATATTATGAAGAATACATCCTTACACTAATAGATCCATCCATCCGTTCCATCAATTGAGACAAGTACGGTATAGAAGAGGATGAAGGATGAAGGAATGGGGTCACATTGAACTCGTGCGCTTACCCCAAACGTCCGCTTCCCTGTGGACCTCATTCAGTCTTTGTCTCAGCCGATTGATGAGACGAACCAGGTTGACAAGATCCACACCTTTTTGGTTCGGGGGTTTCTCTCTTCTTTTTCTTCTTTTTCTTCTTCCTTTTTCGTTCAATCTTCCTTTTTTATTCAGCAGTTGCCTTCTCCTTTTTTGTTGGATGAGACCTGTTCGCTGAGGGCCAAGGGAGAGTGCACCCATCATCTCGGAAACCGGGGCCCTTGTTCCGTCCTCACACAAAAGGGTCCGTGAAGAGCGCACTACTCCATACGCGCACTAGTATCGCGATGCCGAAGAACGCCGTCGCCGTACGCCAGGTGCCGGGCGTGCTTGTGTGCCAAACATGGAACTGGCATGCCACAGGTGTACTTGCAAGTACTTCAGCGGTGGTTGTGTACCTCACCATTATCTTGGAGAGGTGTCGCTCCCCCTCGCACCTTGACGATGTCCAAGTTTTACACCAATGCAGGTCCCTGGGACGCGATGAGCGCTTGAATGTCTGTCCAGCCCTCAGTTCTCAAGAGCCATCACCAGCCAGGCTCGTTCAGGGAAACCCCGCATCTACTTTACCCACTAGCTCAGGCGCTCGCCGATCGTCGACTAGCCTTCTCTGCCTTTCTGACGCTCTGCCAGGTTAGAGGATCAGCCCCTTGATTGCGCCAGCTGCGAGAGCCTCCCTTCCTTGCCCTCAAAAGCCGACGGCGGCGGTAATAATAATACTTCGTACAAGTAGTCAGGAGGGAGCCTAGGAATTATTAATTCCACCCACGAAAGAAGAAGAGCGACTGGCTCGCCAAGTCCACGTCTTGCAAAACAGAAGCGGAGACCAAGTCGTCTTCCACATCACAACAAGTCCGTGCTCACGGTGATCTCAAGCAGGGGCAGGCCTTGTCATTAATGAACCGTGGAGCCTCCGTGCTGGGGTCGAACCACGCGAGAATACGACTTAATCGAGTTCACTGTCCACCCGGTGCACCCTAAAACAGAAAGAAAAAGGGGATAAGCAATATTAGTGTCTCCGGGGGCCACGGCGAACAAGAGGTAAAAGGGCAAAGGAAATAAAACTCTGAGCAAGCGACGGTATGATGAGGGCGCTTTGGGCCCGAGCCGTGCCGGGAGCACACGTGGGAATTAATTGGGGATTTCGACTTTGTGGAGTCCGTTCTGTATGACACAGAGTAACATCGGGTCGTCAGACGTGATTACCGGTTTGCTCGTCTTCCAGTCTTGTTGAAATTACATTACTCGTGTCATGGCGTGGTGTTGCTATACACGACACTATTATCAAGGATGCAAGACCAGTTCGTACCAGCCCCCAAGATAATGGCGGCGCCTGAAGCCAGTCAAGATTCGGGCTGGCGGTAGACATAAAACACCACATACACCACCTGATGCTAATACATCCAGATATACATCCCCATTCTCTAATGCACTGTATCCCGGATGGATTCGTCGGCTGGCTTGCTTGCAATCGTTTCGTACATGCAGACCGTTTCGCCAATGAGAGCCGGCTTCGGTAGTTGGCTCAAAACCGCAACCCCGGAGAAAAAGGGGATTGGACAATAAATCGTGTCCTCAAAAGAACGAGGTATTCGCTCGAAGGGGAAGAAGAAGAAGGAAAACAAGGTCGCTCGCTACCCCTCGAAAAGTCCAGGTAATATTCAAAGACCTGGCCTAGTACCCTCTCCTTTTTTCCAAGATGGGGAGGGGGGTATTTTCTTCGATGTCGTAAGTCACCAGGTGAGACAACCGCTCCAATATCGATGCGAGGGATTAAAACAAGCATCCTCCCATCCATATTCTTCTTGGGCTTCCTCAGATGTTCTTTGCGTCGACTGCACTAGTTCATAGTGTGTACCTTGGGTTGAGACGAGCAATTGGTGGATCTTTTGCCTAGCTTGTTTCGCTCGGCGGCCTCGTGGAGTTGCTGGGCGGCTTGAAGATGGTTGAAAGAAACACCGAGGCCTCTTGTTGGGGCAAGGGACAGGAGGAGGCAAGCAAGGGTTCAGTTGTTGCGTAGCTGCTGATGGCTGGCTCAATGCCAGGCCGTCAGATTGGCAATATTATCGCTATTATCGCTATTATCGCTGGTATTCGATTTTCGGATGGAGGAATCAGCCCCATGCCGTACACCAAGGTGACCGTTGCCCATCAAATCCGACATGATCTTTACAAGTAATTCACTGGTGGGTGGATCGGCTGCTCTCAAAGGGCATCGCAAAGTCGGTACGTCGAGGGTCCTGATTCTTCCAAGATGCCCGTTGGTATCAGCAATGGATAACATGACGTGGGATATCTGTGTGCGATGCTAAAAGCAAAAGCCTTCGACCTCAGTCGAGGCATTCCGGCCGCAGGATGAAGGGCAGAACTCGAGCTGGTTCAAAGAAGGCGTCAAACACCAGGTCCGTCGAAGCAGGTGGACCGAATTGATATCTTAAGGTTAGGTACCTATAGGTAGCGTTATCTTCGTCCTTCGTTCCTTCTTTTCGACTTCCCTCCTGCCCTCGCCAGTTTCGGTATCGCGTGCCTCCCTTCCCCCTCCATCTTGACACCCTTCCTGACACCCTTCTCCTGCTTCTCTTGCTTCTCTTGCTTCTCTTGCCTCGGTGAATTGTTTCGGTGCCCCCCAACCCAACAGTGAGCCACTAGACTAGTTAGTGATTGGATAGAGCCTCCATGTCGGACAAAAGGGCTGAAAGGGGCCTCTTTGGTAGGGCTCGAGGGGCACGATCTGCATGGCACCTGGACCTTTCTTTTACGAACGAGCCCTGGTTTGGCATCGTCCCGACTCTCGAGTCTTCGAGATTGTTTCGTCATGCTCCATGTCCCCCAAAGGCCGGGCTATCGTAGCCAGCCAACATGTGCCGGGTCCCGTCCTTGCTTCTTTGCCCTCAAAGAGCCCCCAAAACAAATTATTTCCTGCCGCTGAGCCTGGGCGTTCCTTCTCACCCTCGTAATGCAAATCAGGGTCGTCAGCCCCCAAACTTATCAAGCCACCCAAAACCTCGAACCCGTCGATCATCCAGGCACCGAGTTTTCCCACGCTCCGTGATTCAAACAATTTCCGGGGAATCTTGAAAACAATAACCCGCCCCTTTGATCCAGGTTAGGTTTCTTTTTCCTTTTTTTCCCTAGGGGAAAAGGAGGGGGGTTCGGTTTCCCTTCGCTCCAGCCCTTGTTCGATCTACATCCTTTTCGGTCGTCTCTTCCCTCTTGGGCTCAAAGTACCCCAGGTTGACCCCTGAATGTGAAGATCTCAACACCGACTGGATTGAATTGATCTTTCATTCTCCTCCTCCGAGAAGGCCCCCTTTCGAAGCCTCCCCGATGGACCTCGCTGTTCGGATGACAGACGGCAAGCGTAACATTATAGCTTCCATCCAAATGGCCACGGTTCTCGTCCTCACAATCAACCTCTCGCATTATTTGGAGAATATAAGCATCGGACGAGTGGCGTTTCTTGGCTACCCACCCCGGTCCTTTTTCTCAGCTTGGCTTACATGGAATCGTAGCCTCCGTATTATCCTAATGGAATGTTATTCATGCCTCCAAGTTGACGCCGGAAGCCAAGACTTCAAAGATGACATCAATGTAGACCAGACCGCCGGGTGATCCAGCCGTGGCCACATCCTTTCCAACCTAAAAAAGTATTTCCCACCACTCTTTCTAAGAACGGAAAGGGTTTCGCGCTGCTCACAGCTTATCCACGGCCCTGTCCATCCACTTGGAACGTCGTCCCTACCGCCCCTTACCCTTTCGCCACGTGGGCTGCATCAGCCCACACATCCATCCATTGGGTTGACGAGTGTACGCACCAAGAGTATCCGCATCCGTCACCGATGGAGAAAGGATTCATGATAGGTAGTGGAGGGCGGGAAGTGAACGCCCTTGGTCACTCAAGTCTCACAAGGTTTCTAACACTCAAGGTGGTGGAGGGCAAAGCAAAGTTGAAGCCCCCATTGATAGAGAATGTTGAGCCACTGCTTAGCCCTAGACCCCAATATCAACATCCACGCATACCCTCCTTGGTTCAAGTGGGTTCACGAGACACATCTGAACAAGTAACTAGACATATTATTCATCCCCCGATACCCAAGATTGATCCCAATTCTATCAGATTTTGGTGCCTAAGAATTAAGAAGGAGAAAAAATGAAGGTTGAGCGCAAGAAAAATACAAAGGAACCAATGGCCCGCATTCTCTCTAGATAAGAAAATGAATCCAACCATCAGCCGCGCGTTTAGGATACGAGTGAGTAGATAATAGGGAGAGTTGACGCGCGCCGGGTATAAATCTAAGAAGTAGGCGGTTACAAAACAGTAGATGCTTATACAAAGAAAATAAAAACAGGAGAGGAGGAGCATCGGCCAGATTAGAGGCGGAAACACCAAGCGCATAAGCCAATGCTGGTTTTCGTGATGGCTGCAAAGCATACAAACGCTGCTGAGGCCCGGGCCCAGGTTCTGATGGGTGTATAAGCCCTAGGTAGGCGTTTGCCGTTCTTCTCTACCTCATTCTCTTCTTCGTACATGCTGGTATCCAAAAGGACAATGGAAGAAGAGAAAAACGAAACGAGTGTGGAATACCCTCCCAACACCTGGCGAGCTTATTCAGTCACTTAGACGTGAAAGTTCATCACCGTCGGCGAGAGGCTTTTGCTGGACGGCGTGTCTGGACGGTTATCCGATCTCCTCGAAGAGAACCTCCCTAGCCCTCGAGTCTTTGTCGTTCCGCCGCTGATGATGCTCGACCTGTCCGACAAATCGTCTCCCTCACGCAGAGACTTTAAATCGAGAAACGCTTTGGGAAAGATGCCCCATTTGCCCTTGGCATTAGTTCCCGACCAGCACCAGTGGTCGAAATCGGTCCCTTTTGAGGTCCAGTGGTTAGCAAGGCAACATCACAGCTTCACGCACACATGCATGCATGCGTGGGCGCGGGAATGACTTACAGCTAATGTTGCTCACCGCATCGCCCTTGTCAAACTTGAGCCATTCCGCCTTGCCCTTTTCCTTCATGACAAACTTCCAGCGCGCCACCGCCCTCACGTTGCTTGTGCCGCCCATACGTATCTCATGAGGCGGCGGTGGCTCCAGTCTCGCCACATCAGCCGGGAAGGACGCGTATTTGCCTTCGTGGTAGCCCATGCACCACTCGCCGAGATACTTGTCAGGAAAAGTGACGCCGACGATGGGTGCTCCGGGCGCCAATTCAAAGGCCGCGGTCTATCGTGCAGCAGCTTCATTCCATACATCTTCTTCACCATCTCCTTCGCCGTTGCCGTTGGAAGCCGGTAGATTTCTTCGCGCTTTTCGTTTACAATATTGGAGTGGACGGCCCCCTTCAAATGCAGGTCGTAGCTGCTACGGATAGCGGGAGGGATGCTGGGCTCCTCTACCACCATGATGCCGGGGACGTTGGGGAGCGGGCGGGGATGGCGAGCAAGATGCTCGCATAGATCCTTTTGGCTGAAGAACACGGTGGCGTCGCCATCGTGAGGCGTGCGTCCTTCTTGAATGCAAAATAAGCACGCGTATAGAGGCTCGTCCGCCCTCTTTGTCGGAAGGTGGCACTTTTGCAAGAATCGAATGCGGAACCCTACGTCTCCAATAGAGAAATTTGCCTCGCCTAATGTGAAAGAGGTGGTTAGATGGGGAAACCAAGCCGTCGGCATAGTTGTGGGAAGGCAACGGCCGGGGTCCTGTTTTTCTGGTTAGGGCTACTACTGTGGGCCACGACTTACTGCTATGATTGATGTCGAGCTCGATCTCACGCCACTCGAGCTCGTAGAAGCAATGCGTGCACTTTGCCATCGGATGCCCTCCGCTAAATGATGGCTTCTTGACCTTCTTGACGCCCAGCTCGCCCCGGAGCACGTCTTTGGCACCCTCGCAAAAGCCCTTTAGCTGATAAAAGGAGCTGTTAAGCGTGATGGAAGTATCGCGCTTGGGGAGTGTATCTTGCGGGGCCGCTTTTTCGCTTTCCACCGGGATGAGACCGTCGTCACCTTGGGCGGCCGACGGGGCTAGCTCCGGCGCCGAGTCTCCGTACATGGCTGAAGACACCCGCGCGCCACCGTGTCCCAACTCGGGACTTCCGACGGAGGAGCTATCATTGGCCGACTGGCCAGACGCGCGTTTCTCCCCACCGGACGAGGAGGTGGCGCCATATACCGAGCTTTGGAACGAATCCGTGGACTGCTGCCTTGCTAGGTTGTTATTAGAGATGCGCAAGTGGAAAGGCTTATCTAAAGAGTGGTGAGGGCCTGTTAGCTGCGGCCCACTTCCGTTCACGGTCGAATGCTCCGGAATGGATTGTTCTACAACGCGGTGAGTAGAAGGCGGGAAGCCGAGTATTCTTGCCCGTCCCTGGAGGGGCACGGCGGGTTGGGCCAGGCCTAGGGTGGGAGATTCGTTGGGCGGCTGGAAGGATGCATTGGAATCGGTCGGCGACAGCGTCTGAGAGCTTCTCTGGCTCTCGCGCCTTGAGCCAACGTCTGTGGGTGGGGGCACCGTGATTTCTCCGGGGTTGATCATGATGGGGCGCCGGCGTTCCGGAGGGGTTACCCCATTCTTCATCGCATACACGACCTGGCCCATGGGGGCTTCGACTTGATGTCCCACGGATTGAGGTTTGGCGGCATTGGCGGGATCGGGATTTCGATATGATCTGCCGTAATGGGCATCGGCAAGGATCTTCGAGGAGGAGGCGTGGGAAGAGGTGTGGTTGGGGCTGACGTGACCGGCGTCCCGGAGACGGTTTGCCTCCCACGCTTCGGGATGGCGGGGATCATGATGGGGGCGCAAAAGGCGGGATACCGACAGCAGAAGGAGGTGGTGTTGGAATAGTGGCCCGTCCATCGTTCCTTTCGGAGACGGGAGTCTGCATGGAGGATTCGTCCTTAGGAACGGGCTCGAGCTTCATTCTCATGACGATGTCGTAGATTCGCGGGGCGGCCTTCCGCGACAAGGCCTGGAGCTCGGAGAACTTGTCGGCATCAAACTCGGCGGCCTCGATAAAGTCGTCAAACTCCCAGAGGAGGTCATTGAGCTCGGCGCGGTACTGGGCGATTTCATCTAGTTCAATTAGAGTAAGTCTCTATGGCAGGCGCGACGTGGCCAGCGGCATAGCGCGGGGAAAGGAAGCATAGAAGGGGATGTTGCCGGTCAACGCTGCGCATCGAGACCGGGACCTGACAAAGAAAGAAGCTCGGCGTCTGTCCTGCCTGTGCTTACCGTTCTCTTTGAGGGCGTCCATAAAGTTGTGTCCGTATTCTTCGGCGTGTTTTTGCACAGGGGTTCGATCTTTTTAGAGCGCGCTCGCCTTCCCGCACCAGGGCCTGGCTCGCTTTGGCCATGGCGGGGTGATCGTCGCGCGAATTTTCCAGGGCAACCTTGCCCTTCTCCACCATCTCCTGAAGGGCGTGAGGACGAGGTCGTTTAGGAGATCCATCCTCGCGGCCGTAGGTAGGATGCTAGCTTGCGGGAGACGCTGGGTGGCCGTACGCCGAAGGGGATCGCTTGGGGAAACCCGCTCACACTTGTCGCCTCTGGCTAACACGGGTCAACCGTGGTAGGAGAGTGCTCGGGTTGTACTCAAGAAGACTACGCAGAGGCGGTTTCCACGAACCAATGGCAAAATATCGTAGGTTCGAAGGGTAGGGGCGGCGAGTGAGTATAGATGAAACGAAAGGGACATGGAAAGAGAGAAAGGAAAGAAGAATGAAAAAGAATGTATCGGAGAGGAAAGCATACAGGAGGAGGGGAAGGGATGGAAAAGTAGACAACGGGCCAGAGACTTTGACAGGAACCCACAGCAAGGCTCTAAGTGAGAGTAGGCTCCGGGCCGCAGCTGCTGCGGAAGATTGGAGAGGCGAGCTTCTCGGCTAGTAAGGCCGGGGTGTGATTGAATATTCTATACATCTATTTGACTAGTAGACTCCGTCATCCAGGAATCCCTCCTTGTACCCTACAAGGAGGATAGATGTATTGTATTGGTTCAGTGTTGGTTATTTCCGCGCCGCGCTGGAGTACTTTCGGAACTTGGGGGTGTTCTGAGAAGACGACTGCCTGGGCGGCCCGTTGAAGGCCAAGGGTACTGCTTTTCGGCTTCTGGTGCGAGTCCATCTCGAACCATCATCCCCGGCGCCAGCTTGCCTTTTCCAGTCAACATCTTCCATCGCTCGCAGGAGGTTGGTAGGGTTACCCTGGCCGCTGCTGAGGGGAAAAAGGGGAGGGGGCGAGAACGAGGGAGCGGGACAGGAGCCAGATTGATCCATAGATGTTGACGTACAAGTATTTACGGGTGGAAGGATCGATCTGGATGGATCAATCAATGGACTTTAGGTTCAAATGGTATAATGCTGGATACTGAGCACCCTTGATCCACTCAATGCACGGCTAGGGTGCTTCGATATTGGGAAACCTGGGATTCCACGCTTCTTGACTTGAGCCATATTGTTAAAAATTTCCCGCCAGAAGTGGACGCTCTCTCACAAAGTCGTGTGATATTACTTGTATTATCCAGCCAGAGCCAGAGCCGGGGACGGACTCGCTCCACCATCCCGGGAATTCTCCAAAGAGGGTTTTCTGTGTTTTCTCGCAAGGTGTGCTCTGTTCTTGATGATAATATCCCCTTGACCAGCATTACATCGAGGGTTTCTCCTGTTGGCCAGAAAGGGAAAGCACAAGCCAGGCAAGATGGAGAGAGCAAGAGCGCGTGGGCGGAAGGGCGGCTCTGGATGGACAGAAGGAGGGCGTGGATGAGCAGGGGAAGGTGTTAGGGAGGGGGCGTGAGCTTGGGGGCGCAAGGTGGGGCGGTGTTCCCCTGAGCAGAGACCAGCTTTGGTGGGGTTTACTAGGAAACGAACAGCGGAACACCAACGTCGCGCTGCACGCAAGAGCCAAGCAGACAGCCAAACCCATCACAAGCCACACGTGCTCGGTAGCCTTCACAAGAAAGTGGGCCTTTGAGCTACCTGATCGAGCCTACCCTGCCCTACCTGCCTACTTGGCCCTTCTTCTTCCCTTATTATTGACTTGGGAGTGAGAAGAAGACCCGGCCTAGTCTGCGCCGCGATCGCTCGAGGCTTACCGATGGATATCCCTCTTGACCTCGTGCACAGCTTGGGGGTCAACGCCGCGCTACACAACATGCTAGCCCAAGGCAGTGTGTCTCTCGTTTCGCCACGCTAGCCAATTTTCCGTACCGGAGAAAGACTCGATGCTGTCGGGACAGAACAACGACTTGACTTTCCGGCAAGGTGGTATCGTCCATTGCCATGACTGGGATTGAGGGTTTGACGGGCAAGACGGGTCAAATCTGTTCCCCATGGCCTGCCCCGGCCCCTGGTCTCGAAGCCCCTCGGTGAGGATCTCGGGGATAGCTACCCAATATTTGACGCAGAAGGATGAATAATTGACCCCTGACGAGTGGGTGAACGTCAAACGGGAAGAGTAGGAGAGAGAGAGAGAGAGAGAGAGAGAGAGAGAGAGAAAGCAACATGAATCCATTTCAACGGGCCGGGAGGAACTGAAAAAGGTTCGTATCGCGGGTGAGGCAAAGGCGGACATGCTGCAAGTCAGGTCCAAGAACAGAGGTGCTACCGAGTACACGAGGAGGAACTTAGTGTACAGGCCGAACAACGTGTCGTCATTTACACCAGGGAAAGTGGACGTGTACCTAGCGCAACGTGAACACGCTCCCTACAAGGCACTCTTCTGGGCGTTATCGTGATTTCAAGACCCCGGCGGACAAGTCGTAAATGAATAAGCCTCGCCTATGCACCAAAAGTCGAACCCGCTTCCCCTTTGCCAAGCCTCCCCCGTTCCCCACCACCACATGTCGAAAAACCGTCATCCCTGCATCGAGTTCTTCGGAGGATCGGAGACGGCCAGACTTTTTTGCTCGCACCGGTGGCTGCACTAGAACAAAGGCGCCGCGCTAATCAGAAGGCTGGCTCTGTAAGACATGGGCTTATTAGGGCGGATATATCAGCGTTCGCGCTTCTGTGCACCCAACCGTCGGAACACCGGCGGCGATGGGGAGGGGCGCTGTCTTTTGAACTCCCCGCGCAAGGCACATTCTACACTCTGCTGCCCTGTGCCTGTGCCGTGGAGGAGGGCGGTGAGCGAACCCACTGCGCCCTCTCTTACTTTGCCGTCTCCGTTCATATTACCCCGAGTCAACTCGCCCTCATCAATGGCTGCTCTTGTGGACGGCCCATCTGTCCGGATAGAGTAAGAAGGCACGAGCCTTGGAGTTCAGTCATGATAATGGGAGGCGTGAAAGTAAACCACTGAATTTCACCGAGTGGGGTGTTTTTTCTTTCTTTTACTCTCCTTCCTTTTTCCGACAAAGTTCGTGATTCGACCCATCCGCATTCGAGAGAGGGAAGAGGGGCGTGGAAGGGGTTCATCGACCCAAGCATGGGCACACTCCACTTCATGCTTCCCGGGGGAGGAGTGGAGGGGATCTTTGATTGGGCTTCTGGCAACATGTCGACCCTGGATGATCAGTGGCATGCGGGATGGGCCCCGTCTGGGGTGAGCCATGAGGACATGGATGGATTGGTTGCCATTCCGCCCTCAACTGGACCATCCCCGGGACTCCAGACTCGCTCCCCGTTGCAGGGAAACCGAGATGCCATCATCGCCATCGTCATCCCCATACCACTCGTCGTATCAAACAAGAATACCACTCAGTGTAATATCACACTGCGCATCGCGCATCCTCCAATCGGCCAGAAATACTGGTTCTTGGTAGTGTATACACACAACAACACATCCATAGACCCATCCAGTTTCCCGTCCTTCCACCTCCTCGCAACTCCCGAACCTGGAAATTATTCGCCTTTGCCCGCCCCGGTCCTCATCTAATAACATTAAATGCTGCCCGCGCCACTACGCGCTCACCGCGCCTTGGCTGGTCGCGAGGGAAGATGGGTTGAACGAATCGGCAAAAATCAAGGCAGGTACGCTTTGCATCATATTACAGCGAGATCCATCCCCCACCCCAAAGAAAAAAGAAGCGCAAGCCCGCAACCACCTCCGTTGGCTTTCTGCCGTAAATTACATTACATGGATGTAAGGGATTATTGCTTCGACAGACGCGAGATAAGGCCTTGAAAATTAAGGTCATGTACCTGCGGGTGTGGTCCTCCCGACTTTTGGCACGACACACAACTCTCTACATATCAGACCCAGGTACATTTGATCCAATTCAATGGATGAACCTGCTGGGAAATATTAGATGAATGAAAGGGTCATCAATTCAGGCCAATCCACCTCGATCGAAGTATCTAATAGTCCCGCGCAATTTGGGTTGGGTTGTAATTCCGTAGAGACCTTTGGCACTTTGCTCATCGGTGGAAACTTGCATCGGATATTCCCTTGCGTACATTTACACTTACTCACACTCATGTACTTCCAACCGACCACGATGAGGGACATAGTCGCAAGATCCATGATAAAGAGAAAGGGAACATTGAAATAATCGAGTACCACAATTGGAGGGGGCATAGAAGAAGCAACCCCCAATAGGGAAAAAGGAGAAAGGAAAAAGAGAAAGGAAAAAGAAAAAGACCAGAAGCGAAAGAAACACGGACTTTCCCTTCTCAGGCCCTAAAACACCAGCCTGCCTTGGCCATTGCTCTTGAATCAATGCAATACGTTTGGTGTTAGTCGGGTCGCTTCAACTTCAGCGCGTCACTAAGGGCAGGGAAGAAGGGGGGCAGAAGTTGTATTTTTCTCGTGGTTATGTGGTTTTGGATGTAATGGATCCATTGTTGGCTGCAACTCTTCTTGCCCCTGGAATAGTGGGACATGGGAGAATTAATGGATCAACGCATGGTATCGTGGTATCATCCCGGAGGGAGATGTGCAAGATAGGTAGCATTTTTCGTTCCCAGACAAAGTTCCCTCGCACATCACACTTGCGAGTTGTGGTACCATCGCTCGTCTTAGAAACTTCATCACCTTCCTGTTTGGAACCCTATTCCTGCTTCCGGGACACTGCATCGATCTAGTTTTCGGAATGTTAGCGCGAAGGGCCAGCATCTTGAAAAGAAAATAAAAAATGCAAAGAGGCCAAAAGATAACGATAATGCGAGAGGGGAAGCTTTTCTCCGTTCGCAACACACAAGGATATGCGAGTCTGGAAAGGAGAAAGCGACGAGGGGAGTTCCAAGGGAAAGATAAACCAAAAGGTAAAGCCCAGTGAGTTCCTGGCTATTCTTTCATCCGCCTACCTACCTGAGAAATGATGGTCCGACCGGCCTGAATTGTTTCCGCCATGCCTTGCTGGCGTTGCCAGAACCTAAAGAACAGGAGAGAAAAGTCAGCTTCTTCTTATTCCATCTCAGTCTGTCCCAGATTAGGCCTGTCCCATCCTACCACTCCCGACACGTAGGCCGCCCCGTCGCCAGATGCAGATGCAGGCATGTCGATATCAACCAGAGAGTCCAAGGGGGAGCGGGGGTCATGTCATGGGATTGATTATGCATTGCGTATAGGGGAACAAGGGACTGGGAAAAGGGATAACATATACGCACATATTTTCAGCAGATGCGTGGTCCGCATGTTCAGACTCCTCTCGTAGAGCGGTCCGCGTCAGCTTCTCGCTCAACTCGATCCCGGGCGCCGCCGACCGGAACGCGGCATTTTCGCCCAGGTTTTCCACCAGGAGACGCTTCTTCATGTTGAATCGCTCTTTCCTCTCTCGCTGAAGCCCCGGGCTGTCAATCTTGTCCATCAAGAAGCGCACCGCGATCTGCACAAGGAGGTAGAAGTGCTCCGCAAGCAGGATTGTCAGGAGGAAACCCCAGGTTTGAATGTTGGAAGCGGCGCCCTTGGTCCCGTCGGAATCACCTCGGCAGAGGAAGACAATGGCCGAGCTGGTCAAGCTCCCAAGCCAAGATAGGAATCCCAAAGCGTTGAGCCAGGGCCCAATAGAGTCGGCTCTCCACGGAATAGGGCGCCGGGAACCAGCGGCAATCTTGAGAGCGTCCGACCTGAGCTCGACCCAGTTGTTGATGAGAAAGCTGCAACCAGCAAGAGGCCATGCCACCGAGTAGAGAGACAGATAGCCTAACGTTCCACGACGACCAGTTAGCGAAGAACTTGACAAGGTCTAAATGTAGCAGCTTGTGCCAGCATCCGCATCCACACTGTCCCCTTTCCTTTCTTTTTCTGTTTTTAAGAGCTAGGCAGAGGCTTCGGGTTCCACTTACCAAACTGGATAACCATTTCACGGTAATCCGTAGTGACGTCGTACATCTCCAACTCCGTCTCCCGACGAACCTTTCGGAGGAAGTCGGCCTCCTCGGGAGCGTCATTGGCGGCGATCTCGGCTGACCTGCCAACGATGCCATTCTCCTTCACCTTGGTCGTCACCTTGCGCTTGAGGTACGGAACGATGACCTCGGTGGAAAAGTTGACGATTTGCGCCGTCACGGTAAAGTAAAACATTTGGTTCGTGATCCGGCTCGTGTTGATGCGGAATTCTTGGATGCTGAGTTTCTTTTCGCCAAAGGTAAGACCTTGGGCAACCCTCGTCCAGAAATCGAGGTACGGCGTGAGCACATGCCCAAACGGGATATACACGAATGCCGTAAACGCGAGCGGCATGTACGAGGTGATGAAGTTGAGCACAAATTCCTTTTGCACCATCGCGGCGTGGTGGGCTAGATAGAGCATGCATGTCAGTTTTCGCCCGTTGGCCAGCGCTGTTGGACTATTTCCTCGTCTCGGGTCTTCTCTAGAGGCACATACCATCGACAGTTTCGTAGTTCTCCATATCCGTAAGCTTCCTAGCGAAGCCAGTAAGGACGCTAGAAAACGCTGGCAGAATCGTGACAAGCAATACCGTGGGGAGGAATGGCTACAGGATGTGGGAGAAAGAAGGAACAAACGGATGGATCATTAGCATTTGTCGTCCTGGCACGCCGCGGCAAAGAGGGCGGAAGAGCAGTGCTCTTGTTCCCTTCTTCTTGGGGGAACTCACCAGATAGGTTTTGAAGGGACCGTCATAGACTTCGTTGATAAAGACTTCGAGAGAGTTGCACACCACGATGAAGCCCCCGAGAACGACGACGCAGGCAACCGTAAAGGGTATCTGGAGGAGCTGGGTCTTGAGCCTCTTGAAGGGCGAATACACCTTGACAGGCTCCCCGGTCACGACATCCTCCGTCTCGTGGTCAAACTGGAACTGAGGCCGCGGCAGCTGAATCTTGGACGCTCCCCGGACCCCCACTGGACGGCGAGATCAACCTCCTTCTTCTTCCAGAATTCGAAAAACACGACGGACCAGAGACAGCTCGCCAGGGCGTAGAGGAAGGAAAACCGCCCCAGAAGGAGCCAGGCGCCGAACCCAAACGCGGCAGGGAAGACGAGGAAGCGAAAGTAGCTCTGCACAAAGGCGAAGTAGAGCGCCACGTTCTCGCCAAACTTGTTGCGGATCTCGTCCAGGTCGGCCTGCTCCAACAGGTACTTGGTGCTCAACTTCCTGATCCATTCACGGTTAAAATGCCTGTCGTGCAGCGGAAATACCGAGTCGACGTATTTCCACGGCCCGCTCTTGGGCGTGATGCCGGCGCCGCCTTCGTTTCTCGGCTTCGTAATGGTCATGTAAATCAGCCTCAGCCTCTCCGCCTCGCTGACGGGCTCTTCCATCAACGCCCGCGACAAGTCAGCCCCGGGCCCCGCCGTGCGGACGCCGTGAAGCCAATCCTGGAGACGGGCTCGGAAGACTTGCTCGCGGAGGAGAGCCTCGGACGCCATCTTGACAAAGACTAGTATGGATGTATCGTCTCCCGGTCGCACCTCGGAGGCAAGACCAACGCTCGTAAGAGCCTCGATGAGCTGGACATATCCCGCCTCGGCTTCGGCTCGCTCTGTATAAAAACTCGAGTTAGCTGGTTGCTGCGTTGTGTTGGATAGACGAGGAGTCGAGCATCTTTGAATCACAGGGTTGTCGTACCATCTTTGGGGATCTTGTAATGAATTATGTAGTCAACGCTGTTTGAAATCTCCTATATTAGCCAGAGCGACAGCTTATCAGGGGCGATGTGTGACTGAATTTTCGTACTTGTAGTTGGAGTTGGAGATGTGCTCTTCATCGGTGGCCCTCCCACTCACGCCCTTTGTGCTCGCCATGGCGCCAAACGGGAATGCAGTAAAGGCTGATGGGGTTGCGGCCCAGGACGCTCTCGATCTTCTTGTTAATGTTGCAGTTTGTTTTTGTTTTTGGCTCGCAAGGCAGATAATGTGAGGCCTTTTGCGGAACAAGAGAGAAACGCTGGTGCGTGCAGACGACTCAGGAAGTTGACGATCTCAACAAGCTGGAATGGGCGGGAGACCAAGCTGTTTTCCTGCTGGTGCCCATATGGAGTGACGGAGAGATCTAAAACGTCACCACCCGTTCTCAACCTGACCCAGCCAGCCAGCTCTAACCCTGGCAGGGTAGCTGCATAATAGCGTATTATCCTCAGCTCGTCTGGTCCTGTCCTTGGTCCGTGCCACCCTAGCAGCTACACTCCTTGCACGGGCAAGACGGGCACGCTTCCCGCACATAAAATGGTACTTGCATGTATTATTTCTGGACGGCTGTTGGACGAATGCATGTCTGGACCTCTCGGCTATCTGTCCATCTGTGTGGGCTGCCTGGCAGTCTGGCTTCGTGCTTGGCTTGGCGGCACTGATGTCAATGGATGCAAATCAGGATATCCTTGACTGTCGGAACGGGACCGCGACGACATCATGTTGTCAGCTGGCATTCTCTTCCATCTTTGTATATTATTGCTGCTCAACCATCAACTAGTCTTTGATTTTCTTTTTGGTTTTATCCCCTACTCTGCCTCGGCTTCCTTGCCGCACTCTTGTACTATCGATAGCTCAGATAATAAAGAAGCAGGAACAATGTTGTAAAAAAGAAATCCACCATGTGCCATCGAGAACCCGCAAACTCCCTACACCCCATCTAGAATAAAAGAATTAGGGAGAGATACAGGCCGTAAAATCTGTAACCCAGTGATCGGGACCACGTAAGAAACAAGACAGAGGAGCAATATTGGGTCCCTCCACCATCGAGGGTGCACATAAAGATAATGAACGATTACCATGCCAGGGAGCCATGGCCTTGCGGCCCTGAAAACCCTCTCTTCACCAAACTCAAGACGCCATGACCCACCCATTTCCGCCCTTGCGTTACTAACGCCCCGCCCAGAGCATCGACTCTCCACTCCCTTTAGGCCGTCTCCCTTTTGATTGAAGGAGAGGGTGAACTCTCGACATCTGACTTTAGCTCGTCGCTGTCGCCGTCCTCCTCCTTGATGTCGTCCTCAACCTTCATAGGAGACCCAGCAGAGACATGCTTCTCCACCCTATTGTGCCGTATTAGCAATTAGATCAGCTAACAGTCCGCAAAATTAACCTACTCATGCTCCATTTTAGCCGATGCGCCGTGCTCAGTTGGGTCCGCCCCTTCTCCGTTTACCATAACAAAGGCACGCGGGGTGGCTCTATTGCGGATATAACCCATGTTAATGTCAACGACTAGTCTGCAGAGGGGAGAAGACCTACGGAGTCGGGTTCGGGTGCGATCGGCGGTATGAGCTTGTAATTCCATATGCCTGGACCGGCATCCCGACATGGGGGTGCCATATGCGCCGATGTTATACTCGTTCGTTCGGAACTGACGCCGCTCCGCAGTTACCCGCTTCAACTCTTTTTGGGCCGGGGTGTCGGCATAACGGATGTTCATCACCATTGGAGAGTTGCCGGCATCGCTAGCGATTGATAGGCCGTTGAAGCTCTTAATGATTTCGTCGCAAATTCCACGGCTTTCGAATCTGTAGGCGCGCCATCAGCATGTCACCCTATCCTCAGCCAAAAAGAAAGAAAAAGAAATGAGTATAATAAGCAAGGCAAGAGTCTTACCTCGCAAAGCCAACACCCCGGCTGTTGCCCATGCTATCACGGAGAATTTTGCTCGACATGATTGTGTACCCGGCAAAAATTGCCGAAAGTTCCTAATCATGGGTTAGCAAGGCGTCCTCTTTCCTGGCCCTCCTCACGGGATTGCTTAGGCCAACGTCATTGCCGTGAAAAGGGGACGGGAATTTGGGGCAATGAAGAGAGGGCCTCATAGGTGTGAAGACGCACGAGCTCAGTCATATGCTTGGGCAGATTGGAGATGTAAAGATTGGTCGAAGATTCATCCCCTTCAGCCTTGAGACGGGAATTAAACGATTCCTAAGACATAAATGAGTTATCAGACTCTAGCGGTCGCTTCCGCAGTCTTGGTCTCCATACCCGTGCGAAGCCAACCTCATACCCAAGACGATGGAAGCCGCGGATACACCTTTCGGAATCTCGGGCATGGTGGAACTTGGCAAAGCCAAACCTAGTCACAAGCGGCCGTTAGCCACTGCCACAAAATTGAGGCAGCGCATCCCTTGGCTTACCCCTTGCAAGCTCCCGTCCCAGTGTCAATGATGGCCTTCGAGGTCTCCACTTCACCAAACCGCTGGGTGTACTTGAGAAGCAGGTCATCGTCGGTAGTCGGGTGAAGCCCGCGAATATACACATTCCGATTGCCAGTGATTCTATTCTCGAGACTCTGTTCTAGAGTCTTGATCTGGCTTGCGGGTGTGAAAACTGCAGGAACAGCCTTTGGAATGGCTGGACTCTGCTTGAGGAGTTCATCAATGCCATGATCGACTGCTGCTGGGATCTGCTTAGCGATAACAGAGTGACTAGCATTGAGTGACAGAAGGGCACCTTGCTGCGGTGATGGGGTAGTGTAAGCGGAGCGATCAATCCCACAATTGATACTCTGCCGTGTTCCCGGCTAGCAATGCCGGCATAGTAAGGCGTGGCAGGAGTTGATTCATTCGTGGAATATGAGCCCCGTCGACCGCTGTCCAAGGGAGGTGCATCGCCATTCACACGATCCGAGCGAGACTGCCCAACAGCGGGTCTTCCCGGGGTAAAAGGGACAACAGAAGGATATGGAAGGACTGCATGGGGAAATTGACCCGGGTGGGGTGCGGCAATGTATGCAGGCGCGCCAAAGGACGGGTCCATCAAACTCAAGGGCTGTTGACCGGCTGGGACGGGGGCCAGAAAATACTGGCTATCGGGGAAAACATAAGCAGGGGTCATCGGCCCAGGGAATCCTCCGCCATGGGCAATAGACATGGCATTCATCTGGCCCATGACGCCTCCGATAGCGCCATCACCCGAGGCCATCGACAGGTGGAGAGGATATTGCTGCCCACCGGAATGGACCTCGCCAAGGAGGGGCCCGGCTGCGTGATATGCCGGAATGGATGGGTTAACGGGAGCTAAAGGGAAGGGTAGCAAGGTTATATTTAGCCTCATATTCCGCGCATAGAAGCCAGGCAGGTAATAGAATAGCGGTTAGCACAGGGGCGTTGCTTGTCTAGGACTTACATCGAGGAGCCGCCATTTTCGGTGGCTAGGTGGACAACAGTAGAACTAATGCTGGGAAATTGACTTGCCTAGACGTTAGCTTCATGCAATTGCAAACATTTGACGAAATTGGGATATATCTCCGTGCAGAAAGAGCGGGAATTGATTGACAGAGAAAGTATAACAAAGGGGAGGAATAAGTCTATAAAGGTAAAGGAGGAGCAGTTCAGATTCAACACATACGACAGCAGAAAGGGGCCCTGGCTCCACCAATGCAATGAGATTGAAATCACGGAGTTCAAAAGAAAGAAAAACATTGGGGAAGGCGAGGCTATCATTATGCTAGATTAAAGGTGCCTACCTCTGGCTGTTCCGATGATTGACACCTAGGACGGAAGGGGTCGACGGGCGGCCAAGGGAAGCTCGGGGCAGAATATATCGTTTTTCTGTTTTCAAACGAGTGAGTAATATTGTAATCTGATCAAGAGATGGAGTGCAAAGCGATGGAATTGGAGAAGGGGAAAAGAATCGTGTAGAATCCAAGTTCGGGTGCTGTTGATGCTTGGGGAAGAAAGATAAAGAAGAGAGGAGGGATAACTCGCAACCGGAGCTCTGATATGTTTAAGACGCGGGAGGGATATAGAGGGGCCAGGTTAGATAGAAAAGGAAGGAAAGGGAGACAGCAGAGAAGCTGCAACTTGAGAAAAGAAACGGCCTAGAAGTAGCAGCTTGCAAGGCGTGGGAATACCGAATAGAGCGCTTTCCGCGGTATCTCAGGTTGCTGATGGAACACTGAGAAGTGAGGTAACGATGTTTCTGAGGGGAGCTGCAATCTAGGCATAAGAAGGGGGAATCGATACCTCTTGATAGTGGCTACCTTGGTTAGGAATGTTTTCGGGGCGGTTCTTGTCCTTACTCGAATGAAAGTGATTTGGAAAACTCCCATGGATGATGGCTCAAGTGCTGAGAGCGTAGTAAGGGCACCCCTTGGTTGAGGTGAAGAAAGGAGCGAAGGATGATAAGTTTTAAGAGAGAAATCGCGGGATCAAGTACCTGCCGATTTGGCTCCTAGGGAGACGAAGCGGAGCTCCACGAGCGGACTATATAGATAATATGGGCAGTAGCGCTCTGGGTCGTCACTAGCATCGAAGTGAGTAAGAATTAGACCGCTCATGGATGTCTTTGACAGCGGGTATTGAAGAGATTCAGTGGAGGCAGGTTGAACTCGGAAGTCTTTGAAGGTTCATGATAGATATAGGAAAGTGAACCGAACCGCGATCAGAGGAAGCCACGTGTGTCAATTAGAAATAAGAACACAATTTGAATAGAGGAGGCCGCCCCTGCTTCCAAATTTAGATAGGGCGAGTGCGATATGTAGGAGGCAGGAGCCGCCGCGAGGACTCGTCCTTCCTCGACGAAGGCCTGGGTCGCACTTACTGCCCAAAGGTGGGAGAATGATTTACTCTCAGCCCTCACCCAAGTCGCTCGTACTCAGCAGGTCCAATGGATGATATGTTGACCTATCAGCAATACATATAGAGTCCATTGATGATGAGATATATCCATATCAAACCATTCCATGGCATCAGTAGTAGAGCAGCCCAGCGCCTGGTATTCAGCCCCATACACTTAAATGACTGCTGACAACGGATCTCAGGCTCAAAGGCGGACCCAGTCTTTGGCATTAGGGTCTTTACAGTTGGTTGGACATATGGAACAAGCTATGGATGATCTAAACCAGCATGCCACCTTAGCACTCCCGGAGTAAAGTTAGGATTGGACGGAAGCTAAGGTAGTTCCGAGCCGGGGCCGCAACCTTCAAGTAATAGGATCCCTCTAACACGAGCTTCACAATCATAAAGTGGCCTGAGAACCCTGCGAAATGGGGAGCGTTAACCCGGTGCGGTTGGAACCCCCAGAGGGGTGACTCCTACATCGCCATCTAGATCTGTCATGCTACCGCGTTTGTCCTGGCTTCATACACCCAATGATCATAGATGATCGGGTTTTGACAGAGGATACACATAAGCGTGTGGTTTCCTCAACTGTTACACCTTAGACCTATCACGTATACGAAGCTAGCGATAGAGTATTGGGGGTCGTGTGCCTTCGCCCTTAGCCCGGGTTCTCTACGCTCGCTCTGCCATGAGTAGGCGTGGAATATCTTCATTCTGTACCCGAGGGTTTCTCATTGCTAGTTTAGTATCTGTGATCGTGAGAGAACCCTTTGGGGGACAATAACGGAACGGGATTGCATGGCATCTACATAGACTCTCAGGGTATTAGATGGGGAAAGTTCTAGAATAAATCGATGAAAACGCTTGAAGGCATCAAGCTCACTTGCGGGGAAGTAGCAGCTAGACTATGTTGTATCTAGTACAATCAAGGTACACACGTCCGCTTGGCCAAAGGACAAGTAGTCGGCAGACTCCCGACGTCGCCGCTGAGGCAGAACGGATCTGAGCCGAAAGTTGAGATCCACTAGCCTGCCCGAAATGGACAAGCTTTCAGGAAACTGTACCTCAAACTGGGCAAAACTTCCGGTCCTCCAGCAAAACAACAACCTTGCAAAAATGGAATAGCAACGAGAGAAAGAAGACTATCATTACTGCATGGATCCATGATTATCGATCTGGCACATGGCCTCTTGGCGATGCCGCTTTACTATCTATGGTACTGCCTGTGTCGCTGGATGCGTCCAGGCGCCCATCGGAATTTCTGCAAAGGGGGCCGGTGTTGCTGAAGACGTTAAGAAACGGGGACGGGGGTGGGGTCCGTTTTGATCAGTTGTGGCCCCGATGAGCCGCGAGTGAGAGCCGAGTGGGGATTATCCTGGGGGTGGGCGCACTTGGATTTACAGTTGGCCACTGGGTCTAGCACGAATCGGCAATGGGATAATTTCGGGGAAGGTGGGAGGAGGCACGAACTGTCACAATGGGGGAAAATTGGTCTCGTGGGGCCCAGCGCTCTCTCCATGCAGAGACCCGAAGACGTCACGGCACATGTCTTGCGAGGCAAGAGAACCACCCCCAAAAGTCTTCACGGAATAAACGCTCACGACCACGAGTGTTGACCAAAAGGAATGCCAGCCCTCATATCACGCAACTGCATCGGAGGAATGAGGAATGGCGGGGGCCCTGATTCGTTTCCAGCCAGCCAATGCATTGATGGAAAGCTGGATAGAGAGGGATTTTTTTCTTTCCCTCATCGCTCTTTGAGTTAAGTGGGAGGCGTTTCAGGGCCACGCCTCCCTATCTATGGATCTATTGTCTTTGTGAGATATCCACTGACCGCCTCTCCGAAATCCCGAGGGGTTGGTTTCCTGCCTGCCAGGTGCAAGACAAGACCAACTCTGATGCTTAGTCGGAATTTTGCCCAGGTTCTTTCCTCAGGCCCCCTTTCCTCCCCTCCTTCCCCTCACAAGGACACAGACGTCTCCAAGATCAGTGGATCACCCCGCTGCCCCACACTGCGTATGGCCGAGATTCGGCTTTTGGCCAGAACCCCCAGGGCGGAAGTACGGTTATGGAGGCATTGAGGGAAGACCGGGCGCGCGCTCTCATTATATCTGATCTGGTGCGTGATGTTCTATAAAACATATCTGACCCCCGCGGCCTGAAAGGCGGGACAGCCTCGGTGTGCCACAGGTAGGTTGTGTGTGCACGAACTGGGGACAGGTTCATGCCACTAAAATGCAAGGGTCTGAATGTGGTTGGTTGACTCGCAATTTTACACCACAATACCTTGGTAGAATCCGACCAATAGGTCTGGGCTGGGGGTTTAGTAGAAGCGAAAAGGTGGGGAAATATCGGACTCGTGTGGGGAGAAAGGAGCAGTCGGAGAAACTGGAGGAAACAAAGTTGCGGGGACGACGGTAGCCGAGATCATTATGCCCTACTATTCCGGGGGCGTAACCGAGCGGACTTCCCGAATGCCGGGCACGAGTTTTTGCAACCCAATTGATCCACCCCAAGGACTGCCTGCCCTGACGAGGTCAAGCTGGCCGAGGCAAGGGACGAGGGCTAAGGGTTCGTTACCAGTGCTGGCTTAGAGGGCAAAGTGTCGAGAAAAAAGTAGCATATCTATTTGCATTACGGTGAACATGGAAGATATATGTAAAGTGAAGTCGAAGAAGAAAAAGAAGACGGAAATCAAGAGGCATGAGCTCGACTAAGCAAAAAGAAACAAAAAAACAACCAAAGCCGCCGCAATCTTGCGTCTTTCGCGACGTAGACTGCACGTGTTTGCCAGGGACCATGGCAGCGGCGCCGGTGTCATTCCCAACATTAGTCTATAGATCAAAGCATCTTCTCCTGCCCCGTATCGCAAACGTGAAAGCATCGTTCCTGCCTCGCTTTAATCGGCGAAAAATGAAGACGACCTGCTATCGTGAGGCGCGTCGATCCGTGTTGCTCGTCGCTAGTCATGCACCCGCCGTGTTGAATATGCCAAAAAGACAAGGGAAAAAAAGAGAGAGACGGAGAAGATCAAGTTTGAAATCTCAAGCCACTCGCGTTTACGACCAGACATCCTCCTATAGTCGAGGGTAAAAAGAACCGAATTAGTCAAATGTACCTGGTAGGGGAGAGTGCAGGTCTAGGTTTGCGCCAAGTGTGAGAGTGAGGTGAAGGATTTGCACATACCTGGTACTGGTTCGCAGACCTCATATTCTTGACAATCTCTTCCGCCTTGGCCTCGGGAATACCGCGCTGTTCAGCAATGATCTGGATAAGGCCGGCATGCACCTCGCGGGCCATGTTGGCGGCGTCACCGCAGACATAGATGTACGCCTTCTTGAGGAGGAGTTCGTTGATCTCCTTGGATCGTTCACGAAGGCGGTGCTGTACGTAAACCTTCTTGGCTCCGTCGCGAGAAAAGGCGGTGACGAGTTCGAACTTGTCTCCGAGGACCTTCTTGTGCTCCTGATGACGTACTAGTGTTAGCGAACGGTACGGGCAGCGTGGAAACAGCGAGAAGCAACACTTACCTCCCATTCGGACTTGTACAAAAGTCCTCGCTCGCTTTCCTGCAGCCGAAGAAGAGGATTGTGTGTCCAACCTCAGTGCCATCGGCGGCTTGCTTAGCTCGTTCTTGGACGAATCCGCGGAACGGGGCCACACCAGTACCGGGGCCGATGAGAATGATAGGCTTGGAAGGATCGGAAGGAAGCTTGAAGTTAGAGTGACGGACGTGCATGGGTACCCGGACGCCCGTGTACTTGCTCCTGGGGCCCTCAATCTCATAGCTAAGACCGAAGGGAGTCGGATCAGGGTCGCCATTCTGCTTCTGCTTCAGAGCGAAGAGATAGTTGGTGGCGACGCCGCGGAACGGGTCCTTCTCAGCAGCTCGGCTGGGGACCTCCTGGCTTTCAACAACGGCGGTGATAGAGATGGTCTTGGGCTGAACGAGGTTGGACGAAGAGATGGAGTAGTATCGGGGCTGAAGCTTGGTGAGACCCTCAATGAAGGCCGAGAAAGGCACATTGGTCCACTTGATTCCGCCGCTCGCGTGGTGGAGGAGACGTGAAATGTTGAAGAAGTGCTCGCTAGTCTGCTCATGGAAGTAGTCCTTGTCTCCGCCAAGCTTGGTCATCTCGGCCTTGATTTGGTCGTTGGGTGCGAAGGCGGCAAGGGTGGCCAAGAACTGGCGCGAGACGGGTGCGCAAATCTCCATGTGGTACCGGGCAATAGCATCGTAGGTGGTAGGGGTGGGGAAGGGGACCTTGGCGGTGGGCTCCAGGGCCCTGACGTTGATCACATCGTTCCTCTTGTCGGCAAGACCAAGGATGTCAAGAAGCGGTCGACCTCGGCGCCAGGGTTATTGGGCCAGATGGCGATATGGTCGCCGGTCTGGTAGGTCAGATTAGAACCGCTAATATCAACATCAACGTGGAGGCAGTTTCTGTCCTTGGCACTAAAGAGCTCGAGGGACTTGGCGATGGGGGCGATGTAAGGGTTGTGGGCGTTGAAGGGGCCTTTGACGGTGCCTTCGAGGTGGATCTTGTTGGGCTCTCCAAGGTAAACCTCGGGCGACTCGACGGTAAGGCTGTCGCGCTCGACGACTTCAAAGGTGGGCTCATAGACGGCCTCGCGCTCCTCAAGGGCCATCTTCTTGGCCAGAGCAGCCCACATGGGCTCCTTCCAAGCGAGGAAATCCTCTTCCATAGTACCGGTGCCATCGTCACCCTCACCAGCCTCACCGATCCTAGTCGCGCCGAGCTTTTGGAGGATCTTGTCGACATTCCTAACCATGTAGTTGTAGTGCTCGTAAGTGTTGTTGCCAAGGCCGAATGCCACATAGTTGAGGTTGTCCAGAGCAGGAGTGCGATCCTCTGAGAACTGGACATCCTCGGCATTCAAAAACTCGTGGAAGTCTACAGCGTTGTCGGTTGGTTCGCCCTCGCCATACGTTGCGAGAACAAACATGACGACCTTATCGTTAGGAATAGCATCGAGGTTGTCAAAGTCGTAGTCCTCGAGGTCGGCGATCATGGTCTCGAGGCCGAATCGGCTCTTGCCCTCCTTCGCGAGCCTCGAGGCATAATCCTCGGCGGTACCGGTTTGAGAACCGTAGAGGATGATGCAGTTCTTGCCCATCTCCTCCATCTTCTCAAGAATGCTACGCGACTGGCCCGCCTTGGCGCCACTGCTAAAGGCATTGGCGTAGGGGTCTTGGGCGACGGACCAGTACTTTCCCTTTGTGAAGTATGCTACGGTGCCAACAAAGATGGCGGAGAGGACGATGACGTCCAAAGTGTCGAGTTCTGCCATGGTGATCGGCTGTGCTTGTCCGGGCGGTCCTTCGGGTGGAGTGGACGGGCCGTCTTCGGGATGATTGAGAATGGTGTGCTCTGAGAGGGGTTCCTGAAAGGCAGGCTTGACGTTCGTTGACGGGGGTCAAGAATGTTAATCAGGGAACAGAGGGAGAGGAGTGGGAAGAAGGAGGAGGAGGAGAAAAAGAAAAGATGGAGGGAGAAAAAGTGTCGAGAAGGGGAGGAAGGGGGAGAAATGGATATGTGGGCCGAGGGCTCTGTGAAGTAGGATTAGTATCCAGGGGACATATTTCTGCGCGCAAGCTGGTGGCGGTAGTCTGCCGATTTTTTCGAAGCAAGGGTCGGACGTACCTGGAAACTTGGGGAAGGGGAGGAGGGGCTCCACGCCAGTCGGACGCTAATATTCCTCTGCTGGGCGGCGATCTGCCGTTGAATGAAAGGTGAGGGTCCACCGAAGCAAAGCAAAAGGGAATGGGAACTTGTTGTGGCTAGGACGGTAGTTGTCCTTTGTAGAGAGCGCGTACAGTCGACTAACGAGGGAGAAGGAAGCTTTGACAAGGACAAGGTCGTGCGATCCGCAGTGCTCTCTGATGAGATAAGCCGCTAGACCCACCCGAGGCAAGGAGCATGGGGCCATCCTTTTGTCTTGCATGGCACGGCCTTCGGAAAGGAGTAACGGAAAGGGAAACGGAATTACTTTTGAGTGGGTGTCGGCTCCAACGGAGTAACGGCCAGACTTGGCGGAGTGCGCAGTTTCCCACCTCCGATTCCGCCCCTTCTTCAATAGGCATCACGATTTGCGTGGAATCAAAATCAGAATAATAAGAACAATAGCCTGAGGGTGGTTTTTTTTTTTTTTTCCCTCCTGGATTTCTTTTTCAAAAATAATTCTTGAGATAATGGCTGAAAAGGGATGATCTATCCTGAATGGCGCTCGCACATTGGTCTTGTTGTCTAGTCCCCAGACCCTTGGGTGGTCAGCGAGGATGTCCCGACCGTCGCATCGGCACATGTCTCGTTCATCAACGTGGCTTGCACCCTCTCAATGAACTTGTGCCTTGGTGATAGAGACTCGTTGGAAATCAACCTCGAGCATTGGAAGAAAACCCTGTCTTCCCTTGCAAAGCAGCGCCAAGGTATTTCACGGGTCCCTATTCACCGGTGCGACGACTCGTTGGACTGCTACGGAAAGCTATCTTGGTTTCTTTTTCTTCGCCTTCTTATTTCCCTCCATTTTCGGCCCCTTTTTTATCTTGTCAGACTCTTCAAGCCGCAAGTAATATGTGTCAGCAATCTGAAAGATGGCGCCTGAAATAAAAATATCACTTGATGACTAACTGGAAGACGCAAAGTGTAGGCGTGATCCCAAAGCACAACTTCAAGTTTGAACGCTCAATCATTTAAGCAAACACAACATTGAATCTCAAGCAGTTGGACCAAGAGAATGGATACACTCAAATAAAAGCGCCTCATTTGCCAATGACATTACTGCCAAAGCCGATCGAAATGTGGTGTTTTGCAGATTTTTATTTTATTTTATTTAAAGAAAAAAGTAAGGTGGTTGAGGCTGGCGCGTTCCCTCTCGACGTCGTTGGCTGGCGGCTGGCCGCGTGGGCAAGTGCCTCCAAAGCGCCCCTATCCACACAGCCAATAACGCGGGACAGGATAATTGCGACGTGGTTCCATCTTTTTCGCACCCGGCGCCTTGAGCGGGTGCGCTCATCCCGTGCAGAAACTTCTTATCATTGGCTTATCCACAGTTAGTCCCCTTGCAGCACGCCTAAATCGGGGTGTTAAATTGTATCAGCTGGTCAAAATCCTCCGACCGACAGCGACCTGAACAATCCCTGCCTCAACTGTTCCTCTCTCGCACAGCAGCCGTCTGTCTCAATGCTCGATCACCTCTGGGCCTGCCTTCTGCTGACTGGCACTCTCGGCCTGTAAATGCCCAAAACGCCCGTTGTTACCATCATCATTCGAGAGAGTCTTCCTTCCTACCCTCTTCCCTGCCATCCTTGTCCGATTGACGCCGCTTGCCGCTGCCTGTAACGCTACACCATCTGGCGATGTTGTAGAACGGATCATGGGACTCTGCCCAATTCGAAATGGGTCAGTATGTTTTTCTTTGTGCCCCTCCATTGCTCAACTCCCACCCCAACTTGCCTGTGCAACATCTCCCATTTTCCATCGAGCGTGTCTGCGTTCTTGCTGTGGATTTTGCGCTGCCTTATTCTAGATTCTGGCCAGGGCTTTCCCCGGACGGCTGTTTCCAGGAAAAGCTCCTCTAGTCCCATTGTCCAAGCACCGTCCTTCCCGACAGCGCGTCAATTTTAGGTTGCAGGCGTCGCTGTTGCTCTTCATGTTTGAACCCGTCCCTTTGTACTCTCTCCATCTCAGGGTCTTGTGAATGAGACCCGGACGCTATACCTGGGCAATTCCTGTTCCACCAAGATTAGAACAGGTCTGCAAGCGGCCGCCGATAACCTTCCACGTGCTGACATCCCTACTTTTATCGAGAAGCTCCGTCCCAGACGCTGCCCCCGGACCATTCGCCCGACCCCGTCAAGTTTTCCCCGAGATCCGTATCCAGGCTTGATGAAGAGCCCGAGGACGATTGGCACCGTACGATTCGACCGAATGTCCTTGAACCTCCTGCCCCACGATCTATAACCCATTCAAGAGAGTCCTCTGCCGAAAAGATATCCCCGCCCTCCGCTCCGCCGCTGACCCTCACCTCTCCTCGTCTCCAAACCCCCAATCTCGACAAGGCTTTGGCGGTGTCCTTGAACGACCGATCGATCCGAAAAGTGCGTCGTACGGACATCATCGCCAAACCTCCATCGTTCATGGAATCCAGCACTCGAGAAATGGAAGCCTCGCGAGTTCATCATCAAGCCCCTTAAGCCCCCAGATGATAGCCGCGGCCGGCGCAGCCATGTTGTCAGATAGGCCGGACTTCCATGGCATGTTGCGGATTGACGACGACGTTCCTCTGTCGAGACCCGGAACCTCTCTCTCAAATGCCCCCACCCTAACCTCCATTTCTCATGCCTCAGAGAAACCTACTTCGATCCCCGAGAGCACGAGCTATTCCGCAACAAGTAGACGTGTCGAGCGAATGCAAAATTCTAAGCCCCGCCACGATCATTCCCATACCCATGCCCATCATGCCTCGCATTCCTCGCGCCACCCAAAAGACGAGCAAAAAACTGTTGGCGAGTATGCCTTACACGTTCTCTTCACCTCGGTTCGTCTCACTGACTAGAATACTCCTGCAATGTTGCTCTGCTCCCCACCTGGTGCTAACTTTGTCGTAGTTCATCGCCCAAGCTGAAGAAAAGCTCAATGACTGTATCACTGTGCCATTCGATCCCGAGCCCCATATCGAGCACATATGCGGGCCCGGGGCTGACCCAGGCTTCGATCAGTCCATCATCGCCCTTGGCCATATTGCTAGTCAGAAGCCAAAGCCCTTGATTGATTTGATGATGCTTTGGAGGAAGAGCAAGAGCGATCTCGCGAATGAAGCCAGATCGCATGTTCAACAGTCCAAAACTAATCTGCCACCCAGCCCGCTACAACGGCGCAACACTGAGCCCGTCCAACCTCACCAGCCCTCTTCTTCAATAGATGCGGGCCACTTACCTTTTCTTAACTCTCCCACCTCGCGCCAGGAATATGTTGCACAGGCTGAGCGTCGCTCTACAGTCTCAATCTATATTCTTTGCAGAGTGTTGATTGAAATCATCAGCCAGAGTAATCTCGCCTGCATAACCCCGGAGATGGAGGAGAAGCTCGAAGGCATTATTTTCGGCCAGCTCAAGATAGCAGATACAGAACAACTGATGATGTCGCCGCTCAAGCTCGCAAACTGGAATCTTTTTGCCCAACTTCTCGGCACCATGAGCGAGATCAGTTTTCCCACCGTCACGAAGCGATTCCTCTCCGATATTGAGCACTCATTACAGGAACTTGCTATCAAGGGTCCATCCTCGGCTGCGGGCCGTGACACAGAGGGGAAGATGGAGCTTGTTCTCGGTGGTATGAAACAATTGCGGATCAAGGTCGCACCGACTGAAGCGTGGGAGCAATCATGCGATTTTCTTATTGCGCTTGGGCGGTTATTCAACAAGTCCCATGGCCAGCGGGCCAAAACCGCATTCTGCCAGGTTCTCGATATGCTTTTAATAGCAGTGGCGGCCAAAGCATCTTCTGGTGACTTTTCCCACCCCAAGTGGGCCGAAGTTAGGAGCTCTATCGGACCGCGCCTCGCGCAGATGTTTGTAAAGCCACGCCACTGGGGGTTCGCCTTCCCACTTACTGCCACCCTCCTATGCGTCTCAACTCCTGACACGTTCAACTCACAATGGCTTCAGCTGGTTCTTCCTCTTCAGCCCAAACTAAAGGACCGATACACCAGGTCTCTCAGTCTACAGGTTGTCTCGAGATTACTCTGGACATTCCTCTACAGGGCTGGCGATTCGAGCCCAAGCACGGTGAGGAAGCTAGACGAGGTTATAAAACTAGTCCTTCCCCAGACCAAACGCTCTCTTATTGCCTCCGAGATTAGCGTCGCGGAGCCCTTGATACAAGTCATTCGGATCATCGGTTACAAGCATCCCGAATATTGCTTCAAGAGCATAATCTTTCCTCTGATTAATGCCGAACTGTTCAAATCTAACAAAGAACTCCGAGTTGAACAACTTGACCCGGATAGAATCGTGATCGGTATACGGGCGTTCTTGGCCATCATCTCCGATCTTGAAAAGGGTGAACAGGGCCAACCTCCCTTCCCCCAATATTCGGCTCCACCGTCTTCTTTACCTGACCGCATACCCACATCGCCTGGGATTATGTCTCCTAGAGGCGCGCCGTTGTCAATTCCATTGCCGCCCCTAAAGAGGACGGGGTGTCTCGACCTGTCCTGATCAACGCTTTGAGTGACACTGTCAAGGAGTATTACCTCAAATTCTGCGAAATCCTCGGCACCATCACCATAATCTGTGACAACACCTTTGGTGGGCAGGCTGCCCTAGACGAGAAGTTCAGCAGCCCCGGCCCCAAGACACCCATCGCGGATACCTTCAACTTTTCACGTCGCGACGACCATCAAGCCCCGTCTGACCAGAAGCAAGCATTTTACGAGCTCCTCCACGTCGCCGTCCAGGCGCTACCCAGATGTCTTTCTGTAGACATACCCTTCAACTCCATCATTAACCTCCTTTGCACTGGCACAGCGCACGTGCAGTCTAATATTGCGGAGTCTTCTGCACAATCCCTAAAAGCTATCGCGCGGCAATCCCACTCTCAACAGGTAACCATGGGGTTTTCACGGTTCATCTTCAACTTCGATGACAGGTACTCGACCATGTCCGATGGCGGCATGCTAGGCCCGGGCCACATAGAGTACGCTTCGGCTCTACGTCGAGTTGTTACAGATATGGATCGAGGAGATCCGGCAGAGGTCAAAGGATGCATCCACTGCACCTGATCCCAATTCCGGCAATGCTGATATGCGAGGCATGAAACTCGACCTGTCTAGTGTCTGGGCCGAGGTGGACTATGTTGAAGCTCACGGGCTATTTTTCCTTTGCTCCCAGTCCCGCAGGGTGAGGCATTTCGCTGTAACCGTCTTGCGCCTGATCACTGAGTTTGATACGGCGCTGGGTAAAACTCAAGGTCAAGCAAAGGACACACTGCGCCTCATTGACATTCTTGAGAATGACGCGGATCAGGTCATCAGCCTTAAACATGAGCAGCTTTCGGTTGCGGAGAGGAGTCGTCTTCAGCGCGGCCTGCTGAATAACACTAGCGGCCATAATAAGGGTGCTCTAGTTGAACTTTGCACCAGCGACGTCTCATATGACTCTACTCTCTGGTTCAAGATCCTCCCCAACCTGATGCGAGTGGCTTTTGACAAATGCCCCTTCACGGTCACGATTGGCCGGGATTTGATCTGTAATCGAATTATACAGATGTACAAGCATATCTCCTTCCTGTCAGAACCGAATCGGGGCCGCACTATATATCCGATCCCGGAAGCGCCAGACTTGCGGGGAGAACGCCCGCTACGCAGCCGGAGGTCGTGATCGAGCAATGGAAATTATACCTCATCTTTGCCTGCACCACGCTCGCAGATCCCGGAAGTGCGCCACTAACAACACCCACGACTCACCAGCATGGCCGAAAGGGATCTTCCAAGTCTAATTTGGCGGATAAAATTGTCTCGGCGAGGACTCTTTTCAAGTATCTCATCCCAATGTTATCAGCTACCTCGGCTTCCGTCAGGGAGGCGGTTGTTGTCGCGATGGGGTCTATCAACATCCACATCTACCGCACCCTGCTGGAGGAGCTCCAAACGCAAGTTTCCCAATGCAACAACGAAGCCCGGGCCCGCATCCACCAGCGTTCAAACAGCAATCCGCGAAGGAATCGGAAAATGGATTTGCTTCGAACGGAAATCACGCATGTCTACAAGCTCACCTCGCACTTTTTGAAGGAACCCGAGATTTATCAGGATGAGTGGATTCTGAGCAACCTAGTCAACTACACCAAAGACCTGAAACTGTTCCTCATGGACGGAGAGGTTCAGACGGACTGGGAATTCCAGAAACTGCGACGTCACTATTGCGGCTTGACGGAAGAGCTCTTTGAAGGAATCAACCGGACCAAGGACCCGTCAAGGTGGATGTCTTTCGAGTCGCGAAAATCAGCCTTCTCGCTCATGGAAGATTGGTGTGGCTTCTCACCAAATCAGACTCAGATTCGGGCCCGAGAAGACACTATGCGGCAGTCGCTTATTGATCAACAATCGCTAGGAGAACGAGGAACCGTCACGGCAGCCATGGAAATTGAAAAGCGCAACTTGAGGACTACTGCCCTGAGCGCCATGGCTGCTCTCTGTGGCGGACCTATTTCCATTACGACGGAGAGCGGTGTCATACTTCAGTTCGACCCACGAAGACTCCTGACCTGGATCGAGGCTATTTTCAATTCGGGAAGTGACAGGATGAATATAACCGGCAGACGTGCCCTTCACAATCTCATCATCCACAACAGCGAATACCCGTACCTGCTCGAGCATTGCATAGCTAGGTGCTACCTTGCAGAAGTCCCCAAAGTGCTCGAGAGCTACTTCTCCGTGGTGTCTCAAGTACTCCTTGAGCATGCCGATTACCCGACTGCTTTTTGGAAAGTCTTGAGTCTTTGTCTCTTCACTTTAGGAAATGACCAAAGTGAAATTCGATCAAGGTCAGCTCACGTACTCAGGGCTCTCGATGAGCGCCAGCAGATTGGCCGAAGGTCCAAGATCCAAGACTTTGACATCAGCATCTCGGATAAGACCAAAGCCGTCTATAAACTCGCCCAGTTTGAGATTTCGAAACGTTTGTCAAAGCAGCACACTGACCTGGCCTTCCACGTCTTCTCCGAGTTCACATTATACTTCAAGGACCTTCAGCCGGCCTCCCAACAAAACATGGTTGCGGTAATCTTGCCCTGGATACAAGCTATTGCACTTACACTTGACCCTAACGGCGGACCTACCGCGCCCTCCTATGTTTTGCTCGCCAACCTAGTCGAAATCACGATCAAGGCGAGCGGTACCCTGCACAACGAAGTCCAAGCTCTTTGGCAAGCTCTCGTCACTGGCCCCCATCCATTGAACGTGAGAATAGTGATGGACTTCATCATCTCCCTATGTCTCGAACGCCGCGAACAGAATTTCGTCGAGTACGCTAAGCAGATTGTCGTCTTCTTATCCAGCACTCCTGGTATGAAGGTGATTGACTTCTTGATGGTGCAGATCACTCCAAAGGCCATGGTGCCGAATGAAAAACAGGTTCTTCCCGCGCCGCCCGACGTTAGTAACCTGCCTTACTGTGCCGATCTAACGGAAGCACTCCCCATCGGGACCAAGCAAGCCGGCTTTTCTCTTGGACAACTATCGTTGATCCTCCTTGTGGATTTGATGGTGTCGCCTGTACATCTGTCTTCCGACCACTTGCCTGTGCTCCTCCAAGTGGTGACGGTCCTATGGGATCACTATACTCCGCTCGTGCAGGAACAGGCGCGAGAGATGCTTATCCACCTGATCCACGAACTCGTGATCTCCAAGCTAGCGGATCAAACCCCAGCAACCGCGAAGAAGTCAATTGAGGATTTGATAGACTCGATCCGTCGGCACGATCGGGCGGTAGTGTGGAGCTATGAGGACAGTAATGGAAAAGCCGATGATCGCGAGAACCACGTACCACCCAGCATGGAGAACCTCACTACAGAGGTCGTCAAAACCTTTGAGCTCACCTTTCCCGGTATCAAAGAACGGTGGGGCCGTCTATCATTAACATGGGCAACGTCCTGCCCGGTGAGGCACCTAGCCTGCCGTTCTTTCCAGATATTCCGCTGCATCCTTACCTCTCTCGACCAGCCGATGCTGGGGGCATGCTTGTTCGGCTCTCCAACACTATAGCGGATGAAGACCCCGAGATTCAGACTTTCTCCATGGAGATCCTGACGACCCTCAAAACGCTCATTGTCAAGCTCGACGCCGACAAGCTAGCAACATTCCCACAGCTGTTCTGGACAACTTGTGCCTGCCTCGAATCCATCAATGAGCTCGAGTTCCTCGAGGCCGTGGAGATGCTCAATGAATACCTTGCCAAGCTTGACTTTAGGTCTGATGGCGTGCGACTTAGGCTCATGGAGGGTCAGCCTTCCCGATGGGACGGTTCGTTTGACGGCCTCCAGCCGCTCCTGCACAAGGGTATGAGGTCGTCGCTTTGCATGGAGCCAACGTTGCGGACAATCGATAAACTGGCGCCTCTGCCGAGCGATAGCCTCGTGGGCGATGACTCGCGCGTTTTCTTCGCCATCCTTTCTCATCTTCCCGGCTTCCTACACGCGCTTGATCTTAATCGGCAGGACGAGGAGACTTTGCGGTCTGCGCGCATACTCGCGGAAGCGGCGGAGTGCGAGGGATACTCCAGTGTTTCCCACGTGCTAAACGAATACGTGGGGTCCAGGTACCGATCAAGCAAAGAGCTCCTCGGTCATATGCTCAGCGCGCTCAAGGATTATTTCCTTCCGCGGCTCGACTTCGAAATGGTTACCTTCTGCATGGGGCTCCTTACCAACTCGACTTCATGGGTTAAGATCAAGACGATGCAGATTCTCTGCGTCGTTATCCCCGAGATGGACATGCGCAAGCCTGAACTTGCGGGCCATGGGTCGGATCTGATTTCCCCCTTGCTCCGGCTACTCCAAACGGAGTTCTGCATGGAGGCCCTAGAGGTTCTAGATAACATAATGACCATGTCGGGAAGCTCCATGGATAAGCACCATCTTCGAATGAGCATGACGCGGGCCACTTCGAAAGCTATCCGAAAGGAGTACGAGCGCACGCAAAGCCTTTCGGTATTCCGGAGGAATCTGGTTGGGCGATACCTGTGCCGGCGAAGAAGACAGACTCGACTCGCGCCAACATACATGCAGCCTTCTACAGGTGCGAGAGTTCAGGAGGGGCTACGGCCGAGCCCTCCCCACCCCCGAGGTCGAATTCCATTCGGACGACTTCGATTACGGCTACTTGCCTCCAAACGATCGGACCGAAACCATGATGTCAGACGACCTTCGCGCCGAGAGCACCATGGGCGATCTGGTCAGCAAACTCGACAGTCTCGACGACTTCTTTGACGATCTATCGCAAAGCGCACCCAGCGAGGGCCGTTCCTCAAGAACAATCACCGAGTACGACCCCGACCTCTCGCAGTCCAGTGTTCAAGTCTACGACGATCAAATTGTGCCCATTCTTCACCAGGCCTCCAACAACCCCTCGTTCCAAAACGGATTCGCCGAACGGGCTCCAGCCATGTCCCGCGAGGCCAGCAGCAACACCATGAACCCCGGCGCATTTATCGCTTCATCAGCCAGTCACCGACAGGGTCTGCCGTCCAGAGCGGGACTTTCCCCATCCACGCCGTCTCAAGCTCAAATATTTCCAGGAGACCTCACCTCAGACGATGAGTTCAACGAAGATGTTTTGTCCGACGCAGACGATGAGCAGCCTGGGATGCCCGGGGATGAAAGCTCCTTCTTCCTCGAAAACATGATCCGGCCTTTTGCGCAATCATCGAGGCCCACGGCGCGGAGGCTTACGGGGGAGAACCCGAGATTTGGACCGGTTCAGAATGGAACGGTCAGGACCTTCCCAGCCCATACCCAAGCTACCGTCTAGTACAAACCTATTCCCCCGAAACCACAGCAGCCGTCGGCACAGCCTCCTCAGGGAGACATGCTTTAGCTCTTGACAAGCTTAATAGTGCCTAGAGGCTTGGTTATACCTGGCCCCTTGTATCGCTTTGCATGGTGCAACCTGCCTTCCACCTTTTGTTTTTTTCTCCAACGACTACCCTTCCTCCCTTCTTGTGTGTGTTCTTTCTTTTTTATAAAACGAAAACTTAGGCTTGTCGCTCGATAACGTGTGTATATGAAGACGCAGGAGTACAAATTCTCGGTGTTATTAGATGCAAGTCATTTTTAGCTTTTAATTAGCCCTCACGAAGAATCCCATCATGAGCTACTGAATACACATATACCATTTTATACCAATATATCTGGGTTCGTGGATGCCTTCTCTATCCTTAGGTCTTGCGCGTCAAGTACCTACGAGACGTAGGAACGGAGGCCGTGGTGAGAACCACATTTCCCGTCGCATAATGTCCCATGCCTTTCCATTCCTTGTTATGGATTCGAATCTTTTGTTCTTTTTGTGTGGCACCACTGCCCATAGTTTCCCAGGCCCCTTTTGCTACTTCATGTAGTCCAACGTGAGCAGGGCGGCGCTTGCAAGATCCAGCATGGCGCCCAAACTTTGAGGACTTGGGAGTGACTGGCACGATTCAGGCAGGATCGCAGGTTGAGAGCAAAGCTTAACTTCCTTTGCATTTCCTACCTTGAATCCAGCTTCATACAAAAGTGGAAACAATGAATCGAATCCTAGATGATTATGGTAGTGGTGGTAGGGAAGGTAGTGGGTGATGAGCCAAATGGAAAGCCAAGATGTACATTCACGATATTCAGCTTATATGGATCCACCTCAAGGAAGTCCTAAAGGATATTTCCGGAATGGGGAGTCCTATTTCGAGGCTTTTCGGTGCAATTGCTTGCCATGAAATATACGCTTAGTACCTGTGGCGGGTAGAGTAGTCTAGGAAGCGGAACAGGATTCATTAGCGTACTGGGAGGATAGTGTTCGGATACAAGTGTATGCTAAACTTCCCCATAAAGAGTGGGGTAGGTAGGAGGGGCCAAAAAGAAGAGGAAATCATACCTTTGGGGCTGACAACGAGACCACGGCCCTTCTTGGCACCACGATAGATGGTCTCGATGATGTCAATAAGCTCCTGCTTGTCCTCGAGGACCCAGTTGAGCTTGTTGTTGTTACCGGTGCCGAAATCGCACAGCATGTGCTTGTTTCGCCAGAAGAAGAGGATCGTGCATGGGTCGTAAAGCTCGTACATTTCGTTAAAGTCGGGGACCTGATCAATGTCGCAGACGTAGATGACCGCAAAGTTTCGAACCAGTTCCGAGATTTTGTAAAGAACCTATGAGGGTAGAGCGAGCCTTGTTAGCTTCCTCGGACAGTCCTCCCGGTTGGGAATGAAGGGGGAAAGAGGGAGGGGAGGAACATACCTCTCCCATCCTCATGCAGTCGGAATCAGAGTCACGACCAAAGAGGATGACCACGAGTCGCTCTTCCTCGCTGAGAATGGCCTGGTCAACGTGCCACCCACTCCGAAGGTGCGGCAGGAAAACGGAACCCATGGCTTTCTGATGTCCCGGAAATTCAAGGCTTTGGGCCTGCTGAGGAGTTGGACGTTTGGGGAAACGAGGAGCGAGTCAAGAAATGGTGAGGATCGTGGATAAGGCGGCGGGCGACTTCATGTGAATGTGGGGTGTGGTGCCTTGTGGTGGATGTGACGATAAGAGCCGATAAGGCTGCTTATTCAGCTTTTGGACTTGGGTTTTGGATTGCTTCCATCCGGCTTTCCACGAAGCATTCTACCGGTGATCAACCGTCCTCGTGGCAACTTGTGTCTGGTGCAGATTGATGTGACCCTAGACGGGAAATTTTTGAAGTGAACACAGTTACCATTGTACGCGCCGTCTGAGCCATGCGCTAAGGCCATCATTAATCATTACCTGGCTTTTGGGGTGCTTGAGGCCACATCCGCTTGACCAACTTAATCATCCCAGCTATTAACTCTCCAAGCTTCATCCTCCCTAAAGAAGTCCCCCCACCCCTTGACTTTCTTCCTCGGCCCATCCTTCACTCGAACTCGGCGAACCTTTTTTTTTTTCCTTTCCCTCTTCTCTTATTGTCTTGTTCTTTGTTTCGTTGCTGTACTCACCCGTTGAGTTAAGCTACTAATCCCCTTATTTCTTGTCTCTCCTTTTCCACACGATTACTGCGCAAATTCGATAGTCGGGAGAGCTTACTCTTCAATCTCCAATTCCTCCGTCGCAACACATAACGAGCCATGTCGATGCCAATGCCTGGCCCAGGTGGCCCTGGAGGTCCTGGCGGCCCCGGGGACCTGGCATCCCTATCCAGATGGGACCCGGCCAGATGCCCACCCCAGAGCAGATCCAGATGATGCAGCGACAGCTCGCCATGGAGGCCCAGAAGGCCGGCATGAGCGTGCCTGATTTCGTTGAGCACCTCAAGAAGCAAGCTCGCGAACAGCAGATGAGGATGCAGCAGGCGGCTCAGCAGCAGCGCGCTGCCGGCGGCGGCCTGGCGGTCCGGGTCCCCAGCCTGGCCCCCGGGTCAAGGCCGCCCCCAAGGCCAACCTCAACCCATTACACCTGGTCCCCGAACCCCAAGGCTCTCGCCTTGGCAAAATTCCTCAAGAGCCAAGATCTCAAACCCAGAACTTGTATTCTTAACGGCGAGCGCAAAGACATGTTCAAAGGTGAGTGTCGTATCGAGCGTCGTCGACTGCTCACACCGGGTTTACCACGCTCTCGTGGGCTGGCCATGTACTAACGGTGAGCGTTGAAATTGTAGTGAAACGAGCCCTCCGAGCCCTTCAGTCCCCGCCTACGAAAAGGCGCGAAAGAAGAACCCGCTTCTCCCCGAAATCACCGACCGCGCCTCTCTTGAGAACACCTTTAAGCTCCTTCCCATGTCCATGCTTGCTCTCCGCGTCACCAAGACCGACCCTCACGAGGGCCACAACCATGCCAAGAAGCCTAAGCGCGTCAAGGGCCTCTGGACGGTCAAGATTGAGCCTCAGCAGGATGCTCAGGAAGAAATGTACTACGCCTGGCTGTGGGAGGGTGCGCAGATTAAGCGACAGGTTTATGCCGTGCTGGCCCTCATCCTCATCTTCCTCATTGTGCTTTATCCTCTGTGGCCCGTCAAGTTGCGACAGGGAGTGTACTATCTAAGCTGGGGCTTCCTGGGTTTGCTCGGCCTGTTCTTCCTCATGGCTATCTTCCGTGTTATCCTCTTCTGTGTCACATACTTTGCCGTCGCGCCCGGCCTGTGGCTATACCCCAATCTCTGGGAAGACGTTTCTTTTATGGACAGTTTCCGCCCCGTGTGGGCCTGGCATGAGGTATGTATCTATCGCGCCGCACAAGCCCTGAACATCCCCCTCAATCCTTGTGCATGCACATCACTGACACGCTTACTTGTAGACCGAGCCTCAAAAGAAGAAGAAGAAGAAGTCCAAGTCGGCCACCCAAGGACTAGGAAATGCCGAGGCGCAATCCCAAATCAGCGCCGCGGCTGGCCACGCGCCTCCCGCCACCGCCACGACTACGGCCACCGACACTCAGATCAAGACCGAGCCCAGGCAACGCTCCTATGTGGCGCCCAAGGTTGAGGAGCTCGCTGAATAATGGACTGGGTGGGTTGTAATCTTCCTGCATCTACCAAGGCAGGGCGAAATTTCGCCAAGAATGGCAGGAATGCATACTTCCTTGCAATAACTTGCATCGGTCATATCAATGACCATACCATGGGTGTTTTGAGTGGGATTTCTTTTTCTTGGCCCGCCGAGGTGTGCCCCGTTTGGGGCGTTTTTATCTCCCATAGGGTATCGAATCTGCAAAAGGGGTTATTATCTCACTGTGTCCGGTTGTTGTTGATGTTTTCTCGCTCTGTTCGCCCTAGCACATATTGTATTAGTACGAGAAGGGCATCCTCCTCTTTCTTCCTTCCTTCTCTTTGTTTTCACATTACAAGCCAAAGGGTGGCCGGAAATTTTGACGAATATTTGACTTTGAGCGAACCTGCCTCTCCAGATAGTAGATGTGTACTGAGTGAGGACACAAACCTGGCTGCCATCAAATGCAGCCAGTGTTGCGCCCATCACGTTGAGCCCCTTGACAGTTACAGGTCAGCTCCATAGGTTTTCCTCCGGCGAGGCTCTCGGTAGAACCGGATGGGCCTTGCTCAGTCGGCCTGTTGAGTAACCTTAAAAGAGACCTATGACGTTCTCGAGGCCCCTGGGCCTCCGTCACTGAGCCTCACGGCCCCCGGAGGTGTCCCCCAATTGCATCATCTCAGGTCCCAACTGATCAGCCAAGGCGGGACGTCTCCTTCTCCTGGGCATTGTTGACCTTAACGCTGAGATTTCCGTCACGGGCGACGCATGCTTCAGCTCGCCCCAAACCCCAAACGGCTTACACCCGACGCCTCGTGCCCCTCTCCTCCTCCTCGTCTTCCAGAAAAAGTTGTCACATTCACATTTTATTCGTAAACTAGTCTGCACTTTGTGATGCATCTGACGGATGCAGTCACTTTACGTGAAAAGGACAAAAGTCGAAGTCACTCGGTGGCGGAACGGGGGAGGCTTGCCCTGCCCTGCTCATTCGATCCATGCAGCGGCAGTTGACAGAACTGCCACGTATTTTCTCAAGCCCCCTAGTCTTTTCGAGTGGGAAGAATTACACCCATAGCAAAAGCTGGCAAGATGATCCTCGGCATGCGACAACAGTGGCACCGGGAAACGGCCATTCGGCCGCGATGCCATATGCGCGGCCCGATACAGTTGGGGAATGCTTCGCTTCGGGTGCTACATGACAGCATCGTCGATGTACCCATGCCGCTATCTGGGGCGGTGTGAGCTGACAGATATGCATCGCCTCCTGAAAGCAGCTTCGAGGGGGTGGGCTGGAGAGCGACTTCGTTGGTGGCGACGGCGACGCGCAGGGGCAAGAACCCAGGTGCCGACGTGGGATGCGGACTTTAGCGTGGGGCGAGATGGAAAACTGAAGAATGATCAATGGTGACAGAAGAAATGGATTGCGAGAGAAATTTTTGAAAGAAGGAAGGGCAGGAAACAGGAAATGGGAAAAGGGAAAAGCAGAAGTGCATGTTCCCCACCCAATCCATGAAACCATGGAAAAGAAGAAAAGATGAAAAGAGGAAAATGAAAAAGAAAAATAAAGAAAGTATGGAAAAGGATATTTCGGTTGTGCCGAGGGAGAAAAGATGGATGCCATCTCTTTGCCCTATGCGCCAACATTGAAAATTATACAGTTCAATGTTCTTCTACTACCACCAACCAAGACCGTACGTGTAAGCCTGCCTATAACCGGACATCGTCCAAAAGAGAGTACATACGTGACTGAGGTGTCAATCGTGAACAAGAGCCGTTGAAAAGAGATGCTAGTGCGAGGGTTAAAAACATTCGGGTCAACGAGCCTTTTATATGCCTCTTTCTCTTCACCGTCCCCCACGTATTGTCTCACAATTACCCTATTCGAAGCTTAGCAGCTCCCGAGGTATGAACCCGCGCTATAGCAGTTGCTTATAGAAAAAGGTCTCAGACTTGAGACCACCGCCGGGGCTGATAGCAAACTCGGGAATCTTTCCAACCTCAACATAGCCTAGCTTTTTATATAAATGTTCGGCCACGGTTCCCGTCTCGGTATCGAGCATCTGTGGAGTTGCGCGTGCGCGCACTCAAGTGTTAGCAGGGACACTATGACCCCCAGCTTCCCATAGTCAAAGCGAGTTGGTATGGATGTGCACCAGTGGGCAGGGGAAGTCGGTTCTAAACGATGGCTGCCATGCGAACAAGATGTAAACTCACCAAAAGTGTCCTCCCTCGCCGAACAGCCTCGGCTTCAAGAGCCTGCATCAGCGCTGTCGCACCGCCCCGTCTCCTGAATTTTGGGCTCACGACGAGCTTCTCAACCCAGCCCCGGAAGGGGCCGGTCTCCAGTACGGCACAGAAAGCGTAACAGCACCCATCAACTGTAGCCCGGACTGTGGAGGGTGTGACTCGGATTCGTCAAATAAGAGAACCATGAACCGTTTTCCTTCTCGAATGTCGGCAATGACATCTTTCCAAAACTTGAGGAGTTTGTCCTGATCTAGGGGGTAGAAAGGTGACTATGCTGTGATCGGCGGTGATGCAGTTGGCATGGATGGCTGCCAGATATGGTATAAGATGAGTCTCGTTGTCCGTGAAAAGGCGTGTAGAGTGAGTGAGTAGTGGCGCTTGGGCACACTCTGAAGACATTATGTTCTGTTTGATGCTCGCCTCGTAATGTAGAAGAAGAAAGGTTGTTGATATCTGCCTACTTGCTTCCTCTGCGTGGTAGTATTCCTTTGGCGTTTGGTTTTCCGCCGAAACGAAAAGTTAGGTCTACCTGCCGTGTTCGGAAGGATTTAGGGACTACGTTGTCTGCAAGAAAATGGGGTTAACCAAATTTGTCTTTTTTTTCTATTTCAGGGTAAAAGGGCGATATTTGTCGGAGTAGCTCTTGCAGGAACTAGAGACAATGTATTGAGTAGGTGTTAGCGGGAAGGAACCTAACACATGTCGGATATCAATCTTCTGAGGTTCATGGTATCCAACTTTTAGACACTTTTGGGGTCTTAAAAACATGAAACGGCGGCCGGGGGTTGATCTTCCCATCTCTTTCTCTTCCTCTTCTTCCTCCTCTTCTTCGTTTCTTCTCTGCTTCTTTTTTTCTCCACTCATTCTTCTTCCTTATTTTTAGAAACCGGACTTACGGGAGGTGTGGAATTTCTTTTTCTTTTTTTCACTTTTGTTTTCTGCTGAAAGATCAAAAAGTGCGGGACGGTGACGAGATCAAGGAAGAATCGACAGATGGACCGAGGAGAGGAGTCAACGTGTGAGGAACTGACTGTTTGACCTCAACGACGTCGGACTGGATGGGGGTTTTGTGCTAGTTGGCCAAGATCAACCGACGTGGCCAGGGATGAGATAAATATTGCCTCAACTGAAGCCATTGACTAACAGCATATCGCATGTGCCTCTTCTCGTCACCCGGCAAGGTCGAGAGATTGCCCCTGCTCCCTTTCTTTCCTCTTTCTCGCCCCATCTGGTCACTCGGAGATCCTTGCGAGGACCCAAAGCCTTCCTTGCATTCAAGAGAGTGGACATGCCATGGGCCATGCCTTGGAGTACATGCATCAGCGCAACAACCGTCGCCGTCGCCGGTTCGTCGGATTCAACTTCTCACCAGGGGGGCGATGCCCTCGGTCTTAATCCTCACTGCTACACGTTCCCAAGTACCTTTTTGACGTGTCTACCCCCTCGTCCCCTACCTTCGTCTTCAAATGTTGCCTGAGGGGACGTTGATATTTCTTGTGCTTGGATTGTGGAGGGTCGTGAATGCAGGGGCACTTCGACTATCTTCAAGCGTCTTCGATTCCAAATACGCCATTGGTGTACTGCGTCGTATGTCACAGAATTTTCTTTTTAAACATCGCAACTAGCTTAGTTTTGGTCTGCGCACCACGGTGCTGGTTGGCGGGTGACGGGGCCTCTAGACTTAGTTGACTGGATGCGGTGCGACGGAAGACGAGCGAATAATGAAGCCCAAAGCAGGGAAAAATCGTGAAACCTGTTGCCGGTACGCGCGCAAACCTAGCAAGGGGCTCGGGCTAACAACCGATGCCGAGGTGAGGCGAGGGGCAGAAGCACGGAAAGCAGCGCCGGGTGCGTCCTCGCAACCCGTCATTTGTAGCCCTGGCTTCATGGTTTCTAGAAGTTCCTCCACGTTCCGGGGAAGGGAGCAGCTCATCGCCTGTTGATCCGTCCGGTTTGCTTTGTGGCTACATGTGGCTCCCGTCCAAGTGCTCAAGGGGCAGTGTGAGGTTCGTTCAATGTTGAGTCTCGACGGAAGATATAGCCAAGACCCAGGCCAAGCTCAGTTGCAGTGTATTAATCCTGGCTGCCCTTTCCCTCTCCAAATGGCTCCATTGTTCCTGCTTCTATTTCCCCACCTCACAAAATAGCACTGTCACGACCTACCTACATCGTACATTGTAGTCCACGTTGAATCGAGGGAGGGTTCCAAAAGAGCCTTCAAGTCTCAGCAAGAGCAAGGATGCTACCGAGGGAGACCAAAGACGATTGAGCCATTGGCTCAACTCATCTGAAAAGCAAAATGCGACGAGTATCAATCGGTTGTGGCCTTTGGAAATGTGCGCGAGTGACGAGTCTCTTTCTTCCTCTCAGTGGTACAGACACGAGGCGGGTGCCGCAAAACCCCATCTCGTCCAACAGCGCAATCGGACCCAGATCAACAATAAGGGGAAAAAAGCGAGCACTCGGCCTGCCGTCAAGGGGTATCGGGGCAAGCTGGGATAGCGGACCACCGCATACCCACGCGCACCTTTGTTACGCTGTCCATCTCTTCCCGTCATACGGAAACGGTACTATACACGTTTCCAATCACATTGTATTTGCGGTTTGTGGGCGAGCCTCAGCATGTGGTGAGCTCACTCTTGCTCATCTGGGAGCCGAAGCAGCCAGCGGTGCGGAGCCACACGGGAACGATTGATAACTCGCCACGAGGGGGCCACTCGGAAAGGCTGGCTGGTAATAATATCATTATTAGCTGTCCATCTTGGAGGTGCTCCACCCCTGCTTACGCTCGGCGCTAGGCATCTAGGAGCCCCGGTTTAGAAAGCTAGCCCTCGAGGCATTGGCTTGGAGAGACTCCCACCATTCCCACAGGCGGCGCTCTCGGATCAACCCATCGGATATGATTGATGCATTCTACGCCGTCTCCTATCGGGTGGGGTGGGGATTGCGGAAGTCGGCTTTGTCCGCTATGGTGGCACTGTCTTCAGTCAAGACCCAATGTTGCGGTTCCAGAGCGGTTCGGGTTGCGGGAGTCAAAACTTAACCAGGATGAATCAACGACCTGGGCCAAACTAGGCCACCAACGCGCTAGCTGACAGCCCGCCTCCCCAGCGGGTTGCCTTTTGAGAGAGGGAGAGAGGGATTGAGCATTTGCCAGTGTCAGAGTGTCTGTCAGCTTGAGCTTGACCTAAAGCTGAACCAGTACAAGCGTGCGCGGGAGACACACTGCAGCACCATGTCACCCCGGTCCGTTTCAAGGTACATCACAGGCCAGCCAGACATTTGTGGGCAGCTCTCCAGGTCCCACTAGGGACTCTCATCAGACTTCGAATCCGAGTTGCAGAACCCTAGCCCGTTTGGATATATTATAGCCCCGGCACGCACCCTGCATCGTAGTGCTGGCCCGAAAGGGGCGACGGCTGAGAATTGGGGTTGTCGTGATCTTGTGTCTTCTTGCCCTTCTGTTTTTCCTTTCCCGCGTCCCCACCAGAGAAATTAGCTGAGCTCCGAGCCAAGAGTGGGCTGGCCTGGCCTGCGTATGAGCGTAGCGGTAGGTCAGCTTATACCCCTCACTACGCTTGGCAGCGAAACAAGCACCCCATCCCTCCCCCGCACCCCCGAGGAGGCGGCCTCCGATATCTACTTCCGTCGGTGTTGGGACTGGTGTCGCACCTCGCGTGAGCTCGCAGACTGGTCGAGTAGGAGCGCGGTAGCCGACCTTCCCGGAGCCAAGCGCTTGCATTTCATCTGCAACAAGCAAGATCGAAAGCCGTCGCTTGTCTCAGGCTATTCTGTTCCTAGCTTGCCCCACTGCACCGGCCGGACAGACAGCTTAGCTGCTGGTCCTCCATTGATCTCACTTCTTGATTCTTTTTTTTCTTCCTGTTTCTCCCCCTCCCTTCCTCACTTCCCGTCTGTGCCTCTACAGCTTCTGTTCGCATACTTCAGCTCTTTTCTTTTCTTTCGGATTTGCGCGTAGCCTTTTTTAAACAGCTCTGCAACTCGCCCTGCTCAGTCCTTCGTTTTCCAACCGCGTCTTTACAGTCGCTTAGTGGCAACCACGCCCTAGCCCCGCGTTTTTGCTCATTCTCATGGACCTCTTCCGCAAGGCGGGGCTCGTCTCGACCGCCTCTTGAGCACCGAGGAGGAACGCCATTCCCACACCCATATCAACCAAGAGTGCACGCATATCCATCCCGAGCATCATAGGGACAACAGGTATACCTCTTTTGCGCCCCAAACCACCGGCAACGCAAAATGGTACGTCGACGGCTGCTCCTACTTTTGGGCGGTCTCCGAAGCGATTGAAGGTAGGATCGTCTATGCCCTTCCATGATACCCCTCCAGCCGCGCCAACTGCCGGGGGGCGGGGGACGGGAAGCGAGATGTGTGTGATTGGGAATGGAGATACTAAGTTTCCTTAATGGCGCCAGCTGCCCAGAAGAGCATCTACATCCTTGACTGGTGGCTCAGCCCTGAGCTCTACCTTCGTCGGCCTCCTTCCGCTAACGAGCGATACCGCCTCGATAAACTTCTCCATGCCGCGGCCGAGCGTGGAGTCAAGGTTCACATCATTGTTTACAAGGAAGTGCAGGCAGCCTTGACATGTAAGTAGATGCCATGCTCCAACTGTGTCTTGACTGCCCTTTCTAATGCCGGAGCTGCCACTTACACGCGTCTTCTCCTTTTTAGTAAACTCTGCTGTAAGTCTAAACCGCCACGAGGCTCGCATATGCGCGCTCGGAAGCCAAACGCGAATCTAACACCGTTTGATAGCACACTCGCAAGCGACTCGAGTCTCTTCACCCCAACATCCAAGTCTTTAGGCACCCCGACCACACGCCTACCGGGTATAGCTTGAACAAGACCTTCTCCGGGCTTTCCCTCGGCGGCGGCAACATTGCAAAGACATCGGTGGATGCCTTGAAAGCGCTGTATGGCACCAATGATGGAATGGTGTTATTTTGGGCGCACCACGAGAAGCTGTGCCTGATTGATGAGAGGCTTGTGTTCATGGGCGGGCTTGATATGTGTAAGCCTTCTGGCCCTGCGCCAAACATTACTCAAAAGACAGGGCGGTGTGCTAACAATGTGGATTCCCTCAATAGGCTTTGGGAGATGGGATACTACTTGTAAGATCAACCATTCACTCCACGACGGAGACCTAACGGCAGGCCTTTCAGCTAACCCTTCTGACCACAGCCCATCCTATTGCCGATGCTCACCCTGGAGACCTGAATGCCATTGTTTTCCTGGGCAAGACTATAACAACGCTCGGATCTACGACTTTCATAACGTTGATGACTGGGAGAAGAACAAGCTGGACAGGACCCAGAGTTCCAGGATGGGGTGGACCGACGTGGCCATTAGCTTGAATGGTCCAATCGTCGCAAGTCTAATACACCACTTCAAGGATCGATGGTAAGATCTTGATGACTCCCTTGAGGGTGAACGACGCGAGGTGCCCCTTTCGTGTTGGCTCACACTATTTCCTTGATCGCAGGAACTATCTCTACGACCAAAAGTACGGACACAAGAATGCCGGAAAGTACGCCAAACTCGAGACCGATCCTTCCGGTCAGCCCGGCCACAGCGACTGGTCCCAATCCGGGCATCGACTTTTGGATGACATGCACGGTAAATTTAACCGTGGCTTGAGCCATCTGACTGGCCACGAGGACCGTAGCCAAAGGCCACCATCGAGGCAAGGCGGTGGTGCCACCAACATACAGCTCGTTCGCAGGTTCGTGTTCGCCTCAGCCCGTGTCCCCTTCTGCCGACCAGCGCCCCATGGCAGCTTGCAGCCGCTAACTTCTTCACTAGCGCAACTGCGTGGTCTTCTGGATTGCCCACCGAGCACTCCATCGCCAGTGCTTACATTGAGGCCATAACCAATGCCCAGCACTTCGTATACATCGAGAATCAGGTATGAATGGCCCACGTAGATGAAAGGAAGTAAGGAAGGAGAGAAAGCGGAATGAGAAATTGGTCCCGAGAATTTTCAAAGGAACCCACTTTAGTAACTGCCAGCTAACGTTGGGCGACCGTTATAGTTCTTCATCACGGCGACTAGCGATGCTCAGCGGCCAGTGTTCAATAAGATTGGTGCAGCTATCGTTAACCGCATTCTCAAGGCACACCACGCTAATGAAGAGTTCTTGGTGATTGTCATCATGCCTGCCGTCCCCGGATTTGCGGGTGATCTCAAGGCGGATGGCGCGCTTGGCACGCGAGCCATTATGGAGTTCCAGTACTTCTCCATCTCGCGTGGTGGACACAGCATCATCGAAACGTTGAAGCACAATGGCATCCAAGATGTCAGCCGCTACATTTCGTTTTATAACCTCCGAAACTATGACCGCGTTAATACTTCGTCAACCATGACGCAGGCTGAGCAGCGCTCAGGAGTTCCGTACGAGGCCGCCCGGAAGGAACACGACGACGCCGTGGGCGCCGGCTATCGCCATGGCGAGGGCACCCGTGGACAGGCCCAGTACAACCAATACCAGCAAGCCGCCGCCAAAGTCCCGGACCCCACGTGGGACACCGTGTCATCCTGCTACATGGCCGGTGGGACCGACATTCGAAATGTACCGTGGTACGGCCCCCGAGAAGGAGATTGACGCCTTTGTCAGCGAGCAGCTCTACATCCACAGCAAGCTCCTCATCGCAGACGACCGCCTGGTCATCTGCGGCTCGGCCAACATCAACGACCGCTCCCAGCTGGGTTCGCACGACTCCGAGATTGCCGTCGTCATCGAGGACAACCACCCCGTCGACTCGTACATGAACGGCAAGCCTTTCCAGGCTACCGCCTTCGCCGCCTCGCTCCGGCGCTTCATCTTCCGCAAGCATCTAGGTCTCATTCCCGAGGAGAAGTGGGACAGCCCCAACGTCAACTGGTCCAGCGTCGAAAAGGGACCCAACTGGTACGACTGGAACTCGCAGGCCGACCACCTCGTCCGCGACCCGCTCCACCCCGAGTTCCGTCACCTGTGGAATACCACGGCGCGCGTCAACACCGAAGTTTTTAGCAAGGTCTTCCACAACGTTCCCAACGACCACGTTCGCACCTGGCAGGACTATGACGAGTTCTTTAGCAGGCACTTTGTCGTCCCCGGCGCCGAGGCCCCCAAGGACCAGAAGCAGCAGCAGCAGCAGCAGGCCCAAGCCCCCGGTGTCGAAAAGGTGAGCTATGGCCACGTGGTCAGGTCCGAGTTCCCCGGCGGCGTCGGCGAGGTCAAGGATTGGCTGAGCCGGGTGCGCGGTAGTCTTGTCGAGATGCCGCTCGACTTTTTGGTGGATGAGGCCGACATTGCAAAGGAGGGCCTTGAGCTGAATACTCTGACTGCGGAGCTATACACGTGAAACCTCTATGTTATCATGTCTGTCTGATCCCCTTTCCTTTTTCTTTTCTGGTTTTTTTTTCTCTTGTTTTGTCGCCTTTCTTTCAGCTCATCAGGCTTGGTCTATTCGCCCGTGGCCTTGAGCCGATGAAAATTATCCATGTGCGCATTTATCTCTATATCCATCCCATCATAGTTTCCCAACTACTTCCGTGTCCCGTTTGCTCGTCCAAGTAGATACAAACAAGCAATTCTTCGCGCTTGCCTCCGCAAGTTGCCTGGTGTTAAGAATCCCCCGTGTTCCATGATAAGCGACAGAGTAATTCCTCTGTCATGTCGCCCTTGTTCAACCTCACAATCAGCGATTCTCGATTTCGGCTTGCTGCAAACCATCATGAGATGAATAGGGGAGGGGGACTACTTTAGATTGGCGGACTAGGAGCAGAAATGATCACAGCGCGTTGGAGAAACGAGGCAAAGAAAGACGAAGAAAAGAAAAAACTCCTTAGCGACCCCAACCTAAGAATAAAAATGATATCTCTATGGAAAAAGTTTGTGAGGTAATGAACACAAGTAGGGGTGGGGGAGGAATCTACAAGAACCGTCCCCCATCAAACGACAAAAGTGGCAACAAGTGGAATACAAGTCCCCTGCGTCTGAAAGCCGCAGCGGGAGAGGAAGGACAAAGGACGAGAGCGGTTATTCAAAAAATTTCCACGTTGTAAAATAAAAAAAACAGAAGCAAGGAAAAAGAAAAATCATTTCATCATGATATCACCCCTTCTTTAGTCCTTCTTGCCATTGTTCGAGCTTGGTCCTCCAAGGAGGCCTTCCTTGAGCTCCTTAATGCCCATGGCATCCTCGAGCCTGAAGTTAGGACGGGTCCTTCGGAGCCGGCCGCGGAACCAAGACAGGGCGGCGAGAGCAATGCTAAAGACGCAGGCGGTGCTGAGCCAGGGGTGTTCGACAAAGGCCATGCGGAAGTCGAAGAAGACCTTTTCAATGCTCGAGATAGTAAGCTTGGGCTTGATCTTGGGCGGTGAGGCGGTGACCTTTCCAATAGTCTCCATGATGGATGTGCGCGAAGGGGTAATGAGATTGCCAGTAATGGTCGTATCCCAGTATCGTCGGTTCTACAAGCCCACGGGTTAGCGGATCCATGCACATGTGGCCAGGTTTGCGACTACAGCTGCTAGTTACAGCCAGGGAAGTTTGTACTTACGTCTTCGTCATTGATTATGACCCTGTCACCGTCGTTGACGTCAATGCCATAGGTGGTTCGGATCCAGCGTTGCCAAAAGATGGAGTCAACCCAGGCAAAGGTGACTTGCTTCTTGTCCGACATGGACATGTTGATGCGGATGGCCTTGGCTTGCCGAATTCCACGTTCATCGTTGCGGTCCTTAGCCTCTTCGAGCCGTAGCTGCTTGGCATCGCGAAGCTCCTGGCGCTCGAGCTGGAAGAGCTGAATCTGCTTGTCCATCCACTCGTTGGCGGCGCTCTTCATCTCGCGCTGAGCATCCTTGAACGCCTCCTCGTTGTTCCTGTTCAAGATGCCCAGTACAACAATCTTGCCGTCCATGATCTCACGCGCGTTGGATGCGGTAAGTTCGGGGACAATGGGCAACCAGACATACTTGACCCACCGAAGCATGGCGTTGACATCACGGTAGTCCTTGGGCGCTAGCGGAGTGTAGTAGGTAGGGTGTCCTTCGCGGGCGACCATGAGCCTGGGCCAGGTGGTGATCTTGAATCGCTTCGCAAGTTCGGGGTCGCGAGTCCGAACGAGCTTAGCACGTCCAGCGAGGTGGATGGGGATGCGCTCGAGGGCGAGGAAGTCCTCCGTCGCGATACCGTGGTCGTAAAAGTAGACAAAGATGACCTCTTCCTTTTCCTCCATGGCCTTGAAACTCTCGGCGTCGACCTCGGGAACGCCGCTCGTAAGAGCAACGGCGCTTTCGGCAAAGTGGAGCAAGTCCCCAAGACCACGAAGACCTTCATACTCTACTCGCTCGCCGCCTCGGAAAAGGATAATGGTGGGATAGCCTTGAACACCCACATCCTTGCAGAGTCTTGACTCCTCGTCGCAGTTGACCTCGCCAACATTGAGTTCGCCCTTCATGTCCTTGGCGACTTGGGTCCACGTGGAAGCCAAAGCCTGGCAGTGGTGGCACCAGGGAGCGTAAAACTTGACAAACCAAGGATCCTGGGTCATGGTGACCTTGTTCTGGAACGCCTCGGCGTTGAGAGCAAGGGAAACGCCATCCTTATTGGGGATTCCCGGAGACTTGGCGCGGACGGGGAAAGGGATTGTGGGAGGGGGAAAACGGGATCTTTACGGGATTTTCTCGTCTCTTCGGCCAGTTCCTCGACCGTGAGTTTCTTTTCTTGGGCGGCTGGCTTCTCCGCAGGCTTTGCAGGAGGAGCGTCGTCCTCCTTGGCAGGGGCGCATCATCAGTCTTCGCATCAGGTACAACGTCGGCCTTGGCCTTGGTGCTAGGGGGTATCCTCCTTTGTGTCCTCCTTTTCAGTCTTCTCCTTGGGAGCAGCCTCCTCGGCGGGGGCGGTTTCAGTCTTCTCGGTGCTGGCCGAGGCAGCGGAATCGACGTGGTCGTCGCCGGCCTTGGGGATGACCAAGTTGGCAGGGCGCGATCCAGGTTTAACCTCCTCAAGGGCCTTTTCGATCGTGCCGGTGACGATAGTCATGTTTTTAGCACCGCGAACCTTGTCCAAGAACTTGCCATTCCTGTAGAGGACAGTGGTAGGCCATGTCGTGACATTGCGCTCGGAGCAGAAATCGTAGTAGGCGATGCAGTTGATGGAGCCGAATTTGAAGTCGTAAAAGTCACTGAAGGATTCTTCGGAGCCCTTAGGGGTCGACGTGTGATAAAATTCGTAGGCAGTCTGGTACGTGGGAGCAAAGTCCAAGCAGAAAGGGCAATAGGGGCTGGAGATGGCACACGATGTTAATAAAGGGAGGCGGGTCAGGGCGATGAGCTACGCGTCGGGAAGGGGGTAGGTTTTACCTATGGTGCTTAACCATGACAAAAGTGTGAGACTTCAACCAGTCATCGTAAGTGGCGGGGGTGAGGTCTGTCATAGGAGGGACCTCGACGCCGTTGAAAGTGGTGGGCTCTGGCTCCTTCTTTGGCTTGCCGCTCACGAGGGCTGATGCTCCAAGGAGCGCAAACAGCGCCGCGACCTTCATGGTTGCGAAGGTGCGTTCCCAGGACGGAGCGAGGGACGAAATGTAAAAGCAATAGACGGGGGCGCAATGTTACAGGCCAAGTGCAAGGCTCTGTCGACGGGAGCAAGTTTGGGACGTGTCGCTTCTGGGAGGGGGAAAGGGGCCGGAACGAAGGACTAGAGGTCGGATGAGGCAAGACAATGGATGGTTTACTGGATATACACAACCATCATCTACGAAATGATGATTCGAATCGTACTTTGGCGATCCTCGAAAGGTATTGAAGCTCGTGGGTTGGATCGAAGCGGGCTGGCAGCGAATCTCGACGAAGAATCTGGGGAGAGAAAGGATTAAGATTGTCGTCGTCACTATTAATCTGAAGATGACGGGATGCCAACCACGTCTCTTCGAAACGAAAGATGAAGAAAGGGACACTAAAGAAAATAAAGGGGAGGGGAGAAGAAGGAAAAAGAAAAATGGAGGGCGCGCTGATTAAGAAAAAGTGGTTGAAGCCAAACGGGGGCAGATTGGCGATGGCAGGTTGAGGGAAGAGAAGGCAAAGCAAGATGAAGAAACACAGATCGTTGCAAGCTGACCACGAGCGTGCGAGCGTGCGAGCGTGGAACCAACGGACACGCAATGGAAAAATTATTAAGGAGACATGGGGGAATGAACATGAATTAGGGGTGGAAAAATCAGGAGAATGCAACACCAACTGAGCGCTATCTTTTCTTCTTTCCGTCTCGCCAGAGATGGCACCATAGTTTGCGCTGATTGGCCGGACCTGCGCCTCAAACGAAACCTGGACGGGAAATCAATCCTGCCATTCAGAACATTGGAACGCTCAGTTCACGGGTGGTTTCTTAGTGTCTATATTGTGAACCTAAAATATCAGGCTGCCCCTGATTGCATGACGGGAGGTACAAAGTTTTCTTGGTGCCCACCATGGACAGTGCTCTTCTTCATACCAAGTACCACAGAGTGACAGACTGAGATCTATTAATCGAATGATACCACGTCGTACTGCGTGTAAGACTAGGACTACATCAATTGATCGAGGATAAGATGTAGGCGGGACGGCGTCACTTCGAGGATACGCCCGCAGGCGCACGCGGAAGTGGTACCTGCTTTCTGCGGGCGGGCATGCTAAACACGGTCCAAGCTACTCAATCATCCACGGATCAAATGATGGTACAACTCACTACCAACGACATGACATTACAGTGGATGGGATTAGATAGCATTCGTTGTACCTCTCACCTCTCACCTCGCCTCAATGAATACGAGGGTCAATTGATGCCGCCACTATAATCTAGCACAGCGGTTGGATGGGTGAAGCGACCGCGAAGGGTTTCCGCCGTATCATCGGTCTCTTGATGGTGATGGGCGCTTGAATCTTCATCTCCTCAGTGTATTACCATCATTACAATGGTCGAGTAGTCAGACAAAGGGTGAAGGGGATACAATGAACCTTTGATAAACCAAGAGCATTCTTTTTTGGTGTTGCGCTGCACCGCTTCCACGTACTCCCACGTACAGGCACACACAAATTCTCCGGATTCCCGAGTCATTATATTATCCTACAGTGGACGATTGGAGGAACCCTCGCTCGCCCTCCATTCGAACGAAGGTGGTGGAGTCTCTTCTCCTCGCTATACTGGCCCGCAGCTAGCGAAAATTTAGGATATAACTCTACTTGGGCGCCTTGGCCCGCTTGGGGGCACTAGGACCAAGCGAGCGTTCGTAGAGCCCCAATTCCGACATGACATTGTCAGCCATCAAAGAAGAGGTGCAGAATAGGGGAACCGCCGATACCGAGATAAATTATAGAGGACGTGTAAGAAAATTGAAGCGTAGGTAGAGAGAAAGACAAAAAGAAGAAAGTGAGAGAGGGAGGAGCATGAGGCTAGAAGCTAGAGAGAGAAGTGTAATATTCCAAAAAGAAAATCAATATCAGTTGCAAGCTGACTACCTGAATCAATGACAGCTCGACGTTGCTCCTGCCTTGCAGGTGATCCTTTCCGTTCAGCAGCCACTCCATCGTGCACAAAATACCCTGCAGAAACGGCGCGACAGGCACACGCGACAGCGGCAAATCAAATCCAGATCTAGAAAAGGAAAGAGACAAAAGAAGAAAGGAAAAAGGCCAACACGCCTTCATTGGGAAACAGTTCCTCTTGTCCCGTCCAACGCCGTAGATTTCCCCACGAGGCCATCGCGGAAGCAACTACGCCGCAACTCGTCTTAAAGCGATAAAGGCATCGGTGCCTACTACCATGGAAGAACGCCCCGCTAAGAGAGCCCGGCACGGCTCCAGCAGCGACCCGCCGTCGCCGCCATCGCCGCCATCGCCAAGGGTCTCGGACGACCAGGACCGGTTCCCAGACTCGCTCACCCGCTCCGTGAGTCCTCCGCCGAAAAAGCGGAGCGTCCGCGATGCGCCCACCTTGCTTAGCTCGCCGTTTCAACTCATCCGCATCGACGGGCTCCTGAATCGATACAATCGCGGGACCGTGACCCTCAAGAGCCTGGTCGGCGATCCCCTCCTCAAGGAGTGCTGGAACTTTAATTACATGCACGATATCGAGTACATCATGGACGCCTTTGACGAAGACGTGCGAGACCTCGTCAAGCTTCACATCGTTCACGGAAACTGGAAAAGGGAGGATCCTAGCCGGCTGAGGCTCGAGGTAAGCTCGCCCGGCCCCTTTGCGTAGTTGTCTGCCGCCCCGTTTGCAAAGATTGTAGTCGTATCACGAGAAGACGAAGTGGGGGAATCATGAATCTGATTGTGACCCTCTAGGCGGAGGCTTCGAAGCACCCCAACGTGTCTCTGCACACCGCACCTATGCCCGAGATGTTTGGCACCCACCACACCAAAATGATGATCCTCCTAAAGCACGACGACACGGCGCAAGTAATCATCCACACCGCCAACTCCATCCCCCAAGACTGGACGATACTCACCAACGCAGTCTGGCAGTCCCCCATCCTGCCATTGCTAAAAAGCTCAGGTTCGGGCACCGAGTCCCAGGCCGCCCGCCGCTCGGCAGCGGCGAAAGGTTCAAGGCGGACCTGCTCGACTACCTCCGCGCCTACGACGCGCGGAGACCCACGTGCAAAGCCCTGGTAGAAGAGCTAGCCAAGTACGACTTTGGCGCCGTCCGCGCGGCCCTCGTCGCGAGCGTCCCCGGCCGGCACGCAGCCCGCTCGTCTCGGCCGTGGGGCTGGCTCGCGCTGCGCAAAGCCCTCGCCGAGGTGCCGTCCCAGCAGGGACCCGCCGACGTCGTGGTGCAGATTTCGTCGGTGGCGACGCTGGGGCCCAAGGACGCATGGCTCAAGGACACCTTTTTCGGCGCTCTTTCCGTGACCAAGGCGGCGCTCGCGAGCCGGCCTAATTTCAAAGTCGTGTTTCCTACGGTGGACGAGGTGCAGCGGTCGGTGGCGGGGTACCGGGCGGGCGGATCCATCCATATGCGGATCCAGTCGCCGCAGCAGCAGAAGCAACTGCAGTACATGAAGCCCATGTTCCACCACTGGGCCAACGATTCGCCAAAGGGAAAAGGTACATGTCACCATGGAGAGAACCCGCCAAGGGGCCGGGCGGAGAGAAAGAGAGAGGCTGGTGTTGTTTCCAAAATGGTTCGCTATGTTCGTCGATACTAACCAAGTTCATGCAGAGCTAGGCGAAGCCAAGATCCAGAATAGCGGGAGAAACCGCGTTGTGCCGCATATCAAGACATATATCCGTTACGGTCAGCATTCGATCGACTGGGCGCTGCTCACGTCGGCAAACCTATCCAAGCAGGCGTGGGGTGAGGCCGCCAGCGCCTCAAATGAGGTGCGGATCGCGTCGTGGGAGGTCGGGGTCCTCGTGTGGCCGGAGCTACTGTGCAAGGACTCGGCCATGGTAGCAACATTCCAGGCGAATGAACCACCTAGAGAGGTGGCCGAGGAAACGGGGAAAGAGACGGTTATCGGACTACGTATGCCATATAGTCTTCCTCTACAAAAATATGGTGGGGATGAGATACCGTGGGTGGCTAGCATGTCGTACCGGCAGCCAGACTGCCTTGGAGGGGTCTGGATGGATTAGCCGGAACAAGGGCATTTAGATATGTTCCGGGTTTTATCTTCGCCCTTGCTCGGTAGTTGTAGCTCGTGGCAATCATGATGCTTCTTCACTTCAGTCCTCTGGGTATGTGGACACCATGGCTTTTGTTCGTTGGGCTTCTATTCTACGCCCCGAGTGCCCGGGAAATGACACTAGATTCTTTATTTCTTGGTATCGACTATAGTCTCATCGCCTCAAGTACAAAGAATCGGGTTCCGTAAAAAACAGGCGTCTCGAGGTTTACGCGCCAACAGCCTCGGGCTGCTTGCTAGCGTCGAAGCCGTAGGTTCCCTTGAGCTTCTCGACGAGAGCAATGTACCTCTCCTGAGCCTGCTCAGCAGTGACGCCCTCGTCGACAATCTTCTGCCAAGCACCCTTCTTGGCCTTGCCCTACACCCGGAAAATAAGTTAGTCGCCCGGCTTCGATTCGGAAAGAGTCGTGAGAAGAGGAGGAGGAGGAGGGGAGGAGAGGGTTGTAGCTGAGCTAAGCCAAGCGAGGCGAGATGGAGTAGCCGAGATGTCGCGAGTTGCATGTGTCTAGTTACAGAGAGAGAGGCGGGGGCAAGAGAAGGAAAGGGGAAACGGACCTTGAGATCAAACATGCCGGGGCAGGGGCCTTGCTGATGTCCCGCCGTTGCCAACCTTGTAGAGAGCTGTGACCGTGGCACGAGGTTAGCTGTTCGGGTTCCACCCATGTTCGTAGGAAGGGAGCGAAAACTGAAGGGAAAGGGTGGGGTAAGGAATAAATCATAAATCGGCGACGTTTGTCGCGTCTCTAGTCTTTTCGAAGCTTCGCCTAGAGCAGGCCATGGCCTTGAACAGAAGGTGGGGGAAGAAGAGGAGCTAGCCGGGGGTGATTTCTTACCGTAGAGCTCGAGGAGCTCGTCGTTGCTGGGCTTGCTGGTGAGCTGCTTGGACTCCTCGGCAGCCTTCTGGAAAGCGGCGTTGCTGGCCATGATGACGGTGTTTGGCGGGGTAATGGTACGGGAAGAAGGGGCTTTGTGTGTGGAGAGAAAAAGGAATTTGGGATGGGCTAGGAATATTTTGGGCAGGAAAGTCGAGAAAGCGAGGAGCACCGAAACGAGAACGGGGACAGGCAGCGCGAGCTTATAATAAGAGGGGCCAAGCACTGGCAGAGGAGATGGAAATTGGGGATGGAGAGGGGGCAAGGGATTGTTGAGGAACGTTCCAATGTATTCGATCAATCACGGCCAAGGCAAGACGGGGGCAGCGGGGAAGAGAGGCGACGATGAGACGGGATTTGGCGGGGTACAAAGCAACTGTCCTCGTGCGCGCCCATGACACCATGACATGATGTATCATCGAGAACCCTGATTGCTGTATCGGGCTGGCGGGCTTGGCCCCTCCTTTGCGGATTTTCACAGGCCTCTTCAGCTCAAACATCTCCATTTACTAGATGTACTCGTGAATCCATTGGATAGAGGGAACTCGGCCTCAACTTGGGAGTTGGGTTCAACGTGGGGCCTCAGGGCCCCAAGGGAGGTTTGGAGGGGTGGACTCTTGTCAAGCTCGCCGTTGCTGCCGGCATTGTCCCTGGGCCTTCCATTGACAAAGGATCGATGAATGCCCCGTAATCTCTTCTCTCGAGCCAATACATTTGAATGTTCTTTCAAGATCAAGTCTCACATAACGAACGGGTCGTCGTGGACCTCGTGCTACAAGTATGTAACGAAAATAGGATTAGCGATGCCTGCCCTCCCACCATGATCCACCATCACCAAAAGAAAGTGGGAACCATCCATGAACAGAAAAAGAAATATCCGAAAAGATCAATAGAAGATTACTGGCAAACTATCCCGGTAGCGAGATGGATCTTTCACTAAAAGTGTTAAAGCTCAATAATGCGGCAGGGGCAGCTCTCATGGGCAGCTATCGTGGGCAGCTCCGGACCTCGGGCCCTGTCGTCCGCCCCCACTTCCCAACGCCTTTCAGAAGCAATTTTCCCAATGCCATGTGAAAGTCAATGTGGCCTGGCCCATCTTGCCCGGCACAGCCGACACTTCTCGATACAGGTCAGAAAAGCGTCTTCATCCTCATCAGGGATCTGTCGGTTTACCCAGTTGCAGAGGCTAACTCCAGTTCCTCGCCCCGCTTCAACCCCATTCTGCAGCAAAATGTTGGGCATCTTGATCATTCAATGTTGTATTGATCTATTGTGGAGGAATCCTTCCGTCCAGAACGTATGCTCTTGAGCTTTGCTCCCCACAAAGCATAAAATTGCAAGTTCTTTACTTTTTCTATACTACATGTGGCCTAGTACGCGCTTGAGCGCAAAGTTGAACGAGCTTCACACATTCCCCTTTGCCTTTCTTGTTTTCATCTTCGCTTCAAATGCTTTTGCACTTTCAGAGGTTCTCGTTCTCAAGATGTCTAGGCCCAAGCACAATGGATATCGGGAATAGAGCTCTGGCCCCCCTCCTCTACGGGGAATAAAAACAAGGGACTCAGGTGGCATATGCAAGACGCGTGCATACGTCACCAGTACCAAAAATGCTAAACTCGAAGATCCGAAAAGGCGATCCTTGCGCTTGGGTTGAGTCGGACCTTTTCATGTACACATATCAATATCCTTGCGAGGTGAAACTGCAGGCATCAATCCATCAATTGATCACTTCTCTTCGTTCCGCCTCGATGTGGAAGCGTCGAGGCATACGGGCAATTGTCAAAGGCTATCATTGATCTATCTTTTGCTCCATCCAAAAAAGAAAGAAGAAAAAACAATGGAAGAACTATAGGCAGTTTGAAGGGAATTCAGAAGAAAAGGAGTGTGCCAGTGATCAAGGACTTCAATGTTTTGTAGCAAGATCTTCATGCTCATGGTCGGCCTTTACGGAGAATTCGACCAATCCACACAATGAATGTGTACTATAATGGATCATTGTAGACTAGGAGATACAAATTGTAAGAGCCTCGAGATTGCAGACCCGTAGGCTTCCTCGGCGCACAGCTCCGCATCGAATGCGAGTGGCGATCAATCTGCTATCAATCTGCCAACACTCTCTTCAATGCTCAAGGACTTACATGTCGGGAAAGGAGTGGCATAGAATTTGGGGGCTAATAAGACTCGGGTCTAGACAGCGAGCCGTTTGGTTTGATTCGGTCCCGAGATGCAGACCCGAGCCAACATCCCAACATCCCCCAAAGGGTGAGAGCGGCCATCTTGGGAGACTTGGGAGACTTGAGAGTTGGGGGAGAGTGTCCCGGAACACCGAACGAGCGCAGCACGAACCGACCCTTTGCATGTTTGTTTATTCTTAGCGACATGCAGCTGCAATCTCTTGCTCAGTTGTCACAGGTAGCCAGACATTCGACGGGAAAACAAAAAGAAAAGAAAAGAAAAAGGGTTGGGTTCCCTCCTCGTGTAGCTAAGACGGCAAGACGTATTACGTGCCCAGGAAGAAGCAATGCTTCATGTCTTACCTCGCGCCAGGGGTCCGCGGTGGTCGTCATCCCCCTCTTTGATATTTTTCAGTCTCTCTCTCCAAGATATTTTTTCTCTCCCGAGTATCCGCCCCCTTCTTGCCGTGCCCAACCCGGCGTGCGCCTTTACAACGCATCCGCGATAGCAAGCGGAGCAGTGGCTAGACGGACATCAACTGCGGCACATCCCTAGGCTTCAATGGTATGCGTCAATGACTGAGTCGCGGCCGAGGGGGTACCCCACGCTGTTGTACATGTCGGAGAATGATACGAGAAGGCTTGTTCTACGACATTCATGTAATACATGCCCGCATTTGACACCCTTCGCCCGGCCAACCCCAGCTGCCATCTCCGGCTCAGACCAAGGCGGCGTTAGCTACGGGACGCCACCTTGCCTGTGTATCGATGGAATGGGTATATGCGTCTGTCGGACTTGAACGAGGCCGAACAAACGGTCTGATCGGTGATATAATAAAACACTTGCTCCCCATTCCCTCTCTCCTCTCTCTCTGTCCCTTTTAGACCCTTCCTGCCTTTGACAACCTTGCCTGTGCCTCTGTATCAACTTACACCCTTTTGCTGTCAACTCTCCGGTATTCTCTTTGTTTTTGCCCACCCGACTTTCTCCTCGCACGCGCGTAATCACAATGTCCAAGACCGTCGTAGTTGTGGGCGCGTCCTTTGCCGGCCTTGCCGTCTCTCATCGCCTTCTCAAGTACACGAGGCAAAAGGAAAAGAATCTTCGAGTCGTCCTCGTTTCACCCGTAAGATCTAGCCTTGCCCTGTGTTTTTCTTTTTTTCTTTTTTTCTTTTTGTCGCATTTTCTTTTTGGCCTCTTTGAAGTGGAAGAGTGGGCATTGGCTCTCGGACCTCCGGCTTGTACGAACTTGTGCGAGGCGAAGTAAGTGCAAGTGGCGCCGCGCCCTGCCGCCTCGGAGGGAAAAAGGACAGCAAACCTGACGGGGAAGCGCATGAAAAAGAGAACAATGGCGAAAGACGTGCCGAGAAAAAGGGGCCGTGGAACAAAGTGCCCAGGCACAACAAGATTCAAACATTGCCAATCGAGTATAGCCCGCTAACCCAATGCCTCCCATCCTCGCGCGCGCCCTTCTTCTTAGACCAGCCACTTTTACTGGAACCTCGCCTCCATCCGCGCCGTCGTCCCCGGCCTCATCAAAGAGGACCAAATCTTCCACCCCATCGAGCCCGGCTTCTCCCTCTACCCCAAGGAGAACTTTGAGTTCGTCTACGGCTCCGCCACCTCTGTCGACACCGACGCCAAGACCGCCTCCGTCGCCGCGCCCGACGGCGAAAAGACCCTCAAGTACGACTACCTCGTCCTCGCCACGGGCGCCCGCTCCGCCAACGACGACGTGCCGTGGAAGCCCCTCGGCAGCCACGAGGAGACGGTCCAGCAGCTCCGCGACACCGCGAAAAAGGTCGGCGCCGCCAAGACCATCCTCGTCGCCGGTGCCGGCGCCACCGGCTGCGAGACCTCGAGCGAGATCAAGCACAAGTACGGCGCTGACAAGGATGTCATCCTCCTCGCCGCCGATGCCGAGGTCATGGGCGGTGATGTGCTGGCGTCCAACATGGAGTACGAGATGAAGAAGCTCGGCGTTGACGTCCGCAAGAACGCGAGGGTCGCCAGCACCGAGGTCCTCGCCGACGGCAGGACAGAGGTCCGCCTCGTCGAGGGCGCCCCCATCACCGTTGATCTCTACCTCCCCACCATGGGCCTTAAGCCTAATACCGGCTACCTGAGCGAGAAGCTTCTCAACGAGAACAAGTACGTCGAGGTCGACGAGTTTTACCAGGTCAAGAACGCGGAAAACGTGTGGGCCTGCGGCGACATCGTCTCCAAGCCCCGTGCCGGGTTTATGATTACGGACAAGCAGGTAAGCGTAGTCTTTATGGACTCCGTTTTGACCCCCCTCTTTTTGTTATTCAATCTCTCTCGCCCCTTGGCTGGCGGCCTACAGCCCACTTCATAACGTTTTGCTAACACAAGAGGGGAATTTCTCCCCTTTCGTCGCAGGCTGCCGGTGTTGCGAAGAACATCGAACTCGTCATCCAGGGCAAGGCCCAGCTCCCCGTCAAACTCCTCCCCGTTGACGCCCTCATGTGCGCCGCCGGCCGCGATCGTGGCGCCGGCCGCATCGGCAACGTCAAGGTCTTTTCCATCATGGCCTGGGCTCTCAAAGGTCGCACTCTAGGGATGCCCTGGGCCCCCAAGTACGTGGACGGCACCCAGTGGTGAGGTTGATGGGTGAGACGAGTCTCGTGGTGCTTTGCGGATTTCAGCTTCCTCTTTTGCTTTTGGCCGATGACGCTTCCAAGGCCCCTCCCTGTAAAGAAGCCAGAGTTGTTGTAGTTTGACGCCATTTTTGTCTTTTTTCGTTGTTTGCAGCTCTCTTCACGAAGAATATTGAATAGATATCACGGCCTAATCAGCCAGTAAAGCTTCATGAGCTTCATGAGCCACTTTACGTATTGCGCGCTCCTCCTGTCTTTCCTAAAACAAAAGAACCTCCATTAGACATCAAGTGACACCTCTTTTCCAAGATGGAAGAGAGAAAAAAAAAAAGAGAAAAAGGGAAAGGTAAGATTACATGGGATGTACGCTATGATTACGATAACAAAAAACGGTTCCTCATCTGCTCGCCTTCTCGTCCTCAATCTCCCGCCTTAGCTGCTCTAGGACCGATTGCCTCGATTGAAGGTGGCTCTCTAGCCCGTCCACTTGCTCGCGAATGGTCTGCAGGTCGTCCGAAACAGACTTGAGACTGGAGCCACCACCGCTGCCTTGCGCATTTCCTTCCTCGAGATCTCTGAGCTGCTTCCTCTTATAGTCCAAGAGCTGCTCAAGCTCCCTTTTGACAAGCGCGGGCTTGGAGTCGCGCTTGCCACCCTTCTTCCTCTCCACATCTGATTCCACTTTTTGTATCTTCTCCTCGAGGTCCTGAAGCTGCCTCTTTAGCCTCACTTCCTCCCAGTCTTCCGTCTTTTCGGTGGAGAAATCTGTCCCTGCCGTCTTGAAGCCCGAGTGGCCCAATCGGGTGAGATACTGCTCGCCGAATTTGGCTTTGCGGCCTGTAGACGTGCTGTCGTCGGCCTTGGTCGCCCAGCGAGACGCCGCGGTAGTGCGCTGGTTATCGACTTGGTAGTCGATATTGTTGCGCTCAAAAGACGACCGAAGCGAGGCAGGGACGTTGCGGGAATGCGGTACCCTTCGTGTCGGTAGTTTAGCATGTGCAGAAAGGCGAGGCAGGCGTCTTTGTTGATGGTGGAGTTGGCCGCCGGGTTCACGAGGTTCCAGGCGGAGCGGACGTCGGTATCGGGCACGTCGAGGGACTCGTAGAGATCCTCAAAGGAATTGACTGTTGGAATTCGCCTGAGTTAGTATTCTTGTGCTATGCCGAGGTTCTCTAAATGAGGCACGGGTCACCTACAGGACACCTCTCCGCGCATATCTCTACTCTCCTGGTAGATTTGCTCGTATTTGGATTTGTCGGCCGGCTTCATGTACCAGTCGAAGCCGTCCTTGAGACCGGGCGAGTCAGGTTCATCCTCGACCCTTTCGAACTGAACTTGCTTCCCGGTGATCGCGCGAGTAGCTTGGACGAGATGCGATTTGGACTCTGGCACCATCCAGTCCGGTAGCGTTGAGGGGACATCTGCGTATTCCTGACGGTGGGCGGGAGCTGGTGTTAGCGGGCTGAGCAATTACCGTCAAGAGCATCTCCGCACACCAGACGGCGGGAAACTACATCGCGATCCACCACTTACCCCATTGAGAACGTCGAAGATGAGCCTCATAGCGACGCAAAACTCCTCAAAGTCGAGGTTGCCATCGTTGTCGACGTCGGCAAGGTCCCAGACCCGCTCCAGTTGGTCATCGCGAAGACCGCTGTTCTTTAGCACCGGCGCAGCCTGCTCGCCCGTGAGGAACTTGCCGCCCCTGTCCGAGTGGCAAAGATATTCCAGTACGTCTCGATTTCCTGCTGCTCAATCTTGGGAGGCATTGTAGAGACCGGGGGTGAGGACCGTCGGTAGGAGCTTAACGTGGTGGGAGGTGGGCGGAAGAGTCGGTGCGACCGGGCAGCTTTACGATGCTGAATCGCACAAGGCTAGGACGAGGGCGAAACGGAATCTTGGGTGGATCGACAAAAGCTCTCGACCGAACATGCGGGTGAAGGTGAGAGGAGCCCTGTGGTTCAGCGTGAGCGGGATCTGGATGGCTGGTTCACAGCAATGGGGGATGTGCCTCGATTGGGGCGCAACAGGGGCGACGTAATTAACACTTTCAAGGTGCGAGTTTAGTTGCTGCTCCCAGCAATCTCCAGCAATTCGGTTAATCTTCGGGGGAAGGAAGCTTGCCATGGACCCACATTGAACTCACGATCCAACAAGGGAAGGAAGGAGCAACTGGGACAACTTAGCTCAAGGTGGACGAGATGTCACCCCAATGACATTGGTTAGATAGTGAGGAGGCCAACGTTGGCTTTGGCTGGCGAGGAATGCAAACAGAATCATCTTTGACATCGAGAAGTAGTAACGTCCATCGAAGGCAGATCTGATCTGATAGAAGTCATCTCCACGTCGAGTAGCAGAGTAGCACTGTACCTCGCTACCAGAGACCCGAGTCAACGAACCCACTAGCACCATCCAGCGCGGGGCTAAATCTCGAAGCTTGGGTACATGATCAATGTACTGCTCTCTTGCAGCAAGAAGAATTAAACCCCACCATCGCCGCCGATTAACTCTCGCGAACCTCCCTCGCACTCAAACCTCTTGAATACGATACGCGGACGTTATTTCGTACTTTTATTCGTGGTTATGTAAAAAAAAAAAAACGATAAGCCCGCCTTCTCAAAGAACAGTGTCACCTTTGGCACCCTTGATACCCTCCTCCCTCCTTCTTCCTCTTCTTAAACTTGCGCACTATCAAGCTCCAGAGCCAGTCATTCGTTCGCACTCTGATCATGGCCGAAGACGAGCCCCCTCAGTCTCTGAGGTCCCTCTTCGAGCAGGCCGAGGAAACGCAGACGACGCTCGCATCCATGCACGACTTCAGGTCGGAGCAGTACCAGGAAACACTCGCAGCGGCCATAAAATCCTACGAAGAGTGTCTTCGCCTAGTGGTGGAGCTCTCCATCTTCAGTCCCAACGAGTCTGTCGAAGATATTGCCACATCCTCACTTCCTTACCTTTTGATAAACTACCACCTTGCCCAGCTCGTGCAAAGATTCCGACCCTCGTCACAGCAGATCGACTCAATACAGTTCGAAAAGCAGCGGCCGCTTACGAGTCGTTCCTCGGGCTCCTCGACCGGTATGAGCTGCTTAGGGAAATTATGCAAAGCTCTACGAAAGGTACCGTGAGGACGGAGACCAGTTTTCAGTCGTCATGGGTGCGGATGCCGCAGCCAAGAGGAATGCCAAGATCCAAAATTTCAAGGTTGAGAAAGAACTCAAGGAGAAGTTGGCGCTGCTGAAGAGGAACCCGCGATATTCAGAGCAGGGGATGAGGAGCTTGTGCGACAAGTTTATCTCACCAACATCGAGTTTCACGTCCATATGGCCTTCCAGGACCTCGAAAGCCTTAACAAGGAGCTAGATATGCTCCGCCAGGCCCCGCCGAATCCTCGACCGCAGCAGATGGTTCCGAACGATGCGCGCCACCGGGCACCCGGGCAAAATAACGACAGCTACTCCGAACGCCTCGATGCGCCACTAACTTCTCTTCTGGGTCAAAACGGTCCTCTGATTTCAAAGGAGGGAAACCAATGAGGCCATTCACGATTGTAGGGACTAGGCAAGACTTGAAGAAGGGCGTTTTCCGCTCCGGCCACAATCTTCCCACTATGAGCATCGACGAGTATCTAGACGAGGAGTTCAAGCGGGGTGGAATCATCGAGGGGGCGGCGACGCAAGCTTCCAGCGGCCTGAGCCCGATGAGGATAACATCGAAAAGGCCGATGCGGAGACGTATAAAGCCAGAGAATGGGACGAATTCACCGAGGCGAATCCCAAGGGTTCCGGAAACACACTGAACAGGGGCTAGAACATGAATTAGGCGTTGGAAATAGTCAAGCGTTTCCATTTTGAGCTGAGAAAATTGTGAGAAGTTTTCTCTTGATCTTCGTGCCAAGCTCTCTAAAATGCATTTACGACTGGCTTCTCTCGAGGTCTCCCGTGGAACGAGTTCTCCAGCATATCAGGCCCGTGAATGAGGGCTATACAGAGAGTGAAAAGGGACACGTATGCTGTGCGCCCAATTCTCGACAACATTGATGGTGGGCGCCGCACGACTGAGCCCATTTTTCTTTTTCCCTTACAGTTTCGTGCGGGCTTTCAGATGGCATCGATACCTCTTTCCGCGATGGTGACTCTTTAGGGGATGCTTTGCACCGAGGCACGTGGCGGGTTTCAATAGATGTTTGCCATCGCTCTGTAAGGATTCATCTACTCGTCTTGGGTGCCCACAGATTCAACTCGACTCCTCGAAATCGGAAGCCCGCCCGCCCACTTGGCTCGAGTCACGACGACTGTCACAAAAGGATAGCACCTTCCGGCAAGCTGAGAAAACGCCAACGCCCCAAACTAACTGAGCATGAGGGGGCGATGAGAATGTGTTTTCCGCCTCTGGCTTGTTCTTTCCTCTCTCTGAAACCGAATCTGATCCTATTCATGGCGATGAATAGCGGTCGTCAACCCCTCCGGTGTGTGAAGATTAGTCACAAGAAAGAAGGTGCTAGTATATTAGTATATATAACCTAAACAAGCTCGTTCTCCTGTTTATCTTGTCCGCTCTGCTATTCCCTCTCGTTATTGCTGCTTTGATTGGTATCATCAATACCGGTAGCCGCCTGGCCGCGCTCTCCGTCATACAGCGTCCTTTTACCGTTCACAATCGCAACCTTTTTCAATAACTGCGTTCCTTCAAGGGGACTTTGTGCTCTCGCCCAAGCAACAACCGCCTTTTTTTCTTTTCGAATCGATACCCCATACCCTCGAGGCGAAAACCTAGGTAAGCATTCACTGCTGTTTCATGTACTTTTCGTTGCCATCGACACCACTTTCCGTCACAAAATACAATGAGGAAGGGTAATAGGCCCAATTTAAGGTGTATTCTTTCATGATTCACAGCCTTTTTCCAAGGGCCATCTGTTTTCTCTTCATCTGTGTGGAGTCATCAAATAGCCCGGAACATGGCGGTTTGTAGGAGCTCTACTCATGGTTCCTCCCGCTAGTTTGGCGAATATCCCCTAGAACTTCGAGGGTTTCATGTCCCAATCATCTCCAAGAAACTTCAATGATGTCTGCGTCTGATTTCGCTAGGGAAAAGACCATTTTTCTAACGCGTGAACCACAGCACACCTAATATGGCACACCAGGGAGCGGGAAGCCAAGGTACGCACATTTGGGAAGTATGGGTGGAGGACATCGTTTGTTGAATATCCCAGCTAAGATGTATCCTTGCTTGGACAAGCAGACGGAACCTATTCCAATTTTCCCCAGAAACGCACCGCAGCTCAGGCATTTGGCACCCAATGCGTCTCATAGGATGGGCAGCTGCGGGATGCTGGAGGCTACAGCTTGTGCGAGACCTCTTTCGACTGTAAGTCCCCTCCCGAACCCGGCCACGTTCCCCCATATCCCGTAGGAGAGATAACAGAGGGCTCACTCCAGTTCGCCAGTTGGCTTTTCTCCGAGCCTCCAGTTTCCCGCCACCCACGCCAACCATCTTGGCCTGGATTTGGCTGGTCCTTTGACAGATATGATACAGTCATCGGTTCCTGGGATACTATCCGCATTCGACCCCTTGAACCATCATTACCAATTTCCAATACCGAATGCTTTCCCCACCAACTGGTCGAGGGGCCGGGGTGGCCGTCAACCCACCCAACGTAGAGGAAGCTAGCAGGCAATGCTCCCGAGCCGAGGTCAAGACCATAGACACGCCCAATTTCGATGACCTTGATACCTCCCGCGTTGGCCTCACCGCTTTCGACGAAGTCCCAAAGGAGAACCCGAGCCTCTATCCGGAAGCGTGTCCGGGCCGCCACTATCCCATGACCTGGTTCACCGAGAGCGGCTTCCTCCCCACAAGCCTACACGGCGTAACGGAGGATGAGATGCGGGGACGGATTAAAGAGGCGACGGCTGTACTCAAGGAGCCCCGTACCGACCCCAACTTGTACCCCGCTCGGAGAAGGCAAGGCCGGCAGGGCATCCTATCGGCTGACATGTCGGCCCGGGAAAAGGCTCGGACAAGCAATCGCGTTGCGGCGGAAAGGAAGCGCGCCCGAGAGGCTGAACACCGAGATTTCTGCATGGTCAGAGTCGCGAGGTTGGAGGCGGAGATGGCGTACCTCAAGGCCCAAATCATTCTCCTTGGCGGGGATCCCACAGAGTTCAACCTGCTCCCGACCTGGTTCACCAACCAATTTGCCGTCCCCGTCAACCCAACCGCCCCAAAGGTGGGCCAAAAGGCTAAGATTGCCTGTACCAAACAAGACCCCGAGCTTGAGGAGGAAGGGGGCGGACTGAATCTTACGTAGCTAACAGGCTTGCTTCGCTGCTTTCGCTGCTTTGTGTTTGCCTCGGTTCTTCATTTTACTTGCGCATTGTTTTATTCTTCTTTTGTTTGTGGAAGGGGGAGGGGGCAAGGAGTGTTTAAGCAGTAGTGTTTGTTCGAGCTGATCCCGCCTCGGACAATGCACAATAGGGTTTCCTCCTTGGGTATGCAAGAACTGGAGAAGCGCAGAGCAGGATATTACTACCGTGCTGGTCATGGCACCTTGACACCGGCCCGTCCTCGCTCGCTTTTCGCTCCAGCTAGCGCGGGGGTGCCTGCTCTGTGATGATTTATACTCGGATAGGGCGGCGCGGTTGCGGTAGAACAGATTACGGTGGTGTAGAGCTTGCAGACAACTCATCAAGAGCATTCGATTTGGAAATGCAGTTCGTTCTTCTAGCGCTGTTTCTCGGGACCTTGGTCTATGACCCTTCAACCAACCAGCATTACATTGAACACAGTGGGTCGATAGAGAGAAGAGACTCATAATGGATTCTTAGCATCACTCGGTTTAAAATCATACGCCCAATGACGCGTGAAATAAAACTCAACACATAAGTTGATAACTTCTATTTCTAGACTTGCATTCCCAACAACTCTATGTGATATCCATGTCAAAATCTTCCTTCAATGTTGTAAAAACGAAGAAAATAGGAAGGGAACAATACCAAAATTAAAGGTCAAAATAATAATACTGCGGGAAACAAGTCGTAAGAAAACAAAACAAGAAAAAAAAGACCTTCCAAACCCTCATGGGCAACCCAATATCCCCCTCCATGCATACGCATTCCATCATACTTTTCGTGTTCTTCCTTGGTTCTTCCTTTTTAACATTCGCCGAGCCTTTCCGTTCAAATTTAAAGTGTGGCAACAGCAACGGCCATGGCCTGGGTATCCGAGTGGGAGATGGACACGTTGACATCCTTCACACCGGCCTTCTTAGCAGCAGTGGCGGCGTCACCGTGAAGCTATTATACTGGTTAGTCTTGCTGTAGTGGGATGGTATGATTGGGGAGGGAGGGGAGAAATTAGGGGTTCCAACTAACCTTGACGGATGGGGCACCTTCAGAGGTCCTGATGATCTCGATATCCTTGAGGGCGGCACCGGCTCCTGGCTAGGGACGCCGAGCGACTTGAAAACGGCTTCCTTGGCACTCCACCTGCCTGCAAAGGAGCTTTGGGGGCTGGGAGCCTTGCGGCAGTAGTCAATCTCTGCTTGGGTGAAGTTGCGCGCGATAAAAGTCTCGTTCTCAATGTTGATAGCAGAGATGTCTTCAACGTCCACGCCAATCTTGCTGTTCTTCGCCACAACCTTTTGGGCGAGCGCTTCCATCATGGTGGCCGTCGCCTTTTGAGCGGCGGAAGAAGCGGGCTTCTCAGAGAGGGCCATGAAGTTGGAAGGATAGGTGAGCTCAGAAGTTTTCTTGTCCTCGGTGACACGGGCGTCGGGGTTGAGGAGCACCTGGCTCAGCTGCTCGTCAGTGTAAGGAGAGTGGGACTTGGCGACGAACAGGCTGTTGTGGATCAAGCCGTTGTGGAAGTACCTGTAGGCCTTCTTCTGACGGGCCTCAACCTTGGCGCAGTAAGCATTGTACGTCTGCTCGTCGAGGGTGGCAAACAGATAGCGGGGATGGACACCAATGGCTTGAGCGCCCTTCTGGCCGAAACCGAAGGATGTGACGGAGAACGCCTTGATACCGTCGGTCTGGATGCTGCGGCTGGGGTAGACAATGAGGTCATACTGCTCAAGGACGGAGTCGACGTTGTCAGCGTTGCGGTTGCCGGGGACCAAACCCGTGTTGAGAACCTGGAGGCAGCCGTTCATCATCCAGGCACCGGCGGCACCCTTGGGATGGCCCGTAAGGTACTTCTGGAAGATACCCATGATGGCGTTACCCTTGGAGCGGCCAAGGTGGCGGAGCTGCTGGCAGATGACCGAAGACTCGTTCTTGTCGTTAGCCTTGGTCGACGTGCCATGGAATGAGGCAACGCCGAGATCATCAACCGTCAGACCCCAAGTTGCGAGGGCGCCACGCAGAGGAGCGATAGAGGTATCGTTCTTCCAGAAGTTGTTGCCCAGGCTCCTGAGCATCTCCTTCTCTTGACGGGCGGCCTCCTTCTCGATGTGGTTGGTGCGATCTTGGAAGTAGTCCTTCTCGCTGAACTGGCCACCCTGAGACTTGATGGCATCGACTTCGTCATAGAGGAACTCGAGTTCCGACTCCTTCCACTGCTTGATCTGCCTCCTGCGGAGGTTCATCTGGCGGCGACGGTAGTCAATGTCGAGAAGGGGCGACGTGAACTTGCCGGTGTGCTCACGGGCAGTGGTAAGGACACCTTGGCCGGGAGCAGGAACGGACCGACCGATCTTGTCAGACGCGGTGGTAGTCAGGGCGAGAATACTGTAAATGGGCACACCCATCTCGAGGGCAAGCTTGGCAGTCATGATAATCTGGACACCGCAACCTTGCGACTCCATGAAGCCGTTTCGGGTAGTGGTGGTGGGTCGAGACATCTCCTGGGGGTGCGGCCATGCGCGAACTCGTCAACCGCGTTGCTGGTGGCCTTCATGTTGGCGAACTCGTACGAACCCTCCTCGCCAAAGTCATCGAAACCACCGACAATGCAGACTCGGGCCTTGCCTTCCATGATGGTCTCATAGCCAATGTCCACAGACTCGACGGCAGTGGCGCAAGCACCGACTGGGGTCTTGATGGGACCCGAGGACGAGAGCAGCAACATGTTAACCCAGGCGCTCATGGTGTTGATGAAAGACTCCTGAAGAATATCGTTCTGGAGAGGCTTATCGAGGTACCTGTCGCGATGCATGCCACGAAGGGCAGCGGTACCACCCATGCCCGAACCAACGCAGTTGCCGACTTCGGAGACGTGGACATACTTGTAGAACTCATAGGGGTCGGTGATACCCGAGGACAAGAGAGCCTCTGCAGTGGAAACGAGGACGAAGAGGGCGACGGGGTCGACCTGGGAGATGATGTCGTCGGGAATGCCATATCGCTTAGCGTCCCAGCCGGTCGGGATCTGGCCGGCAACAAGGCGGTCAAAGCGAAGAGCCTTGGGAATCCAAAGCGCGGCGCCCTTCTTCAAGCGGACAGTGTACTCGCCAGACTCGGGAATCTCAAAGATTTCGACCTTGTCGCCGTGTTCACGCCTGAACTCCTCGGCCGTCTCCTTGGAGGCTTCGAAAGGCTCGAGGTCCTGCTCAATGACGACTTCGTGGAGAAGTTGTTTCTTGTTCGGGTCGTAGCCTTCGAAGAGCTCAGGCTCGATCAAACGGATACCGCTGTGCTCGAGAATGAATTTCTCGTACTTGGACTTGACATCCTTCTCGTCAACGGGAGTACCGGTCTTGCCGTCAACCCAGCCCGAGTAAGGGCGGCGGTTGATGGGTCCGTTGTGATGCTTGATGAGACCCATGATCCAGGCCATCTCGACGCAGCCCTCCAGAGAGAATTCGCCATAGGCTTCCATCTCCCATCGGGTACGGGCATTGCCCCAAGGACCAACCTCTGCGAAGCCAGTAACGACGACGACCTTCTCGAGGTCAACCATGCCCTTGAGTTTGTCGTTGAGAGGGCAATGTCCTCCTTCCAGTCGAGGGCGTTGGGGAAGTCGAACTTGATGTTGGCACGGTGCTCAATGATCTTCTTCTGGTACAGGGCTTCCGAAGCTTCGCCGTTGACAATAGTGTTCTCGATAGCGGTCTCCTTGCTGACGGCCTTGCGGATCTCGCTGTTCTCCATGATGTCCTTGCGCAGCTTGGTCATGGTCTCGTTCAAGTTAGGGATGAACTGCAGACCGCCGTTCAAATCGGCGAAGACAGGCTCGGATTGGCAGAGATCGACAACGGCGGGGCTCATCAGGCCGAGAAGGTTGAAGGCCATCTCGGACTGCGAAAATGTGCGCACACCAAAGGCCTCGACACCCTCGGCAACAATGTTGTTACCAGACATGAGACCAGTACCACGGGTCCATCCAATGACAGCACCGCAGATAGTAAGGAAGTGAGCCCAGTCCTCAGAGTACCAACGGTTGAAGAGGGTCTCAAGGGCAAGCTTAGACTCAGAGTAGAGACCGTCATTGCCAAAGGTACCGTGGTTAGGCGAGAGAGGGAGGACAACCTGGGCAGGGCGAGTCTCGAAACCTCGCTCAGCCTTCTGTGTCTTGATGGCACCAAGTAGGCGGAGAAGGTTGGTCAGCATGATACGGTGAGCCAACTCGGAGCGGGAATCGATGGTATCAATCTGGCGTCCGTTCTCGGAGATGGCGGCGAAAGGAATCACGTAGTCAAGATCCCATCCAAGACCGTTCTTGATGTCGTAGACGTACTCGACGAGGGCCTCAACGTCTTGTTTGCTGCCCTGGTTGAAGGGCACAACAACAAGCTGAGAGCCGCGCGAGCCGTACTTGGTGTACAGAGACTGGTAGTACTCGGTAACCTCCCGAGAGTAGCGGCTAGTGGTGACAATGACCTTGGCACCACCGCTAATGAGGCCGATGAGGACCTCTGCACCAATTGATCCAGCACCGGCACCGGTCATGAGGGCGTACTTGCCCTGGAAGGTAATTCCGTCCCGAGCGCCCTTTTCGAGGCAGCTAAGGTACAGGGTTGTGAGCTTCTTGCTGTAATCCCAACCGTGGAGATTCTTGCGCTTGAGGTGAAGGAAGGGAATGGTCTCGACCTTGCCCTTGTTCGTGGGGGCCCTTGACGGCCGGCTTTTTAGCACCAGGAGGGTTGGTATCCTTGGGGATGATTTGGCTCTCGTTCATGGCGAGAGAGCGGCATACATCCCGGTACAGGTTTCGAATCTCAAGTTGCGAGCTAGTCAACGTGGCCTTGTGTTGCTGCTTAATGAGCTTGTACATGCGTTGAAGATCGTTCTGGACCTTGGTACGGTTGCCGTATTCGGAAATCTTTCCGCCCTCGCTCATCTGCTGGACATAATGCTCCAGCTTGCGACAGCTGCTCCTAGGGACCTCTTCATAGTTGAGATTACCCTTGGCATCGACAATGGTGCGGGGACCGGTAGGGACGGCCACGTCCTTGAAAGCGGGGGCAGCGTCCAGAACCTCTTTGCAGTTTTCGATGAGCTGGGCACCAAGTTCCTTGGCCAACTTGTAGGTCTCGCCACGATCCTCAGGGCAGTTGTCAATGTGATACTGCATGAACTCGAGAAGTTTAGGGTTGGATCGGTTCATGATGCGGATACACTGGCTGACAATCTCTCGGTCGACAACCTTGAGCCTGCCAAAGATGATATCGAAGTACATGTTTAGAGCATCCTGCCTCGCCCAGTTCCAGTCGGAATCATAGACACGAGCCTTGAGGGAGCTGAAAACGGGCTCAATTCCGGCCGCGTAGAAGTCGCCGTGCTCGGTAGTCCAGAGATCAAGCTGGGCTTGGAGGACCTTTTCAGATGACTGCGAGCTGATGTGGGCCTTTTCGCCAGCCTTGAGGTCCATCTTGAGATACCTGGCAAACAGCTCGAGCTGTTGCTTGAACAGAGCGCGCTGGTCCTTGGTGAGAGCGTCGATGGCAGCAGGGTCCATCATCATGCCCTGGCCGGCGCCAGCAGCCGGGCCGGCAGCGGCAGTCGTCGTGAGGCTGATGCCAGCGTTGGTGGCATACTTCTGGGCGACGTCGTCAAGGAAGGCTTTGGCATCAGCCTCGGAGCCAAGACGGTTGGCGGGCTCCATGGTCAAGGCCAAAAGCAAGGCGCCATCTTGGCGACCGGACCCAAGACCCCATCGAGTCTCAAGGTACTTGCGCGCAGCAGTAATGTTGAAACCTCCGGGCATCTTGGAGGAGATGAGCCTGGCAATAAGCGCTTGAGACTGCTTGCCGATCTGACCATCGAACGTGGCCTGCATCGCGGCACCTAGCTCGTCAAGAGGGGTATCTTCGGGCTTTTCTGGGGTCGAGCCGAACTCCTTGCCGAGGTCACCAAGAATTTCGTTTTGTAGGGTGGATTTGCCTGAACGATGAGTTAGATATGCGCTCTCTCATTTATTCCACTCAAGCCCAGTTAATGTCAACGAGACGGAACCTTGAGCTGCGTGACTTACCTCCGACTAAATCCTTGATCGCCTTGTTTAGAGGCACCTCAAGTAGAGGTTTCTTGAGCTTCTGAGCGATAAGAGCCCTCACAATGTCGAGGGCCGTTACAGGGGCGTCGGGAACTTGGACGGCGGGGCCAGCAGCAGGCGCCGCTGCGGCGGCGGCGGCGGCAACGGGAGCAGCAGACCCTGCGGCGGGGGCAGCAGCAGCGGGGGCCGCCTCGGGCTCAGGCTCTTCCTCAATGGGGTCGACATCATAATAGATCTCCTTGGCATCCTTGTTGTAGCAAAGAATCTGTCGCTGCACGGACTTGGCAGCATCATAAGCCTCATACTTGGAGGCCAAGGTTCGCTTCGCCATCACACCGAGGGTCTCAGCGGGACCGATCTCGACAATGCGCTCAGCCGTCTTCTCGGCGAGAAAGACATCCTGAGTTTCAATCCACCGGACAGGCGAGGCAAATTGATAGGCCAGTAGCTCGATCAGCAGCGTGTGAGCGAGCTCTTGCTCGACCTCAGGACGCATGATTGCGACTACTTGGCTGTGTGGAGGTTGTGGGTGGTATTATTTGTGGTCGTGAACGACTGGATGACGGAGCGTCACGCCTCTCGACGTTTACGTTTTCCGCGAAAGGTGAGAAGTTTGCACTTCCTTCTACAACGCTTTGTTGAAGAGAGTGTATGATCTGTGTAGTGTTGGTCCTGTTACCGGCGTGTCCAGGAAGTTCGCGATGATTGAGCGACGGAAGGTGAGAAAAAGGAGAAGTGGCAAGTAAACCAAAAATTACAAGACGAAGTGGAGAGGGGTATTGGAAAGGAAGATATGAAGGGAGGATAATACAGCCCGTGGTGAAGGGGACAGAGGAATTGAAGGCTAGCCACGAAGAAATGGATTTCTGAGGCCAGGCCAGTGAATTGAGTGGTGCCAGCAACGGAAGCCGATGTTGTTGAACTCTTGAGGATCGAAGCTTGGGAAGGGGAAAAAAAAATTGGTCCAGACCAGAGTCGCGCGCCCCAGAAACGAGGTGAGCAACGACCATCATGGTAGCACTGGATTTGCCAGTTGCCTACACGCCCCCTCTCCTTCCATTCAGTGTTCCTTCCTCCCCTTTCCCGTTGCCGTTCCCTGGTACCACTCTGCCATTTTCCCACTTTGAGCTGTCCGGAGAAGGTACTCAAGGAGGAGCTAAAGATACCTAGAAGCTCGTTGCATGGTCAACGTAATGGAAAGTACCCAGGGTACCAACTTGCGACGATCTTGGAGGGGAGGGGCGTCTGAGCTCAAAGCTGCTCTCAACCATATTCTGACGCTATTCCTAATTCGGCGTGGTTTTATATGCGCCACTTGTAGCTCCCCACCACAACCCCATTCCATTGGGGACACCATCAACAGTTTTCGACCACGGCTTTTCCAATTCAACGCGCCAGAAATCTCATACTCGCGAGACCCAGCCGGAGCGAAGGAGATAGCGCCCTTTCACAGTGATTTCGGAGGATTGATATCTCAACCTCTGTGCCGCCATGATTTCGACATTGGTCTTTCCTTATTCCACTCGGTTTCCGGACTATCCCCGCCCCTACAACCGAGGCAGGCACATTCAACTTTGGGCTGTGTAGGAATGATGTGTCTCCAACGTCCTCACTGCCCGGTCCGTCCGGGCCTCACACAGAACGTTGAACAGGCTCTTTCTTGCCCCAGCGGTAATATCGTGGTGTAGAGAATTGAGACTTCAATTGTAGTTGGCTTGCTTTCACTAACGGTGGCTGAGGCCTGATACTGTTTTCCCTATCCGCACCTCAACCTCAGTGCTGCCTCCCCGGCGACAACATATCAATTTTGCGCCAGTCCTCAATCCAAGGAGAGCATCTCTCAGGAAACTTTTTTTTTTTTTAACTTATGTTTTCCCCTTCTTTCTTTTTTTCCTCGGGCTGTTCCATCTGAAAGTTTGTTGGCACCGGTTCAATCCATCACCATCCATCATCAATAATAAGATGTAACCCCAGTGCTCAACCTTTTTCGTCCTCTCGATAATTGTGGATCAATTGACCTGCCCATACTCACCCTTTCATAACAATGGCGGCCAATTTCTCCCCACAAGCTTTTCCTCTCCACACCCGCTTGCCCCTCCATCCTTTCCAACGTCTTACGAATCACCAACGTGTTATTGGAACACACTCAATCCAATCCAATGGACTCGTAGGCAGCAAGAATTGAACCGGCTTGAGGACCTGTCTTGTGGACAAGTACACAATCCCAAGACACTCTTCCCATCTTGAGTTCCACCTAGTCTCTTCAACACTTGCTCACTCTTTCCCCACCCCCTTCACTTCTGCTCAAGTGAGACAGGAGCCCAGGTTGGACTTGTTGCCTTTGGCGTGGGGACCCGTCGCTCTGGGTTCGCAATCTTGCGAAAGGGGTAGGCGGTGATGGTCAAGTAATGGTAGTACTGCCCTGGAGCCTGCCGTCCTATTGCAACCCCACTAGCACCTTACGAGCCCAGGGGAGAAAATAGTTTTTGACTAGCCGTCGGGTACCCTTACAGGGCGCCGTCGATGGACCACTCGGTACTGAGTACCTATTACTTGTACAAGAAATACATTGATTATTGACCAGAGTGGAGTCCCCGACTACACGCTGTCGCCCCATATTATTTTTTTCAGTCAACGTTGAGAAGAGTTGGGAGGCCACCTGGCGGGATGTGAGAAAACTACGAACGCGAACATGAAAAATGTTACAGGCAAGTGGTGGTGCCATTCTGAGGTGATTGTGCAGGCTGCCAGCCCCCGATGCTGGCGCATCAGAACCTGGCCGTTCATCGCCCCGGCCCGCCGACATGGCAACGGTCTCGAACGTCAGGGTTCAATTGGAGCATCGTCAACTTTGCTACGTGAGACACAGCCCATGGCAAATGCAGAAAAGTTGCCCGCTGCCCTGAGATTGTCTCATCTCTACCTGCCTGTCAAGACGAAGAGATGTGGCGACGACCCGCCTTGCAAGCCAAAATAAGGAAGATGATGGAAAAACGTTTAGGGGATTCGGCGTCGTAGGCTCGGCGTCTTGAATTCAGCGCCGGGGAGGTGACGACCAACCTACCAAAAGATCAGCACTGGGGTTATCAAATTGCTTTGCCCATGTCGGGTCCTCCACGTAAAAATGAGGAGCCGTGACAGAGATCCCGTCCGACAGTGCACAGGAGTCGGACGAGAGGCTCGGATCTCGAGGAAGTGACGACTTATCGAATACAACACCCCACTAAGCCCCTCGGCAACAAGGAACTTCAAAGGTTCAACAATAATATGAGGAGGAATTCCTATCCGGTTTGTTGCCGCGACAGTTGTCTGGGGCGAGGCATAGTGCCACTGGGGACCAAGGCGTGAGACTAATAATATGCTCTGTCCTGGTTGGGAAGAACGGCATTGGGGTGCAGCAAGCGACAGTCCAGAACTTGACCTCAACCTCGAGCTGGTGGAGCGTCGGAAGTCACTTGTTACATGTACGGCGGCTTCGGCTGCATACAGTGACTGCATTGGTACCCAGGTACCGATGACCCCTGGCAGATACTGACGAGGTTGCGAAGGGAAGGGGCGGAGGGGAAGGAGGGGGTGGGGTGGGAAACGAGGGTGTGGGACTTCCCAACGAAAAATTTTTGGCGAGGAAGGACGGCTCAACTGGGCACCTCAAGCTGTGTGATGGCCAATGACAATACCGCTAGCGTTGCCCCCTTTACGCCGGAAAGCTAGCTCTCGCGATCAGAATGCGACCAGGAGAAAAAGAAGGAGGGAAAAAAAATCGGGTAATAGCTTGCCTCGCTCACTCACCCTCACTCTAGCTTGGGTGCCTCAGAAACAAGCCTAGCAACAGAAACGTCTCCTTCCTGTCCATCCCCTCAATCTGACAGAGCCATCTACCCATTCACTCACTTCGACTTCTTCAGATCAACCCTTCCTCTCTTCTTCTCCTCGAGCACCTTTCGAGCTTGGCATCTTTCCACACTTAATCTACATTGCCTTAATACCCCAGGCTCACCAAGTCAGCTTGGTCCTATCTTCTCTTCATTCCTCAACCCTTCTCTTCTTCGCCGCACTCATCCCGGCTCCAACGGGCTGCCTTGTCCCTTCCAACGCAGTCTCACGAAGCATCTTCTTGCCGACGATTAGACGCCCCCTTCGTCCACGTCCCTTCATTCCACTGATCATTCGGATCTTTGCGGTGCACTTTGTTTCCTGTTGGTGTTGCGGAGCATCAACACCTTCCAAGGTAAGAAGGAGTGAACCCCGCCTTGTAGCTGCGCCGGCAATGAACACAATCATTAATGTTGCCCATGGCTTGAACAGTAAAACTTTTTAGAGATACCCCATATTTCAATCGCCCATCATGTACGGCGCTGGAGCCGGCCCGCAAACGGGCGTCTCAACTCCGAGATCGAGCGCCTCGCTACGCCCTCTCACCGTCACCCATGGAAAGCTCGAGACATCCTTCCTCGTCCCGACTGTTCTCCATTTTCACGCCTCCCAGCTTAAGGAGAGGTTCAGCGCATCTCTCCCCACCCCCACAGACGAGCTAGCTCAAGATGATGAGCCCTCTTCCGTACCTGAGCTCCTGGCCAGGTACATGGGCTTCATCGCGCAAGAGATTGAGACTGGCGAAGACGATGGCCAAGGCTCGTATGAAGAGGTTCTCAAACTTGTGCTAAATGAGTTTGAGCGAGCTTTCTTGCAGGGCAACGAAGTCCACCCGTTGGCAGCCACCCTACCTGGGATTGACTCGAAGAAGCTCGAAGTCATCCGCTGCTACTACGCTGGTCGCGCCGCCGTGAACCGTCCCGTCAAACCCCACCAGTCTGCCCTCTTCAGGGAAGCCGACGATAACTCGGCGCAAATTTACACCATCTTCGGTGGTCAAGGCAACATCGAGGAGTACTTTGACGAGATCAGGGAAGTGAGCAAAGTCTATTCCACCTTTGTAGGCGAGCTCATCACCGCGGGAGCCGAGCTCCTTCAATCGCTAGCAGCTCATCCCGAGGCGGAGAAGCTCTACCCCAAGGGCCTTGATGTTTTGGGGTGGTTGCACAACCCTGAGGCTACGCCCGACGTAGATTATCTGATCTCGGCGCCTGTCAGCTTTCCCTTGATTGGTTTGCTGCAGCTTGCCCACTATGAGGTCACTTGCAAGGTGCTCGGTGTCCAGCCGGGCGTCCTGCGCGACAGGATTCAGGGAACCACGGGCCATTCTCAGGGTGTTGTCGTGGCCGCTGCGACCGCCGCCGCCGGTTCGTGGGACTCGTGGCGCGAGGTCGCCATGAAGGCCCTCACTATCCTCTTCTGGATCGGTGCCAGGAGTCAGCAGACATTCCCCAGGACGTCTATCACACCCTCCATGCTGCGCGACTCGGTCGACAACGGCGAAGGCACTCCCTCCCCCATGCTTAGCATCCGCGACCTCTCCCAGGCCGAAGTCCAGAAGCATATCGATGCAACCAACCACTATCTTCCAGCTGATCGCCACATCGGTATCTCGCTTATCAACAGCCCCCGAAACATGGTTGTTACCGGTCCTCCCATGTCGCTCTACGGTCTCAACTCCCGTCTGCGAAAAGTCAAGGCGCCCACCGGTCTCGACCAAAACAGGATTCCCTATACCGAGCGAAAGGTTCGCTTCTCCAACCGATTCCTACCGATCACCGCCCCTTCCACAGCAAGTATCTTGCCGCGGCTACCGACCTGATTGACGCCGATCTCCGGGACGTCGAGATCGATGTTTCGAAGCTAGATATTGCTCTCTATGATACACACACTGGAAAGGATGTTCGTGACGGTGTCAAGGGCAACATCGTTCCCACCCTTATTCGCCTCATCACTCGTGATCCCGTCTACTGGGAGAAGGCTACTGCTTTCCCTGAGGCCACACACGTCTTGGACTTTGGCCCCGGTGGCATCTCGGGAATTGGCATCCTTACCAGCCGCAACAAGGAAGGAACCGGTGTCCGTGTCATTTTGGCTGGTTCTGTCCAGGGTACCGTCCCTGAAGTTGGCTACAAGTCGGAGCTGTTTGATCGCGACGAGGAGAACGCAGTCAAGTACGCCATTGACTGGGTCAAGGAGTTTGGCCCCAAGCTCGTCAGGACTGCCAGCGGACGCACTTACCTTGATACCAGGATGAGTCGTCTACTTGGTCTCCCCGTCATGGTCGCAGGTATGACACCCGCCACGGTTCCCTGGGACTTCGTTGCTGCCACCATGAACGCCGGATACCACATTGAGCTCGCTGGCGGAGGTTACTTCGATCCCCGCATGATGACGGAGGCTATCCGCAAGATTGAGGGTGCCATTCCCCTGGTCGTGGAATCGGTATCAACTTGATCTACGTGAACCCCATGGCCATGGCCTGGCAAATCCCCATGATTGGCAAGCTTCGTGCGGAGGGTGTCCCCATCCAGGGCCTCGCCATTGGTGCTGGTGTCCCTTCCATCGAGGTTGCCAACGAGTACATCGAAACCCTTGGCCTCAAGCACATCTCCTTCAAGCCCGGTTCCGTCGATGCCATCCAGGCCGTTGTCAACATTGCCAATGCCAACCCTACCTTCCCCGTCATGTTGCAGTGGACCGGTGGCCGTGGCGGAGGTCATCACTCTTTGAGGACTTCCACCAGCCTATGCTCCAAATGTATCCCCGTATCCGCCGCGCTGAGAACATCATCCTCATTGCCGGATCCGGTTTCGGTGGTGCCGAAGACACATACCCTTACATCACGGGTGAATGGTCGAAGAAGTTCGGCTACCCGCCTATGCCTTTTGACGGCTGCATGTTCGGTAGTCGTATGATGGTTGCCAAGGAGGCTCACACTAGCCCCGATGCCAAGAAGGCCATTATCGATGCTCCCGGTGTCGAAGACTCCGAGTGGGAGAACACGTACAAGGTACCTACTGGTGGTGTTCTCACTGTCAGGTCCGAGATGGGTGAGCCCATCCACAAGCTTGCTACGCGCGGTGTTCGCTTCTGGGCTGAAATGGATCAGAAGATCTTCAGCGTTCCCAAGGAAAAGCGTGTCGCGGAGCTGAAGAAGAACCGCGACTACATTATCCAGAAGCTCAACGACGATTTCCAGAAGGTCTGGTTCGGTCGCAACAAGGCAGGCCAGGCCGTCGATCTCGACGAGATGACGTATGCCGAAGTCGTTGATCGTATGATTGAACTCTTGTACGTCAAGCACGAGTCTCGTTGGATTGATCCTACTTATATCCGCCTCACTGCGGACTGGATCCAGCGTGTGGAGGAGCGTTTCACCCAGACCCCTGGCCAGCCTTGCGTTTTGCAAAATAAGATGGACTTGAAGGAGCCCTTCGCCACGGTTGAGCGCGTCCTCGCCGCCTACCCCGAAGCGCAAACTCAGATTGTCAATGCCCACGACGTTGAGCACTTCCTTCTCCTCTGCATGTTCCCATTCCAGAAGCCCGTCCCCTTCGTGCCCGTCTTTGATGACAACTTTGAATTCTACTTCAAGAAGGATTCTCTTTGGCAGTCAGAAGACGTCCAGGCCGTTCAAGGCCAGGATGTCGGCAGGACCTGTATTCTCCAGGGACCCGTTGCCGTCAAGTACTCGACTGTCATGGACGAGCCCATCCAGCAGATTCTTGATGGAATCCACAACGGCCACATTGCTGGTCTCACCCGCGACCTTTACGGAGGCGATGTGAGCCGGATCCCTACCGTTGAGTACTTTGGTGGCCGTGTTACCGAGACCGAGATCCCCGTTGACCTTGACTCGCTCACCGTTTCCTATGACGCCCATAAGAACACCTATCGTCTGGCATCTTCTGCTAGCGCGGTCATGCCCCGCTTGAATCATGGCTGGCGCTCCTCGCTGGCCCCAAGAGGAGCTGGCGGCACGCTCTTCTCCTGTCGGATGTCGTCGTACAGGGACAAAAGTACGAGACGAACCCGATCAAGAGGATTTTCACCCCCACCAAGGGCATGTTTGTCGAGATTCAGTATCCCAACGACCCCCAGAAGACGGTGATCATCGTCCAGGAACAACCCAGGCACAACGTCTACGTTGACGTGATCGAGGTCAAGCTGAACAGCCCCAACGAGATTGTTGTCAACATGATTAAGGATACAACTGCTCTCGGCAAGGCCGCGGCCCTGCCCCTCAAGTTCACTTACCACCCCGAGGCTGGCTACTCGCCTATCCGAGAGGTCATGGAAGACCGCAATGATCGCATCAAGGAGTTTTACTGGAAGGCGTGGTTTGGCAATGATCCCCTTGATCTTGATGCCCTCGTCACTGCCAAGTTCGACGGCGGACAAACCACCATCACCGGCGAGGCCATCAACGACTTCATCCACGCTGTCGGAAACACGGGCGAAGCCTTTGTTGACCGACCTGGCAAGATCATGTATGCTCCTATGGACTTCGCCATCGTTGTGGGCTGGAAGGCCATTACCAAGCCCATTTTCCCTCGCAAGATTGACGGAGATCTGCTCAAGCTCGTTCACCTTTCCAACGCGTTCCGCATGATGCCTGGTGCCGAGCCTCTCAAGAAGGGCGACGTTGTTTCCACCACGGCTCAGATTAACGCCGTGATCAACCAAGAGTCTGGCAAGATGGTCGAAGTATGCGGTACCATTGTCCGCGACGGCGAACCTGTCATGGAAGTGACCTCGCAGTTCCTGTACCGCGGAACCTACACGGATTATGAAAACACTTTCCAGCGAAAGCTCGAGACGCCTGTCAAGATCCACCTCGCCACCACCCGTGATGTCGCCGTTCTACGCTCTAAGCAGTGGTTCATGGCGGACGAGTTGCCCCAGAATATTGAGCTCCTCGGCCAGACCCTTACTTTCCGCCTTCAGAGTCTGATGCGCTACAAGAACAAGGATGTGTTTAGCAGCGTCGAGACTCGTGGCCCTGTCCTGCTTGAGCTCCCCACCAAGGAGATCATCCAGGTTGCCAGCGTCGACTATGAGGCCGGCCTCTCTCACGGAAACCCCGTTATTGACTACCTCAGCCGTAACGGTGTTCCTCTTGATCAGCCTGTTCACTTTGAGAACCCCATTCCCCTGAGCGGCAAGACCCCCTGCAGCTTCGTGCCCCTGCCTCGAACGAGAACTACGCACGTGTATCGGGCGACTACAACCCTATCCACGTTTCTCGCGTCTTTTCGAGCTATGCCAACCTCCCCGGCACCATTACCCACGGCATGTACTCCAGCGCCGCTGTCCGTAGTCTCGTGGAGACTTGGGCAGCCGACAACAACATTGGCCGTGTGAGGAGCTTCCACGCCTCGCTCGTGGGCATGGTGCTTCCCAACGACGATATCCAGGTCAACCTCCAGCACGTTGGTATGGTTGCGGGTCGCAAGATTATCAAGGTGGAGGCCAGCAACAAAGACACGGAGGAGAAGGTGCTTCTCGGCGAGGCCGAGGTTGAGCAGCCGGTGACCGCCTACGTCTTCACTGGCCAAGGCTCTCAGGAGCAAGGCATGGGCATGGACTTGTATGCCAGCAGCCCCGTAGCTCAGGAGATCTGGGACCGTGCTGACAAGTACCTCCTCGAAAACTATGGTGAGTTGCTTAGCCCGACACCCGTCTCCCCATTCTTTCCCCGCCCCTTCGTCCCTCTCGGCACTATCGCTAACCCTAACCCTTCTCTCTTTCAGGCTTTTCCATCACCAACATTGTGCGCAACAACCCTAAGGAGCTCACCATCCACTTTGGTGGCCCCCGTGGTAAGGCTATTCGCCAGAACTACATGGCCATGACTTTTGAAAGTGTCTCTAGCGACGGCACGGTCAAGTCGGAGCGCATCTTCAAGGAGATTGATGAGACGACCACGTCGTACACTTACCGCTCACCCACGGGTCTCCTGTCGGCGACGCAATTCACTCAGCCCGCCCTCACGCTCATGGAAAAGGCCAGCTTCGAGGACATGAAGTCTAAGGGTCTCGTGCCCAGGGACAGCACCTTTGCGGGTCACTCGCTCGGTGAATACTCGGCCCTCACGGCGCTCGCGGATGTCATGCCGATTGAGAGTTTAGTGTCGGTCGTCTTCTACCGCGGTCTGACCATGCAGGTCGCCGTGGAACGTGATGCGGCCGGTCGCTCCAACTACTCCATGTGTGCTGTTAACCCCAGCCGCATCTCGAAGACGTTCAACGAAGAGGCGCTCCAGTATGTGGTGGATAACATCGCCGAACAGACTGGATGGCTTGTGGAGATTGTCAACTACAACATCGCCAACATGCAATACGTGTGCGCTGGTGACCTTCGAGCGCTCGACACGCTCACTGGTGTGACCAACTTCCTGAAGCAGCAGCAGATCAATATTGAGGAGATGAAGGGCAACATCTCGGAGACCAAGGACGCCCTCCGCAACATTATCCAAGGATGCGCGGAAGCGACGCTCAAGAAGCCCCAGCCATTGGAGTTGCAGCGAGGATACGCGACGATTCCTCTTCGAGGCATCGACGTGCCTTTCCACTCGACCTTCTTGCGGTCGGGTGTTAAGCCGTTCCGATCTTTCCTCCTCAAGAAGATCAACAAGACCACGATTGACCCAGCCAAGCTTATTGGCAAGTACATCCCCAACGTGACGGCCAAGCCGTTTGAGTTGACCAAGGAGTACTTTGAGGAGGTTTACAAGCTCACCAACTCGCCTCGCATCGGGCACGTGTTGGCCAACTGGGACAGGTACACCTCGGATGAGGCGGACAGCGATGACTCGAACAGCGGGTCCGAGACGCGAGCTCTCAACGGAACCGACGTCGAGCAGGCTGGTGCCGGGGCCGCCGCTTGAAGGGAGCGGCGCTCTCGGCGCACAATGCCATAAAATGTGATTGTCCTGATATCTGAGTAGAAGGGCTCCGGTATTGGGTCAAGACCAGCTGGCATAGCCTTTTTTCTTCCTTGTCTTTTCTTGTTTGAAGCCGGCCACCCCCACACCTCACCCCCAACCTCCACCTCCACCTCCACCTGCACATCCGCTTCGATGCAGTCTTTTTTAATCTCGGGATGGCTGTTATTTTTGCTTTCTTTTTCTCCATGCTCATCTCTCCATCTACATGTTTTATGATTCGGCCGCGATAGAAAGGGATCGCTTGTTCGATTTGATGTTGTTTCACGCCTAGTTTCAGGAGCTGCGGTTTCCTGGTGCCGTTTGTTTTTTCTTCTTCCGTTGCGCGTGCTGGTTCCTTACGTTTATCTGGTTTTCTTTTATACTGCAGTTTAAGCATTGATAGACAGTCTCTTGGGCACGGGCTTGGTTCGTTTGCGAGAGATAGAAAAGTAAAATGAAGACGTCTTGGAATCTAGCTTATTATCCTCTTATCGTAAAGACTCCTCCGATCTATACCGCCTTGTCTCTTGCAATATTGCCAAAGCCTGAAGAAGAAAAAAAGAACAAGAGACAAAATCTTGCAGTCAAAGTGCGCGTCCATCTCTTATCAGTGACATGTAGCTGAAAGAGCTGTAGCTGCAGCCCGCCTACCGCTTTTCCACTCTCACCGCAATATTAGCTATTCTGGCATGGTGGTTGTGCAAGAATGGGTGGCACCCGAAGCCCTTGTCGTTTGGCATGGCTGGCCCAGTCTCAGCCCAGTGAATCTATTCATAGATGTGGCATTTATCTGTCAAACGAAACAAAGCCCTGCCATCCGTTCTCTAATACATGTAATCTAATCTATCCGTACCTGTTGACGTCTATCCACTCCACGCAGCGGATGTTGGCGAGGATCCCGGATTCCCCAAAGATAGCGCCGCAGGTTTGGCGAGCGGCAACCGCCGACCACCACGCAGCGTCAAGTCCCCAAGACAGCGTGCAGGCCTTTTCGGAGTTGGCCGCCGCACTAAAATCTGGGGGAAGCCTCCAGGAACTTTAGCGGCCACCGTCCAGGGATAACAGACGGCCGCCACTTGCTAGTGGCCAGCCAGGCACACAGCATTGACAACAACATTGAAGCGACCCCAAGATAACGGGGCAGCGGCCCTGGACGCTGGCTTATCAACGACGACGACAACGACGACGCTACGCTATGCTGGCTACGGCTGTCGTCGGCGCGCTTGATTTATCGCCCATCCAGACAAAGGGCAGGCACGACCCTCTGTAACTCTTGGCCCGCTTGACCTCATATTCCCCACCATCGCTTTTCTCCCTCCCTATGCCCTTTTTCTCTTTTCTTTCTCTTCTTCTATTATTATTTCCCCTTCTGGCCTTGTCCTTTTGGAGTCTTTCTTCTTCTTTAGATCTTCTTCTCGATTACTTTTCTGGCTACTTTCTATTTTTAATTTCTCTCTTTTACCTACCCATCCCTTCCCCCAATTATCTCTATTGGCTGCCTGTCCGTGTCATTGCCCCTTGCAATACGTGCTCTTGGGTAGAACTCGCCATTGTCCTTCAGTCTTTGGTAGCCCATTTCTTTTTCGCTTCGGATCGGACATGATGACGGGTGCCAAGAACAAACTCTTTTGGGCACCTTTATCCACTCCAAGTCCCGGAAACAACTAGAGTACCTCGTGAATGCCGCGATATGTGTTGATGCTCGCGGCGTCATCGTTGCCGTTGAAGAGGACTGTGATCTGGCCGCGGCAGAGGCCCGGTTATATCCCCGGCTGGGATGGAAGGCAGAAGAAGTCAGCGTGAGGACGTGTAAGGGAGAATCCGACTTTTTCTTCCCCGGATTCATTGGTGAGATTCTTTCCGTTCCATTCACTTTTCCCCGTCTTCCTTCTTTTTTTCTCCGTCCTATTCTTCCTGATTTAATCCCCCGTTCCGGCCCGGATCCGAGGTGTCTCGGGACTCCGCCCCTCCGGCTCAGCCTTTGCGGTCCGTTCCATATGACCATTCCTGTCCTGCGATGCTTCATTAATACACCACATCTTACTAACTTGGGGTGCCACACCTTTCCTAAACGAAAAGACACGCATGTGCATGCATCTCAGTATCCCAACGTGGGCATTTTCGGCAAGAGCACCTTACTGGACTGGCTAAACACGTACACATTTCCCTCGAGTCCAGGCTCGGCGACGAGCGCCTGGCGCGGAGGGTCTACTCCGCCGTTGTTCGCAAAACGCTCGCCCACGGCACCACAACGGCCACTTACTTCGCCACCCGCCATGTCGGCTCGACCAATGTTTTGGCCGACACGTGCCTAGAGCTCGGCCAACGCGCGCTCGTGGGAAGAGTGTGCATGGACCACGGCGAGATGTGCCCCGACTTTTATCGTGACGAGTCCCCCAAGCGGCGTTGGAGGCTACCAAGGCGTGCATCGCCCACATCGCCTCCATCGACCCGGGCCATGCCCTTGTGAAGCCCATTATCACGCCCCGCTTCGCGCCTAGCTGCACCAGCGAGGCCATGCGCCTCTTGGGCGACCTACAAAAAGAGACGAGTCTCCCCATTCAGACACACGTCTCGGAAAACCTGTCCGAGATTGAGCTGGTGCAGAGCATGTTTCCCGACAGCAAGAATTACAGCGATATCTACGATTCCCACGGCTTGCTCACGGACAAGACCATCTTGGCGCATGCCGTTCATGTTTCCGAGGAAGAGGCCGCGCTCATCGCCGAACGGGGGCCAAAGTATCACACTGCCCCTCGAGCAACTCGTCCATCACGAGCGGCGCGGCCCGCGTCAAATGGCTGTGGGACAAGGGTATCGATGTCGGCATCGGCACCGATATGTCAGGCGGGTACAGCCCGTCCGTGCTGGAAAATGCCCGGCAGGCGAGCTTAGTGAGCCGACACGTTGCTATGGGCCTCCCCGAGGGCCCGGACAAGGAGGCCGCCAAGCTTACCGTCGAAGAGGTGTTGTACCTGGCTACCAGGGGCGGTGCCCTCGTCGTCGACATGGCGGACAAGATAGGAGGCTTCGAGGTTGGCAAGGAGTTTGACGCCATCCAGGTCTCGCTGGGCGTCGTGGATGAAGACGGCGTCTCGATGGGCGAGGGCAATGTCGACATTTTTGGGTGGGAGAACTGGGAGGAGAAGATTGCCAAGTGGCTGTTCAACGGCGATGATAGGAACTGTAAGAGTGTATGGGTCAAGGGCGCTTTGGTTCACCAGAGGAAATAGGCACGGATAGAATGAGACATCTAACACCAAAATTCATACCAAATCCACCCGTTAAACCAAGGAAAGAGGCTAGATCTCTTTTCTCTTTTTTTTCTTTTTCTCACTTCAACTATCTGTTTTAAATTGGCAAACGCCCAGCAGCCGACCTGAAGATGCATTGATCAGTTCTTTGAATGAAGACTAAGCCTGATAAGAAGATGAACGTTGATATCAGGCCAGGAAAGAAGCCCTTTTTCTGTATATAAAAAGAAGAAGAAGAAGGATACCACTTAAGTAAACGCATTAGTGGGTTTGCTTCCAGCCAGGATAGAAGGGTTGTTGGAAGACAGAAATTTCGCCAAGCTCGCCATAATACTTGAAGCGACAAGAGCTACTATTACAGCGTGCTCTCTATCACCCGTCAACTAAAGATATCTTGCGTGGTGTGGGTGTCCACCAATGATGACTCAGCAAACTACGTCTCTCCCACCTGCCAAAATTCGTTCTTGGGACTCGCACCCGTCGAGTCCGATTCCTTGAGCTTTCTTGAATTCACACAATGGACCAACATCCGCCATGGGTGGCACGCGGATAGTCTTGAGGCGGAATTGGCGACCTGGGATATTCGCACCCCATCGCACTCATTCGCCAAAGTTCACGAATCCGCCCACCACCGTCTTCCTTCGACGAAACTGGTCCTGGTCCGGCCGCCCTCCGTCGAACCCGCCCACGAGCCGACACCACCCCACGCCCCCGACCAAGGATGGGGCGGATCGCGCATTCTGCCGCGCGCAAAACTGGAGCCACGCTCCGAGAATGACCTTGCTCGCTCCGCAGAAGATGAGGCGGCGAAGCGGCGAGAGGAGGAGGATATGGGGTGGAGCAGGGACGCCCTCCAAGCTTTTCTCGCCGATAAAGGCTCGGCCGCGGTGCTGGCGCGCTTTGAAGGATTGGCCGCCGCACAGCTGCATACCAAGGGACGGGCGGGGACCCTAGTAGAAGCTTTTAAAGAAATGCGTGCTCTGGGGATCCGGGCTAGCCCTGCTTTCTACGGCCTGGCGCTCGCGGTACGTTGCAGAAGCCTCGATGGGACATACGCATGAGATCTTTGTGGAGGGACACCTCGGCTAACGTGAAGTAATGTAGGGTCTTGCGATTCACCCCGACTACCTTCTTCGTGCGACCATTCTCGATGCGATGCGGAGTGACTGGGTCGAATTCACGACCGACCACAGGGTCCATGTCGTCATCGGCATGCTGCGAGACGGACAGTATGAGATGGCGTTTGACGAGGTGGAAGACCTCGTTTCCGAAAAGTCCCGGTCCCCTACTGGCTTTTCGAGATACTCGTATTCACCTTTGGTAAACTCGGCTTCCTCGAGGAGGCCATGCTAGCCTTGGAGTACAGGCAAGGGCGAACAGATGCGCCCCGGCCTCCTCAAACCTTTTGTACTACATGCTCGACGTGTGCAGCGCCGCCTACCACTACGCCGGCACCGTGCACTTTTGGCAGGTCGCCGTGCGGGACAGCGGCATCGTGCCCTCGGACGGCACCCTTTTGAACGTGATCAACACGGCCTCCCGCCACGCCGATCCGGAACTCGCTCTGGAGGCCCTGCGCGTGACCACGGACCGAAAAGTCCAGCTTTCCTTCCAGCACTTCGAGCCCGTCATCGAGGCGTATGCCGGCCTGGGCGAGCTCGACGGCGCGTTCCGAATGCTCTGCGTCATGGATAGCGCTGGCTTGCGGCCGGGCAGGGACGCCACGAGAAGCGTTTTGGACGTCTTGCGGGATGCGCCCGAGCGGGTGGACGAGGCCGTTGGGATCCTCCGCGATCTTTCCCGGTCCTATCGTGTTCCCATCGCGGCGATCAATGTCGTCCTCGAGGCGCTGTGCTCGTCCGGCAACACGGCCGCGGCGGAGACCCTGTACGAATCCTTGCCCTCCATCACTCCCGACCCGCCGACCGTCACCACCTTTCACCCCTTCCTCACCTCCCCGTCGCCACCCGCCCACATATGTATCGCCGCCATTGAATCATTCCCCAACCTTACCCTCTCGCCCCCGGAGCTCGCAAGCCTCGCCGTACATCTCGCCCGCCCTTCTCTAGACGCTGCGCTCGCCTATCTCTATCGCATAGACGCCGTCTATAAACCTTGGCGGCACCAGCAGCAGAATCAACGTCACCCCGCCCCTGACGGAGTCGGTGTCGGCGTCGGCGTCGGCGTCGGCGTCGGCGTCGGCGCCGCGAAGCCTGATGCTTGATCCTTCACGCGGGTGCCGTACGGGCCCTGGCCTTGGAGATGCTGCGCCGCCGAGACGCCCGTACGTGGGAATTCTTTTCCGAAATGGGCAGGCGTAACGCATCTCTCGCCGCTGAACTCCGAGACCTGGGTCGCGGCGTGGGTGAACAAGTCGCTGGGGAAGAGGGGGCCCAATAATAAAGTCCCCTATCCATCGAGCGCGTGCGGTGCCCTCCCTTACGGTTGCATCCTACGTTTTGCTATCCTATGGCTTGCCTACGTACAGCTAGCTATCCGGGCATGTTTTTGTCTCTTTTATAGTTGATACCCCACCCTTTTTCTTTGGCCTTTTGCGGGGGCGATCCGTGCCCAATCTTTTTGTACATTATCGTCATCATCATCATCATCTCGCCCGAAGGAGGAGGGGCAAGGCGTTGCCAGTCTTTGGCCATGTGTTAGATTTGTTTAGACCGTTCTTAGAGTTGGGTTATGAGAATGAACTGAAACGCATCAAATCTGATTTTTTTAACGCAACCTTGATTTTCAAATCCATAGGTCCAGACTATACATTCAGTCATCGATTCAGGAGTGACATGTGGCATGTTGGTGGGTGGGACAAATATTTGACGGGATGCGCGAGGCATATTATATATTACGGGCACTTCTTCCAACAGATAGGCCTCGCTTGTCTCATGATCTTCTAGCTTACATTGGCAGGAAGAAACGGGGGAAAATTGAACAAGAAGAATAAAAAAAGAACCTAGAAAAAGATACAACAGCCAATCAACTGGTCGATGCAAGGGTATTTGTGCTATCATATCAAGGGCATCGTCAAGTGTCTTTAAAAAAAAAAAAAAAGTCCGTCATCATTGTACCGTCGCAGAGTCCCCCGTGTTGGGGTAAGCAGATTGTAGTGATATGAAGGCTGGCTTAAAGGTGACGAGGCATGGCACTCGACGGCGCGAGGCAACGGAACCCAGGTCAAGGAGGGGATGCCGAACACCGGCCTGGCCGTTACTGACGGTGGTGGACAGATCCGGCAAGGAGGTCAATCAAGGCGTCATTGTCAGCGCCGCCGTAGGAAGAGCCGTGGTTGGGTAGGGTGAGGGAGCCATGATGATCATAGGAGCCGTAGCTGCCGCGGGTCGGTTGCGTGTTTGATGACGAGGACGAGGGATAACCGTACCAGTTTTGTTGTTGCTGCTGCTGTTTGTTCTGGTACCGGTGTGTGTTTGCATTATTTCCACCCTGGGCGTCGCGCGCCTGACTCTGGCTTTGAGTCTGGGTCTGGGTTTGTTGTCGGTGCTGGTATGGCTGGGTTTGGGCCTGAGGCTGCCTTGGCCTTGGGTTATGTTTAGGGGTTGGGGGTTATACGGTGGGTACTGCTGCTGCTGATGTTGTTGTTGCTGCTGCTGCTGCTGCTGCTGCTGAGGGTGGGCCTGGGATTGGGTCTGAGAATGTTGCGGCTTTTGACTGTAGTGGCTGGCTTGCGGAGGTGTCGAGGTTCTGTCTCTGGAATTATGAAGATGGTTTTGGGAAGAAGTGGCCGTGACCGAAGGATAAGAATAAGTCCCTGGCGTTGAAGAAGACGTGGTGATGGTAGTGTTATGCACAGAGGTGGAGTAGCTACTCGTCCTGGACTGCGCTGAAGACGTGGCGCCCGCGGTAGCGGCTGGGGTTGCCGATCGGCCATAGTCTTCGTAGGGCGTATAAGGCGGATTGGCCCTCAGCCCCGCAGGATGGCTGGAGTAGGGCTCGTACGTGACGCGGTTGCTAGACTGGCTATTCTCCGCTTGAGACGAGTATCCCCGTACCCAAAATTGCCGAGCCCCGAGAGGCTCGACGCCGCGGTGTATGTGGCGACATCAGCCGTCCTCGACGCGCTCTGGTCTGCACGATACGAGGATCCGGATCCCACCCCGGCACCCGCGAAGCTGTCGGGGGTGGCTGGTGTCCCCGTTGCTGCTGCTGACCGCGCTGAAGAGCGGGCGACCCTCTCTCCGGGCCAGGGTGCGGCTCTGGGCGCGAGACTTGGCTCGGGCTGGCGGGGCCGGCGCGGGGGCTTGGAAAGGTGACTGGCGTGATTGCGTCGGTTGCGCCGAGGATGTCGAGGGGTTCCACGGTTCCTGGAGAGCAGCTTGGGTCGCTACGGCCGTCTGCTGGGGATGTTGAAATGGCTGCGAAACGTCGCTGCTCGGCGTGCTAGAAGTGGGTTGAGGATGGCTATCGGTGGCGTTTGAGAGCGAAGAGGGGCTGATTGTCATGGTGCCCCACGCGCTCATCATGGGTGACTCGGGAAGAGCTAGAGGGATGGCGTCGTTCGCTTTCTTTCGGTTGGCGGGGCCGGAAGGTAGACTACGTCGCTTGCTCGCCTGTGTTGTTTCCGCCGCATTTGTCGGGGCAGATACTACCACGTCGGGAGGATTGGAGTTTTCGGGAGGCTCGAGATGATGAGTAACGCTGAGCGGATACGGCCCCTCTTCGGACGTGTTTGCTGGTTCAGCTGCGGGAGGGTTATGATTATGTGTAGATGCGAAGTAGTCATGCGGCGGTGCGTCCTCCACGGTGTCTTGGAGCTCAGCCTCTGGAACCCCAGGCCCGAGAGAGTGGTCCTGGTCCTCGGGCCCGGGACTGTAGTCCATGACTTCGGAAGCCTCACCTTCGGCATCTACATCTTCGGACACAAGAGTATTCGACTTGGGTTTCTTGGGCCTGGTTTTCTGAAGCGGGTACACGCATTCTTCGCCCGCGTCGAGGCAGTTTTGACACGTTGGCTTCTCCCGACCGCACTATAAAACTTGTGTTAGTCGTTTCTACTTTAATCTGGTATACTACTGATTTACGGGTTCTCCCCATTTCCGTAAATTTGAAATGGTTCTCAACAAGGGGCCTTACCTTTGTTTTCTTCTTTGGCCGACAGTTTGAGCAGGATCCACGCGTCAACGGTGGCCCCTTGGATTTTTGGTTGAGGGTGTCCGTTCCATAGATTGTTGGGATTCAGTAAATTCGCCGGTTGCAGCCTGCATCTCGCTGTCGATAACCGGTGCCACATTTTCCGAGTCCTGGGCTGGTGCTTCCTTGTTGGGGTGGATGATCCTAAGCCTCTCCGCCCCGTATCGAACAAGCATCGCAAGGGACTCTTGCTGTAATCCTGGAGATTGGTTGGCAAAGATGTTGAACTGGTCCGAGGAGAGCGTGCTGGGGTCGAGACCGGCCCCTTGCAGCAATTCCACGGCTCTCTGGCTGCGCCTTTCCGCCTCTGCGGGATCGAGGTTAAGCAGAGGCGCTAACACTGCGGCTGTCGGAGCATCGTCAGCAGAGGCCTGCTCTGAATCATTCGCCTGACTGGCGGCTGGCGCCGGCTCTTCGGGCTTTTCTGCTGCCTTCTTCTTCCGCCTCGGTGTCGCCTTCTTGCTTCGCTTGGGCAAGGCGGGGTCTCCGACCATCTCGGCTGACCCGACGATGATCTCTGCGTCCGGGGTTTCCTGAGCGGCATCACCCTCCATCTGGCGTTCGCCTCCCGCGCCGTTCTTCTTCGTCCTTGGCTTTTTCTCGAACTACCGCCCTCCCCATCGTTGGGCAAGTCTCGTTTCCGGTTCGGCTTCGCGCTTTTAGGGGTTTGATTCGTTTGCGCAACGGGCCTGGGTGGAGGGGCAAAGAGCTCGCAGAGTTCCCCGACGGTCTTGTGGAAGGGGTGTGCGTGTATTTCACAGTGATGTTTCTCGAAGTTCGGGAAAACGCGATTTCCATCGAGCCCTGGCAGTCAAATGCGGGACGGCCTGCGACACAGCAACAACGTTAGCGCACTCACAACACATGAAAAGGCTCGTCGAGCAACGCAGAGGGAGGGTGTGTTATCAGCATACTTGCGGAAACGGCGTCCAGCTCCTTGGAACTATAGTCACCGACAACGATATTTCCTACGCTCTGGGCATTCCGGCGGAGCCAGACCTGCATCGATTGCTTGCAAACATAGATGAATATCCAACCCTGCGGCTTCCTCGACATCTCCCTCAAAACCCAAGCGCTCCCGTCGCATGAGCCGACGACTCCGGCAATATATCTCGCGACGTCCTTTTGCAATACAGGATCATCCTGGGGCTGGTTCATAATCGTTTCACTCGCCAAGATGATGCGCGATGGCTGGGGGACCCATCCCCGCGAGGGCGATTGGCGTCGCGCCGCGGTCCAGCGCCCCGGATCCATTTTCCGTCGCTGATGCTGGGACGGTAAATCGCGTAGAGGAGCTGAGTTCATAGGTGAATGATGTATGGCTCGCTTTTGTAGGTGACACTGTAGATTCGACAGTTCGGCTTAAATGGGAGGAGAAATCGTCAATCGAGGCGCTGGAGAGGGATGAGCGCGGCGTGGGTTGATTGAGGGACTGCCCTAAGATGCTGAAGATATCAGCCATGGCGGAACCGCGCGGCCATATGGAATGGGCCGCACAGATGTGGTGAGAGTTCTCTTGCGAGAGTTGAAGGCGTGCATCAGCTCTTTAACGCGTTCGTCCTAAGCGCGCTCAACGTACGTCTCTCTCTCCTAAAATCGCGACCAGGAATTCCTCGAAGCTAACGGCAATACGAGCCCGGCAGTCGTTGGTTTTGCGGATGACATAAGCACGCAACCAGGCAGCGTCGACCCTCCACCGTGAACTTGTTCAATTCTCTCTCTCTCCTTGGCTCCTTCTTCTTGAACTGTATTAGTAAAATAGATAATAAGCATAATTTATTGAAGGAATCTACGAACCGACCCTCAATAGCGAGGCACAGTCAATTCATGGATTAATTGATCACTGTTTCAATTGTTTGTAAAATTTGCTTTAGACCTGACTACCTCCTTCTACTACCCTCGAGCCCTCGGTGCCTCGACCTACGAGGCACATCAACCATCTATAATATCGATTGGCCTCACCCATGCCTTGCTCCTCAGTAGTAGAAATGGGTCGTTTCTCCTTCAACCCGTAGACGAAATCAAAGAAATCATGGATGCCTTACGACGATCAAGCATAATACATTGCTATCGTTACATACAGCTCGTTGTTTTTTCTTCTTTTGTACAGACAAATAAGTTCTAGGCAAATGTGCACCCATGACTCCTCAGCTCCTATCGGCCCACTCCTCCAATCTCTCAACCAGATCTGCTTTTTCCCAATGATTGGCAAACCCCTGCAGGCAAGGACATCCTTGAGCTCCGCAACCGTCATCTTGGATAGACCGCCAGAGTCATTGGCCGCCTTGATTTGCGCATCACTCAGCCCGGAGCCTGCTGGCTTGCTCTCGGCCTTGGTGCGCTTCTTCGGCTTTCCACCCTCCTCATCCCCAGCCTCACGCTTCAAGGAGCCCTGTTTCCGCACATGGGAAAGCTCTTCATCCACGAGCGCTTGCCAGTCTCGGATATGACCGCCCACTCGCTTCGCAATCGCGTTGTACTTGGGCACGGTAAGATCCTCGGGCGTCTCGGGGACCTCTTCTTGGAGGGCCAAGGCCTGTAAAATCTTGTAGTGCCATTGTAATTGGGGATTGGGGTATTTGGACGGGTTGTACGCCCTGTTGGGAAGCCACAAGTTTTCGGCGATGATTTGCATCTTATCCACCAGCGCATCCGAAGCCTGGACGGGATCGGGCATATCTGGCGGGTTCCGGATGTCGTCGACAAAGGGCAGGGGATAGAGCCAAAGGCCGGCTGGAAGGGATTGGGGACCAGAGTCTTCTTCTGATCGGCCCCGTGAGGGTATAATGGCCACGAGGGTCGGTTTGGCGTTGGACCGGGTGATGGCCCACGCGATCGCCATCTTGTCATCGGCCAACAGCTTCTTCCACAGGGCTGTGAAGACGCGGGTAGAGCCTACGTAGTGCTCTTCGCTAGGGAATATGAAGGATGACTTGTGCACGCTAGCCCAGAACGGGAGGCTAGACTGAGGTTTGAACCCGAGGATGCGGATGGTGCTGGGGCCAAAGTCTTTGAGAGACTTTTGCTCCTCCGGAGTGAAGTAGACGTACTCGCCGCCAAACTTGTACGCCTTTTTGTCTCCGACTTTTCTACTGTCCTGGCGGTATCTTCGGACACTTTGGTCGTCTCTCCAGTTACTAGCTGAGGAGTTTCGCCATCTAGCCAGATGTAGCAGCTGCGCTCCTCCTTCTGGCGGTTCATTACATTGTACCCTTTGACCGATATCGTCAGGCCCGGCGCAATCTCGAAAGCAACCCCCGAAAAGAGCGCTCGCTTCGCGGTCTGCTTCGAATTGATGTTTGCGATCAGCGAGTTCAGGAGGCTCAAGCCACCACCAGATTTTGAAGTGAGGACGTCCGACATGTTCGCTTCGGCGGCGGAGTCCCTATACATGATATCCTACAGAATGGCAGGTCAGTCGTATGTCCTCGGCCGGGGCGCGCCGGGGGTGTGGAGGCAATGGTTCAGGGGGACGTACATCATAGAACTTGCCCATATCGAAATCTCGTTCTTCACGTGTAATTGGAAACAGCTCTATGACCACACCCAAGTCATACAGATCCTTGGCCCTCACAGCCGCAGCAGATTTGGCCTGCTTGTCGGCCGAATGGGGATTATCATTATCAGTTAGGACGAAGAGCCTCCGACTCCCAAAATTGGCGGCTTTGGTGGTGAAGATCTGATTAGCGCAGAAGAGAACATTGGCCATGGCAGCCGGATCTTTGCTCGGAACAAGAATGTTGTCCTCGTCATTGTCGTCCTCGACAAGTGACTTCAAGGACTTGACATCTTCAGCAGACGGGATGTCTAAATCAGTGAATAGATAGCAGTGAGGGTAGACCGGCGCGTGCTTATCATCCCCTTCATTCTGGAATTTGGCCTTCTCAGTACCAAATAGCAAGACACCCATCATGTCCTTGGGGTTAGATATGATGCGCTGCTGCATCAGGTGATAGGCGCATTTCAAGGCCGCTATGAGGGGGCTGTCCCGATCTGCCTTTTTTTGGATGACGCTGGTGGAGGCGTGAGCATAGATTCGCTCACTTCGATGGCAAAAAGAACGGCATCTTTTGGGTTTTGTAATTCTAGGGGCTTGGTGAGCAACTGAACGGCAAAATGGGTGTAAGCTGGAGGACTTACAGCCTCATCAACCTCTTCTTCGGCCGCCTCCTCGTCGTAATTACGCTGCCAGGGTTCTCTTTCGCTCATTTTCAGGCAATTGGATTTGTTTTCCCACTCTCTCTTCTCGCCGGGGATAATGAGGCCTAGAAAGTGAAGGTTTGTCGAAAGTAGAGAAGTTTCTGCCTTCGCATGATAATCGTCCAGTTTGGACGCGGTGGCTGCCTGCTCCTTCGCGACTGAGCTGAACAGCTGAACAGTGCTGCCTCCTTCTGGACGCGAAGGCACGTGCAACTTGGATTAGAATTGCGGGGTGTTCATTGGCTTGTGGCCTTGGCGTGGGCACTATCTTGAAGCAGAGATCAGCCTGACAAACCTGCTGCACACTGAGCCATCAGCTGTTAGCACACTAACAATTCGGAAAGGGCGGGTCTTCCGACGACGTAACTCGGCATTTGCCCCAGGTCAATACGAGCACTCTGCATCGATCTGAAATCGAGCTTTGGGGTGGACACATCGGAGAGTCATGCGTGGGCTGTCAAGTCCGGACATAATTTTTCGCCTCCCCTCTCCCAATCGAACGATGCGACAAAGTTTTTAGCAATTCATATTTTCCATTTCGAATTCGACACGACGACCCAATTGAAGGGTAATTTTCTCTTCCTCTTACCCCCGCTTGTCGCCGACCCAGCGAACACAGACGTCTAGAATGGCCTTTCGGCAGCCATTGAATAAGCTCCCGGAGAGCATCGCCCGAACTCTTTCGAAGAATGGGCTATCCCAAGGCACAACCTCATTCTCCCGCAGCGGCCGGATACCTGCGCAAGCTCGGCTTCTAGCCACCCATGCACCGCCCGTGACGCAAGACTCGACCGGGTCCAAAGGCCCCACGGCCATGGTATTCCTCAACATGGGTGGCCCCTCCACAACCAACGAGGTTGAAGACTTCCTCAGCAGATTATTTGTGAGCAGATTCCGCTTCATTCCTCCCCGCGTGTCTACTTGATACTAACCTAGACTAGGCGGACGGTGATTTGATTCCACTCGGACGCCTCCAAAGCTATCTGGGACCTCTAATCTCGAGGCGGCGGACACCCAAGATCCAGAAGCAGTACGCCGCGATCGGTGGTGGATCGCCAATCCGCCGATGGTCCGAGTATCAAAATGCCGAAATGTGCAAGATTCTCGACAAGATATCTCCCGAGACCGCCCCCACAAGCCCTACGTCGCCTTCCGGTACGCCGATCCCTTGACGGAGGAAATGTATCAAAAGCTTCTCGATGATGGGTTCGGAGGTGGCCGAGGGGCAGGGCCGTTGCTTTCACGCAATACCCCCAGTATTCTTGCTCGACTACCGGGAGCAGTTTGAACGAGCTGTGGAAGTGGAGGCAACGTCTCGAGGGTCGCCCCGCCCGCGATGGAGGTCTCGATCCAAAGGGTCTCATTCAGTGGAGCGTCATTGATCGGTGGCCCGCACACTCAGGCCTAGTTGAGGCGTTTGCGCAAAATATACAGGCCAAGCTCGCGGAATATCCTGAGGAGACCCGCAAGGACGTGATCCTCTTGTTCTCGGCCCACAGTCTCCCAATGTCGGTTGTCAACCGAGGTAAGGCCAAATCCATTGTCCCCAGTGCATAGAACGCCCCGGTTAACTCAACTGGTTTAGGCGATCCATATCCCGCCGAGGTTGCGGCCACTGTCTACTCGGTCATGCAGCGCCTCAATTTCTCTAACCCTTACCGCTTGTGCTGGCAATCTCAAGTCGGCCCCAAGGCCTGGCTCGGGCCCCAAACGGCAACCACCGTAGAAGAATACGTTGAAAAGGGAAAGAAGGATCTCATTCTGATACCCGTCGCCTTCACTTCCGACCATATAGAAACACTCTATGAGCTCGATCTCGAGGTCATCGCCGACTCCGGTAGCCCCGAGACCGTCAAGCGTGTTGAAAGTCTGAACGGCAGCCCCACTTTCATCAAGGGTCTTGCGGATATTGCGAAGGACCACTTGCAAAGCAATGAGCTGTGTTCTCCTCAGATGATGTTGCGCTGCCCCGGGTGCAAGAGCGATAGGTGTGCCGAGTCGAAGAGGTTCTTTGCGGGTGAGTCGCGGGCTTCCTCGTCGCGTAAGAACGGGGAGGGACAGCAACGCTTGTCAATGATTATGTACAAGTATATAGCGCAGCAGTTATAACAATCCCTACAAAGTGTGTACATTAAACTAGAAATTCAACTTTCCTCGCTTGCTCATGGTAATTATTATCGCTGTGGAAGAGCGAGCACTGAGATTCCGACAATGTTAGATTACAGTGTGTATTTAAAACCCGTGTGTGTGCACTGTGTCCCACTTTGGCGACGCGCGCGTTCTCTTCCCATTAACGCGTCCCGCCGCTGAAGCATCCACCACACAAACCTCTAGAACAAAGAAAACCACTCGAAACTTGACCGCAGGTTGATCATTGTCCTAAAACGAGGGGGTTTTCCCATTTTTCGTTTGGACTCTGTCTCTTTTTGTTTCTTTCTTCAAGCCGTCGCCTCTTTTTCACCCCTTGAAACCTCCTTTAACGATGGCCTCCTCTCCAATCGTATACCCAACCAGCCCGGCGTCACAGGGTTTGAAGCGACCTCGCCACAATGACGCCCCTTCCACGCAGACAGAACCACGCATGGTCGGCGGCTTTCTTGTCGATGGCGACTCTGACGATGAGGACGAAGAAGTTGATCGCCTTCCAAAAAGCGAATGGTCGACATACCGTCGCAGGCTGCTCAAAGCATATCCACCATACAGCCCCTAGATGATCTCGAGTTTCTTGGCCCCCAACTGAGAAACTACGGGAATCAAACGCCCAGGTTGCCCCTCCCGACTTGCAAATACGTGCAGAGACCGATCATCTTCAATTCGACCGCCTGACGTCCTTCCGGTCCAACCTCACAAGCGCCACCCGCACCTACAAACTTCGAGCCTGCGATGGGGAGACGACTTCGATAGGGCTCCGAAAACCCAATGCGCCAGTATCGTATGAGTCGTTGGTGTCTGCCAGATCCAAAACGAAGGAAGGCCGAGCGAAACGCGCGTATTATGGCATCGAGATCCATGAGCTGATGCGCCTTGCTGAGCTGGAGCTCAAAGATCGCCGGGAGAACCCGCCTTGCGCTACCCCAATTCCTTGCCCAGAACCAACCCCAACTGCACACCAAAACCCTTCGAAAAATCGAAAAAGGCCCAGCTGTGGACTGAAAAATATCGAGCCCGAAAATTCACAGATCTATGCGGTGACGACGGCACAAACCGCCAGGTGCTGAGGTGGATAAAGAAATGGGACCCCATGGTATTCCCAGGAACAGTCCAGCAAAAACCAAAGAAGAAGTTTGGTGATCAGGAAGCCGAGCCGGAGAAAATGTATAAAAAGATCCTGTTGCTGACGGGCCCACCCGGACTGGGTAAGACGACGCTCGCCCATGTTTGCGCAAAACAGGCCGGCTACGAAGTTGTTGAAATCAACGCAAGCGATGACAGAAGCAGGAACGTGGTTCACAACCGAATTCGAACAAGTCTTGGGACTGAGAACGTAAAAACGGTCACAAATAGCGCGCGACCCGGAGACAAGCCACTCAGGCCTGCCCGGCCTGTCTGTGTCATTGTCGATGAAGTGGATGGTGTCACAACTGGGTCAGGAGCCTCGGGAGAAGGTGGCTTCATCAAGGCCCTAGTGGATCTCGTGCTTATTGATCAAAAGAACGCTGCTTCGGTGGATAAGGGGACGCCGTTGCCAGCAGTAAGCGGAAGAAGAAGGGAGACGACTTTCGCCAAAGAAGGCCGCTCATTCTCATCTGTAATGATGTATATCATCCCTCTCTCCGCCCTCTGCGACAGTCGAACTTGGCCGAGATTATTTATTCTGGACGGCCCTCTATCGATGCTGTCGTAGGTCGCCTCACCTTGGTCTTCGAGAAAGAGGGTATCCCTTGCGAGAAAGACGCCGCTCGAAAGCTGTGTGAAGCTGCCTGGGGCATGTCTAGCGGCATCGACAATAAACGGGGCGCGGAAAGCACCGTGCAAGGCGATCTACGAGGAGTCATGGTCGTAGGCGAGTGGGTGGCGGGCAAGTTCAAGGCCGCATCCGACAAGGCCCCCAAATTGACAAGGCACTGGGTTGAGAAGCATGTCATACAGGATCTGGGGAATGGTGGCGCGGGTGCTAGAGGGATGGGCCGCGGCGGCGTCAAGGACATCGTAACAAGGGTCTTCCAAGAAGGGGCCGGGTTCCTCGGCACGCCCACAAGATGACTCAAGATGCAAACTCGCTTCGCGAGCAGCCAAGGGAACAACTCGGCTTCTCCGAGTTTCACAAACGTAGCGGGATGGCGATGCTGCAGCACATGGTGGAAACCAGCGGCGACATTGACCGCGTGATGACGGATATCATATCCGAGTACCCTAACCACGAGTTCAACGACGACTGCTATCTCAGCAAACCGAACGAAGCCTATGACTGGTTGCATTTCATGGATGCCTGCTCGACGAGATTGTATGCGAGCCAGGAGTGGGAACTTGCACCGTACCTCAGCCAGCCCATCCTTGCTTGCCACAGCCTATTCGCCTCCCCCATCCGGGCTTACAATAAGACGCATGAAAACAAATGGGGGCCGATAACGAAGCAGAGGCAGCCTCCCGGTTTTCCGGGCCGCGCGCCTCGTACAATGCTCACGAGGCGGGGAAGCACAACAGAAATGTGCTACAAACCATGCAGGCAGAATTTAGTCCCACACTGGGTCGACTGTTCCGCAGTCCCGAAGACTTGGCGACGGAATTTGTGCCATACCTTGTGCGGATGATCTCGCCTGCTGTCAATCCCGTAATTGTTGGGAGCGGAGGCCCCAAGGGCACAAGCACCGCAAGTGTCCGCAAGGATACGGAGAAGAAGATGGTGCACCGCGCCGCCGAGGTGATGGCGGAGGCGGGTATAGCACTGCACAAGGGCCGGCTAGATGCTGAACCTATCCCAGGCCGTGGGCCCCAATTTGTCTACCGACTAGAACCGTAAGTGCCTCCCTCCCCGCTTCTGGCGTATAAAAACGAAAACGACGGCTACTAATTTTCACTCGCAGTGATTTGGATGAACTCGCCGATTTCGAGACGCTTTCACGTACAAACTTGGGCTCTCAAGCGCCTACCCGGTATGCCGTACGGCAGGTTCTCGACCAAGAACTACACAGAGTGTCGGTGGCAAGAGCAGAAGCAGTGCGGCGAGCGAGGTTCCAAGGCGAGGACGAGCCAGTGGTGGCGCCACAGGCCCCGCGGTGGCTCCTCGGGCACCAGTCACAAGCGCGAATGACCAGGAGAACATTGATGCAGCATCTGCACCCGCCGCCAAGGTGAGACGCGACTTCTTTGGGCGGGTGATCAAGGACACGGCAGTGTTGAGGGAGAGGGACCGTAACCGTGGAAGCGCGCCATCGCGGGACAAGGTCAAGGTGTGGGTCAAGTATAACGAAGGACTCAACAATGCAGTGAGGAGACCTATCACATTGAATGATTTCATGAAGATTTTGTAGACACAATCAAGCGCACGAGGTCGTTTTATTTTTTTCTCAAGTTTAATTCTCAAGTTAATACATGTGTATATGAGCTATATGCTAGCTGATGGGGGTATCGGTAGATCCTTTGTGAACAGGCGACGACTATATTCTTAACCCAGGAGATTAACATGCGGCTCGGGCCACTTTCCGAGAACAAGAGGCCTGTCTCCTAGTCTTCCTGGCAAAGGCGCCAGGAGCTTGATCTTGGCCTTGTCCACGTCTACGTGGGCTACGTAAACGAAGCCCAGAACAAGTGAGGCGCGGATGGTTTCGGGTGAGTCCTTGACGGAAGCTTGCATGATGGCAAGTGTCCAGTGAACCATGTCTGCAAACGGCTTGATCCTATCAAGAGCCTTTGCGTCCGGTGTGTACTCGCCATCTGTGCACGTAGGTCGTTATTGTTAGCTCAAGTCTAGCGAGAAGGGGGACCTGAATTGGGCACGGATGGAGGGAAATAGTGGTGGAAAAGAGCGGGGGTCAAGGGGAAAGCGACGACAGGGTGAGTGGGCGGCTTTCTTACTATCTGGCAGCTTGAAAATCGTCAAAGTATCAAAGTCCACGAGCTGCGTCGAAGGGCTCAAGACCATTCTCGCGTCACCAAAGAAGTATTCTTTGATATCAGCCTCTCGCTCTTGGAGCAGCCAGAGCTCGTCTCTCTCGGGAATGGTCTTAAACTTTCCGATGCTCAAGAGGTGAAGTGGCTCCTCGGGGTTGGCCATCTCGTCCTTGAGCAAGGCTTGGAGCTGCTCCTCCAGCCCATTGGCATCGATGATGACGACAACGTTCACTGCGCAAAGTGTAAGCGAGAGAAAGAAAAGCAAGAGGGGACCGGGGGGATATGGGTCACTATTGCATGGCTTACCCGAGAACTCTGATATGATGTGCGAGAGCGTTTCCAAGCCTTCTTGGTTATTGACATCCACGCCGGTAGTATCGATGATGAGCCCCGCCTTCTTGACGTTCGGATCCTCGGATAACCTCGCCGAAACGGACTCGGCTAGCGTCGTAGCAATCTCGCGATAGAGCCCCGGGTCATCGTCCACGTTTTGGTGGCCGTAAAAGTGAACGATGGGCAGCTTCGGCGGGATAGATCCCGGGCCGCTCGCTGGAGCCGCCCCCAGCCCTGGCGCGACTCGACGTCCATCATGGAAGCGAACACGGCGGCGCTCAGCGTCCCCGGGAGCGTGAGGACGCCCTCGTCCGGGTTGAGATTGACCACGAGCGGCTGGTCGCCCGTTCGCGTCGCGTACGCCGCCAGCGTCTTGGCGCACGTCGTCTTCCCCGAGTTGGGGGACCCAGCGATGAGGATCCTCGGGCCCGTCCTGCCCCTCGCGGCGGCCTCTAGGCGCTCGTTGTGCAGCTTGAAGTGGATGTTGACGTACATGTTGGCGACATTCTCCGCCGGCGAGGGGTCTTTGACGACCCATTCCCTGTCGCATGGGCCGCTAATCTCCAGCTTGCAGCCCTGGAGGGTTAATATCTTGGACTTGATGCTGGAAAAGTGGTAGGTGTGGTTCAGGTTCAGCTCGGTCCCGTCCTTCTCGGCGGTGCCAGAGACCAGCTTGAGCGTGATCCCCGGGCTCCCGAAACCAACTTCGAAGCAGTATTCTCCAAAGGGCGGGAGCTCAAACTCGAGAGGAAGAGACGGTCGGAACCTAGAGGGAGCAGGGTTGTTTTTTAGTCTACGTTGCCATGTTTTTGTTCTATGAATCTGAACACAGCCTTACCGCTTCTTCCATCAACCCCAGCCCAGGAATCGCCGCCATTTTGGATATGGCCTGAAAGGTTTAACGGCCTCTGTGTGAAGAGTCCCGGCCTGGCCCTGAGATTTAGGTGTGCCGTGGCCGGGGGATCAAGCAAAATATATATACTAGCAGTTGGAAATGCTCTTCAGCAACGGCCTGTGGGGAATCTCAAAGGATAGTCACACACGATCAATTCCCGCCAAAACAAAGAGGGCGCCGGGGTACTTGTGTGCTGCTTCTAGAGGCTACGCTGCCAATTTTTTCACATGAAAGAGAAAAGAAGAAAAAAACCCATTCCTTCTATGAACCATCCGCCGCGTTTACTTGCTGAATGGCCGTGCTTGTTGCGATGCGAGGAGAGCTCAGAAGCTTGAGTGTGAGCTCTGCGTCCTAAGAATGACGGACCACTACAGTTGGCAGCCGACTGTCGGCTGACGGCTGGGGGCATCAAAAAGCAAAAGGATGTGTCCTCTGGCAGGCTCGAACTGTCGACCTCTGGATCTCTCGGTAGTGTCCCTATCGAGTCATATTATGAGACCAGCGCTCTACCAACTGAGCTAAGAAGACATCTTTGATTGTGGTTGGTTAGTACTAGCAAGCTCCCATAAGGCCTAGACAGTGGGGCGAAGTCCCCCCGCCTTCGCCACCCGCAGCATGAATAACGGACGCCCCCGGCGGCAACCTGCCCACGGTCGACTTGATGTATCACCTGGTCTCCAAGCTTGCGTGGAGCGTAATCCTCCAGGTCCCCGCGCTGCGTCATTCGTTCTTCGTATTCTACCGTTTTAATTGGGAACACCCTCCCACTTCTATCCCCAAGTCCCTGACTTTTCTCATAGTACCTCTCATATTTTCTCTCCTCCAGCCCTCGGCTTTCTCATTTAACTTAACTCTCATCTCTTGCAACTCTTTCCCTTGCAATCATGTGCAGCGCCGACATCTTTCTCGGCGTCCTCGCCATCCTCTTCCCTCCTCTTCCAGGTATGTATCATTAATCTTTTGAGCGCGGCACGCGGGAGCGTTGTCGTCACCTCAACGCCACCTTGCCGCCATTTTACTCGGGGCGTTCGGGCGAGCAGAACATGAAATGCTAACAACAAATGTTCTATAGTTTGGGTGAAGTGCGGTATCTGCTCGGCGGACTCTCTGATCAACATCCTCCTCTTCTTCCTAGGCTATGTAAGTTTGGCTCCCATCGACAACCGCCAGCATTTTCCACCAAAGAGACCAGGTCCCGCTAACTTCTGCTTCTAGATTCCTGGCCTTATCCACGCCTGGTATATCATCGCGAAATATCCCGATCCCGTATTTGAGTACAATAGGGTCGACCAGGAGGATGGCAGCCGCGTGACGTATGTCGTCATCCAGAGCCCGGCGACGAGCCCCCGCCTCAACAGCACAACATCACGTATGGCACCGTTGGGCCTGCATCGCCTCATGCTCAGCAAGGCCAAGGAGGCTCCAATGCCAACGCCCATTCTGCCGGTCCCAGCAACGCGCCGTGTCCTCCTAGCTACGCCGAGGTAGTGGCTGGGGATAACAAGATCCAGTCTCCTTGAGAGATGTCTGAATCACACAAATTTCTTGGCTATTGACGTTCATGCCTACATTAGGGTGATTCGGCACGCTTAAGAACTGCAACAGTCGTTGATCCACCCTTACGATTCACGATATATTTTGGGGGGGGGGAAGAGGGAGGCGTTTTAATGGAAACTTGCATGGATGGATTCTTATAACCTCTTCTTCGCCGGGAGATCGACCAAGGGCCATAGCTCCGCCATTCCTTTTTTATCTGTTTTTTGGGTCCTCTGTCCTACGGGGGCAACTCTGAATTCTTGACTGGTTTGTTATTGCGCATTTACTGCGACACTTTCATTGCGCTCGTGTATTTAGAAGTAGCCTTTAAGAATCTTTGCTAGTGTCTTCAACAACGGAGGCAGCATTCTTGTACCACTGCAATTGTGCTTTCCACTCTTATGAGTTCTCAATCGTAATCCCGTACGTTCACCTTTTAAAACACGAAATTATCCCTTCTTTAGGTACGTATCTTCATCAAATACGGACTCGACCGTTCGAGCGGCCTTGCGTGATGGCCCCCGCTTGTAACGCCGCATGAGCGCCTGCGGCAAGATCGTCTGGAAGGTTGGGAAAATTGAAGGATAGTCAGCCATGAACTTGAGGCCAATGTTGAGCTCAGCGAGAGTGACGCGGAGGAAAAATCCCGGCTTCAGGTGGCTCAAGATATCATCATCTAGGATGATGCGGTCGATAGCTTGTGCGGGAACTCTTTCGGGAACCCCGTAATACCGGAAAGTAGGAAGCACACAATGCCTGACAGTGATGTAGCCCATCTTGATGTTGTAATCCGCCGAGTGCATATGGATGTAGGCCTGCTGGATTCGTTGCTCCTGGGCCGTCGCGTGATGGACGGAAAGGACCTCAAGATCACATTCGGCGGAATGGATGGTCTTGACGTGTGGTACCGATTTCATTTTCTCGAACACGTCCTTTCCGCAGAATACAGTCACTGCTGACTTGAAAATCATCTCCTTCTCGCAGCGGGACCGTTCAGTATCGACAACGAGCGGTCTTGCCGGATCTGCGAAGAGGCCGCAGAGACACTCATTGAAAAGCCCTGGCAACTTTGAGATAGCTTGGTGAATAAGAGTCATCTCGGCTCTCCCTTGGCCACACAGTTTGAGTGCCGCCTTCACATCCTCCTTGTACTCTTCGCAGACCTTATGCTGGATGACATAGCGTAAAAAGGCCGCGACGACGTGAATAGCGGATCTCATTTCTGTTCGAGGGTCCTCGCACTGCCAGGTCATACGAGGGACCGCTTCGGCAATATACCCGGCCACCACCTTTCTCCAATTTACCTCCCAGCCCTCACTATTGCAAGGGTCATAGTGTTGGAGATTCTCAGTAGAACCGTAGACATTTCCTTTGGATGAGGCGAGATGGGCTTTGATCACATCACTGGGGTCCATGTCGACGGTGTCTACGCCGTAGTGCAAGGGTACGTGAGCGTTGATGCCGCCAAGGAATAGATATTCGTTGAAATACTTGAGTTCCTTGTTCGCGAGCTTCGTTCTCTCCCGGTAACGCGTGACACATATTTCAAGGCGCCTACGGAATGCTGTTAGCGGAGAAACACAAAAGATGTTAATAACTGCAGCGAACACACTGGGAGAACGGAAGTTTCCTAGACCATCGTATTAGTCCACTGCGCTTGACCGACGATCGACGGGGCGCCCAACAGGAGAAAGAGGGCTGAATAAGATCCAACTTACTGGTCGTATAGACCTGGTTCGCACTTCTCAAGATGCACAGCTGGCAAGCTTGCCACGGAGCGAGTATCCGAATCACCAGACTCATCATCTAAGTATAATCGGGGTATTAGAAAGGAACGCTTAGTCTATGACGACTTTTTTCTCTCACCGTCCCGATCTGGCCCTGCCCCTCATATTTCGAGATCAGCATTTGCTTGCACAATTAGCGATGACGCGTTTCTTACCCTCTCTCTGTGCAACTTTTCGTGCCTTCTTCTTGGGTTTCTTCTTCTGCTCGCTGGCTCCCCCATTGATGGTATCGGCCCCGGTGGCTACAACACTAGTAGACCCCTCCGCCTCCGCAGCCTTTCGAGCCTTTGCTCTAACTCGAGCACGCGCCCGCTTAGCTTTCAAGCGGGCCCTAGGATCTTCGTCTTCATTTGCTTCTGAATGCGCCGGCGACACCTCACACTCAGTTCCATTCTTCTGGTTTCCTGGATTCGATTCCGTTCTGGGCTCCGCAACGGAGATGGAATCGGGATCGACGTCTCCATTTTCCTTTTTCTCGGCAGCGAGTTCTGCAGTAATTTCGATGGCGGAATCCTCGATTTTGTCGCTGGAATCTAGCTTGGTGGGCTTCGTGGCGTCCTCTTGGGCCTCTTCGGCTGCATCACCATTGGCTTCGCTAAAAGTCGGCTCGACAACCTCCACCTTGACAGCCTCTGCTGATGCCAGAGGATCCGGTTTGCCCTCAGGCTTGCAATTTGAAGCGGCTCAGGCATGGCGATACTCAAGATATCGAATGCTTTCCTGTTGAGGGCGGGGACAAGTAGTTGGAAGGCCCGCAGGAGGGTAGTGTCATACGTTTGGGATAGGAGATGACTTCTGATTCTTTTAGCAGGACGAGGCTTCGTGAATCATGAAATCTGACGGGGGTGAGTTATAGAAGGCAGAGGGTGTTGAAATCAGTAAAGGAAAGAAGAGCCGTGCCGTCAGCAAAAAGAGGTTGGGTCTACCACATCTCTTAGGTCACTTCTTACCTCAGAAGGAGCTACTAGCAAATGCATCCCGGAGACGTACATCTCAAGATGCCCCATATGCATATTGTATTTGCGAGACCACCTCACCGGAACAGGTTCTGTACTCATCATGGAAGCAGGTTTAACGTTAGAGGAAGCAAACTGACAACACTCCGATAACCCTCACGTGAAACGGCAAGCCCTCCAGTAGTTTTCCTCTTTCCTTCCTTCCATTTCTCTATTGAAACAGGCTTCAAAGGTAGCTTCACTAGGATCATAATTTAGTCTGTAGCACGCAATCTAGTAATGATTGCCTAGGGCTGCCGATCTGGATGAGCTGGCTGAGGTTGGCATAACAAACTTGACGGCTTGGTGTCCGGTGAAGGCTGTATTTACATGACGAAGATTTGGAATGGAAGCGGACATCTTAGGATTCTCTGAAATCGGGGTGTTTGGACACGAAGTCGGTCGAATGGTACATGTAGGGGTAAGATCTAGTGTACTGAGCGCACACATATAGGTAGTTAGTTGTTATGTGAAGAATACTAGACCGTCACTAGAGGTAGCACAATTCAATAGTTCAAGATCAAGATGCCGTGAAAAGCAATCAATTGTCTTCATAGGTAATGAAACCCTAAATGTAGATTTTAATGTTCTCTCTAAACACTCATAGTATGGGAAAATTGGCCCCTGGGAGCTGTGGGCAGGGAAGTTTGCCGCCATCTCTAACGCCCATTCTACGCAAAACCCTTCCCGCGTCTTTCCTTCTCGTGCTCTGCGCCCCTCTCTCTACTCCCTGTCTCGCTGGCTTCTCCTTTGTGTCGATCCGCCACCCTTCCCTGTTCGCAGCTGGGTATTTGCGAAGAAAAATACAGTCATAACTCGCTACATGATAACATGAGAATGCAGTTAAAAATCAAAGGCTTCGCCGATCGCCGTAGTGTAAGTGTGTATATCCATGGATTTGCCGCCGATTTTCTTTCCCTTTCTTCGTTGTTTGATTTCTTTTTTTTTTTTTTTGGTTGGTTTAAAATTTCTCCGTCTTTTCCTTTTCTCGTTCACATGATCCTCGCCAGAGTTTCCGGGGTCTCATGCCGCGAGCTCCTCAAAGATTCGTCGGAGGCTGCGGACACCAACGAGACTGTTCTCATCGGGCCCTTCGCCAGGCACCCACTTGGCGTGTGCAAAGTCAATCAGCTTCACCGTATACACCTTGGGGAAGACGATTTCGTCATCCTCATCGTCCTCATCGTCGAGACAGATACCGCTATCAATCCTTGAAGGCCTGACATGAGCCTTCTCGAGATTCTCCGCCAAGGTGTTGTTGCGGTTGATGGAGGCTTCGAGAGCTTCAACGTCACCCTCATAGATGAACAGGATGCTGGCAGAATACATTCGGCTCTCGTGCGTCTCTAGTATCTTCTCTACCCGTTGGAGCTCTTGGACGAATCCCTGGCAAATAGCCTTAGCTAGAGCGTTGTCGATGCCGGCCGCCTTATTGAATACGAATTGTCGCACAGCGTCGACAAAAGTCTCGTTGGTCACAGACGCCCTACCGTAGTCTCGGTCGTAGACCTTGTACTGGTCATCATCAAGCTCGGTGGCATTCTCAGATCCTTTGTAAACTCTCATGCCGGCGATACGGCAGCCGTAGTCTCGATGAGTCGTCTCAGCCGAGATGAGGTCAAACCGCTGCCTCTTTGAAGGGGCGCGTCATCCGCCCAAAGCCGCACACCGAGTTTCGCGTCGAGGATGTTGGGCTTCTTGTAGCCGTTGGTACAGTTCTCAAGAACAATGGCCTGATCTGTCTTGATGCGTTTGTCCTTGTTAGGCTTCCAGGTTGTGGCGTCCTTGGATTCACCCTGCTGGGGGTGGGAGCAGGTGCATCCCGTGGCCCGGCAGAAGGGGCGGGAGGAGCCTGAGTCGCCGGCACCGCTGCTGGTGCGGCGTCAACCGGGAGAGGTCTTCTTCGGCAGAGCTCACTTCGGCAGGGTCAGCAAGGGAGAGACAGCCCATGAAAAGGGGCATGATCTCAGTGAACTCTTCGAATTTGGCAGCTGCTGACTGATAAAAGTCAAGTTCTTTCTGGGTGCAGGGCTTAATAAAGAGCTCTCCATCAGCATCTGAGAGGACACCAGCACTGCAGAGAAATTTCAACCGTTAGAAGACTATCCATAGTAATCAGGGAACTCGAAGAATGTGTCTCTATTTTTTTCCCCTTCTCGTCTTTGTTTTCTTCTCCTCCTTCTAGAGTCCTTTTCGCATCCAAGAGACAGGTGACGGCCACAATCTGGCGAGCAAGAGGGGCGATAGACTTACTGTCCAGCCACAGCGTGGCCGTAATCGACCAGCTGATCGAGATTGGGAATTTCTCTTGCACTCATTGTCCCCGATCTAGCGATGATGCAAGGTTGAGTTAAGGTGCGGTGGGAAAATGGGGGCTGCGCAGCGCAAGGCAAAGTGAGGGAAGGCAAAAGGTAGTAGGTGGGGCCTCGTGCAGTTGCCCGTTTTGGTTGTTATGGCGGGGTGATTCTCGATCTCTCGAAGCGTGGGCGAAGGGGGAAAATCTAGGACCGCCAAGTGGATACAAAGTTTGCGATTGTCTACATGGAAAATAAGGAAAATGTTTTGTTTTTAGCAGGCAGGAGCCAAGTGCCGCGATCGTGACTTGAAGATGGACGAGTCGACTTGGAGAGGAAAATGGAAAGGAGGGGCCAAGCGCGTTTTAAAATGGAAGCAGGACCGCGAGTGGACAGAGGCAGAGCCCATCCGAATGTTAGTGGGACTGTGAGAATTGCTCTGACAGGGTTTTTGCGTCGACCAAACAGAAGCGGGAGAGGAGCCTGGCAACCTGGGAGCGAAGGAGGGAGCAAGCGCTGCGCCAGGAATTGGAAGCATCGGCGGTAGTGACGGCGGTCGAGAAGCGAATTCTTGGCACGACCGGGTGGCGTTGCTGATCTCCAAGAACCAGGCCCTCAAGGGTCCCCAGCACTTGAGAGCTGTGCTGTGTGTGGCTCACCCACCGAACAAGCAGCCCACCGAACAAGGGCGGGGAAAAGAACATTGAAAGTCTCGTTGATTCATCAGCCTCGATGTGTGGGAACAGTGCCCAAAAAAAAAAAAAAAAAAAAAAAAGAAAAAGAAAAAAGAAAAGAACACAAGAAACAAAGTTCGGGACAACGAGCAACTAGCTCGAAAGTGCGGAACCGAAAAGTTGAAAAAGGCTTGGTGGACTGCCGGAATGATCCATTCTAGTCCTTCTGCTCGCATCAATGATGTTGGTGTTTGCGCGGTGCGCGCAGCATGGATTCGCAATCCAAGCGAGCTCAGCTTTCCTCCCAACCTGCCCAGCGAATTTCGCCTCAGCCACCTTTCCTCATGTGCAACGCAACGGCCAGTTGTCTGCGTGTGTGGCCTTGCGGAATTGCGTCGTTGTCGTTGGGAGTTGGGACCGCCTTTGGGCCTGTCGAGGCCAGCCAAGAAGGCCTCCAGGCTCTCGGAAAGATCAATGATGGCACTCGCCCGCCCTCCCGCCTCGCATATTGCCCAAATGCACGAAATTGCTCCTGAGGTAATATTACAGGGACCGACCTTTGACTGGGATCCCGGACCGCCACGCCACAGCACGGTACCTCTCCTTGGCGTTAGATGCGCAGGCAGCCACGCACCAATCCTCACCTTGCACTTGATCCTCTCGCTGTGCACCAATGTCACTGTTTGCCCTCTGCTGGTGACGCATTCGCTCCGCCCCCGCCACCGATGAGGCGGTACTTTGCCCAACCCCACGAAGACCCCATGTCCGCCATCGACAACCGAAGTCTCTAGCCTGCTTTCTAGAAAGGATGGTCGTCACAACATCGCCACCGCATCGACAGATCTCGGTGCGTGTTCATATTTCCGCGCTCCGGTAGCAACTATAGCCGCCAACCTATTGTGAGACCCTTCGCCATTGTGATAATGCGACGCACACATCCATGGGCCACGTTGGCTGCAGGAAACAGACCACCTTCCACTCTACCCTCCACTTTGACCTGTTGATTTCATTGAGCTGTGGCTAGGGCTCAACGTCTCTTTTCCACATTTTTGCGGGGAAAGCTTTGCAAAGCATCTCTCCTCGCCTAGCTGCTCGTGGCACAAGAGGTCGAGCTGCACTGGTGATTGGCAGTGTGTTTCTCTTGCATATGCAAATTCTCTAAACCCCTTAAGCAGCCAGGGTGCTGACGACCACGCTGCCTCATGCGCTCCGAGCTTTTCAATAGTTTCCCGCCGAAACTAGAAGTTTTTAATGATGGAAAAGATTGGTAAGGGGGATGGGATGGGACGCCTCAAGGGGTAATGACGAAGAATGAAGGTCGCCCTCTCGAGCAAGCTCATCCTGTCGTATCTGGTATTTTCGTGCTCGTACTACCTTCCTTTCACTATGTTATCTTGAAATGTCCGGGATGAATTCAATTACGAGCTGACCTAACCCCCGCCGCTGATGGGATCTCTTCACCTCCCCGCGGGTTGGCATACTACTATCAATGCTTGACAGTCCTAGATCGTGAGCATTCTTAAGCGCCCCATGCAACAGCTCGTCCTTGACCCTTTAAGCGAGAGCGGAATTATAGTTTTGATCCTTGACAAGCGAATCGCCGCTATAGTCTTCACGTTGCTTCTAGTGTACGCCCGACATGGAAAGGATTGCGGATGAGGAGATTCGAGAGCGCGTTTTCACAGCCCCCTTAAGCCTCGATGTCTGGGGGCGGCTTTCAGCACTAGATCACGATCCACGCGGAAAGCGGAGCGTGCCCTGCTAGCTCCCGCTGCCCTTCTCTTACGAGCAACTGCCCAATCATTGAAAGTGCCGGGTCTTATCGTGGTGTCATCTCTTTGCATCCCTTTCCACGAAGGATGGGTTGGGATGACTGGGATGACTGGGATAACTGGGGATGACTGGGGATGACTTGTCATGTCAACGACGGTGATTTGGATGTCAGCTGACACGGAACGTCAAGTACACTCTTCGCTTTTCTATGTCGTTCTCGTAAAGACCCTCTACGGAACTGCCTCTGCCTTCGCATTGTGACCTCCGTTGACTTGTAGCCTCGTTTCCAAGACCAGTACTCTTGCTCCTAGCCCTTTGCTTGCCGGACTAAATCAAGCCGCCGTAGATCAACAGCGAATGGGGTCCATAGATGGAGGCTCAAGGCTCCCGCTCCAGGCGCTTACATCGGGGGCGAGCCAATTTTGTCTAAAGGAGGTGGTGTAAACCATCAACACTATTCAAGGCCTTACGCTACAGAGGTTAGGCCAATGTATCGATGATAATAGCATGGAATGATACAGAGTCCGGGTATCAAGCGTATCATGCTGAGATATATATTTAGCATGTCACAAGAAGGAGATGGAGGAAAAGTTTGTAAAAAGAAAGGAGAAGAAAAAAAGAGAGAAAAACATACAACACCGGGGATTCGCTGGTCGTCACCGACCCAACTACTAGTCCGGCGCTTCGCAGCTTGTGTACAGGGGAGCGGACGGGACCCTCAATTATCTGCGAGCTATGGTCGTATGTATCCGTGAAAGGACCAAGGCCTTCTTATAAAGGCATCGCGGCCTCTAAGAAAGAAAATCGGTTCCCTCCTAGAGATTTGAGCCCGCCCCAACTTCACGAGCGCATCGCCCAGGCCATCTAGTTGAGCTTCGCCTGGAAGACAAGAGAAGTAATCGAGGTGACGTGTAGGTGTCTGTTTCTTTCATCACCTTTGCCTACAAATTTTAGTGGTTGACTTTGAGGAGACGATCCATAGATGACAATCAGATATTTTCTCCGGATAGCCAAGAGGCGCAAGATTCGCACATTCGTGCTGAGTAAGTCTAGACCTCTGGAAACTACATTGCATAACGAAACCAAAGTGGCTAGTACGTTGGTTTTATCAAGAAAGGAAATGAATAGCTGTGGTATTTAACGGCCGCCTTTGCCTGTTGCCTATGAAGGAAAAAGAAGGCCGCGGATCCCGCAGACGCCATCGGTGGAGCAAAGGAACTGCAAACTGGGGTATTTAAACGTGTCCGATTCGACCGAGAATAAAGTGGATGGCTTGACAAGACTAGTACGCAAAGGTTGCTAAAGGCGTAATGATGATTGGAGCTTGCGCTTGACTTTAGATGGATACAAGGAGGCAAGGTTTGCGAGTGAGGACAAGCTCGGGGTTCAATCGTTAGAACCTCGGATGACTTAGTACTTCGTAGCAAGGCCAGGTGGAGGGTGACATGAGTCCAAGGGATTGATTGATTAAAAAAATGCTGAGGATATCAGAGTGGAGGACATGAAGATGGGGCCCAAAGCGCTCTAAATCGCAGCAGCACGTGGATTCGTTGCTGAGTCGCGTCATGTTTGTCTTGTCGTCTGCTGCTGCTTCCGAAGCATGGGCGATCCTGATTCGGCAGGAGCTCCGGAGATAGGCCAGTTCGAGAAGATTCAGCATTGGATATGGGCGCAGAGACTGATAACCCCGCCACCCCTCCGATCGACGCAAAGTCGCCCTACCTCGGCACCAAGCCAAGGTGCCGGGGCCGTGGGTGTGGGGCTCTTGCGCTCAATGGTGGGCACGACTTCGATGGATGCAGGGGATTCACCCTTCACAGGAACAGTGCCGAGGTTGAAAAAGAGAGAGTCAGGAACGCGGAGGGCAACGCCGGTCCAGCATTTGACTTTGTGGGACCCAGTCGTCGCGGAGATGGGGGTCCCTTTCCGAGTTCTTAGTATTTATCATGTGCTTTTCAACGAACCTTCCCTCGCTTCCCCCACGAGGTTTTGCTCCCCTTTGTCTTTCTAAACAGCAGGCAGCATTGAGATAGTGACAGTGCCAGAGTTTGTGCTATCACGCCTACCCTCAACGACGATTCCCACATACACCGCCGACGATTTTTTTCCTCTCCTTCCCTACAGAATCTCTCGGATATTGCGCATCCAAAATGACTGAAGGAAAGTGCCCGGTGCAGCACGGCTTCACCGCCGATAGTGGTACCAAGAACACCGACTGGTGGCCCGGCTCGCTTCACCTCAACATCTTGCGCCAGAACGACCAGGCTAGCAACCCTCTGGGTCCCAACTTCGATTATGCCGAAGCCTTCAAGTCTCTCGACTACTTCGCCCTCAAGAAGGATATCAAGGCCATCATGACCGAATCCCAGGACTGGTGGCCTGCTGACTTTGGCCACTATGGCGGTCTCTTTGTCCGCATGGCCTGGCACTCCGCCGGTACTTACCGTGTCTTTGATGGACGTGGAGGAGGTGGCGACGTAAGAAACCCCGACTTCTGTTTGCACCTTTGTTTTTTTTTTTTTCAACTTTCCTCTTTGCTCGGGTCTTGCGAATCTACATTATCTAGCTGTTGACAGCTCTCGCTAACTCCTTTATGATTTGACAGGGCCAACAACGCTTTGCCCCCTCAACAGCTGGCCTGATAACGTCTCCCTCGACAAGGCGCGTCGATTGCTATGGCCCATCAAGCAGAAGTATGGCAACAAGATCTCCTGGGCCGATCTTCTCCTTCTCACCGGCAATGTCGCCCTCGAATCTATGGGTTTCAAGACCTTTGGTTTCGCTGGTGGCCGCCCCGATACGTGGCAGGCCGATGAGGCAGTCTACTGGGGTAACGAAAAGACGTGGCTTGGCAACGAAGCCCGTTATAAGGAGGGTGTCAAGGGCCTCGGCCAACAGGGTGTCCTCCCATCTGATGAGAAGAACAATGGCTCAACCCACTCGCGTGACCTTGCGAAGCCCCTCGCCGCCGCGCACATGGGCTTGATCTACGTCAACCCTGAAGGCCCTGATGGCAACCCTGATCCCGTCCTTGCTGCCCAGGACATCCGCGACACCTTCGCCCGTATGGCTATGGATGACGAGGAAACCGTCGCTCTCATCGCCGGTGGCCACACTTTCGGCAAGACGCACGGTGCCGGCCCTTCTTCCCATGTTGGTCCTGAACCTGAGGCGGCGTCTCTCGAACAGCAAGGTCTTGGTTGGTCAAGCACCTACGGTACCGGAAAGGGCACTCATACTATCACCAGTGGTCTCGAGGTCACTTGGACTAAGACACCTGTGAAGTGGAGTCACGACTTCTTCGAGTATCTGTTCAAGTTTGACTGGGAGTTGACCAAGAGCCCTGCTGGTGCCTGGCAATGGCAGGCCAAGAATGCCCCTGCCACCACCCCCGATGCCTTCGACGCTAACAAGAAGCATGTGCCTACTATGCTCACGACTGATCTTTCGCTCCGATACGATCCCATCTATGCCAAGATCTCTCGCCGCTTCCTCGAAAACCCCGATCAGTTCGCGGATGCTTTCGGCCGAGCTTGGTTCAAGCTCCTCCACCGTGACCTTGGTCCCCGTGCCCGGTATCTGGGCCCTGAGGTGCCCGCCGAGGTCCTCAGCTGGCAGGACCATATTCCTAACGTAGACCACCCTCTTGTCGACGAACGCGATATCGCCGCTATCAAGAAGGAGATCCTCAAGTCTGGAATCGACCAGTCCAAGTTCATCTCGGCTGCCTGGGCTTCCGCCTCCACATTCCGCAACAGTGATAAGCGAGGTGGCGCCAATGGTGCTCGTATCCGGCTCGCCCCTCAGAAGGATTGGGAAGTCAACAACCCTGCTCAGCTTGCCGAGGTGCTCGGATTCCTCGAAGGCTTGAAGAAGAGCTTCGACTCATCTGCTGCGGGTGGCAAGAAGGTCTCGATCGCCGATTTGATCGTGCTTGCTGGTTCCGCGTGTGTCGAGAAGGCTGCGCGTGACGCCGGCGTTGATATTGCGGTACCCTTCACTCCCGGACGAGCTGACGCTTCCCAAGAGTTGACCGATGTGCAATCCTTCCAAAACTTGAGGCCGTTCGCCGACGGATTCCGCAACTATGGCAACTCCACCCAGGAAGTCAAGGCCGAGCACTTCCTCGTTGACCGTGCCCAACTCCTGACCCTGAATGCGCCCGAGATGACTGCCATTGTGGGTGGCCTTCGTGTCCTCGGAACGAACTGGGACGGCTCCTCCCACGGTGTGTTTACCAAGCGCCGTGGTGTGTTGACCAACGACTTCTTCGTCAACCTTCTCACCATGGACACTGAGTGGAAGTCCAAGTTTGGCGGCGAGCTCTACGAGGGCTTCGATCGCAAGACGGGCCAGCAGAAGTGGACTGCCACACGATTCGATCTCGTCTTCGGCTCGCACGCTGAGCTGCGCGCTGTCGCCGAGGTCTATGGCCAGGCCGACGGACTGCCCAAGTTTGTGGGCGACTTCGTCCAGGCTTGGACCAAGGTCATGAACCTCGATAGGTTCGACCTCAAGGGAAAGCCCCAACCCCAGTTCAAGGCTGCTAGCCACCTGTAAGATTAATGCGAGGGGAAAAAAGAAGGAGGACGAGCAGCTTTTTGACGTTTGGCTTTTCGCACACATGGTGGGGTCAGAAGGCCGCTGTACACAAAATTCTCATAGACTAGATTCGTTTTTTTTTTTTTTCATGAATATCACCCTGAACAATGATTTACATTATATTCTTTGTCGCCATGTACTTTGTGTGAAGTGTAGAGCCCCATGGATGGACGCTTGGTAAGGCAGCCATATGTGAAGAGGACGTTATGCCACGTTGGCGATAAACAGAGAAGCAATTCTTGATTTTCCACCATTCTCTACTCATTAGGCTACGATTCAATTGCAGAGGGAGGATGATGGCACTGCGGCACTGCTTGCCGTTTCGCTTGGCCAAAACGAGCTTTTAGATGATGACGGTATTCTACTTATAGTACCAAGGTACCACGATTCAAACGAACGTGTGATTAGTCACCCGATCTTTTTCCTTGGGAGTTTTATTCGCGATCCTGGCCCAGTGCCAGAGGCTGCTTTCGCAACTTCAGATTCCGGACTAAATTCAAGGGTTGTATTCGGTCACCCTAAAAATGGACGATCTCTTGCAGCTCGAGCAGTTTGCTTTGGCATCCAAGGTCCAGACAGAGATCAACAACCACACTGGCGTCTCAGACAAAACCCTCGCCGAGTTCATCATCGCCCAGCGACTAGAATGTGAAGACCTCAACGGCTTCAAGGAGCAGCTAAAAACCATCGGCGCCGAATTCCCGACGAGCTTGGTGGAGAGCATCGATCGACTCTGCATATCACTCCACCCGAAACTGAAAAGGCAAAAGGCGGGAACGACGAAGACGGAGAACGATGGGCACGACGAGCAGGATCGACCGACGCGCAGCGCGGCGGAGAAGTCGAAGCTCTTTTCTGGCCTAGCTCTGCCGGACAAACAGCCTCCGTTTGACGGCCCGGGCAGCGCGATGGACGACACCTTGGCCCAGCTGGAAAATCTGGGGGCGGCAGACCCCGCAAACCGAAAGAATCGTCGCGGAAGCGCTCGCGAAGCCCCGAAGACGATCGCGATCGATACGCGAGGAAGGGAGACCGCCGGGAACGAGACCGATCCCGCGAGCGATCGCCGGCCCGTACGTCGCGCAGGAGGAGATATACCTCGAGATCACGGTCGCGATCTAGGTCGCCGCCCCCGCAGCGCTACGCGGAGCTCGATCCTGCACCGGTCTTGGACAAGATCTACGACGGAAAGGTGACGGGTATCAAGGACTTTGGCGCGTTTGTGACCCTACAGGGTGTCAAGGGACGGTCTGATGGCCTGGTGCACATATCAAGGCTGGTAGACGGTCGGCGAGTGGGGAGCCCTTCCGAGGTAGTTTCCATGGGCCAGTTCGTTAAGGTCAAGGTAGTCACCATCGAAGGGTCGAGGGTAGGGCTGTCGATGAAAGACGTCGATCAGCACACCGGCGAAGACTTGAATGCTCCAGAGCCCTTGCCGGCGTTTGGCACCGGTGCCAATATGGAGGCCATAGGTAGCCGGCACGGCTTTGTGGAACCGACTCCGACTTTCCGTAATCCCCACCCACCCAAACACAAGAAGCAATTGACGGACTCTGATCGGTGGGAGATCCGTCAACTTATACGCTCGGGTGTGGCAAAGGCTTCCGACTTCCCCGAGCTCGAGGAGGAGACCAAGATATCGGCAAATAGAGAGGATCACGGCATGGAGCTTGAAGAGGATGTGGATATCGAAGTTCGAGAAGAAGAGCCCCGTTCCTCGCGGGGCAGACGAAACAGTCTCTCGAGCTCTCTCCCATTCGCGTTGTCAAGGCTCCTGACGGATCGATGAACCGTGCTGCCGTGACTGGATCATCGCTGGTGAGGGATCGGAAGGAGGCGCGTCAACAAGAAGCTGATGTGGAAGCCCACGCCGCTCCCAGGAAAGACTTGTCGGCTCAGTGGAATGACCCAATGGCCGATCCAGACAAGCGAACGTTTGCAAGCGAGTTGCGAACCGCTCGGATAAATGCCAAGTCTGAGGCGGTTCCTGAGTGGAAGACGGTCATTCATACCAAAAACCAGTCCTTCGGCAAGCGGACAAACCTCAGTATCAAGGACCAACGAGAAAGTCTCCCCGTCTTCTCCTTTAGGACCCAACTCATCAAAGCCGTCCACGAGAACCAAATTCTCATTGTGGTCGGTGAGACCGGTTCCGGCAAAACCACCCAGCTCACCCAATACCTTGCCGAAGCCGGGTTTGCCAACGACGGCATCATCGGCTGCACGCAACCTCGCCGTGTCGCTGCCATGTCCGTAGCGAAGCGTGTGGCGGAAGAGGTTGGGTGTAAGCTTGGAGAAGAGGTTGGATACACGGTTCGTTTCGACGACTGCACAAGTGCTTCTACCAGAATCAAGTACATGACGGACGGCATGTTGCAAAGAGAGATTCTTATGGATGGCGATCTAAAGCGCTACTCCGCCATCATGTTGGACGAGGCCCACGAGCGTACCATTGCCACCGATGTCTTGTTCGCTCTGCTGAAGAAGACGGTGAAGCGCCGGCCCGATCTTAAAATCATTGTCACCTCTGCCACGCTCGACGCCGACAAATTCTCGAGCTATTTCAACGAATGCCCCATCTTTACAATTCCCGGAAGAACGTTTCCTGTCGAGATATTATACTCGCGAGAGCCGGAGAGCGACTATCTGGAGGCTGCTCTGTTGACCGTGATGCAAATCCATCTAACGGAGCCCAAAGGCGATATCCTCCTCTTTTAACGGGTCAAGAAGAGATTGATACGTCGTGTGAGATTCTGTATGAGCGGATGAAGGCCCTGGGTCCCGATGTGCCGGACCTGATCATTCTCCCCGTCTACTCTGCGCTTCCCAGCGAAATGCAAACGCGCATCTTTGAGCCAGCCCCTCTTGGAAGCAGAAAGGTAGTCATTGCCACGAATATCGCGGAAACGTCCATCACCATCGATGAAATCTTTTTGTCATCGACCCCGGGTTTGTCAAGCAGAATGCCTACGATCCGAAGCTCGGCATGGACTCGCTCGTTATCACTCCCATTTCTCAGGCACAGGCGAACCAGCGAGCCGGTCGCGCCGGCCGTACTGGTCCCGGAAAATGCTTTAGGCTGTATACGGAAGCCGCTTACCAGACGGAGATGTTGCCCACGACAATCCCCGCCATTCAACGTGAGAACTTGTCACACACCATTCTCATGCTGAAAGCGATGGGCATCAATGACCTCATCAACTTTGACTTTATGGATCCCCCACCTGTCAACACCCTGCTCACCGCCCTTGAGGAGCTCTATGCGCTCAGCGCACTGGATGACGAGGGCCTATTAACGCGCCTTGGCCGCAAGATGGCGGATTTCCCCATGGACCCTTCTATGGCCAAGGTGCTAATCGCTGCGGTGGACATGAGCTGCTCTGACGAGCTTCTCAGCATCGTATCCATGCTCAACGTCAACGTCTTCTACCGCCCCAAGGAGAAGCAGACGCAAGCAGATCAGAAAAAGGCCAAGTTTCACGACCCGCACGGTGACCATTTGACGCTGCTCAATATTTGGAACGGATGGAAGCGCAGCGGCTTCCAAAACGCCTGGTGCTTTGAGAATTACATTCAGCATCGGTCGATGAAGCGCGCCAAAGATGTAAGGGACCAGCTGGTCAAGATCATGGAGCGGTACCGCCACCCCATCGTATCGTGCGGCCGCGATACCCACAAGGTCCGACAGGCCCTATGCGCCGGTTTCTTCCGCAATGCGGCGCGCAAGGACCCTCAGGAGGGCTACAAGACCCTCACAGAGGGCACCCCGTCTACCTACACCCAAGCTCAGCCCTCTTCGGCAAGCAGGCGGAATGGGTCATTTACCACACTCTTGTCCTGACGACCAAGGAATACATGCACCACACCACCGCCATCGAGCCGAAATGGCTCGTCGAAGTCGCCCCAACTTTCTTCAAGGTCGCCCCGACCGACCGCCTCTCCAAGAGGAAGGCCGCGGAGCGCATCCAGCCGCTGTTCAACCGGTTCGAAGGCCCCGACGACTGGAGGTTGAGCTCGCAGAGGAGGGCGGGCAGGTCTGGCGGAGGCGGTGGAACTTGGGGTTGAGCTGTGTCGAGGATGGCGGGCCGCGTGCGGTGGTTTCCTTGGGTTATTGTGTCCGGCGGGGGCGGCTACTGTATTTTTACTGTCATTGAGGTCTTTGGTATTGCTTACCCACAATGTGTGTCTTCAGGAATGAAATTGGGATGAAATAGCGAATGGCCTCATTTTCAAAACATCTTTTTTCAACAGATTCCAATGCTGTTGAATTTTCTTTTCGCTATTTTTGCCTTTACCGTTTCGTGTCGCTTTACAGGCGAACCCTTCGGGCTGGCTGGTTTATAGAAAGTATCTAGGAGAACATGTAAGACAAAAACGTGCATTAGATGCTACTTTTGGTCGCCAAAGAAAAAAATGAAGTACAAAAACGGCACTTGGTGAAAGCGATGAGTACACCAGAGAGCACATGATAGCCAGCCGAACTCCGATAACTAAACAAATGGGATATGCTCCGTCCTCCTAGTCCACCAGCGACAGCGCGATGGCTGCGAATATGATAACGCCAGCGATCACTTGAGAGCGAACGAATGGCTTATACCTTGGATTTCTTCTTGGCCTTTTGCTTGACAGAGGCCACTAGACTACCCAGGTCAACGTCGTTATCGTGTTTCTCCTTCTTAGCCTTCTTGTTCTTCTTGCTGCTCGTCTCTGGCTCCGCGCCGTCGTCGCGTTCCCTCGTTTTGCGCTTGCGGCCGTCATCCAGCATCTTCTTGAGCGCCTCCGTGCGGGTGTACGACGGGTTCGATGTGTCGATGGCGTATTCGTGATTCTCGAACAGGGAGCTGAAACGGTCGTCTAGGCGCAGGCTCTTGCTCTCCTGGAGGTTGGCGGAGGCGTCTTCGTCATCCTTGCCGCGCTTCTTCCTGTACTTGGGCTTCTTGAGCTTATCCTTTCGGCGCGGATGATGTCCTTCATGTCAAAGTGCTGGAAGCGGGACATGCCGTCCTCCTCGGCGCCATCGTCCATAATGCGCTTCAACTTGGCCTTGCTGGCGGCGTTCTCGGCCTCTTCTGCCTCCCTGGCTTCACGCTTCTTGAGCCGATCTTCTTTGCGGATCTGTGACTTGCTCACGGCAGGCTCCTCGGTTGTGAAGAAGGGGTCATTGAAACCGAGGTCTTCCGTCGAGTCGGCGGGGGCCTCGTCGGCAGAGCCATCGGACTGGGCATCATTGCGCTTGGCAACGTTCTGCTCCTTCTTCCTTTGCTTCCTCTCGCGCTCCTTGCGAGCGTACCTTTCTATTGTAGTCTCCTCTTCTTCGGCCTTCTTAACCTTCTTTGGGCCCTCCATGAGAGCTGAGGTGAAGGTGATTTCCATATCGCCTACGGGACCGTCCTTGGAGGATTTAGCGGCGGACTCGTCGCCCAGCCCCAGCGCCTCTCGTAGCTTCTTCTTGGCGAGCTCCTTCTTTGACAGGCCTTCGTCGCCTTCGTCAGGAGAGCCAGCCTCGTCCTCGGTATCGCTGGCAAGGTAGGCTCGGAGATCGTTCTCCTGCATGTCGGCACGACTGCCGCTAAAGGCCTTTTGCATAGACTGTTTCCGAGCTGCCTCCTCAGGGTGGATATCCCAGGTCAGCTTTACCTTGGAGCTCTGAAGGGCATTGGTGACGAATTCAACTGGCTCGTAACCCTCGAGTACGGAGGTGCATTCGTCACGGGGCTCGTCATCGAAAGTGACATCGTCGGGAATGAAGCGAAGATCGATAAAGTTGGAAGAGGAGAGGTATTCGGTGCCGTCAGTAGCCTCGTAGATGGTGTGCGCCGTGGCCGGATCCGAGCAGACCATAACGGCGTAGTAGTACCTTAGACGATCTAATTGGTACGCTCTGAGGGCGTCGCTATCGAAGTCCTTGTCATCCTCTTCTTGGAGCAGCTCCTGCTTGATCTTTTCGTTTTCCACATCACTGTCGGAGTCTTCTTCGTCAAGATCAGCCCTGTTCTTCTTCGAGTTCGCAAAGAGCTCACGCGGGGGCCCTCAAGCTCCTCCCGCTGCATACGCTCCTTTCCAAATTCGCTAGGGTACACCGAGACCTTTTCAATCCTACCCTTGCCCGCCGCGGGCAGGAAACTGGTGAAAAGCGCCATGAGATCGTGGGACTTGATGTGGTCCCAGTCCAGGTTGACGATTGCTATCCTTTTCGTTACATCACCCTCCTCAACTTGAGCCTGTTCGTCGGCGAATCTCTGCATGCTCGCCGCGGTATTGTCATCGAGCTCTTCGACGGCCTCTTCCTCTCTGTCACTCTCACTGTCGGAATCAGAGGAGGAGAAGCCCCCGTCTCGGGCGGGATCGTATGGCCTACCCTTGGAAGCCTTTTGTTCGATGTTTTGGGCCCCGACCGCTTCCACATCCTCGTCCGCATCCTCTTCATCATTTTCGTCCCCAGACTCTGTTCCGGGTGCCCTTTTCGTCTCCTCGCCGCCAGAACTGTTATTATCTTCCTCTTCATCCTCAGCGCGGTAGAGGTTCTGAAGCGCCTTCTTTCCCGCATCCGACTTTAGTTTCCTGCCATATCGGTCGACTTTGGCACCCGAGATGAAATCCTCGCTCTTGAGCATGTGCGAAAACCGCTTGTCGATAGCTGTCTTGGTCTTTTTGGACGACGGTAGGCGGAATCGGGGATCGGTCTCAAAGCTCGCGAAACGAGAATCGGAGATTCGACTGGGGGCAGATGAGCCCCCGGAGCGCCTGCCTTTCTTTGCAACGCCCATTTTCAATTTGTCTACGCGCGTATTGTTCGTGCGTTCACCGAGAAAAATCGCTTCGATATGCCCGGCGGAATGGCCCTTTCAATGCTCCGCGACGGTTGTGACTGACCAATTTTTAGTGGGGCAGAAAAATTCCCACGGCAGTATTAAATCCATTTGCTAAAGGCGGTGAGTCTATGTTCTTTTCAAGCAGCGAGAGCATTTGCGGTGGTGGGGGTGGCCTCTCCATCTTGGGAAAGTCTTGCCCACCAGCTTATGTCAGAATTTGAATGATGAGTGTGTCCAGTCTGTCCCGCACAGTTAATACCGTTGCGTGCGGAGCATTCCGAGCACGGGCCATCCCCAGATGCACCTTGCAACGAAGTACCGAGCACTGATGGGCACCTGGGGATATTAACTTACCCCTTCGTCTGGCCTGTGCCCCAAGACTCTCTGTCTGGTGTTGCTCGAGGCCTTTACGTTGTTATTCCACCGGCGATCGCATGGTCGCGCTTCGTCGAGACCCGGCCATAGCCAAACGGAAGTAGTGGGGGTTTAGGCCTTTACCATGATGTGAAGAAATATACTCTTTTTGAGGGACAATGATCATGGCTTCACTCTCTCCCCAAAACGTTCCACGAGCGCGGGAATACTTTCCAGCCAACTCGGAATTCAAAGACGGTCAGTCAGCCGAGCTTCTTGTTCGTGGGCTCACCAACCACATTTTTGTCTCGAGGAATCACAGACAATCAGCCATACGCGCCATCGCCGAACAACAGGGGCTGAGTCGCTAGAAGCAAAGGAGGCGAGCGTCCTTTGTACCGCGCCGTGAAAGCAGCTCCGCCAAAACGTGGGCACCGATTGCTTTTTCCGCTGAATCGCGCCTCCTTTCATCTCCCCTCCCCTCCCTTCCTCCCCTGATATTACGTTCCCCCTTCCGGGGCCTAGAATTGGCAGCACCCATCGAACTCCGCTAGGTTCAAGTGCACCAAGGTTAATGGTATTTGTTGCACTTGGGGAGTGTGTGTCGCGCCGGGATTGTCTCAGAAACCCCCTCTTCACTCGTTTTCCCAAGATCTTGCCGTTTTGGGACACAATTGCCATGAAGCGAATCCACCTTTGAGCGCCAGACCCTTGGCGAGGTGCCTCCAAGGAAAAGATCGGAAGTGAAATGTGATGTGCTTGGCGAGTCTTGCATATCATACGTTTTTTTCCCTTTCACTTTCCTTTTTATGTCTGCGAAGTGTGGGGGTTTGTCTCCAGTGTAGAATATGCCGCTCAATGGCAACCGGCGCCAATCCGAGCATCCGGCGCCAACGAGGCTTCCTGAGTGCTCAAGTAATACGGCGGTGGGGGCCATTTCGGAATTGGTTGATGGCCCATCGGGCAGGGCTTAGGCGCTGAGCTCGGAGATTTGGAAAGCCGCCAGCTCAGTGAGCTATTGGGGCGGTAGGTGGGGGACACCCGAAATCATAGGGTGCTTTCTCCCCTTCATCACCTCTCAGACCTTTCTTAAGAGAAGTGCACCATGGCGTCAAGAGGCTACCGAAGGGGAAAATCTAGCTGTAAAGTTTCGCACTGGTAGCAAACGCTTGAAAGGGCACCTCTAGATGACTCGCTCTCCGCCTTGATGAGGGTGAACTCGGTGCATGAACCATAATACGACGAAAATGCCCACACCAGTGCACTCCCTTCAATTCAACCCGAGTGCCGGGGTTTTCCTTTCTCTTGCCATTCCTTCTATCACTTCTCGTCTCCTTGGGAGGTAGAATGTGATGTGTCGCTGCAGGTCATCACCTCTCTCGGGAAAGCCGTGGCGGCCTGTGAAGAGTCACAATTACTTGTCGGCGATGGCGGGCAGGGCCTATCATCCACACGGACGAAGAGCATTTTCCGAGTCTGGTTCGCCCATAGGCCCATAATAGTGTACACGAGTAACCTCAGCACAACATCCTCTAACGAGACTTTTCCACCTGACCTGGGCAGCTTGCTTGGCCGGCGTGGCGGGGAGGAGAGAAGGATGGGCTAGGGCCTGAACAGGGCTAGTCCGCTAGCGCCCATTTTTAAGGTAGGTGGCTGGCCTAGCGGTCCGCTCAGTTTGCTGATCTCCTTCTCACTTAACTGGCACGCTTCAAACATTGGGAGCTCACTCTGGAGGTGTATCCCCAGTTCCCCGGCCAAGATGAAAGGCACAGGGCAGTCGACTTCATGGAACAAAAAGCGGCTTATATTCAAGGCAAGGAGAGAGCTTGCTGTAATCAGTTTCGAGAAGCAGATTCTCCTCACTAAATGATCGAGTGAAGATTCACAATCGACATTGGCTGCTAGTGACGGAGGGGACGCATGAAAGAGAGTGTAGTTGAGGTAGTTGAGGTCTATTACCCCGTCCCCGTCCCGTAGCGTTGATTGTGGGTCACCTCGTCTTATTAGCTGATTCAACAGGGAGGGTTGGGCTGTCTCAACTAGCCACATGGTCGCCTAGATTCACCCTATCGGCAACTCTCTTGCAAGGGGAGGGGTGAGGTGTTGTAATGGGATTATTTTTATCCCCTCTCCGCTCCCTCTTCCCTTCCTTATTGTTGCCTTGGAGGGGGCGGTTCTTGTTCACCCTTGATGAACGGACTGGACAGCCCTGACGATCCCGATGTGATATGGCGAGAGGATGAGCCGGTGGATTCAAGCATTGGGCATGGAGAGATCCCAGCACGGGTCTTCCTTCCTCCTTTGGACGTGGAGTTTTAGGAACCTGCTAGTTTGGTCGTAGAGGGTAATCCATTTCTGGATTCTATCAGTCTAATCCATTGGACGCGACTGCCGATAGTATTTGACGGGGTTGAGGCGGTTTGAGCGGTTTGAGTTGAGGGCTTAATAGTGTATAAACTGGCCAAGACCAAGGAGCTGGAAGAAGACTACCCGTATTGCTACTAACTTGAACTGGAACCAAATCCCGATCGACCTCCTCGAAAAGGGTGGGGATGGGCGGAACTGGCACAGGTGTTGATGCATTCAACCTAAGTCCAATAATGATGAGACTGTCAATTATACACCTCACGAAGACGAGGTCACTCGTGACGTTCATGTGTGTGCATCTGTCCCTTTTGATGCGCAGATTGGCAAATTGGCAAATTGGCAAGCGCTGACAAGTCCTAGTCACACCCTCTCCCTCAACAGAACTATGATGAGCACAAGCATTCCTTCGGATTGAGCGTGGGAAGCGATTGGACCCATCCTAGATGCTCTCACCGATAGGGAACGAACTCACGGCCTTTGAGAGATCCAAGGAAGATCCTAACCGGGCGATGAGCGAAGGGGAAAGCATGAGCCACATTACGCAAACCTCGTCCGTCATCATGTTGCGACAAGATGCAAGGGCTAGCTCGAGGGGCTTCTTTGTACCAGTCTATCATCAAACGAAGTGGAGGTGGAGAGAGGTAAGCTTGAATGTCGGTTTTTTAGGAAAGGCTCTTCGATCAGCTGGGCACATTTCCAATCCGCCTCGAGTCTGTCATTCCATCCACCTATATCCCGCCTCTCCTTGACGGGTGAAACAAGCATCGTAACCATGGTCTCAGTTCCAACCTCAACTTCGGTCAGCCAAGAATCTAGAGGAACGGTCTCAACAACCAGCCACTAATCTACCACGCGTAATCGCCCCCGCAAGCTCTTATCCTGTCGCGTGTGCATGAATCACCTAGACTCGGCGACAAGCCCTTGGTCCTAACCAAGGGCAACGCTAGGTAGCTTCCTGGGGGAGACTGATCAATGATGGCGGCCCATGTCATGGGTGCCGATGACGGGCAAGATCGCATAGCTCCATCTCTGGGATGGCTTCAGAATTCAAATGTGCCGCGGAGACCATGTTTGGGTTTCATATTCCCCAGAGCCATCCCCAGAACCTTTCTCTTTTCACCAACGGGACTTGCAACAAGGATTGAGGCGACCACGCCGTCGCACCTTGCATGTATGTGCAGCCAGCCAACAAACGTATCCGGGTTCTTCTAGCAGGTATCATACCACGATTGATGTGGGATTGTGATACCGACTTTGGCAGGCGAGGCCCAGCCGGCCTCTTCACACGAGTAAAACGATACCGAGAGGCAAGACTGCCAATATGCAAGTAGTGCCTTACACCCCCATAGGTGTGGTTGATATAGCACAATGGCATATCGCACCACCTATCCGTTGCTTCTGGGCCCTTGATTCTCTTTGGGCCTTAACCGAGGGAGCGAGTAATATATTATTACCCTGCACCGGGTTGGGGGCAGATCAATCGCCAGACTTCCCGTGTGCGGCTCGGAGAATCCTTGTTGAATGTATCAAAGAGGGGGTTGAAGAGGCGTCAATAATCGGCTCCAGCTTTGGCTTACGTGCGTCACACATCTGCCCGATCCTGAGAATTGGTTCGTTGAGTCCACGTCTCCATGGTTGACCCCAGCTCCCCGCCCTCACCTACCGACCCTCTCTCCTTCGTCCGTCCTTGTATTCAGCGCAAGCCTGAGACTTGCGGTTTCTACACCTACTCGAGCGGCGCATCTCATTGCTCTGCGCGTACTTGATGATAATTGATCCATGGATTGATCCAATGTCTTGAAGCTGGCACCTGCGGAATTGAGTTGACTGACCACAAAACCCTTTACACCACGAGACAACATCCATGCCCACCCACCCATCTTACCATCGTCTCATCCCGACAACAATGGATCGCATCAATCGTACATAGTTCGTACATCAATCAAATACGTACTTACATGGATGTCTGCATACGTACACACGCGCACACATATAGCTTAAAATTTTGCGTTGTCAAAAAGGGGTCGCTTCACAGATGCTGCTCTTGCCTTGCATCAATGCAGTTTTGTGCCACCATCCTCTTCGAAGTACAAGTAATAGATTGTGCGCCAACCAGCCCCCAAAACCTCAGTCACTGATTTGATCTGATACCATTCCGAAGTTTCTCTCCCGTCCCGTCCCCACCCCCAACCCTATCCCGGCGCTCTCCCATCACAATCCTATTCGCGTCCCCC